CTTTCCTTTTTTTTTTTTGTTTTCTTGCTTTGATTTAATTTGATTTTACCGGTTATATATGTACCGTTCGTTAACTATGATATTCTTGATCTCGGATACTATAAAAATATAATATTTTAATAATGTTATATATATATATATAAAATTGTATGGATAGCATTCCCCCTCCCATTAACTTACGCTGATACCATACGGTGTAATCTTGAAAGTTCATTACTATCTGTGTGTGTCATAGAATCATTTGACGACACTATATATATCAGGTCGTCCCGCGATCTGAGTACCGATTCTGTTTGTTTTTGATCTTGTTGATGACTTACCACTAAATATTCTTGTATCTTATCCATTAACGTTTGTAATGATGTACTCAACGGTATATTCATACTCATATCTTTTCTTTTAATTATTCTTTGAGTATTTTGATTCTTTCTGATTACGGGAGATTCTACCATAGATATACTCTCATCTTGTTCAATTTTCTCTTCGAGAGGATATCGTCTTTGATTATATTGACGAAGTTTATAATAATATTTTGTTAAACGCACCATATATAACCATGCATCGATTATATAAAGACCTAAAAATGGTACCAACACTAATAGAATAAGAACATAGCATGACACTTGAACCGTGTAAACAAATCGTAAAGTCCATCGTATCACTGCTTCTTCTATTATATCTAGTACTGCCATCGTTTTCTTCTGTAATGAATACTATTCTATTTTCGATCTGACCACTTAAAAGTACTCAAAATTTTTTTTTACGCAGGCCTTTATCTTTTGGGATCACTTATATATATATATTCCTAGCAACCGACAATTTCGTTAGCTAATGTCTAACAGTCTATAGCAACACTTCCTTTAAATCTTTTCTAGAGATGAGCCTTTTGCTTTTAAAGATTAAATAGTGATTATAAAATATCTCTTTTTATTTTCTTTCTGATTTTCTTTTTTTGTCTCTCTTTCTCATCATAAATGATCCTTGCTCGCTTTGTTCCTTCTGCATGCAGTACTCCGTCTCGTGGGTCTGTGCCTCCGGCAAAGCATAATAATACTACAAGTTAAAACAAAGATGAATGATGATGATGCAACGGTCTATCTGTATTCTGTTTCAACTCTCTAAACGTGACTCATTTATTTTCATTTGCTCGACTATTAATCGTTTTTATTTAATAGCATTATAGATGTTTATGCCAATTGTGGTATATATATGTATTTATAAAGAATGTTTGTACGTTACGAAATGGAGTGTCTGAGAGAGAGAGAGAGAGAGGAGAGGGCTATTATGTATATGTGCCTCTTTTTCTTTCCTTTAATCATACCTACTGCACACCAATAACACTTAGCTCTAAAGTCCATACTCTACGAATATGCAACCTCACTGGTACGCTGATTTTATTCAATTCGGCTTCCGTATTAGTCATACTTGGTAATTTTAATTTAATTGTAGTATGTTTATCATCTGCCCATGTTCCATAAATTTCAACCTCTAATTCAATCTCTTCGTCCCCCCACCAACATTTTCTAGCAGGCTTTCTCCAAAATAATAATAATTTTTCATTAATGTCAGGTTTGGGTACTAAATCATAAACTTTTGGTAATTCAGGTGGATGTTTTGAATGATTTCCTGTAATATTAATACTACTACCACCAAGTCTTAATTGTGAACTATTTCTTGATGACGAATGAGAACGAACATTATCTGCAAGTACGGAAAACCTTGATTTCTTCTTATCTTTCCTTGGTGTACGATTACTATCTTTATTAGAGATTGCAGATATATCTGATGATGTAGCTGAACTCTTTAATCCACTACTACTGCTCACTGTACGAGAACCAACTTTATTACTACTACTACTATGATGGTGATGATGAGGTGTTGCAGAATTTAATGATGATGCAGACGCCGTAGCAGATAGATTTGTCTCTGATGGCGTATTAGCACCATTCAAACCATGATCCATTTCCCATTTTAATTTTGCTTCATTGTATGCAGTTCTAAACATTTCTGTACTTTCATTAGCAAGTCTACATAATGATAGAGAACTTATCACAGTCTTACCAGCTTCTTGAGTTCGATTACCCCATAACGACTGAGTTGTGAATCCGGATGAACATAACATATCCATTAGATGTTGTTCTGCAGGACCTAGTCTCTTACTGGATAATTTACTTAAATCCAATTCATTAGTCATTGTCGAATTATTATCGTTGGGATGAGATTTACCTGACGAATTATTATTGTTATTAGTGTTTTGATACCTTAGTCTATTGGATGAGAATAAACCTTGTAATACAGATGTTTTATTCGCTAGATAACTGCCTGCAGCTATTTTAATTTGAGCCATAAAATGATGTAATAAATCATTATTATTTTCACGTATTGTCTCCGGATCCATATTTGCATTATCTCCATTTGTATCCACCATTGAAGATTCAAATTTAAATTGTTGTTGTGGTACACAATAATAATCTAAATCTTCTCTTAATAAAATAATTGCTGGTTTTTGATGTAAAATATTATGTTCATTTGGGGTACCATTTCCATTAGTACTATTATTATTACCATTACTATTATTATTGAATCCGAAAAATCCTTTAGCGCTATTAACTAAATTATTACCTGAATTACGTGCAAATAACTTCTCTACAGGATGATTAATCATATCATCATGAGCTTTAGTAAAAACTTCCATAATATATTCAAAGCAATCAGGTGGGAAATTCATAATATATACTTCATCATCAGGCGTTAAGTTTGTAATAACTTGGCCATCTCTATCTAAAAATACACCAGATGGGAATAAACATAAAAGTAAAGATTCTGGTAATGACATTAATTGATCTCTAGTAATAAAATAATGATTTTCTTGAATATTTAAATGAATTAAAGAATTTCCATAAGCATCATTCTCCATACCTTCATAATATTCTTGATTATCGGGACCTAAACTATTATCATGAAGTAATGGATTTACACCAGAACCATCCTGGGAAACCTGTGTAATTATATTTTGCATTGTTTTTTAATAATTCAATGACACACTTTTTATTAGTAAACACTAAATATCTTTTTTATTAGTTTTTTTAATGAATCAAATATAAGAATAGATGAACAAAAAAAGAAAGAGAATACAGCAATAACACTATCAGAAAATATTATCTCAATTTAAAAAGTTTATCCTTATAACGAATAAATGTAACCTTTAAAAACCCACTAATTAGTAGTATGATAATAAAAACTGAAACCTGAGTAACTATATGTATGGTATATTTAGTTATCACGCCTTCTTCTTAATTCAAATTACTTCTCTCTTAGTTATATATATATATAAATACCAATTAATCTATTTTATGGTTCCCTATTCTTCTTAATGCCTAGCAAGTTTCTTATTTTAAATTCCAAACAAAGCAAAGCAAAAATAAAAAAAAAAAATTTGTTCGGGCGGACGATTATCCTCTCTCTCAATGAACTGCCAAAAATTCTTAGGGAATGGCATAGAGTCTAGAATAGGAGAATAGAGCAATCGATAAATTGTTCTAAAACCACGCAATAATATGCATATTTGTTCATGAATGTTACAAAGCAGGCTTTCTGTATTATCAGGTACATGTCGGATGAGACCAAGATATTGTTTAATGGAGTCACATTTCCTCTGTAATTATTTTAATTTTTTTGAAATGATGTAGAAGACAGACGATATATAGGATTACACATATATCTAAATATATCTATTTATTTCTATACATAAGTGTGCAGGCAATTAGTAACTTGAATCGGGAGATTGCGAAATAGAAACACTTGCCAGATGATTGCATTCTTTGCACATACATGGAGGAGACAGTGCCCTATACTGAGCCTTGTACTCTTCTTCGAGTTATATACGTGTAAAATCATTGAAAACTGATCAATTACGTATGTTTCGGGTCAAGATCACTTGGAACGAGGTGTGAGTCATCTTACCCACACTGGCACTGTTTACATCTCCCCCCCCATAAAGAGCTGAAATAGTCAAGATTTAATATACCAATTCCAGTATCATAAACTTGTAACACCACTCGGATAGAAACAATAAAGCTATAGTTGGGACTCTCTAGTCTCAAAGATATATCTAATTTATACCGTAAACAACCCTTTAAACCCTAACAATATCGACGATTTCTTCAGTGAAAGAAACACCGCGCGCATTTTTTGAAAATTTTTTTTTTTTTGCTGTGAAATTTTAATTTCTTACATATTACAAGACAAATAGAAATATATAAGTAGATGCTTCTATTGATCTGTCTGTCACTTAATAAACAGTGTTAGAGGCATCATACAACTGTATCAAGTTATATTTGAATAATATGGGGTGAGTCTCAGAACAAATAAGGATGCAACTATCAATTGTAGTATACTTGAAGGTTCAAGGGTGCATATATTGAAATTTCCTTCATTCTGTCTTTTTTGGTTCTCTCATGTATATATCTTATAACTACCTCTTTCATACTATTTTGCAAATACCAAATGATGAATTACCATTTTTCATTAACTTATCTACATTATCTGAACCCCCAGCAGCTAACAATAGTTACTGGATCAAAGGGAAGAGAAAAAATTATTTTTTTATCTGATATTGGTATTCTTTTTACTATGAATTTCTTGTATATCTTTTTATTTTCTTGTATATATATATGTAAGTCTCACTTTTTCTCTCTATTACTTTCCTCTTTTTTTTTTGGCAAGACCAACCTATTCATCATCACTGTTGATCATGAAATCATCAGTGTCTGAATCTGTCACTTTATTGGAAGTAGCATTGATTTTAGTAGGTGTAGCATCCATTGGTTCTGGTGGAACTGGTTGCCATTTCTTCTTTGGAGTCTTATCAGGTGTATCAATATATGTGGTTTGCGATACAACACGTTGACTATCATTAGTTACCATTGATGCATCTGGATCAGCTTCGATGTTCGTGGTTTTTTCATCGGTATTGATATTAGTATTACCATCTTTACTACGTTCTCTACTCGGTAATTGTGGTGGAACATCTTCATCATCTGAAAATTCATCATTATTTAATGAAATTCCATGATTCTCTAAGGAATCCTCACCAATACGTGCGCCAAATGAATTAAATCTAGGTCTTTCTGCTTGTGATTCATTAGTGCGTGTTGAACTCATATTACCATTTGTCTGTGTATTACGTTGACTCTCATAGTATCTGAAGGCTTCTTCTTGTTCTCTCATTTGAGTATCACTATAAGCAAAATTGTTGTTGTTATTATTTCCTCCAGATTGCTGAGTTTCTGCACCAAAATTTCTATTAAACCAATTACCGACTTTTGAAGCTGTATCTTGCAAAGATTTATTGGCTCTAGCTGTCATCTCAGGTAAGTCTTTCTCTACAAATTGACCCCAACTATCATCGTCTCGATAAGTATCTGGGTTAAACTCACCATTCTCTCTCAAACGTCTTCTTCTTTCACTTAGTCTTTCCTCATGTAATTGTCTATCACGACCATTTACAGAATCAAATGGAATTGGCTCATCCATATTATTCATAGTATCATCACCTCTACCACTTCTGGAAGTGGTTGTATTCGTAGAACCTTTACGATGTTGTGAATGTTTCTGGTAATTTTTATTATATTGATCATTTAATTGTTTGGCCAAGAGTTCATCCTGTTCTAATTGGGTCAATTTCTTTCTGCTTGGTAAATCTAAAGTTGGCGATGGCTGTTTTGATGGTAATGCAATATCAGTACTTGCTTCTGGATCAGATAAATATAACAATGCATTAAATGCAGGATCCATTGATCCATTCGAGGCAATTACAACTGCCTTGATATATTTTTCTTCAATGGTTGGAAAAGCATCCTTCAATTGTTTTAATAATGGATTCTCCTTTGGTTTATTTTCCTTCACTGTAGCTTTTTGTCTTGTAGGTAAAGGTGGTACATAGTCTTCATTATCATTGGTGTCCCTAGTAGTTGTATCCTTAACAATTTCAGGTGCAGATGAACCTTCAGTTTCAAGTTCTTCCAATGAAACTGGTTTAGGATCTACCACTTTCATATCATTTGAACTAGTTTCAACATTTTTATCTTCAGTAGTTTCCTCTGGATCCTCGTCCATAAGAACAATTCCACCTTCCCCAACACTGGCATCGTCTTCTACGTTCACATCATCAACCTTTTCAGTTTTTGTATCTTCCACTTTAGAAGTATCAACTTCTGGTTCAATATCTACTGTGTCAACATTCTCAACAGTGTCTTCACCGTCGGTGGCTAACTTATTTTGTAAATCTTTCTTTTCTTCAGACATCTGTTACTGATTCACAAGTTTACGTCAGTTAAAAATTATGAGTATCTGTATAACTTTATTGATATTGCGAACTTATTATTACTATATTAGTGCTATTACCTTATTATATAAATAACCAAAAGCCACAAAACCTTTTTGTTTTGCCCTTATTCCCTGAATTTTCAGTGATTTGATTTTCCATTTTTCTGAACCCCATTAGAAGTCTTCATTTTTCCCTCCCCTTTCCAGATAGGAAAGAAAGACTATATTTAGCCAACCATCGAAAAAAATTAAATAATAGAATAGAAAGACTATGCATTTTACCCAAAACAATTGTCCAAGCAATCTGTTTAATTCTCGACTATTGAACAGGAGCAAGGTTATTTTCTTTTTCCTTGCTCCTCTAAAAGTTTAATAATTAGCTATATGTATAAAAAACAATAAATAGAGACATATACCACAACCATTTACATGGAATTTTTCATTTCCCTTAACTTATCCATTACTTTAGCTCTTGTCCAATGCCCTGATCCATCTCCAACAGCTTGTCTAACAAAAGGATCATCAAGTCTCATGAATGGATTGAATGTCAATTCATCACTTAAAGTATAGTTCCCAGTAGTGACAGTATGAGTTTCAGCGAATTTCTCAAGTTCATCCAAAGCTCTATTTTCACCAGGTGTCTTATATATAGCATCACGTACAAATTTAACATTACTCTTGGTGTATTCATGACCTGGGTAAACTTTAGTCAACCCCCAATTAGGTTCACCGACATTTTTCAATAATATTTTATTCAAAGCTGTATCCATCTCAGCTCCGGTCCCTTCAAAGAATCTACCACAACCTGCAGTAAATAGTGTATCACCAGTAAAGACACCGTGCTCATTCGTTTGAGGGTCCTTTACGTAATAACAAACAGAATCCTGAGTGTGACAAGGGGTTCTAATGGCAATGACCTCTAGATCTCCCAAGTTATATTTTTGACATTGACGTGGTAATTCATTCGAACCTTGAGATGCTTTGGAACCAGCTATAATTGAAATTGATTCATTACCAATATTTTTCAACTCACGAAGCATATTCAAATTTCCTTCTGAATGATCATAATGATGATGAGTATTCACAATAGCTCGAATACTTTTCATCTCATCTTGATCAAGTTTTGGTAACACTTCAAGAGTTTCTGCTGGATCAATAATCCAAGAATCCTTCTTATCATGCGTACTTAGTAAATAACAGTAGTTATCGCCACCAGTGGCCCATCTCATTTTAATAGCTTTTACGTGCATGTTTCTAACAAGTCTCAATAGCATACACTTTTGTATATTTCTATTTCAAAGTATTATACAAATATAAAACCAAACACCAAGCACCAAACACCTATACTAGTAGTAGCTGTATTCGTTTGTACATCTTTACCTCATCACAGCTCCCCTTCCCTTTAATTGTTCTTTAATTTTTCCCTTTGCCCATCTGTGTCTCCCTTTCTTAGATTCGTCTGGTGGCGAAGGGGGGGGGACCCTCTGCCTATAGTAGTTACATTTATTTTCATTAAATCAAAGTAAAACAGCAAACAACGCTATATACCATAAGTGTTAATGGTGTGCCACATCCATTGTGCTAAATTGAGCAATACCAACTGATAGTACACAATGTAATGTATTTTGATTTTATATTTTTAATTATATATTTAAGTTTTTTTTATGTATGTAGAATGCTACAATGATCGTTACTTTATGGTAAAAAAAGGAAAAACACATACGTACACTCAAATATCGTATGTTATCTATTATTCGTTAGTGATGGAAAGGATTACATGCAGTTAACCTTCCAATAATTTATAACCACCGCTCTTATTCAAATCCACTTTCTTATCTTCTAACTTCTTAACAAGTTTCAGACGTTGCAATTCTTGCCAACGTGATAATTGTGCTTGCTTATGCAATTCAAATCCAAATATCTTTGGTACATACCTTTTAACTGGATGTTTTGGAGTCATTTCAGGATAAGCTTGTAAAAACATACCAGGGAAACTTGTACCAAAATAAGCACCATCAATTGAAGCATGTCTTGAAGATTTTGGATTATATAAATCTTCACAGGATGGGCAATATAATTTTACACAATCTTCTCCGGGGACATCATGAAGACCAACAGGTAATAGAGGTTGGAAATTACAATACACTCTGAGACATCTACCAAAATCTGCATCTTTATATTTAATTAACATTTTTTGTAGACCTTTTACTGTAATAATATAACGAGCATGAATCAAACCATAAAATTTACGTGCATCTTTTTCAAGTTGTTCTAAACGTTGGCGAGGCATATTTTCCAATGTTGATTCATCAAGTTCATCTACAATATATTGTACCACTTGAGTAAATTTTGATACACTCCTTTGTAAATTAATTAAATTGAAACGATCCGTTATATAATCTGAATCAACTTCACAAAAATATTCATGACCTTTTCTTCCTAAAAATAATTCAATCCACATCTCAGCGTAATCTGATGACTCAGACTCATCTTTATCCATGTTTATATCTCTCTCTGATGTCAATCTTTGTTCTATCTCTTCAGCCATAGCTAAATAATATCTATAATTTCAATAAATAATGAATGGGTGAAAATCAAAAAAAAAAAAATAAGGGAACTCTTTGGATGGTAGTTCTCTCTTTGTATTTAATCTTATCCTTTCTAATGCTCGAAATTATCCAAAAAAGTATAACTCTGGAACAGCAGTAATGAAGTATATCAAATCACTTGTACTAATATTTATTTGAAACGTCTATTGGAAATGAGATACACCGTTCTTTTATTGATTTTCTGCTGGTTTTAAAATTATAAAAACACACACACTCGGACTCGATAATTCTCTAGCCTTGATAAAAACAATCTAATTCAATTGAAATATCACACTTGATAACACTCAGTAAACAGTCCTACGCACTTCTCCGACTCACTAACCCAAAACCTTTGGTTCCACTTCCTTGTGAAATAAGTATTCAGTTCAATCAAAAACTCATTTTTTGCTTCTCTCTCGACAAAAATTCAAAAAAAAAACGGAAAATTTTTAGTCGCGACGAAAAACCATTCTGAGTGAAACTACACGCTTTTAATATTTGTTTATTATTGACACAGTTGAACAGAATTCAAAATAGGTTGGAATGTGAAATACTAGAGAGATTTCAAGTATAAACACAAATATTAAATAAGAGTAGAACTAGTTTTGAGGGATTGGCTTTGCAATTGTAGAAATAATTCTAATATTTAATATTTAATTGAAATATTTTCATGTAAAACACCAAAGAAGGTGGGATAAAATTTGTGTTTTTATTTTTTTAAGACGTGTAAGATAGAAAGATAAAGGGAACATGAGATTACTTAAATATCCCTTAGAATTGAGAGAAGAACGTTTAAATGCTGTTGCTGTGATTGATAAGTTTTTACTATTGCTTTCCAGTGGAGGACATGTGATTGTATGGTCGGTGAATGACTTAGTAGATACAGCAATTGATAATCTGTCAATCAAAGATTTGTCTAGGAAGAAAATGTTACCCATAAAATTTAATAATGCTACAAATGATAGTCATGAAGTAGATACTCAAGCTTTTTTCTTATGTGGTGTGGATCAGATATTGGTTGTTGCCTCAGATCACGAAATTTTAAAAATTAGTAATTGGAATCAAAATGACGATAATGATAATAGCCCTGCATATAAACAAGATGTGATAATAAGTTATAAATCTCCAAGTGTCATCACAGATGTTAAATTGGATACTCAGCAATTGTTATTGTTTGTATTATGCAGTAATCCCAATGCAATTGAAATGTTTGATATTAAGAGTAATAAAAGACTAACTCAAATTACATTAGATAAAACGATAAAACCAATAACATTAATATTAGATCCCTCTGGAAAGACATTCACCGTACTTTGTTCTGATAGATCTATTCGTGTCTATCAATTCAATAAATCAGGAAATTATAAATTGATAAATGAAATACCACAATATGTTCACGTAGAACCTTTACATTATAAAATTACTATGCCACCACAAGCAAATTATTTACCTGTTATTAATTCGATAAAAGGTGCATCATCATCAACGCCATCCTCATCTGCGGCAACTGCATCAACTTCAAATTCGACATCAGGATCTTCATCTTCAAAATCAAATTCAAATTTCTCTACTACATCTGCCACAACAACTGTATTATTAGACAGAAATAACAATTACAATGTTGTTTCTACTATTGTATCGCCTGCATCCAATACTTGCAAAGTATTAGCATTCTCTCCTGCAATATACGAAAAGAAAAATATTAAAAAGAATACAAGTTTACGTTATAATTTATTAGCAACATCTGGTGTCAAGGATGGTACCATCTTAGTATGGAATACAAAACGTATGAAACCATTATTTAATGCATTACAAATTTCCGAAACACCAATTAATGATATGGTATGGTCAAATGACGGTTTAACTTTATTTGCTGTATCAAATGATAACGTATTATATACATTTGCATTTCTTCCTGCAGATTTAGGCGAAAAGATATCAGAATCTGATATTATAGAATTAAGAAATAAAAATAAAGTCTTACCACCATTACCAGATAAAACTGCAGTTGAAATAGATGATACCAAGAAAACAGAAATGGGTAAATCTGATTCAATTACGGAATCATTAAATAATAACAAATTGAAAAGTGAAACTCCAACAATAGGAAAAACAACCGACTCATCAGTGAATAATATTACTTCTTTGGTTAAAAAAATAGGAAAAAATAAAACTCAAGTCATTAAGACATTAGCATCAAACCCATCGGTAAAAGTAACTCAAGGATCAGGCATGGAATTCACACCACCACCTTATATTGTACCAAAGGATCTCAAGAGGAAAGTGAAAGAAGAAGCCAACGGTACAGGTATACCTGCACCACCTAAAAAAACCAAACGTGAATTGGAACCTATGGATTTCTTAGATACAGGGTTAATCATTCCCAACATTTCTTTTTCAAGAATTAGACTTGCTTCACCAAAAATTAGAATGTCCTTCAAATATTCACCTCCATCAAATAAGAATTTTACAATGAATGTTAAAAATGGTTCTGGTAATGAACAGAAACCTACCATTGTAAGTTTGAATTCTAAAACTTCTGAACAAGATAATCAATTATTCCAAGATTTTATACCGAAATTCATAACCATGTGTACATCGGGGAAATTCTTTTGGGCATGTTGTTCTGATGATGGGGTCATTTATGTCTATTCTGATAGTGGTAAAAAATTACTTCCTCCAATGATGATTGGTGTCCCAATTAGTTTTCTAGAGGCTAATGGTGACTATTTACTTTGTGTGACTAGTATCGGTGAACTGTATTGTTGGTCCATTGAAGAAAAGAAACTGAAATTTCCTACAAATTCGGTATATCCTATTCTAAGTCCTTCATTAAGATATTCAGATGATATTTTGACAAGATCTGAAAATATAACAATTTGTACTGTAACAACAAATGGGGTACCTATCCTTACTTTAAGTAACGGTGATGGTTATATTTTTGATAAGGATATGGAGACATGGCTCTTAGTTAGTGATAGTTGGTGGGCATATGGATCTCAATACTGGGATACCACAAATTCAACTGTCTTGAGAAATGTCGTCAATGATACAGAGGCTAAAAGTAACGATTTTTGGAATTCTAGTGACATTGAAAGTGTAATATCTGATGTTAGAAGCAACCCAAGTTCAATTGTAAATTATATAGAACGTAAGACAAATGATGAATTAAATCGTAAGGGACGTATTAAAAATTTACAAAGGTTTGCTCGTGCTGTTTTAATGAAAGAAGGTTTTGAAAATATGGAGGAAATAGTCACATTGGCGCATTTGGAGAATAGATTATTAGTGTGTTTAAAGTTAGAAGAAACAGACGAATTCTCTAAATTGTTACTAATATATTGCGTGCGTCTAGGTAAGTTAGGTTACACTGATCGTTTAGATGAGATCTTGCAATGGTTGTATAACGAAGGTGATTTAGAAAAGCCTGTGTTATCTGGTAAAACTAGGAAGGACTTATTAAAGTCTGTATTATTGGCCTGTGCGAATATAAGACATGTTCAAAGAGTTACCAATAATTATGCGACCGCAATTGGACTGATCGAGGAGACTATATAAGGGAGCGTTCATACAGGGTATACGAATTATCTCGAAAAAAGCCATTAAATTGAAGAAATGGTATCAAATATACCAACTCCTGATAAATATCTGTCTCATTTTTAATATATAAATCATTTTTATAAATAGAGCCAAATAAAACAAATAATTCATATTCCTACGCATATAGTTTAGAGGAACAACTAGGATTTATTAATCAAAAATATTTACATATCACTCTAAATACAGATGTAACAAAGGTTACAATTTAAATACATTGTCTTTAGTCCAACCTTGATGTTTCAAGATACCATCTAGAGGGCCTTGTCTTAAGTCAACCTTTGCCCCAGCGAGTGATTTTATAAACCCATCCGGACCACACACTAATGCCATGAATTCTTTGTTAAAGGACAAGTTTTGAGTATTTGCAGGCGTCAATTTCATCAACTCCTCAATATTATCACGTATGCTATATGTATCGCTGAATAGTCTTAAACTGATATCATTGGTTTTATTCAAATTGATCATCATTGGATATAGCTTACCTAGTTCATTCATATCATGCGATGTATGTACCCATGTGAATGTTCTTGGGTTCTCCAAAGTATTATTTAAGAGAATCTGCAAAGCAGAGACAACTCCGGTCCCAGCCGTATACATATTTACATTTTTGGTATCATCCTTAAATTCGTACTCGACAAAGGGTCCTCTTAAATCGATTCTACTACCAACATCCAAATTACGCATCCATCTACCAACTTCACCATTATCATAATTTTTTATATAAAACAATAATTTACCTCCATTTGTGTCATTATTTTTAATATCTAAAGGCTCCAATTGATAATCGTCTTTATTATTTACCGTCAATTTTAATGGGAGAGGTGTGTAGTTTCTTACAATCATAATTTCAGGTTGTTTAACCTCCAGGGACCATATTTTGTTCGAGGTTAACTTCTTCCAAATATTTATTTTTTGTTCAGATAATGGTTTAGCTTCTAGAAAATAATGGTGTGGATCGATGTCTACTCTTTGAGAAATTTTATAACGAGTAAATTGGTCTTCGTCTAATTCAACAGTCCACGTAGTATGTATTACATATTCGCAGTATCCGAATCCTAATACAGTCGCAACTGCAGTTCCTGCAATCCCTAATTTTATCTGCTTACGGTATCTTTGAAAAAAACTCTTAGAAACTGGTGATTTCGTCGATCTTGTATATAATCTGGTGAATGACCTTAAAAGCATGATCGGTGGTGTAATGGAAACTTTAACAATGGTCTAACTATTGTCCAACTAAGAATTTGGTACTTTCTGATTTACTGTAGTATTAAATTGATTACGTTAGCAAAACTGTCAAAAAAATGAAATGAAAAAAAGAAAATGAAAAATATCATGGAAAAATGCAGAACAAAGTGAAATTCCGCATAAGATTGTTCTTATATATAAAAAATCTAAATAAATACAGATACAGCAATGTACTGTAGTTTATACACCGCGGAGTGTTCATGTCTGTATGCATATGTCACAGAGAACTGCACAGTAGAATATGCAAGGTAGAGAGACATATGACGAGGGGAAGGGTGTGCATGAATGAAACTATATGAATATGATTAGTAATAGGAAAAAGAGCATTACCGATAGAATGACCAGTAAATACAAACAGTATTTACTTGATCTTCTTTGATATCTTCTGGCCTTGTCTAACTCCCTGGAGGCCATATTTGTATTATTAGAGGCAGAGTATATATTTGCTTCGATGTTATCAACCATGATACCTTGTTGCTGTACTACAGCTCCCAAATCCTTAAATATGTCATTTAAATCGGACATACCTTGTTGAATATTAGATATTTCTTCATCTCTTTGATTGATTAAATTTTGTTGGTATGCAAATTCTTCATTATTGATTGGATCCATTTCTACTACGATTGTACTTTGTTTAGGTTTAACGACTTGTATTTGATTAGTAAGATGTATACCTCTTTGTTCATTTTCTTGTTCTTGTGAGATTGCTGTTGCGTTAGCATCCATATTTAAATATTGTTTAGCTTTGTTATTGATAGATTTCATTATCTCTGTAAAGGACATTTGTGTTATTTGAAATTGTTGTGCTGTCGACCTTACATCTCTAGTCAATTTATCTCTAGAGATCACTTGAGTTCTATCTAATGTTGCCACATCTATTTGATTTAATTCTTTTAAGGATGGTTCTATTTCAGTGATTAATTTTGTAACTCTAGTGATCTTATCTACAGATTTTTTATCAATATTATCAACTGCTTTCACATTAATATTTCCCCTCTCTAGGAACGAGTTTAAACTGGTAACAAACTGGTTCAAAGTACTTATATGACCATTGATTTCAAACAGTTGTTTAGCAATCTTATCTTTCAGGGATTCGAACTCAGGAGAATCCGTATATCTAGTGGGCGGATCCTCCGTATCATCTGTATAATGTATTTCTGACATTAATTTCTCCAGTACCTATCTTCCTCTCTCTTTTTATTGCCAATGTTACCTTGCCTTAAAAAAAATTGAAACCTGCTTTTATAAACTAGCCAAATATAAACACCTAGACGCCACTAGTAGACTTGCACAGCAACTAAATGTTGAATGTATATGTGAGTATGTGCCTAATCTATTATTTTATTAGGAGGCGCTCTGTGTTCCAAAATCGCTTTGTGTGGGAAGAAGGGTATACAATTATTATTATCGCTCACTATTTTATATTTTGGCAGTCTGGTTTACCTGTAAGGGAATGTACGTCGCTGATGGAATAATACTACAGTTTGAACAAAGCATGAAGATATACAAGCATTAGATATATTAGGCAGATATTATGACGCTTGTTATTGGCAAGAGATCATGCGGAGTGTGTTTTCAGGATAACTTTATGATTTCATGTTTACTCTCTCGCTATAAGACTAATCGCATTGACGCATTCCAGATACCTGAAAGATACCACCATACAAGAATAAAATACCTTAACCTATTCGTTCACACTATCCGGCACATGAGTAAGCATTAAATACTATCGCTGGTAGCTTCTGTTACTACGAACGTAACCCGGTCATCACTGTGCACGAACACCCTATAGATAGATAAAAACAGCTTCGCTCTACGCGATGACAATGGCAATGGCAGACACCGCGAATATATATTTCAGCTCGACCGACTCATTGAAAATTTCAGTTTGCTCAGTGGGAAAGTGGAAAGAGTGAGAGATGCTGACTTAGACACGTTTATACTTGGAAATGAGAGAGCAGTTTAATACATAAAAAGTAAACACAAACACACATACACAGATAAAGATCAGTCGTGGTGTGTTAAACATATTTATTTACTTGTTTTCCTTTTTTTGTAGATGTTAGTAAGTTCAAATAAGTAGCTATCCTTTATTTCCATTCCACGGTATATTGTAAAGGTTGCTTTGTCAAATTTTGAGTGATAAATTATCGTTACAAACATTATTTAGCCTCCGCAAAATATTGATTAATAAACCTATCGTATTAGCTATCGAACTATTGTAATAATGTCTGAACAAACAAAATCATCAGGATCTAAAGGAAAGAGGAATTTCCGTAGAACTCAGGGACCACAAACTGGTAATCGTAAAAATAATCAAACAAATGGTCATGGTCATGGTCATGGTCAAAATAAAAGGGAAAACGAAGATGAGGACGACGATGATAACTATTGTTTGATATGTGCAGAAAAATTAAACTACGTGTCATTGACTCCATGTAATCATAAAACATGTAATAAATGTGGCTTTAAACAACTTGCATTATTTGAAAAGAAAAATTGTATGATCTGTAGAACAGAACTGACTGAAGTTATATTCACAACAAATGATATTACTAAAAATTATAAGCATACTTATTCTGAGGTATTTAATAATTATAAGAAAACATTTGTACAGGATTCAATGTATCCTTTCATTAATTTTACTAATGATGATATTCGTAAAGAGACAATAGATTTATTGAAATTTTATTGCGAAATATGTGGTGATCATAAGGAGGATTTTGGTTCTTTCCAAAAATTACATGAACATTTAAGGTCCGAGCATAATAAAGCATTATGTATGATTTGTGCAACTCATAAAAACGCATTCCCTTCAGAATTAACAATATTTACCCCGAATCAATTGAGAAATCATCAATCTAAAGGTGAAAGTGATCAAGGTTTTAAAGGTCATCCAATGTGTGCTTTTTGTTCAGGAAGAAGATTTTATTCTGATGATGAATTATATCTTCATATGAGAGAAAAACACGAGAAATGCCATATTTGTGATAAAATTGATCATAATAATCCACAATATTTCAAAGATTATGATCAACTATTTGAACATTTTAAACATTATCATTATATTTGTACAGTACCTTCATGTCTTGAAATGAAATTTGTTGTCTTTAAGGATGAATTAGAGCTACAAGCTCATATTTTACAAGAACATGGTAGCATTATTAAAGGGAAACCTAAATTTTTCCAATCTGAACTTTCTACATTCATTTCTGCCCCTTCAAGAGTCATTAGAGAAGATGGTGGTAATAATGATGTATCTTCGTTGGCTTCATTAGGGTCATCAGCATCATCATCTACAGGAAGGTTAAACTCAAACAGAAACCGTCGCACTGATGATTCTGATTTAATTGCTACACCTGAGATGAGTCAACATAGAATGGAAGAACGTGCCAAATATTATTTGGATAATTCAGAAGAAGGTTACGAAAGGTTTTTAAAATATAATCAAGAATATGACAAAGGTAGATTAACAGCTCTTAATCTATTAGAAAGTTACAGAAATTTATTTACGACTCAACAATCTGATATTTATCTTTTAATTAGAAACTTATCTGAAACTTATCCAAGAAATTCTAACAAATACAGAGAATTAAACAACATTTATTCTGCCAATGAACAACGGATGGAAAGACAAAATACAAATTCAAATTTACCTTCCCTAACTGATGACAGATCTTTCTCAGTTCCTGTCGTGTCAGGTAAATGGGGTAATGCAGGTGCTGTTTCATCCAAGAGTGTGATTAAGAATTTACCATCATTACCTACTTCTAACCATGTTGATCCCTTTGCAAATCCTTACAATATCAGAACCTCTAAACCAGTTAGAAAGAGTACTACAAATATAGCAGCTACATATGGTGGTAATGTCGGAAGCGGTTATAACAATAGAACATCATTAAGTAGCAATAGTGTCAACTTCACCCAATCTTTTGCAGATTCACAAAGATCCGATTCATCATCAAGTAAATCATATGCTAATAATAACAACAACAAGTCGAAAGATAAATTATCTCAATTAAATCTACCATCCTTACCGACACCAAAACCAAGAGTTGTAATTCCACCTGTACACAGGACTATCATTCCAAACCCAAAGAGTTGGGGTAAGAATGATCCACAGCCTAATAGTAGAAGTCAAAGTAATCTTGATGATCCAAATACGTTGGATTTATCTGGTTTAACAGTGAAGCCTGCTAGAGGTGGTAAAGGTAAGAAGAAGGGTAATCAAAAACAATTATTATTCCATATTGGTGTTTAGGTTGAAACTACAATTATTCTTTTCATTGATCTGAACACCAACCACCAACTACTTTTTGTCATTTTTTTTTCATTTTTTTTTTTTAAAAGAAAACAATATATATAATAAATTATCTTTATGATAGTTTGTTTTGATAACTAAACATAAACAGTTTTATAGATTTATAAAAATTAAACTTTTAACAATGAGAATTTAAATAATCTTCATGTATACAATTGTAAACGTATACCTACATGCATTTTCCTTGTATGGCTGAATATTTTATTGAAATGGTACAAAAGAACTGGAATTTTCAAAGTGCGAAACCACCACGAAAAGGATGGACGAGCGACCGAAATGAAAAAAAATAAAGGATAAAATAAAATAGTTAACATACAAAGTGGCAATAACAATAATAATAACAATAATAAGGGGAAAGAGAAACTTGTTGGCGCTAAAGCTACAAAACAAAAATTTTATTCAATACTTGAAAAAAGGCTACAACTTTACTACATATATCGTTCTGATAGAGAAGGTAAGCGATTCAATTGAGTGACAGATATTTAGGGAATTTTTCAAGTTACAAGATTAATTCTTTTTTTCCGGTAAAATGAGTGAAACTTTAACTGTCGATGAACTCTGTAAAAAGTTCGAGGAAGATTTAAAGACTCCATTACCTGCAGAAACTTACAAGTCTGTTATTGATGATTTATTTGAGGAAGCAAAAAATGGAAAAATTACAGCAGATGGTGATAAGATAAGAACACTTGTCGAAAGAGCGACAAAAGATCATTCGGAAACAAGAGAATATTTGACTAAACTTGTCATGGAGGACCCTGCTTTAACATTCAAATTGTTTAAACACGCCGATAATGCAGTTATTTTAGTAAGACTCTTTGATCAAGTAGAAGAAGCAGAACCTTATTTACAACTACTAGAATCGAGAATTAGTACTCAATCGAAAGCAGATTTTAAATTTACCGTACAATCCTTAACAGCATTATATCGTGAGTTTGGCTTCGACATGGTAAATGTGAAAGTTGTCCTAAGACCACTATTGTTAAGAATATTGGATACAGAATCTGTATTTGATATTGCCATGCTTCTTGCACTATTCTTAGATATCTATGAAAAAGAATTTGAAGATGAGTATTGCAAAGTCATGGAAGAATTGATCAATGAAGTGGAGAATGGCTCAGAGGAAGATATTCTTACAAGCGTTGTTTGTTCGTTGAATTATACATATATCACCATGACAGCTGCTTGCACTTTTGTACTAATGACCAAGAAATTAAATAATCTAATAATGGCTAGGGTATCCAAAGGTGACGACGATCAATTTATTTATAGAGTACTAGATTTATTGTCTGCCGCATGTATTGATGAGACTATCAGAGTCTTTATTACTGAAAATTATTTATCAATGTTAGAACAAGCCTTACAAAATGACAAATTTCAACTTCAAAGTGCGTTGGTTTTAATCAAGACATGGTCATTTACCAAGTTGACAAATATCAATATCCAAAAACTTGCAGATATATTGTTAACTTGTTTTTTAAAAAATTCAGAACAAAAAAATAAACAATTAGATGTAGCAATTGAAGGTTTGGCTTATTTAAGTTTGAAGACTTCTGTCAAGATTCTTTTAAGACATACACCTCAATTTATTGATGTCGTGGGAAAAGTAATCGAAACACCTTTTAGTTATGAAAATATTTATGGGGTTCTTATTATGTTAGCCAACATTACATGTTCGCCTACAGATGATAACACAATCAATAAATCAATTAGAAATATATCTGATATTAATGATATGAGGAATCCTGGTCTTTCTAACGATATCAATGAAACAATAATTGAAGATCCAACTGCAGTTACAAAATTCAACAAAGAGTCTCTCCTTGACAACGAGTTATTATCTTGTTTTACCCATTTTTACGAAAATTACACACCAGGTTCTGCTAAGCAATTAATGAGAATAATTTATAATTTAACAAGAACAAAGTCACATATACCAAGATGTGTCGAACAAGGTTCTATTCCTTCCATTTTAGAGTTTGTTCATACTTATAGAGCTGATGGAAAATTTGGTCATGATATTGATTTGGATATGTCCTATATGAGATTATTAGCTATAAGGTCTTTAACTCAAATGTTAATTTATACTGATCCGAATGTCATATTTCATAAAAACTCACCACTAGATGCTATTTCTTGTCTATTTGAATTATTACCGGTTGTTGATACCTCGGATTTAGGAGAAGATAATAATATATTCATGAAATCTAACGAACATATAAAACCCGTTGATAAAGTAGAAGCATTATGGTCGTTAACTAATCTTGCAACAATGAATGGATCAATTGGTGAAGAAATTTGTAAAACTATTGCTACTAATGACGATTATTGGGAATGCATTGAAAATTTATTATTAGATGATACAATGATTATACAAAGATCAGCATTAGAGTTACTTTGTAATTTAATGAGTTATCCAATCCATGTTGCATCAAAGATTTTTAATTTTGAAAACCCTCAAAGTTTACATAATTTCAATATTCTGGTTAAACTAATATTATTAACAGATGTAAAATCACAAAGAGCTGTTGTTGCTGTCTTTGCCAATAGTGCAAATGCGATTCCCTTCATTGCTGGTGAATTATTGAAAAAAGATGAATTAATCAAGAATTGTATGAATATATTTGCTAATCAAATGGATGATGTACCTCTAAGACAGAGATTTATTATGCTGTTCTATGCATTATTTGAAAATGCTCCATCTCAAGGGGAAGAAGCTATGAAAAATTTCCAAAAAATTTTAGAATTTAAGGAATGTGAAAAGTTTACAAAAGCATTACAAGTTGCGCTGACAAGAGCAGACACAGATCCAGAGTTCGGAGATGTCATACCTGCAATTCAAGCTAGATTTCAAAAAAGAGAATGAGTTTGAGTGAATAATTCGCATTTATCATTAATATAAAATCAACATTTCAGTTCCTAATCTATTTGCATTAATTCGATTTAGCACTCCAAAAAAATACAATAAAAAACATACAAATAAACGCTTGTTTCTAAATATATAAATCTATTGTTTGCAAGTATGTAAGAAAAAACGATGCTATTTAATACTTTAGCGTGAATAAGCCTATTTTTTTTATATATGAGATTACAGTACGTTATAAATAAAACTTGACTTCTAACATTGTCAGTTTTCTAGACAAGTTTAATAAATTATGACGGTTCAAACGTCGTGAGTATAATATAGGTGTGACTTTTTTATGACAAATGAAAAAGAAAACACGCTCTTAAAAGAGAAAAGTCAGATGGTTTTGCTGCAATGTGGAGCAACAGCCACCCCCATCCACTTCCCCCACGATATTCTGAGGCTTAGTACTCTCTAAAAAATAATAACTATCTGTTTTATTTTAAGTCCTAAAACTTGAAACTTTTCAAACGACTAAATTAGAAATAGATGAACTGAGTTAGCATAATACCTGTTTAAAAAAACACGTTGTCCTTGTTTGTTACCATTGTTTCTGTATCTGAGCCTCTCGTCCTTATACGACTTCGATGATGATCTCTCTGCGGCAATATTTCAAGAGGGAAGATGACATAAAACAGAAACTTCCGCAGTGCGGGAAAATAAAAACCTCGAGAAAAAAAGGACGAAATCTGTACGTAATAAATTTACTTCCTATCTGCCATTGAAAGGACAAACAAGTGACTGAGACCTTATTAATTTCTTTGGAAATCACAATATGGTAAGAATGGACGTAGTAGGATTGCACAAAATATTTCCTTCTATTATTTTAAACGGTGTCAAATGACCTGTAATTGTGAATACAATAATTGGTATAGGTGATGGGAGGAGAGCTCAATATTGCGCTTGTCAAGCATAGTACATAATGTTCTATTTTGAAATTGTTTTTACGATAGTGATTTATGAAAATCGAGAGGTAAATATTGAATGAGTAGTATAACGCCGTAACGAGGTTATGTTTTTACAGTACTCTCCGATTGATGATTATACTTATTTGTAGGTTGTTCCCTCTGTGTAATTTTAGAATGCCAGTTAATCTCTATTTAGGTAAATGCATATTTATATATTAAGTCTCAACCCTTGGTGAAGGGTACGAGAACTAGCTCTCGGATTATTGTTTGAAATTAGAGACGGAGACTCAATTGAAACAGCAAAAAACATTGAAAAATAGTCTCTCTTTTTTTGAATTGAAACAAAAAAAGGTTATTTTAATTTATTTTTACGAGTAAATTTAGATACTTGGATTGAATCATCCTGTGGGGCAATATATATATAGATATGTACTTGCATGTATACATGTAAAAATTTATTAAAACTGAATGCCTGTCTTATAAAATTATTTTAGTAAGCTGAAAAATAAAGTATTTTTTTTTCAGCTCACCAACTCTTAAATTTAGTAAATCAAATAAAAACATATGTCAGATACGTTGATACAGGAGTACTATTTGGCCTGCCAGAATGGTGATTTGGAGGCACTTACGAGGTTGATAACGACAAATCAGATAGATGTTACTAATGATAGTGATCCTAAGACTGGGATGACAGGTTTACATTGGGCAGCAATGAACAATAGACTCCTGGTATGCGATCTTTTACTAAAAAATGGTGCTGTAATAGATGCAAAAACTCTTAAACAATATAGTTTATCTGAAATGACGCCTTTACACATTGCTACAAAATACAGTTACCTGTACATGGTTCATTATTTGTTAAAACAAAATGCAGATCCTATTGCATTGACCTATACAGGTGCTAATTTATTACACTTAGCTGTAGAAAGTTCGAACGCACTCAATGTGATACACACTATTCTATTCGTTAATGAACCATATAATGTTCCAGTAGATCAACAGGATACTTTTGGGACCACTGCTTTACAAATGGCTATTAAACAGGAAGATATTACTTCGGTGAAGATTTTGTTACAGTATGGCGCTAATCTTACAGTACGCGACACTAAAGAGAGGTCTGCTTTAAAATATGCTGCTTCCAGGCATAATAAAGATATTAACATATTATTATCTAGACATTTGATGAACAAAAATCAAAACACACCCACAATTGATGAAGCGCCAGACCTCGTTGCATTCTATATGGCCTCCAAATATTCAAGGAAAAATGTCATGTTGGCTAAACGTATTACATTCATAGTGCCAACATTTGTGCTATTTATATCCGCAATATTTGGTAGGTACAATGCAATTATTGGATTGATTGTATTTTTTATGCTGGCTAAAATTTCTGATCTAATTCTTTACAAAATTTTGTTACCATTGTACAGTTTTGACAAAAGCCCAAGGAAGGCTTTAACACAATCACCTATTGTATCTGGTTTATTCTTTGCCCTATTGAATTGTATTACTGTCGTATGGTTCGCAAAACTTGAGACTGTCATGGTACAAAGTAACATGTTTGTTGCAATTATATTTCAACTAACTTTGTTGCTGACTTATTATATGTTTATGAAATTACTAATATCGAATCCAGGTAATATACCCAAGGAATCTAATTTTGATATTATTAGAGAAGAAGTTACAACACTGATCCAGCAAGGGAAATTCAACGACTATTATTTCTGTCTTGAGACGTGGTTAAGGAAACCATTAAGAAGTAAATTCTCAGATATATCGCAATGTCAAGTAGCTAGATATGACCATTATTGTTCATGGTTAAATAATGATATTGGCCTGTTGAACCACAAGATATTTATAGTTTTCTTGTTTTTATTAGAAACGTCATTATTATCATTCATATATCTTATGATTGGATATTTCAACCAGATAAATTCATTTTCTATTATCAAAACATTATCTCCTTTCGATTTTACATTTCCAAAGGCTCCAGAAAACCATTCTCTTGGCGCTCTATTTTTGTTATTAATATTCGCTGTCTACGAATCCATATATGTCATGAATGTCATTGTTCAACAAACATACTCTATTTCTAAAGGTTTAACATGTTTCGATATCAAGACACTGTACGAGTTAGAGAAAAATAGTACAGTTCTTTTCTCCAAACCTTTTATCCAAAATGATTATTACAATATTAATTATGATGAACTTACTTTACTAAGTGGCAAGCCAATTATTACAGAGAGTTCTACAAATATCAAGTCAATGGTGGGAAAATCGGTCAGAAGTGTTGGAAATGAATATTCAAAATTGGTTTCAAGGATCACTTCCAGAAGATTATTGGAATCAAGACATCCAATTGGAGGTAAGAGAGACAAATTGATGAAATTTTTTGGATTTAATATGTGGACAGTTGTTCGTCATTGTAATGAAGAAATAGCAGTATATGACGACTGTGAATTACCAAACGAAATATTAGAGCCTACTAGATATGGGACCATCAGGAATATGAAAGATTTCTGGTTGACTGCTAAGTTAGATAGTAATATTTTTAAAAGGTTACTCACCTCGAATAAGGACTCAATAGCTCTATTGAATGGTTTACCAGTTGATTACCATCACCTATGGAAGCTGCCGATTAAGGATAATAGCTCGTTACAGACAGAGGGAATAGACTCGGGGTTGAGGCTCGTTTGAAACTTAAATAAATAGATCTATGTGTATATATCATAAAGTAGACTTTTCATATTCTGTAAAATTGATCATATTCTTTTCTTATGGGGCTTATAACCCTCAATACAATACGCGTCTTCGCGTTTCGTTTTATTTACATTTTGAAATTTTCACTTTTGTACTACTCAAACTGTCTTCAAGGCAAAATTAGAACGATATAAATAAAGATCAAACTTAGAATTTCTCGAGCTAATTGAACTATATATTTTATTCTGTGAGTTTTTAACAACACAGAATAGGTATATTAGAACAAAATAATATAGCATATCCCTTTTACATACTTTTTATAATGGGTATTCAAGGATTGTTACCACAATTAAAGCCTATTCAAAATCCAGTTACACTCCGAAGATATGAAGGTCAAACTTTGGGGATAGATGGGTATGCTTGGTTACATAAAGCTGCGTATTCATGTGCATATGAATTGGTGATGGGGGAACCTACAGAAAGATATCTTAACTTTTTTATTAAAAGATTTGCATTATTAAAAGCATTTAATATTCAACCATATTTAGTATTTGATGGTGATGGTGTACCTGTGAAAAAAGGAACTGAAATAAAGAGAAGAGAGAAGAGAATAGAAAATAAAGAAATAGCGCAACGGTTATGGAAATCAGGTGAAAAGAAAAATGCAATGGATTTTTTCCAAAAATGTGTTGATATTACACCATCAATGGCAAAATGTGTCATAGACTATTGTAATACAAATAACATCAAATATGTTGTTGCCCCGTTCGAAGCTGATCCACAGATGGTATATCTAGAAAATAAAGGACTTATTCATGGTATTATTTCTGAGGATTCAGATTTACTTGTTTTTGGCTGTCGAAGATTAATCACGAAATTGAATGATTTTGGTGAATGCATTGAGATTTGCCGAGATGATTTCAATAAACTTCCTAATAAATTTCCCCTGGGTCAACTTAATGATGAAGAGATGCGAACAATGGTATGCTTATCTGGTTGTGATTACACAGATGGTATTCCGAAGGTAGGTCTTGTGACTGCAATGAAACTTGTGAGTAGAATGAGGGACATCAAACGAATTGTCCTCCATATTCAGAGGGAAGGTAAATTGAAGGTTCCACGCGATTTTTTAAAAGAATATGAACGTGCATCATACGGGTTTTTATATCAACGAGTGTTTTGTCCCTTGACCAAACGAATTGTCAGTTTCCATGATATCCCAGAATCCTTATCTGCATCTCAAACTCACAGGGAGACGATCTCTACTTGTATTGGCTCTGTAATTAACAAAAAAACACAACAGAAAATGGTTTTATTTGATGAGAATGAGATTGATCATCGTATTCACCTAAAGCAGGCAATGGGTGAATTGGACCCCTACAATTTCATGAAGCCATTGATTAGTCGAGAAAGAGTTCTGCAATTAACTTCAAAATCAGAAATGGTCATTAGAAATGACAAGTTGCCGTTAAATGATACTAGCAATATTAAAAGAAAAAGACCAACGGTTAAGTCAATCGACTCTTTCTTTAAGACAAATAATATAGCTTCAATAACTAAAAATTTTAAAACTGAATCACATAGTGTGAGTAGCTATAATCTTGGAATGGCATTAATTCCGAAATATGTTGATAAACAGGTTGAAACAGTAAAAAAGAGAAAACTTATTAAGCCGGATGATGAAAACATTCAAATCACAGATTCCATTCAATCAACAAGTAAGTTTTTCAGTAAAAGGAATAACAGTAAGCAGAAATTGATGCAGAGTACACAATCAGACTCTGAACCGGTACCAACAATCAACTCTGAATTAAATTCGAGTCGTGCAAGTACCATAGTAGATGAACAGCCCCAATTTGATACTCCGAATGATGGATATACTAGTGATATCGCTGAATCAGAAATCTCTACGGATATTCCAAGTTCATTCCCCCTCAATAATAGAATTAATGAAATCGAATCACATGTTGTGACAAAGAATTATACCTCACCAATAGATGTTTCTGAGGATAAAAACATTAAAAATAATTCTTTTACAGATTTTGTGAACTCTAGAGAGAATTCTATTAAAACAAGGGGTATATTTAGAAGTGTTACAAGGAGTTCGAGTGAATTACATTCTTCAGAGAGAGATACAGAAGAACTCTATAATAATGATATATCTGATAAAGAAAACTCTCAACCAAAAAGGCTAATTGGAGCATTATCAGTGAAAATATCTAGTAAATCTGGAGTATATCAGACAAGACAACAAAAACAAGTATCGTCAACAGATGAAAAAAATCATGTTTCTAATGTTAATTGCACCTCAAGCAGTTTCTTAGCTCTACAATCGTTCAAATATTCTGCTGTTAAGGAACAATCGATGAAAAGGAATCCATTAAAATCGTATGATATTAATCAAAAACCTATTCCAACAAGAACTTTAAAAGCAAATACATCTATTAACGAACAAAGTAGAAAAATATCAGTATCTCTAAATCAGAAAGGTTTTGATGAAAGTGATGAAATTCGTAGAGATTATGAAAGTCTTAAAAGAAGAAATAAGGATTCTGAAAGAAATGTTCAAAATATTGATATTGAGCATACTGGTTCTGATAATATCGGAACAATAGAACGTAAACAAAATAGTATTCATGTTAAAATCAATCGTAGAAGTGCCACTATAGAATCAGGCTTGGATGCTTCTGCACCCTTAAAAAGATCCGTCTCATTACTTTCTCAATTTAGATACAAAGGGAAATAAATAAAAAAGGAGCAATAATATTATCCAACTATTTTTTAAAAATGATTCTTACAAACATTGTGTGTTTGGTTATTGTATAATATAAAATGAAATTTATTCGTGTTTAACGAAATATCCATTATGCACACTAGATCTGAGAATAGTAGTTTAATTTTCCAATTAAAGAAGGGGTTTCTTTTATATTTTTTTTTACATAATGAAAAATAGTTTTACGATGTTTATTGTTCATTTTTTTTTTATAGATTGGGTGATAATTAAGTTTTTTTAACAGAAATTTGAGTCTATAATATGAAATGAAATAGTTTAAGATATCCTTTTTTAATTTATCTTTACATTGTAGTTTAAATTGGTTGCCCACAATTATTTCTATATGAAATGAAAGTGTTGTGATCTTGTATTGTTTTGTTATTTTGAACGAACAAAAATAAGATAATGTAAGATCTTTACTTGAATAAAGGTTGATCGTTTTTTTCTCTTTTGAGTTATAAGTTGTGTTAGATAAAAAAAAATTTTCTAGCACTTCATATGAACAGAAAATGCGACATGTTACTTTTCCTTTTTTATTTCATTGTTCTAATAAAACAAGATTCGATATTTCCTAAAGTACTTGCATTTATTGTATACTATGCTTAAGTTCGGTAGGTACTACTTATTAAACGTGTTTAAGATTAATATACGACTTATTACTTAAATTGATGATAATGTTAACAAAATAAACAGAAGTCTGGGTTGTAGAGTGTGTCAACAATCGACTTAACATACAAAAGACCACGTGGAATTTCATTGAATTCTGTAAATTTTATAACACTGAACTTTGTTCTTCTACAATTAATAAGATGGGAGGTAATTTTTGTTTTCTCTTACCATTACAGAGAATGTCACACCAAATCAATTGACAAGGATAGTTTGAGTAACTTAACGATTCCTATTTTTCTTAAAATTTCCTGATTGGTTAATGATAATTAATGTTGTAGCTGTGATATTGTTTCTTTTTGGCTCTTGGGTTTATATCCGATTAGTCGTTCGGTTATGAACGGGAAGAGCCAACGCGGATTATTATACAATATTACTATTATTAGTGATTCTCATCGGGGAAAATTTATTTTCACACATAAAATTATGGCATCTTGCCGAAATAGGTTTTGTTCTATGCATTAAAAGAAAAAGCCCACAGAAAGAAAAAGTTTTTAAAGAAACAGGTTCACAGAGGGGTTAATTAAAGAAGGCGGATATATATCTACACTACTGCAGATCATACATATTACAGACAGTCAACAAACCTAGAAGAAACCAATGTGCACAGAAGCGGGGTCTACGATGATTCCTTTTACTTTTCCAGAGTCACTTATTTGGGAAATTACGTATTTTCTTTGTTGCACCCAAGTCTAAAGAATATATGCTTCCCGAGAGGGTCTTAATATTTTTACGGGAACTATCGTAATAATACTGTCGGTAGTGTACTCTTTCCGATTTTTCGTTCAACCAAGTTACTACTGACATTTCATAATCTAAAGAAATAAAGCTGAGGAACTATGTCAGTAGTGACTATGTCAGTAAAAGGAAGTCAAATTTTTGTTTTCATGAGAGACTTCGCGTAGTTAACTACCACTACCCTCTTAAGAAAAAAGTTTAGCCATTCGATGTCTCACTACCTATTGTGAAGACAGTAGAACTCTCCTTGCAGAATGTTAATAGTTTTTAAAAAAAATTAACGGTGTTATGGAAGAAATTTTGTACGCATCTGCACGGTCCTAGATTCGTTCAAACATGTGTATATTAAGTAATATCTACCACAGATATGATGAGAGGAATATTAAAGAACGGAGAAAGCTTGTTTAAATCCATTTCTGCGGGGAACAGTATTAAAGTTTTCTTTGAAAATGCGCGTGGATGAGTACTGTACAGTGCCCCCTTAGGGAATTTCTTCTGTGTATCAATAACTTTAAAAGGCTAATAAGAAAAGAGAGGGGTGACAATTCTCGAAGAAACGCGAATGTCAGAAACGTTAAAACAATTGACCATGTGCTCTCGAAGAAGAAATAATAAAAATGAATTCATTATGTTAATTTCATGAAATATTAAGCTACAAAAATTTGATCGTCACCAACAAAAGATCGCACGCGGTCTCTTATTGTTTGTTGTCAAAGAAAGAAGAAGAAATTTATGAAATAATAAGACTTTCCTATTGTTTTTGAAGAAAAAAATATTTTGCCCAAAACGCTGACACACCTGGGTTATCTATTATACGAACATGTTCACATTCACAGTAATTGTAATATTAATAGAACTAGCTGCTTTGATTTTTTATTGTTTCCACTTTGTTAAACAATTTTTGTAATAAAATTTTGTGTACGTCTGTTTGCTTTCGCGACGTAGATCATTTGTATATGATAATCAGGGAAGAAGTACAGTACAGTGATAGCGTACTATGATTCTCACACTTTTCTTTTTCTTTTATTTATTATAATATCATTTCTTTAAGGGTTTCTTTCCCTGTCCTTTTCTGTGTCATTATATTATATTGTTTAAAATATGAATGTATTTAGGTAGTGCCTCTTTATTTACCAACATAAGAGAGTTAAATTCTTCTATGTTAATAAATTATTGTTTATTTCTACATTTCTTCTTTAATCGTTTTTTTTTATTTAACTTATGTACTTAGTTACTGGTTATAGGTACTGACTTTATCGAAATAAAAGAAAAAAAGAGAATTAAACTGATCCATTGATAAGTTAATATTTGTGCTTAAATTTTGTAGAAGCGTAAATTCGTTTTTAATTTATTTTATTATTTTAAAATTTTCTGTTCTTCCCCTTGGAAACACCCAAGATATTGTAGAGATTCGACGATTTTACTGTAAATAATTATTTTTTTTTTCTTCCTCTTTCAATAAAAGAAAGGTTTGAGTTTTTTTTTTTTTCTTTTTCACAACAATGACGTTTTTTAGTGACTTCTTCTCAAATTTCTATTAAATAGACACACAAGGCAGGATGTAGTTGAAACTGTCTTGTACCTAGTTTTCAAGTCATTTTTGTTATTGTTTTTATTTTATTGCACTAACGGTTCTACGACTTATCGCATCTCGGGAAGAAAACTTTACTCTGGTCTTTCTATCTCTCTTTGTTGTAATAATAATTGTTTATACAGACATTTTTGCTGCCTAGGTGTGGTACTTTCGTAGAGGGGTACCCCTTCTTTCAGTACGTTTTTGGTATTTGTTGTTTATCACTAATATATACATTAGTTTCTATTCTAATACAAATTCATCTATGCATTTATTTCTTTAATGTTCTTCGTTATTGTCAGACATGCCAAACCTATTATATTCTAATGTAAAAGAGACTAGTATTTCTATCCCGATCCTTGTTCAATGCATTCTTCTTTTCCGATTTAATATTTGAGTAAGGAGAGAAATGATAAACTTAAAACATCTAAACTATTTCAATTTCCATTTATTAAAGTATTCGAGAATTATTATACAATACCTATATTCTACGAACTACTAAAAAACCCAAAAACCGGATATTTGAAAAAAGGTATATATATAACTTAATTTGAAGGTAATAAATTATAAAACCTTTTCTTATTTTTAGTGTGTCTTTTTTTTGTTTAGAGTCGTTTCGATTGAATATTCTTTTATCTCGAAAACAATTTATTTTAACTGCTGCTACTTGACTTTTTCGGTATTATTATATTTAAAAGCATAATAAGTTATTCAATTTTGATACATATTTTGATTAAGATTATCCCAATTTTATTTGCAGAATAACAACATCCAATAATACAAACTTTAACATACTAATAATAATTAATATTTCTTAAATGTACCAAAATTTTAATCAAGCTTCAAGCGACACAGCAAATATGAATATGAATGAAGATCAATTTCTTCATTTCTTCGAGAGAGTGATTACAGAGAGTGATTCACAACAAAATATTCTACTTTGTAATGATGATTCCCTCATTAATGAGCAATCACAACAATTTTCAAAACAAAACTCAAAAAGCATGCGTTTCAATTCAGTGGGTCAATCACAATTTCAAATTAATAGCAATAATAACTCTACTCCACAGGTACAAAAGTTCGGTAATATGGACATTAATTATGGAATCGAAAATAACAATAATAACATTAATCTAATTAGTAATAATAATATGTTGGTACAACAACTAACACCTTCTTCTTCATCCTCATCTGCATCATCGAATTCTTCAGTACCATCGATGTCAAACACTAATAATACAGTAACCATCGACTCTAATATATTAAGTGCACTCAATAGAGGTACGACAGTAGATAATGGTGAATCTAATATAGAAGAAAGTGATCCCACGTTAATATTAAAGGGAAACACCGATATTTCAAATGGTAAAAGTTTACCCTCGTTAATTTCTAAATTGTCACCCTCCATAACACCAGTATCAGACCCCGAAAGTAAAGAAGAACGAGATGCTGAGTCAACCAGTTTTACTGATGTCTCTCTTCCAATCGTTAAGATTAATAGCAATCATAAAGTTGGGAAAGTTAAGAAAAGAAAGAAGAAAACTTCTCATAATGTTATCGAAAAAAAATACAGACTTAATATCAACGACAAAATTTCTCAACTTAGAGATATCGTTCCAACAATTAGTGTCACTTATAAAGAATTTTTAAAGGTCCCAATCGAGCAGCAAGATATCATCAATTTGGATGGTTTAGAACCAACTCATAAATTAAACAAGGGTAGCATTTTGAACAAAACTATCGAATATATTAAACATTTACAAAAACGTTGCGATGAGTACAGAGTCAGAAATGACTTATTGGAAAAATATTTTGTCAATTATCCTCAAGCCCAGCAAACAAACAGTATTCTGAATGAAAATTCATATGTCAAAAGAGAATATGAGAATACATATCAATGAGAACCATTTACGGTTCCCAATATTCTTGAACCACTACTTTGATTTCTTTTAAAAAAAACAGTTTTTAATATGTATCATCTGTTTTTTTATCTGGTTTATATATGCATATATTGGTTATTTAATATATATTAAATTATTATGGTTAAAAATCCGACTTATTCCACAAACTGTGATGAAATTTTCTTTTAAACTTGCAGTTTTTCTCAAATGCTGTATGATATATAAATTATTACGGAACTAATACAATGTTTGAAGTTAAAGTTTGATCCTCCCTTTTAAGAAAAAAAATGGTATATTAATATTAGTATGACTTTTTATATATGCAATTATATGAAGGTGGTTGTTTATGTTGTATGGAGTTGTTATTTATTGTAAAATTTGTTAATCCATATGAACATGACTATTTGATCGTGTTCTGGAAAACATGCTGTTTGAGCTCACATTTTGGTCGTAATAATAAATTACATTTCGTGTTAATTCGGTCTCTATAGATTGTGTGTCCTCACCATCTTCGTAGGATGTACTAAAACTAGTAATACCATCTCGAACTGTATCCGTTTTCCCTCCCGAATTACCTTTAGCTATAGGCAAAAGCTCATTAGATGGTTGCTTTAAACCATCCGTGGAGACCGTTAGTTTGTGGTTAAAACATTTGATTGCGTCTCTGATGGAATGTCTCTTTTCAGTTTCATGTTTTCGTAGTGTTTTCTTACTCCTTACTCTGTTGTCTTTCAATCTGTTAATTTTAGATTTCCAAGTAGAAAATGGATATTTTAATCTAATTGGTTTTTGTATTTTATTGTTATTAGGCAGGGCTTGGTTTGGGCGGTTCTTATCGATCAACGAAGTTGCATCAGACGCAAATGAGTCTCTAGATCTTCTTGGGAGAGTTGATGAAATTACACTCATTTCATTGGAAAAATCAAAGAAAAATGGGTCTGCATTGTCTATTTTTCTCCCCAGAATTGTATTTTTGTTTAACGCAATTTCTCTTTTCTCAAAAGATCCAATTAGACCCCAAACATTCACTGTGATTAAAAGGTTCAAAAGGTAAACAAAGTTAAATCTCCATCTTGATAAATGAACATTTTTAGTAGTGAAGTAAATGGTGCAAAAATATGTTAAGATGAATGACACGATATTGTAAATCAAAATCGGTATCATTTTGTAATAATCCCTCCATAAAACTTTGACCTTATTCCTTAGTGTAAGTTTGACCTTTCTTTTCACTCTTTGTCTTATTAGTACATTACCAAAATTGCACCAAATATAGATAAAAGTCAAACATAGGAAAACTGAGTATATTAAACATTCAACAGTTTTGTACAGAGCTCTTACACCAGATAGATTTTTCACCCATAATAAAATCCCAAAGGGTATATTACCCAGTAACAGTAAAATAATGCCAGCAGAAATAATGAACCTATTTCTATTGTTTAAGAAAGAAGGAAGCCATGAATAAAAAGTGTCATGTTCCTCCAATGAATCATCAGACATGTTCGTTGTAGTACCATCTTTTTCGTTATATGTGGCATTAAAGTTGGAAGGAGAGTTAGTTTTCATAATGATGGTATTTCTGCGGTAATATTTATCATCTTTATGGAACATATAGTAAACAATGTAAATCCAATTAATATGACCTGCTAGATGGATTAGTAATTCACAACATTTATATCCATTGGAATTTAAAATCTTCATCTCATAGAATACTACATCTTGAATGTTTAAGTTATATTGTGGGATGAACACATTATTAATGGTTACGTGCATGTATATTGTTTGAATAATGACATACAGAAGCACATATAGTGTTACAGGTATGGTTCTAATACGGCTATCAGAAGGTAATAATAAAATGACTAATAAAATCATATATGAACTAACACAAGAGGTAGTTTGTAAGAATAAAATCATTACCAAACTATGGTTAAAGGATGTCTTGAATAAGAATCGGTCGGTATTATTAATAACTCTCTTTTGTTGACTAGGAATTGTTTGTTTTAAATGGTGTCTATTACGATGTTTCTTAGTAGAATTCGGGGTTAAACTTATTTTATAATCTAAGTCTAATGCTATGTTTCTTAAAAAATCAGAGGCTGGGCTAGAAAAATTTGAAGCTAATGCATCATAGGTTACATTAGTGGTAGAGTTGAAAAATGTATCATTACATCTGATTAGAAGTGTTGGTGTACTCAATGAAATGTTTTTAATATAAAGTGGTGAAGTCAAATTATTCCTAAATATCAAATTCAAATAACCACTAGATAATAAATGTGCATAGCAATAATTGGAATATGGTTCTAAAATATTATCCACTATATATTTGGACAATAAAATTGTATCATTATGATGATGTCTATGATTATGAGGATTTTTTTTCTTTTGTGGACCATGGTTAAAAGTTTTCCGTTTTGACCTTGAACCGTTTTTATAACCTAAATAATCTATCGGAAATTGAGGTGAGTAGTATATATGAGTCTTTTTAGAATGTGTATTTCCAACCACCGGGTTCACCGAACTATTTATAGTAGAGTTGTCATTATTGTTACTATTATTATCATTGTAATTGTTGTTGTTTTTATTACTCCCACTATTAGCTATTTGGCCGACCTCGTGCTTCGGACCAGCACCAGGTTTCCCTCCTCCTGGTGGTGGTGGTGGTGGTGGTGGTTCCAATCCATGAGGTGACGGAGGAGGTCCTCCAAATAAATTCATGCCCTCATTATTTTTTCGAGATCCACGTATATCTGGTGGTCCAATTTTGGCCATATGAGGTGGCTCTAATAGACTACCTCGCCTTCGTAACGGTTGCAAATATGCTGAAGCACATAGATTTGAAATATATAAAAGATAGCAGACGAGCCGTATCGTTATCATATTTTTTTTCTTATTAGTTTTGTTTATTTGTATTGAATGTATGTTGTGTATATGCTTTCGTTTTCAAATAATGAGAATTAAACTTTGGATGTAAATCTGGATGTTTTTCGTTTTATGTTGTGTTGTTAAAGTGTGGACTACACTCTCGTTACTATAAATAAGCAACACTAAAATATATAATATATTGAGCCAATCGGTTAAGCAGTAGAAAAGTACAACGTTTAGATAACACAAGGTTAATCCATATGTTGATATATAGCTTTTTGTTAAGTTTGGTCTGGAAAAGGAGTACAGGAGTTAATTATTTTATAAATTGATTATAATTTTCAACCTCAATAAAATTCCGCGTGTACGGTGCTAGAATTTGATTGCTGAAATTTACATTGTTGTTCTTGGCAAAAAGCAAAAAAAAATCAAAATTTAAGTGACGCAAGTAGTAACAGTCGATGAACTAAGAGAAATGAGTCGGATATATTCTTATATATGTATATGTATTGCGTTGTAGAGTGGGGTTGGAGGGATATCCGTATTATAAAACTAGAAGAAACTATATTACGCACAATAGTTCTAGTGTTTTTTGGTTTCCCAACCGAACGTTTCAAGAGAAAGTCTCGAAAAGCATGGCAGTGCTTATTGGAACCATTTGTGACTATAATTTATCTGTGTAGTGTATTCCACTGCTGTATATAGATGTTCTAGCCATGTAGTGTATATAATCCCCATTCGATAAACTCTTCGAGAAATGAAAAACAGATACAGATCAAGTGTATGGTTATTTATATATGCAGTTGTTAGAATATAACAGTATTATATAAAATGCTGAAGTGAAATTGGTCAATATCGTCATACACAGATTTATGGTTTAGATATCTATATACACAGTCATTGGTATTGTTTCGCCAGGTTTAAATAATAACTTGTACAGAACACACACAGACACATACCACCAGCGTATTCCTTTCTGTACACCACCATCTGTAGTCTATTGCACCAAACAACCGTTTGCATTTCATCATCCCATTGAACGTATGTAGTAAAGGTGCAGAAAGTAATTTTTTTCAGTGAACTTTCCGTTGTCAATGTGAGCGAAGCGAAAACTCGCGAAACGGTTTTTGATTCTCGAGGGATTTTTCGTGAAATTTTTTTTTTTGCAGGAATCTGGATGACAATGCTCAATAAGGCCCTAGAGGCACGTAGAGTTTTAGTATTGTTGTTTTTCCTGTCAAGATGTAAACAGAGGTCTCAGGATATGTATATGTACGTGCCTCTTCCCAGATCTTGCTTGTGAAGATTTGTTATGATTTCGCAATGAAAATAAATCATTTATATATAGAAAAGATAATACGTAATAAAATATCTTGAAACTTTTTCTTATGTTATTCTTTAACTAATTACGAGCATCAATATATGTATATATATATATACTAATAATATTCAGAAGAATAAAGTAAAATGTATACCAGTAACTTAGTTACATTTCTATTTGCGATTCTATGGGTGTTTGTACCTCATGTGTTTGCATTAACTGATATTGAATATAGTGTATTACAAAAGAGATTCGATAGTTATTATTCTAACAATAATACTAATGAAAATATATCTGTTAGAGGGATTACAGTAGGTGGATGGTTGGTCACTGAACCATATATTACACCTTCTTTATATAACCATGCTACACAAATGATGTCCAATTCAACACATAATACTACACTTTATAATGTCTTCAATAGTAGTATTATTGATGAATATACACTATGTAAAGCATTAGGTTATGATAATGCAAAAAGTTTATTAGAAGAACATTTTCAAACATGGATAACAGAAACCGATTTTGAACAAATTGCCGCAGATGGATTTAATTTAGTTAGAATTCCAATTGGTTATTGGGCATGGAAGCAAAACCATACAATTAATGAATATATTGACGGAATTACCTTTGAAGATCCATATGTTGGTGAAGGTTTACAACTTTATTATTTAAATCAAGCGATTGGATGGGCAGAAAAGTATGGATTAAATGTTTGGATTGATTTACATGGAGCGCCAGGTTCCCAGAATGGATTTGATAATTCAGGTCAAAGAAACTTTTATGATGATCTTGGCTGGTTGAATGATTATTCTACTACTAATTTAACAATGTCAGTTTGGTCAAAAATGTTTGATACATTTTTAAATTCAAGTGATTCAATTGTTGGAATAGAAGTAATGAATGAACCATTAAGTAGTAAGATTGATATATGGAATATTACACAAGCTTATTATAATGCATTTAATCTATTTCAAGAGAGAGAAGATCCAAATAAGAATATTACATTTATTATTCATGATGCATTTGAAGGTAATGGATATTGGAACTTAGAATTTAATCCGCAATACCGAAATGTTAGTGATCAATATGAAAATACTCAAAATTTAAATAAAACATATTATAATTCACAACAAATTTTAATTGATCATCATCATTATGAAGTGTTTACAGATTGGCAATTAGCAAATAATCAATTTAATAGATTAATGGATGTTATAAATTTTGGTGAATCAATTAATAAAGAATTACCATATCATCCAGCTGTTGTTGGTGAATGGTCTGGTGCTATAACAGATTGTGCCACATGGTTAAATGGTGTTGGAGTTGGATCACGTTATGATGGATCATATTACAATACAACAAGATATTCAACGGATGATTTACCAGTTGGGAAATGTTATTCACAAAATCCAATAGAGCAATGGAATGAAACTTATAAGAGAGATGTAAGACAATTTATTGAAGCACAGATTGCTACGTATGACAAACAAACTACGGGATGGATCTTTTGGAATTGGAAGACAGAAGATGCTTACGAATGGGATTATAAACAATTAAAAGAAGCTGAATTATTTCCATCGCCATTAACAAATTTTACTTATTTTAATAAGAATAATGGTAAAATGAATGCAGATGTAAGTTCTTCATTATCAAGAGAAGCGTATCCAATAACTTCTTCATCATCGTCGTCGTCGATAGTATCATCTGGAACAAGTTCCAAAAATTCTAAAAATATTGGATCTGGACCACTTTACAATCATTACTCAACGAATAATAATCCTATTTGGTCTCTTCAAGGTGCGAAATGGCTCTCTAATGTGACTGTATTATTATTAAGTATAGTAATTGCAGCTCATATCTTATAGAAGAGAGTGGTAGATATAGAAAACTGCCAAGAGAAAAGAAAACAGAGTCGAAAATACAAAAGTAAATTATGATAAATGACTCTTACTTTTCTTCCACGGAATTAGATATTTAAATAGAATTTTGCCTATGTATTAAATAATATAATAAAAGAGGACTGTCCAATAAGAGATAAAAAAAAAAATCCGATATATTAATATCATTCAGAATTAACTGTATACGTTTTTTAAAGTTTTATTCAAACTTATCTACGATACAAATTAGTTATTAATTTAAGGTTAGTAATTTCATAACAAACATATCGGTTAAAATTTCCCATTTAAGTGATATATGTATATATCAAGTATTCACTGTTACCGCAATTTCACTCTCTCCTATCTACGTCATGCCTCAATTTTATTGGAGGGTATACCTCGCAAATTGAAACAACGATAAAACAAAATAAATAAACGTGCATTTAGTATGTATGACTACATTTCATATTTGTGGTTATACATATATTCAATGTAAGAAAGTAAGAAACCAAACAGGCAACTAATAATAAACATACGTAACTGTTACATATTACATATCAATAATTTGTACTTCGTTTTCTGTACCTCAGCCTCTTTGTATTGTTGAATAATAAAGTTCCAGATTTTAAATTTAATAAAAGACAGAGAACTGGAGTTCCCTTGGGGGTTTAAAGAGCACGGCGGTAGAGACCAGAAAAAAAAAATTCTTTTTTAAGAGCCGATTAATTTCCTATTATTTAACATTGATAATCGGAGTAAAACAATGAAAAAAAAAAATCTATCAAAGTCAAACATACAAAGCCCTTTCCCAGGCAAATAATAAGGACCAACGGAGATTAGAAAGAAAGAAAAAACTGGATTACTTCCAACTCCGTATATTTTACCAAGTTTTGAAGAAAATATATCAATTCCTCCTCTTCCCCGCAACTCGGAATTTGCCAAAAAAAAAAATGAATTCAAGTCACCGAGATAGAACACAGGGGGAGAGGAGAGCACAAGCAGGAATCGTGCCGTCAAGATGACGACACGACTGCTAACCTCTATGTAATTTTCACTGTGGTGTCAGAGACTGCGGCAGAACAAGGGTTTGACCATTCGTAAATTGTCGACGTAATTCGGCTGAAAACCGGATCGAGACGGAACTTTTATTTCACATTTGTAACTGAAGATTCACCTGTAGGAACAGCAAAACCCCTCGGCAAAAGAAACGACCGAAAATATATATATATTTTCGTCTACGTTTTCTCCTCCCCCGTCATCGCATTGCTACTGGTTTTCCACCCTGAAATTGTAAATTTGGAATTCTTTGAGAAACAGACGCAGGAACCTTCCCTTGTGTTCACCCTCATTCTGCCCCCCCCCAATCAAATCAAAGAAGAGAAATTGTGTGCCACCGAAGCAGAAAACCATCTCATCGCAAATTGTGGAAAGTGCCAAGTTAAGCTGTCTTCTAAATTAAGCCGCCCCATCCATTGTCAAAACAGCATTTGCTAAGATTGTGAGCCAAGTTTTCTGCAGATCCCTCTCTCCCCATGCTATTCTTAGAGTGGCTTTGATTTTGTAAAGATTTCAACATTGTTAATATAATCTTTGTTTCGGTTTCTCCCTTCTACGGCTGTTGTAGTAGCAGAAAAGGCTCTTCAATTAGAAATTTTGGTGATGATGATTATCACGGAATTTAATTATAATTTCGGCCACCTTTTAACTAATAATAGGTAAACTCGGTAGAACTACTCCGCATTGGTTAAATAATAAAGAGTATGTGTGTGTGGCTTCATGCTATGGGGAATCTAACTTCGAGAAGTAAAATCTCCACACTTTAAATCAATCTGAAGAATGAATTCTAGATTTAAAATTATGTTTTCTTATTATTTTCTTGGTATTCTTGCCCTCTTTCTCCAGTGGTAACTCTTTCACTCCTCTTAGGAACTTAATTTCGTAATGACAATTACCTTTTTTTATATTATCATTATTAGCTTAATAGATTATTGGAAGAGTACTTAAAGGAAGATTATTTATCATATTTTCAAAGTTATTTATTTCTTCTTTTCCCTCAACTTACATTTTTTTGTTTTTTTTTGTTTTTATTATATATTATACATAATAAAATCACTATCAATACAACAAATTATAATTATACTAATAATAATAACATCCCTTCACACTAACAAAACAATATAATGAACTCATACATAATGACAAATCAACCAATAATCTTTAAAGATTCACAACAATCAAATAAAGATAATTTAAAATTAATTCAACCATTGGTCAATAATAATAATAATAACACTAATAATCAAATTAAATATTCAAATGTTCCAATGACAAGAAGAAATTACACTTATATGGCTAACGTGAACGTTCCATCCGTAACTCATATTATTGCACCAGCAAATCAACCACATTTACCAACTTTTAATAATAATGGTAACTACATTTCAACAAAATTACCAAGAGTATTACCACCACCAAATACTTCATACTATACTTCAACTGTTCATCAGAATAATAATAATAATAACATCACTCCAATTACCTCTTCTTCTTCTTCTTCAGGAAATAGTGATGTTGGTACTCCAAATATAATTCAAAGAAGAAAATCTCTACTTTCTGGAAATGATTCCTCTTCTTCTCCTGTTTATAACGGTGATTCAATTTCACCATCTTTACCACCTTTTAAATCATTTGATTCTACAAGAAGACATTCTGTAAGTTTGGCTGTATTAGATGATCCAATTCAACAATTGAGACAATCTCAACAACAACAGCAATCAACTATGGGTGTAATTGTAAAAGATGAAAATAATAATTTAATTGTTCCTTTAGTCCAAATGCAACAAGAAAGACTTTCTGTACCAAATATTAAAACAGAAAGTGAAATACTTTTACCAAATGACATTGCTCTTCATAATGTTGGTGAAAGATATAATGATAAAGGTGAATTGATTGGTAGATCAGGTAAAGTTTTGCGTGATACAAAGAGAGCCGCTCAAAATCGTTGTGCTCAAAAAGCATTTAGAATACGTCGTGAAAAATATATTAAAAATTTAGAAATTAAGTCAAAACAATTTGATGGTATTGCAAGTGAAAATTCAAAATTAAAATCAAGAATTGAAGAACTTGAAAAATTATTACAAAATTCAAATTGAAAAAGGGAAAACTTTTATATCTTTCCCTTTTTTTTTCTTTGATTATGTCGTACTTCACATCTCATCTCATATTCTTAATGCATTTCCCATAAACTTAATAATAATAATAACCATAATAATAATTTTTTTTAAACCATTTTATCTTTTTTTTGTTTGTTTGTAATATTATACTCATATTCATATTTCTTATTTTGCTAATCATCTGTCTAAAAAAATAAAGGGACACATTAAATAATTAATAAACATTGTTCATATTTTTTTTTTGAAAAATTATGTATAAAAAAGAATCCTTTCACAAGTACCTTACTGTAAATAATTTTTTTATATGATAATCGAATATTACGGAAAAACCTAAATATATTTCTTTTATTTAAATTTATACAATATACATAATATTTATGTTGTTTTAATGGGGTGTAGGGAAAACACTATTCATAATATTTATCTTCTACCAGTTTGAATAATACCAGCAGCAATTAGAGTTTGAATCTTCTTAAAGACTTCTGGATTCTTCATGTGTTCTTGTAATGCAGCTGGGTCAGATTGAGCTTGGCTTAAGATACTTTGAATAACTGGATCTTGCATAATTCTTTGAACTTCCGGATCCTTCATTGCTCTTTGATATACTTGTTCTGGAGTTTCATTACCTTCAGCAGGTTGGAATCTTTGAGAACTTGCTTTATAATATAGTTGATCAATTTCTTTTGTATTAGCACCGTTGTTAGTTGCTGCATCCTTAGTTCTAGCTTCATCTAAAGTTTCTAATGCGGCTGAAAATTCTTTAACAGCAATTTGGGCATTTGCCTTTCTAATGTATGCTCTAATGAAATTAGGATCCTTTTTAATGGCTTTGTCACAATCTTCAATGGCAGATGGGAAAGACATCAATTTAGCTAAAGCAGCAGCTCTGTTAGAGTAACCTCTAGCATCTTCTGGAGCTCTCTTAATCATTTCTGTGTAAGCTTCAACAGCCTTTGGCCAGTCAGCCTTAGTGAAATATTCTTTACCTTGTAAACGAGCCTCTTCAGCCTTTTCCGGGCTAATGTATTCATCAGCTTCTTTAGTCTTTAGTTCTTTTTCAGTAGTTCTTAATTTAGTTAGAATATCGGCAGTTCTATGTTCAGTTAAAGATTTTTGGTAAAATTCAATGGCTTTATGTAAATCATTTAGTTTGTAATATGAGTTACCCATACGAGCAAAAGATTTAGCAATGATTTTATAATCAGCTCTTAGATCTCTACCTTGCTCAACAGCTTCATTTAAGGTATTGATAGCTGTTTCATAATCACCTTTTTCGAATTCTGCAGCTGAACGATTATTCAAATAGGTTATATCTTTATGTAGTTCCCAAGCTTTGTTATATTTGGCAATAGCTTCATCGAATTCATGAGCTTTGTATGCTTTGTTACCTTCAGCTTTAGCTAAATCAGCTTCAGCTTTACTCTTGTCCTCTTCATCAACTTCCATTGGTTCTGGTTCCTGGGTTGTTGGTTCATTAACTGGTTCAGAAGTTTGTTTAGCTTCAGGTTCCTTTGGAGTTTCATTAGAAGTAGTAGACTCATTAGTTGTTGGTTCCTTTGGCATAGAATTTGAGTTAGATAAATCAGGCATATTTAAATCAACGCCCATTAAAGTAGCCATAATTGTCATCAATCTTGGATCAGAGAATAAATCAGTACCGATGGCTTGTGGATTAGCTTTGTAATTGATTAATTTTGCCACTAAAGTTGGGTCTTTCATCAATTCCGCAGTCTTTGGATTTTTCTTTAAGTTTTCAATCAAATTTGGATCAGCAAACAATTTTGAAAGACCCATATCTGGTTGAGAAGATCTAGATTCTTGTGTACGACGAACTTGATCAAGACCATCTTGAGCTGCTTTATTGTTAGCATCTAATTCTAGAGCCTTCTTGTAGGCAGCTTCAGCTTCATCCAAGTTTCCTAAACCAAAATGAGCAGCACCTTTTCTGTTGTAACCCTTGGACCAAGTTGGATTAATCTTAGTACATTCTTCGGCATCCTTTAAGGCTTCAGCAAATTTTTTCATAGATGAATAAGTAGCAGATCTATTAGAATAAAGAACATGGTTAGGAGTCTCAGAAACCTCAATGGCCTTAGTGAATAAATCAATGGCATTATCATATTCTTTAGCTGAGAAAGCAGCGTTACCTTGTTGTTTGTATTCGTCAGCAGAAAGAGACATAATTTTGTTTGTAATTTTAATTGATGATATCTATTAGGTTACAAAGGACTTTTGTGTTTTAAGCTTGATTCTGTACTACAAATAAAATTAGATACCTCATTAATAAATAAGGAGTTCCAGTAGCATATTAGTTCATGGAATGGTTCTGTGCTTATATAAGTTATATCCAGATGTGCCTCTCTTGCCCCCCTCCCTCTGCGTCCAGGTCGGTCTGGCACTTGAACTTCACACTGTGCAGAAAGAAACAGAGAAGAAGAAAAACAGCTTCAAGCGCCGAAGGTCCTCTCAATTCAAATTGAAAATTTAGAAATATTTTCAATATTTTTCTAGAAAATTCTATATGGAACAGCTTTGGTCACTGTGTACGATGAGACAGGGCGTGCACTCTTTAATGGATGCGAAGTGTGTCACATAACCAATGGAAGTGTTTACAAGAGTTGAGGTGGATATCGTAGTTTGTAGAAAGTACCATGTTGATTGGGTTTTTGTATTGCACAGATATTGGGTGTTTTTTCATGATGGGTTATGTAATTTATAGATCTGACTGGTTGTGGGCGTCAGTATTCCAGCCAATGTTACGGTTAAGTGTGAATCGTCACGATGATATGTGTTGCATGTGTAAGTCGATTTCGTACAATATGGTAGTCAATTTTTAATTCTTGAGGAGATAATAATTTGTTTATCATATTTTGGACTAGCTAATTATTATTTTTTAAAACTTCGCATTCGATGGAATCTTCTAATTCTAGACATAAACAATAAATAAACAAACTTCAGAAAAAAAAAATACGTCATGATTCTTGTTTACTTAACTAAGTACGTTATAAATGAACTACATATATGCTACTCGGTTGTAACTCTATATTACTATCGATGGTTGCATTACTTTTAAATGAATCATCCGAAGTGGCAACATAAAATAAACCCTTATCACAGACAAGTTTTACTACACTGGTTGAATTAAATTTAGGAAATTGTTTCAATTTCCTTCTTGTGTCTAAATTCCAATATGAGACTGCCCCATCAGATCCACCAGTTAGAATTTTAGAAGTTCCTGGACAAAATGCTAACGTATTGACAGGAAACACAAATTGTGTATCTTTCAAATTTAATCTGTGACATCGGAATGCAAATTGTTTATCTGGCTCTGTGAGGTACTCCACTGCAACCCGTCCATCTATACTACTTATAACATAACCATCAGTCATAGGTAACAATTTAACATCTCGTATTTGATATTTTAATGCTGATGCAATTGAAGTCCCTTCATCATATTCTTGTAATGGAAATTCGAATAATCGAAGTTTATGCCCAGTTTCAACTATTATTAATCGCTTTGAATTACAATCAGCTGTTAATATTTTACAGTCTTCTTTCAATTGTATCCGTATGTCTATCTTACCCTGATGAACATCTACTACTGAGATTGACCCATCCCACGATACACATATTAAGGAATTCTTTAAACGTTGATCTTCATAAACAAATATTTTACACAACGCTAATGTAGAGATATCTTCACCTGTTATTAAAACGGGTGTGAATGAATCCATAATTATATCGTATCTAAGTAATTGTCCTTGTACTGTACCAACATAAATTTCAGAATTGAGAACACAGCAACATAATAAAGGCATTTCGTATTTTATTCTTTTGAACAAACTAGGTATATTCTCCCTTCCTGAAGTCTCTGAGTTTGTCTTATAAATGGATAGTGTACCATCCCATGCTGTTACCAACAGGCAGGAACCAGCTTCTGGAAGTTCACAGAGGATCAGATCACTAATGTAATCATCCGGAGTGTTTGGTATCAATATTCCATCATTTTCGTCTATATTTTTACTCATAATAATATGTATAAATATATAAATTAATAGATAATGATTTATGCAAAATTCATTCGAATAAAGAATTATCTGATCTCTATATTTCTTTGTAGTAAACGGTTTCCCTTTCAATGATTATCAATGCACATTTGTATGTTTTGATTTGAGAAAACGCGCCTTTTGACTTAAAGGCGAACTTCTGCCAAATAAAAACAATATATATATATATATATATTTCGAAAGTTGGGAGAATAAAAGAACATGTTATTGATCAAATTCAGATAGTTAAATTGTTAGTGATATATGAAAGATAAATAAAACGAAAATATGCATTAATGAGTGGTATAATGAAATAAAAAAAATTCCAATATACTATGTTCTTATTTATTTATATATATAGACATGCAAGTGTACTCTGAGCAACAGAGCTTAAGCTAAGATGTTGTTGTAAGTGTAGTATTTTCTTTCTTAAAATACATTTCTGCTTTCAATTTCAGCACTTGATCATCATCACTTTCACTATCGCTAACAATAGCTTCTTTAAGTTGGAGTTTAGCTTTCTTAACTGCTGATTTACTACTACTTGGAGGTAACAATTTTCTTTTCAAACTTCGAAGTGATTCATGTTTTATTAGGTCTTTTTCTTCTCCTTCTCCTTCTGATGATGATGATGAATCAGAAAGACCTGATTGTGAAATTTTTAAAAGTTTCTCTCCTCTTGTTGGAGTTGTTGGCGGCGTGCTCAAACTTTGTTGTTCTTGTTGTTTTCTCTTCTCTAATAATTTTTTCTTTCTCAATTCACTTGCTTCTCTTTTCAATTGCCTTAATTTATCTACTTCCTTTTGAGATTTGAAGAAATCAGGTTCTTGATTATTCAAAAATGTAACCCATTTATCACAATCTTCCCATATTTGATAATCGATACAACCATTCCATGTCGAATCACCTACACTAGATTTATTAATTAAGATAACTAAACCACCACGCTCATGTACTTGTTTACTCACCTGTTTGACAACTTTTTTGACACCATCAACTTTTAAACTGGTCCCCATAATAATGAAAAAATCTGGTTTACCTCTCAAAATATCAAGATTTAAACCTTGCGATATAATATCACCAGATGGATGATTTTCACCATAAAGGACAATATTTGGTCTTAACATACCATTGTGATCAATGACACGTTTACCTTGTTCAGACCTTCTCAATTGAATAGCTTCACAATGGGGACAAACTGGTAATTCACCTCTTCTAAAGGATCTTGCCCAATATCTATTCCAGTTAAAGACATGAAAGCATCTTGTACATGACAATTTATTCAAATCACCATGTAATTGAACTACATCATAATTTTTCCATTTAGCATTACTGAAAGAAGTGCATGAATTGCTACGAATTAAAGTTCTTTGTAAATCTTCTCTTTTCAAAAAATCTTCTTCAGGTTGTTCACTAGATAATTCTAAACCTAAAGTTTCCTCAAGACCATCAATGTTTTGTGTATAACAACGTAATAATCTACCTCTATCTTTCAAATGTGCAATGAATTTATGAGTCTTTGTAGGTTTAGCCAATTTACAGCTTGAATATAATTTCTCCATGAATGTAGCCCACACGGATATTTTTAATTCATCTCTAAATAAAGAAATGTCAAACATTTCTTTACCGGAACCTAAAGATACATTTGGATGCTCTTTTTTCACCAAATTATAAAGACCATCAGATGATCTGAAATCAGGGATACCAGCATTGCATGAGATACCTGCTCCTGTCAATACTAATACTTTACGAGATTTACTTAAAGCTTTATTAATATTCAATATCGTTTCATCTTCTGAATTCAATTGTAAAATATGATGCAATTTTTTTGTTTGTAAAGATTCACTTGTAATATTATTTGTCGATTTTGAACGGGCTGCTTTACTCGGCACATTTTTTGCCGAACTAGTATCCGATTTTTTATCTGTGTTTTTACGTATCTTGTTCATAGAAAGAGCCTCCTCATCAAAAGATGCAGCTCTTTGGTCGCTGGTTAACAACTTGATCTGTTTATGTTCCAGCTTAACTCTTCTGCTCATTGTTATTATAATTTAAAAGTTTTTAGTCAAAAAATTAAAACTAAAGTAAACAAAAAGTTAAAATATGGAAATGATAGGATTTCTACTTGTAGATTTTAATATCTTGGTAATGCAATTATTAATTTAAGGATATATTATTTTTTTATATTTTATTGTTTAAAAAAAAAAAAAAAATTCGTCAGTTCGAAAATATAAGTAAAAAAATCGTTTAAATATGTCTACTCGTCTATTTCTCCAACAGATAATATCCTCTATATTTAATCAGTCGTATGTGTATTGTTTAGTTATTAGATCCCTATTAACAAATAAATATTTAATATGTTTCTAATTAATGTCAATTCTTGCATCGTTATATATATATATATATATATATAATTGATGAAATAAAATTAAAGGATCCCAGCCAATTCAATCGGTCGTGCAAGAACGTCGTTATTTACGACTTGCATGCACTCTTGTCCTCCGTTATTTTCTTCGCGTCTTTCCATTATTTTTTTTTATTGTATTTTATTGCCAAAACGGGAATTATGGCATTTTTACTATTTTCGTATTGATATTTTGCCCGAAAGGGGAAAAACAAATGGTTAGTGGAACAAGGCAAGACACGAAATAGTGTGTCCCTTCTATCCCATATATAAATACCAGCCATGACAATTTCTTAAACAGAATAAGGTATGAAAGATATGTAAATAATACGTTTTAATATATACCAATAACGGATGTATCAGGGATATAAATATCATTTTCCAGCGTCTTTTAGACTAGATATCTTTAGATATATTTATATACATATGTAGTAATTATTGTGGTCCTAGACTGAATGGGCAGATCTGTCAAACTCTATGTAGTGAGGTCCTCTTGTGATGAATCGGTACTTACTTGATTTTCCCTCACCAGTTCATTTATTAATTTGGTAGACAAATTTAAGAATGGATATGCTGAAAATGTACTAACTTTCTCGTCTTTTGCAATGGATTCTGCACTCGGTGTAGCCTCTCTACGAATTTGTCCATTCGAATCAGTAGCTTCATTGGTCTCCCATCCATCAAATTTTAAATCAACCAAATAATAGTTTGGTGAAGTTTGGAATAACTGAACGACAACTTTCATTCTTTCAGGAATTACATTTAATGTATCAACATTTTCTTGATTCATTTGCCCATCCCATTTCCATAGCACTCTAATTGTCCACAATTCTCTCTCTGTTGTTCTTATCCATTGAGCACCAAGTCGTTTCAATGCTGTATAGACTTCTCCCATAACAACTAATGGATAAGAATGAGATCTTATTCCGAAATGCCACCTGGTTTTACTAGTCGGAGTTAACATTGGTGTAATGACTCCTGCACCAGGGAATCCTTCAGCAAACATATTTACACGATGAATTTGAGGTAGTGATGTTGGTAAAATCGTAATTGTGGATTCATTTGTATCCAACGGAGTTCCTTCAGTATCATTATATGTCCGTTGCTGTTTCATCATACCTTGTTTCATTGAACCTGTCATGGGATCACAAGGTTCACCAGATGCTGTAGTCAAATGATATTGAGAATCCTTGTTCCTATGATAAGTGGTCATTTGTTGAGCGGCCATTGTATCAATCACTTCTCCACTCTTGTTATTAATTAAAGAGATATCAGAATCTGATCTAACTAATCTTAAATCCTTTAAGATATCTTTATTTTCCTTCATTAATAGATATGCATCTCTGATTTCCAGTAAACCTGGATCAGTAGTCTCTGTTTCTAAAGATTCATAAATTTCATCAATTCCATAACCCATAGTATTAGCTAATGCCGTTACTAATTCTTCATCTATATTTTCTTCACCACTTCTTATGGATGCAGTAAGACTATTTGTATCACTATCACCATTAAGACTCTCATTTTCATCTTCTCTTAAATCTTGAGGCACTAAATATAATGGAATATCTTTTTTAAACCATTCATCTTGCATAATTTCTTGGATTGAAATTCTTCCTAATGGATTTACAATAAGCATTCTTTTAATTAAAGACGCTGCACCAGGAGATAAAAAATTTGGTAATGCATAAATCCCATTATTAATATTTTTGAATAATTTTGGTAAACTTTCATCATCAAATGGTAATCTATGACATAATAGGACATAAAGGATAACACCACAGGACCAAACATCAACTTCTGGACCTGCATATAATTTCCCACCAATAATTTCAGGTGCAGCATAATTTGGTGAACCACATGATGTCTTTAAAAAATTCCCATCGGTCATTATATTAGATAATCCAAAATCTGTAATCTTTACACGATAATGTTTATCTAATAAAAGGTTTTCTGGTTTAAGATCTCTATGAACTACTTTATGTCTATGACAATATTCTACAGCAGATATAATCTCTTGAAAAAAATGACGAGCTTCATCTTCTGAGAGTCTTCCATGTTGAGTAATATATTCAAATAATTCATGTTGTGCATATTCTAATACAATAATAATTTCATCATTTGATTTAATCACATCATATAATTTAATAATATGTGGATGTCTTAACAATCTTAAATAAGAAATTTCTCTTTCAATACGACCTTGCATATCTCTACGAGAAAGAATTTTTTTATTAATTATTTTTAATGCAACTTTTTGACCTGAAGTAATATGATAAGCAAGTTTTACTTTCCCAAAGGAACCTGTCCCTAGAGTTTTCACAATTTGATAACTTCCAAATCTAGTCCCGTCTGCAAGTCTTGGTAAAGGTCTCTTAATATAATTATTATTTGCAACTGGGGCAGTATGATGACCTGACATAAGTCGATTTTTTCCTGATGGTACATAACGATCTCTATTAGATATTGTACGTGCTTGTTGTGCAGCCGACACAAATGGAGGTCTCTGACCGACCACTGTGGGAGCAGAGGTCATTAATGAATTTCTACCGGGTGTCATATCCATATCTTGTTCATTGCGATTCTGATGATGACGGTGATGGTGATGGTGATGGTGGTGATGTTTGTGTTTATGTCTTGAGGCAGGACTACCTGAGACTGTTCGTAATTGTTCTAGTGTTTCTCTTGAACTATCCCCGCTCATGGTAATATCAAATTATCCAACCTAGTATTAACGAACTCTAGATATGTCTGAATATGTTATCAAAGTTTTCAATACCTTTGTATTCTCACCTCAAGAGTTCTTTTAACCTTTATCGGTACTTATGGTAGCCTTCTTTGCCTTTTCTTTTCTGGCTTTGCTTTTTTTTTTTCACTCTGCTTACATTATCATCAAACTGGGGAAAAGCGTAATTCCGGATGTTTTTTCCGTATTTGGAAAAGAGAGATGATGATGATGATGTGAAGGTGCCTAATGCAAGAAGTTGAACAAAGGGAACAGCAACTGCTGCTCAGTTTATTGAATGTGTGTTTTGATCATTGTTACCAATCGGATTGCTATTCATATATATTCACTTTACAATATAAATAAATATGAAAATGAGGCCAGATTACGACTGGTCATCATGAGGTTGAAGACGTGCTAGCTTTAATTCAATGAGCAGCTAGCAAAGTCGACGACATTACAGTTTATCAAAAGGTCAGCATCAATAGTCGTCCTAGATTAGATGAAATGTAATTTCAATAATATCAATTTGTCAACGGTGAAGAATCCTTACTTGATTGTGAAGTGTAAGAGTGGCGGTGCGTCGTTGAGGGGTGGATATGTGAGATGGGCGATTCTCGCGGAGAAACTGCCGTGCCGGCGACGGATCATCTTCGACTGGGGGAGGCACACACAGACACACACACAAAGAGAGGGGAGGGGAGGGAGGAGGCTGGTAAAGAATATCAGCCTGAGAAGAACAAGAACAAGAAGATTGAGATGTGGGTTCCCTTAAATGACATTCGAAGATGGATAACCTTTAATAAATAAAGAAGAAGCTGAAAGTAGAATGTAACCTTGTGTGTCTTATTTTTTTTTTCATCTAGATACTACATTTGAAATTGTTATAAGGATGGTCTAGAGATTTCAAAGAAACGGTACAAGAAAAGTTGTGTTAATCAATACAGATATTTACTAATATCGAATCATACTACTGCACTATAAAAAAATGACAAAAGTTTCTGCTAGTGCTAGCGATAATAACAAAACATGTTATAAAAGACTAAGGATAGAAGTTGATCCCAGGATTTGGGAAGAGAGGCATGGACTTTACACAACAGGTGTATCGTTTGATACAGTACCTACAATGTTGATTGAATCTGTTTATGATAGAGACGATTATGATTTTAAAGGTATTAATTTCCCATTTACTACGGATTCAAAAAATCATCGTATATTGACTGCTACTGATATGAATATTTTATCAACAATGAATAGTGAGGGAGAACCATTTTTTAAAGATCACGGTTTTCGTACCGCTAGAGATCCTTATCATGGCGTAAATTTTGAAGATATTTTTGTGAGAACCCCAGCTGGGAAAATTATTAGAAGAGATTATCCAAGCCATACGGCAATTGATAATGACGCTTTGTTAGTGAATAGATTACATTGTTCATATTATCAATTATGTGACACATATAAACAAAAATTATTAGAAAGGGTAAATAATTCACCTTCAAAATATTTTTTATATCCTGATTTACTCTTTTTACAAAATTATATCGGCATGGAAATGACTACAACACCAACAACGACTTTAGAGTCATCGAATTTAAAGTCTGCTTTCTCACCGAACTCAAAGAAAGGAAAACATTTGGAGTACAATAAAAAAAGACACAAGAAAGAAGTATTATCGATGAAATATTGTAATAAACCAACACAGAGAACGTTATTATGCCACATTGATGGAAGAAGGCACACTTGGGTAGCTTTAGATTATATGTTACAAATATTATCACAACCAATGGATCACTTAGTCATAGTCACGAATTTACCTGCAATTAGAGATAATGAATCCCTATACAAAAGGAAACGAACTTTTCAAAACGAAAATCAATGGGCCCCTGGTTATACACGTCAAGATATTGATGATACTGTTAATAATTTACAAGATTATATTACTTTGCTGATACCTCCAACAAGACCCGTTAAAATTACTATTGAGGTAGTTACAGGTAAGACATTACCCATTCTAGTTGATGCAATAGGGGTATATCATCCGGATTTGATTATAAGAGCAACCTTGAAACATGAGAGAACGAAATCATTGGTCGGTTGGAAGACATATAATTTAAATGATACTTTAACAGGAAGATACCCAGTTCCAATTTGTCTTGTCCCAGTGAAGAGAATGTCATATTTTGAATTACAATTACAACATCAGTTTGAATTCCAGACTGACCAATCAACTATTCGATATAAAAAGAAACCATTTGAAATATCACTCTCTAAAGGTGTCTTCGATGGAAACGATTCATCAATGGATTCATTAATAAAATCCTGTTCAAAATTGGAAGTATCTAATAAAAATAAACATGATATAATTACCTCAAAAATTAGCCATACCGATGAAGAAAATGATGAAATTGCAATATCTAGTGCAGACTCAAAGTCATTCAATTCTAGTGAGTTGGACAGCAATAACATTGAATATGATTCCTCATTTAATGACCTTCTCAATTTAGTGAAGCGAAATAAAACTCAACTAATTTCAAAACTTCAAACAATCAACGATGACAATAAAATTAGTGAAATGGATAAAAAGATTTTAAAATTGGATACAATTGTTGAAAAATCTACTCAATTAGCTATTGATATAGATAATTCATTTACTGCAAATAATGATAGTTACATAGAAAATTTGAAAAAAGTTTTAACCGGTGGGCATGATATGACAAAAGCAAAATCAATGACTGAAGAATATGGTGGTTCTGGTCGTCGTCATTCCCACCCTCAGCAGACAGGTGACAAACTACATTTTTCCAATTCGACAAAGACAACAGATGGTACCCATGGACTTGGTAACTTAAGTAATCATTCAGGATTGGATTCTAATAAAATCAAAAGACTATCATTACCAGAAGAGACTCTCAGGAAAACCCACAGCGCTGGTGGGTTGAGAAAACAAAAATCGAATGATTCCTCCAGGAGCCAACGATCCACGAGATCCAGTGGATCTTTCGGTTCTAAAAAAGGAATAAAAAAGAAATCTAGTGGGTTTTTTTCGTTTATGAAATCGTCATCTTCTGGTGCAGGTAAGGCTGAAAACGGAAGACGTTCATCTGTTGAAAGTCAAAACAGTGGGAACGACGAAATTGATACCAGGAAAAAGTATAAAATGTTTGGTTTTAGCAAGTTCTAACCCAAAAAATAAAAGCATATATATTTAATTGTTCAGAAACGTTACATATATTTATTAAGTAAAATAATTTGTGAATGCATACTTAATAATTCTCCAAATTCTTTTCTTTATTAAAATTATATAAAACAGCTCTTTCTCATTTCATTAAAGTAATGTTATGCAGCTCCTGAGGTACGGTATGTAAAAAGAGAGTGAAATATTATTTTCACTGATAAATCTCCTACTTGCTTAATATAACTAAACCTTTGCAATAAGTTCATCCTCTTATAAAAGCCCATTAGGCTTAAGCAATACTACCCTATAATGTTTAATTCTATTCGAAGTCCGCGAAATTTGGACGAGAAAAATATTATTCATATTTAGGGGGCAGCATAGAGATAGTCATCGATTTTCCAAGAAAAACCTTTTAGCAAACACAATGAAAGCAATATAAACATTGAGCATAATAAATCCCTGTTACATAAGTAGAGTATCTGTGCACATCAACATTTTTACTCATCAAGAAACAGAAGAGTAAACTTTCAAGTTTTAATAATGGGAGCCGCATACAGAATTTTTGGGAAGACATTTCAACCACATCAACTAGCTATAGCTACGCTGCTTACTGTTGGGATAGTGGGCTTTACAATGACTAGAAAAGGAGGTAAGTCTACTATTGATCCAAATATTCAACTACAACCGCAGAGGGGTGTATCTGGGTCTCAAAAATCCGATAATGATGATATCAACGTTGAAAAGTTACTCACCGAACTAATTGAAGAAAATGATGAAACTGTCAACTGAAATAGTTAAGGGTCTAACATATATATATATATATATTCATTAAATAATTTGGTTTTTTTCTCTAAAAAAATAAGAGGTATAAAATCTTATATAATCAGTAGTTGTTTAAAATTTATTACATACATTATTACTATATGGTAGGAATGAATACTATTTTCATATCTCAAACCTTTTTCATAACAAGTTCTTCAGCCCTTTGATGGTTCTTAAGTAGTTCCAACATAACAAATCCTGCAATATCGGTTTCTTCAAAATACGATACGTGGGATTTTAGAGCAGATATTACATCTACCTCTAAAAGGTTCGGTTTAAGTGCATAATCTATCCTTCCGCTGTGGTTCAGAGAAGTTAACACATTCAAGAGCTCACCAGTGACTCTTACCTCTTTATTTTTTTTGGAAATTTTTTCTACTTCATTATCATTTTCTGCAATGGTGTTCATACCTGGAAATTGTTTTCCCGTGGGTAAGCCATCCCAAAGGTTCCCACTCATTTCAATCATTTTAGTAGTGAACCCATCCAATTCTGACCAATGTGGTAAATATGCTTGTTCAAATTGTGATAGTTTAGTATCGATTAAAGGTTCAATTCTATATGCGACAGGATCGCAGGTGTGGTATAAATTGTAAAACTCCTCACAGTTAGGTCTATTTACTCTCAAGGTAGATTGTGGTTTAGGACCCTTCTTAGGACCAATTTTTGTTCTTTCAACAAGCTTGAGTAAGCCAACAGGTGACCCTATCCCAAAGAAATGTGATACATTAAATTTCAATTTATAATGCCTATGTTGAGAAATCATGTCAAACAAAATAAGACTTCCTAATGAATGCCCTATCAAGTGTACCCTCCCATTAAAATCTGGGTTCTTTTTCATAAATAGAGTATATGTATCATTTAATTCTTTCATTACAGTGTCCAGGATAAGTTTCTTGTAGTATGTTTCGCCATACAACAAAACATCAAGTGCAACATCTCCCATTAATTTTCGTAAAGGAAGAATTCCTGAAACTGTAATATCTGCTAACGCTGGTATTTCAGGATTAGCTATATCATCTTCTATTGGATCTGTCTTAAATTTAATCGAATGTCTCCATGTTATTGGAAGGACCTGAATACCTGGGTTAGTCTCCCAATCAATGTTCCCCTTTTCTTTATTTAGCTCTTTCAATTGATCTGACTCCGAATACAATGTCTTGATATTTGACCTCAACAAGTTAACGGTATGAGCAAAATTAACATATTCATATTTTTTACCTAATGTTTGACCAATCCCATGAACACATAATACCAGATCTTTAATTTTTCTCTTCCTGTTTGTTGGGTTCCCATTTAATCGAACTTGCTTCATGTAATCTTTGTCTATATTAAGATTAGACGAATTCTTGTCTGATCCAGTGGTGCTAAATATAGCTGGTATGTTTTCAAACAAATCCCAATTAGTTAAATTGGATAACACGGAAGGTTCTTCTTTTGTCGTTTCTTCCATACGTTTATGATCATGATCATGCACACTATTATCTGTACTCAATGATGTGACTAATATTTTATCAATATTTTTTAAGCCAACAGGCTTCTTTTCTCCTCTATAAACGGCAATACCATTTATAGGGATATATGAACCTAGTCCTGACTTCAAATAATTAAGAAATAATTTTCCACCATCTAAATTTTTAAGAATAAACCCTGCATTACTGTTTTCGTCGCTAAATAGTACATACTTACCTTCATTATAAGTGCCTTGTAATTTCTGAACTTCATCTTTATTAACTGACAAAGTTTCCAATTCGGAACAAAGATGAGGTGCCAAGGGAGTTCCATTAGAATTAAACCATAATCCTCTTCGTACCTCATACGTGGGCCCATGCCAATAAGTCGGTTTGATAGTAAATGTATCAAGATTCACAGTATATAGGTTATCTTCTCCAACTTGAATACTCGCAGATTTACTTTCCCCTTTGGAAGTTATCTTCGACAAACGAGCCCTGTACCTTTTTTCTAATTCACCAGAATCCTGCTTTGATAACTTGTCAAACTTCTGAGGCCCGGATGGTGGTTCATAATTAGGCTCGTATGGCTTCGTACACGGTATATCTGTTGCGTAATACCATTGAGTGTTAAGTCTTCTCACACTACCTTTCAATAGAATATTTATTTTTAACATGTCCCTTTATTTAAATGATATTCATATGTAGTGTATTATTTAAGGAAAAAAAAACTAATTTACTATGCTATGTCATAATTTAAGCATATGTATTAGCAATTTTGCCTGTGAGTATTTATATAGTCCTTATTTCTGTTTATAATAATAACTAGTCTTTTCCTCTGTATGTTATTTATATAGATCATCAACTTCTTAAAGGATATTTCCAACGGATTTTGTTCGTTTTCTTCGATGCCGAAATTATTGTTTTTGTTTTTTACGTAATAAAAATTGTTGAGATGAACAGATCTCAGTTTTCGTGGTTGAATGGGAAGACTCAATTGTTGTTGAAAAGTGGAAACAGGACAAGCCACCTTGTAGGTTCTCACAATCTAATTGTCAATTCTGGAACATGCTCATAGTATATGTTATTCATTTTTAAAAGAGGTTCCGTTTCCTCTTTTTAGAAGGATTATATCAAACCTCCGAGTATTTTTATTTGTTTCTGTTTTTACTTTTGTTATTATCTACTGGTCTGACGAAGATTTGATCTCAACCTTAAATTATAATGTCCGGAGCTTCTTTCATCCCCCAGAGGAGGAATATCATTTTGCTCAAATTTATTTACATGGCTAGCGTCAGCATTTCTTAGTCTTCTGGTTATATCATTATCCTCGACTATTGAGTCTCTTGTAACTTTACTACGTAATCTGTTATGCATATCATCAATTGGCTGTTCTACCATATTTACTTTTCTTAAGTTTCTTACTCTAGTTGACCGTGGTGGTGATTTATTTTCTAGTAAATGAGCTGGTGTGGTTGATTCCAGGTCTGATGCAATAGGCGATGATGCAGGTGAAAATGATGATTCTTTGTTCTCACCTTCCATGTCACTATTATTATCATAATCTGATCCGTCAGAATCATTTTTTGGAATTCCATCGCTAACGTAATCTTCATCCTTTGAAGGATCATCTTGGACAATTTTTTCCTCTTCTTCTGATTCTTCATCAGCGTCGCTAGGTTGATCCAAAATTACTTGAAGATCTTTTCTTGATTCATCAACCATATTAACTAGTTCATCGAGATCATTTTGTTTGTATAATGTTTTAAGGTGAGTTACTTCCATTTTTTTAGGTGGTTCAATTTGAACTTGTTTCTTTTCTATTTTTTTCCCCTTTTCTATACTTAGATGATCAGTTAGATGAGCGATTTTAGATGAACCCATTTTAGGCGCTGTATCCATTGTGGGTATTGCAATATTATATGGTAAATAATCTTTATTTGGATCAAGATTCAGTTTTTTAAATTTGGTTAAAATTTCAGAATCCTGTTTATCATCTGGTAATAATTTCTGATTGAAAAGAACAGTTAAAGGTTGGCTTGAATATGTTTTATGATGTTTTAAACGAGTATGGTTAACAATACCTTGTGCAGAAGTAAAATTGGCACGATTGCAAAAACTGCAAGTTATAATTACTAGTATACCGTCGTATCTTCTAAATATTGGTTCATTTGCTTCTGTTTGACCAATTATCCCACTATTATTTGATAAACACGAAGTTGAATATACTCTTCTATGATGAGTATTCATTTGATTAGGAGTGAATTTATATATTTCGAATCCATTTTTCTTAGTAGTCTTTTTACCACTTTTTGGGACACTCTTATTTGAATCTTGTATATCTGTTATCTTTTGACGTTTACTTGATCTTTCATTTAATATAGAATCATCTTCAGGTTCAAATAATTCGGTATCTAAAAGATTTCCATGACTTTTACTTCTTGTTTGATAATGATGTTTAGGTATATGTATAGAACCACTCATATTGAATTGTAAAGATCTTGATGGGAATACATGATCTTGCCATTTTTCTTGTAGACTTCTTGCATGTAATATTTTTTTATTTATTTCAATCTTTTCTTGTTTATATTTATCAATTTTCTCAAATAGTGATTTATCATTGTGTAAATGTTTTATTAAATCCATTTGAGCATTAATTTTATTAATTTCATCCTTAATATTATCCATTTCTTTATGTGATAAAAGACAATGTAAATTTACTATATCTAGTAATTCACTCTTAATGGAATTATATTTTAATCTTTCAATATCTTCACTATCTCTTGTCATCAAAGAGTCTCTTCTTCCTTCTCTAGTATCCAAAGGAATATAATCAGATCTAAAACAATCTGTCATGAGATCATCGTGATCATCAGTCGATGACAGTGTAATTAAATCATGAGGCGATTTTGGTGTTGCCACTTGATAATTTCCTGCACTTGATTTATTACTATTAATATTATTATTTTCGCAAGATATCATCGAATGTGGAATAGTGTCTTGAAAAGTGTGGTTGTTATCTGTGGTAGTATCCTTACTAATAGTAGACGATGTCATGATGTTTTAATTAAATAAAATAAATAAAAAAAAGAATGGTAAACTGTTAGTCCTGTGATTGTTTTGCTTTTAAGTTCTTTTAATTTTAAAGAAAATGAGTGTATTTAATCTGAACTTTGTTGTTTGTTAAATATATGTTTCAGAATCAACATACACACTTCATTTGTACCTTCACTAAATCAAAGAGAAAGATTATTATCTTTAATGGTTTCTATTAGTTCAGTTATATTTTTGTAAAAACAATATAGTATTTCAAAAATGATAAAGAGCTATTAAAATAACTGAAATATCACTTAGATGTGTGTGAAACTATACAGTTCGTTAAAAAAAGGCTTGTTAGATTGTAATAAAACTGGTGGCAAAAAAAAATTAGTTTAATGTTTCTGCTTATTATATTGAAAACAAAAAAAAAAAAAAAAAATAGTGTGTGTATGTTTTCAGCTTTTGGGTACCCTTTCCATCTGTAGAATATAGAAGTTTAATTAAAGAAAGAGAAAAAAATAAATAAATAAATAATATGTATTTTAAGTTTCTGTTCGCCTTTGCAACTTTTCGCTGCGGGCTTTGTGTGTGCGTAACATTCGCTTATTTAATAACAACGAAGAGAATTGTCAGTAGCAATAAAACAATTGAAAATGCATAGCTGGATGGATTGATAGAATGAGGGCCAACAACGAACACTTTTCCAGAGGGCAAGGCAGAAGTGATGGAACCAAGAACTGTAAGCAGAGAGAGAGACAGAGAGGTTTGTTATGTTGGTTTGTCTTGTATTTATTCTCTGATGGATTTTATGTATGAGAATAGAGTCGTTATAAAATAACATGAACTGAATGGTACTGGATATTGCAAAGAGACCAGAGGGAAGCAAACAGTTTTATATTAACTCATCAGTATGATTTGTTATTTGTACCTTTTTTTTTTTGAAACAAAAAGGAACATGATTAACTTTTCAGATAATGGCGTTTGACAAGCATATATCTTAATTTCAATTACAATTTATTATTGCATGGAAAAAATGCAACAACGATATCAGAGAAATGTGCTGTATCATATTTGTATTTGTTCTTTGAGAGTTCTTTTTGCTTTTTCATTCATCGCTGTTGTTATACGTTGCGTTACCGCCACTAGACATGTAAATTATTGAATCACTACGATCAGTAGATTGGTCAGTGATTGAAAGTATATTTTGTTCAGTGTTTGAATTTAAGATTTGTGGTTGATTGTCCTTAGATAAGTGAGAATCGTTTTGTTCATCGATGCATATTTTTACAACCTGTGTTGGTTTATATGATTGATATAATGTTGATCGTTGATATTCAACTGGTTTCATTAATAATGGAGAATCTTTAATACTATTAACATCCCAATTTTTAAATGGTTCTGGAGCTTGATGTAAAGTATAACGATAATTTGTTGAATTTATAATCTGGTTCTTACCCTCTGAATCATCAATGCTTTTTTTAACTTCATTCTGTTTTGATGAGTTGTTAGAGATAGGTGTAGAGGTCGAATTTGGTGGTTGATCAAAATCTTCAAATTTTAAAGAACGATCTCTTTGTTTTTTGTTTTTTTTACTTGAAATGGTAGGGATAATCTTTATAATTGATCCTACTTTTGATGTATCTTCAGTCTTATCACCATTAACTTTATATCTCATCTTATTTTCTACCGTACTTGTACATGATATCATTTCAGTTTCGTTGCATGATATATCCTTGAATGGTTCATTTGTTTTATCAAAAAATTGTAATCTTTCACCTTTTACATTTGGTTTATATTCAATCTCTGGAGAATAATTACGAAATGGTACTCTTAATTTATTCTTGGTGGTTGTCGATGAGTTTATTGTATTACCTGATTTTATTTGCAACGGCTTCGTTGTAGTAATGCTACTACTACTATTTCTGAACCTTTTCCCTGGATTCATAATGTGGTAATTTTCTTGTTAATGTAAATCACCAGAACGAACCATTAAGAATATACACCTACTATTTTAAGAAATTTCACTCTTTCTCTTTCTATATATATATATATAACCGTTTTTATTACTTGGGCGGCAATCTTCTTAATCTGTCATCGTTCTATCCATTTCCTTTAATTTTTTTTGGCGGTGGGACGTTCAAGTAGTATGCCACACAAGATCATAAAGTTACATAGATTAGACTATTTCATGTACAATTAAGTACCAGTATCTTGAACAGAGACACAAACTCCCACCTAGAATGCAGTTTCCTTGTAACGTTCTTGATGACTAAACGTTCTTTTACAACTATTTCTCATATCTATCCCTACATAGTGAGAAATTTGGTTTTCTGGCTGTGTGTCTATTTTGTCTTACGCGCATACTTTTCAGTGAATGCAACAGCAAGCAAAAAGTAGCTGGGACGTGAAAGGAAGAGAGAGAGGCAAAGAGCGAAAAATGTTCAATTTGCACAGACAGACGAAATTTTGAATAATTTCACGTTAAAGAGATATGAAATTGTCATTGCTTATGAAAAGTTTGAAATGTTTTGACAATTAAGAGTAACTTCAGGGAGGGTGGTTTTCCAATTAATTCAATAGAGGAAGAAACCAAAAAAAAGGATACATTACTTTATAGAATAGTTCACTAAATATATCATTATGCCAATTACTATAAGAAGAGCTACAATTGATGATATTATTTGTATGCAAAATGCAAATTTACATAATTTACCAGAAAATTATATGATGAAATATTATATGTATCATATACTTTCATGGCCTGAATTATCATTTGTTGCTACAACTACAGATATAACTGTTGATGATGATTTATCGAATGATAAATCAAATACTACTTATGAAGAATATATGACCTTAGATGATAATCTAGGCAATTCAATTAAATTAGATCCAACTTATGTGAAACCAGGTGAAAAATTGATTGGTTATGTGTTAGCTAAAATGAATGATGATCCAGATCAATCAGGTGAACCAGCAAATGGTCATATTACATCATTAAGTGTAATGAGAACTTTTAGAAGAATGGGGCTTGCTGAAAAATTAATGAGACAAGCTTTATTTGCAATGAGAGAAGTCAATCAAGCTACCTATGTCTCTTTACATGTTAGACAATCTAATAGAGCTGCATTACATCTATATAGAGATACTTTACAATTTGAAGTATTAAGCATTGAAAAAAGCTATTATCAAGATGGTGAAGATGCTTATGCAATGAAAAAAATATTAGATTTAAATGAATTAAAAATTTCTAATTTTGCGCATGGTCCAAAGGATGAACCTGTTGAAGATGACTTAAAGAGTGACTTATTAGAAGATATCATTAGAGAGGGATTAGATAATATAACTGTATGAATCAAAATAAAAAATAAGTGACAAACAATAAATCTACCCTGTCCTTTTATTTCTTGATCAAAAAAAGCATATTATTTCTTTCATTCATAATATCATTACAGCATCTTTCATACATCATAATAATAATAAATATATGTATATATCAAAACCATAAAATAATTAATCAATCGAATTGATTCAAAATTAATTTTTATTCATATCTGACATATTTTCAAGACATTAATTGATACGTATAATTATGAAGAAAAGTTCAAATTCAAGATAAAGGTTTCTTAACTACAAGTAGTTCTTTCTAATAGTATTTAAATCAGCCAAAAGTAAAAATTAGGTAGCTTGAGTTTTTCCACATCAACACCGAATAAACGGCATCTCGAGCCAAATGCACTCACAATCATCATAAAATAATAAAGGAAAGAACTTCCTGGTTTCTTTTAAACTGAAAACAAAAGAACAAAAAAAAATTAGTAGAAGAAATTTATGTTAGTCTAGGTGTATATTTCATTATTCTCTCTCTTTATATACTTATAAAGTTTTCTCTTTTTGCTAAATGAAAAAAAAAATAAAATCAAAAAATTGAAAATATTTAAGGTGCCACAGACTTTTTCCGCAGCCATAAGAAACTGCTCACTAGGTACGAAGTTACCATGTTCTATCATTAGGGTTATTCATAATTACATAAAGGGAATACATAATTGTTTTTGAGTTTAAAGAGAACTCCATTGTTCTAATTTTCCTATCACTCATCAATAGGTTTCTTGTAGGTAACTTTGTCGACCTTGACTTCACCATCTATGAACATGTATATGTATAAAGTACAAGTAGATCCCTGAATATCTAATAAACAGAAACTTGGGACATTTGATCCAGAAATTTCAACCTCTGATATACTTATGTCTTCCTCATTTATCGATGCTTCATCCTCAGTTGTATCTTTAGTATCTTGCTTATTCACATTAGAATCTGCGACAGTGTTCCCTGTATCTTCTGCTTTGCTGGACCCATCACTAGTCGTTATATCATCATTTTGACTCTTTCCTCCTTCTTTTCCAACTACTTCTTTAGCATTTGAGGGTTCAAAAGTATTATTTGAAATTGTGTCATTTATTATTGGCCAATCTGAACTAAATGCACCTGTACAACTACCAGGGTTAACGAAAAATTTCTCTTCTAAAGTATACGCTTCAACATTATGTGTGCCACCCCATAACATTATATCGACATCTAACTGACGTGCCAAAGCCAATAATGATAATGGATCACTCTTTGGTACGACTGTGTAGCCATTACAGCATCCTATCCTGAACTCGCCTTCTTTAATCACTGCCACAAGAGGGATATTTGTCTCCTCGTAGTTATCAGAAACTCCATTTGCTTCAGATCTATTGGTAATAATTGTAGGTTTATCGAATTCTCCTCGAACTATTGTAATATTTGAAGAAACTGTATCAAGGAAGTTCAAAAATTCTGGTGATTGTGTACTATTACCTAATAATGCTACATGAGATATTTTATCTGGTATGCTTAATAGTTTTTTAAATTTTGAAGGCATATCCTGTAATATGTTGAAAATAATGCATACATATAGAGTATGGAATTATTTGATAATTAGTCAGTAAATAATCTTTTAAAGTCAATTAAAATAAAAGGTAAAATAGAAAAAGGGAAGGAAGTGTAAAATACATTTCTCCTTTGTTTAAAGTTTGACATACTATTGCCCGACTTGGAATATGTGCATCGCCAACAGCAAGGACTAACATATCTGCCAATTGTGATTAATATTATAATTTTATTCTTGGTTGATTTATCTTTGGTATTATTGTAATAACTACTAAAAACTATTTTCTTTTCCCCTTTTTATGTATTGGGATGAGGCATATAGTCAACCATATACTTCTCCCCTTTGAAATATGGCTTATATTCAGTTTTCCATTTTTTGCCCCAAGGCGAAATAATAATAATAAGAATATGAGAACAAGTAAATATCATAAGCGATTAAGAAATAATAATAAAAATACATAAAAGATGGCTATCATCATTTATTAACTTGTGAATTTTTCGTACTCATCAAAATGTATTTATATATAAATGTTGGAATTATCTCATATTTACATGAATGAATATATATTTATCCTTAGGCACGGCTAATGTTATATTTTTAAATATGTAATAGTTCTTCGAAGATCTTAAATATACTTCTTGCCGCCCATGTATGGAATTAGTGGTTCAGGAACCCGAATTTTATCAGTTTCCTTTACATAGTTATTTTCAACAAGTGCTAATAACACTCGAGGAACTGCCATTGCGGTACCATTGATACTGTGTGTATATCCTAAATTACCGTTTGAGTTTTTAAACCTAGTATTTAATCTTCTACTTTGATAATCTGTACAGTTTGAGGTACTGCTAATCTCTCCAAATGATCCTCTACCAGGCATCCAGGCTTCGATATCATATTTGTTATATGCTGGATTACCCAAATCATTTGCTGGCATATTAATAACTTTAGCATATAATCCCAAGTTGGTAAATAATTCTATTTGGAACTCTTTCAGAGATTCTAAAACCTCATTACTTTGTTCAGGTTTAGACCAACAGAACAATTCAACTTTACTAAACTCATGTACACGGTAAAGTCCCTTGGTATCCTTACCTCTTGCCCCGGCTTCAGCTCTATAACATCTACTCAGGCCAACAACTTTCTTGGCGCCTGATTCACCCAAATTCATAACTTTATTATATCCCAACGCAGCTAAAGTAATTTCTGCGGTGGCAACTAATCCAGTATCTTGTCCCTCAATGGCATATATTTGCTTTTCGCCATTCATATCTCTTGGTCTAAATCCACAAGCATCGATTACACCAAGACGTGCCAGACTTGGTGGAATAATAAAATCGAAGCCATGTTTTCTAGCTGTATCAACTGCGTAATTGATTAATGCAAGTTCCAATTGGGCACCTTCGTTTAATAGATAGTAAGAAGATGTGCCAGTTGTCGTAGAGGCACTTTGTAAATCAATCATATTTTTCTTCTTCATAATATCGACATGTGATCTTTCAGAATCTGCTTGTGGCTCTATACTGGGTTTATTTATCCAATGAACAATTTCTGGGGTACCGTTTAAAGGTGCGGTGTTATTCAATAAATTAGGGAGACTTGACAGAACATCATCCATCGTATTCGTAAGTTCATTGAGTGATTCAGTCTTTATCTGATATTGTTCTTTTAAAACTTTAATATTCGGGAGTAATTCATTTAATTTATCTCTATTTTGTTTAATCTGAGATTCCAGATTTTTCCTTACTTGTTGAATTTCATTGATATCCTTATTCAAATCTTTGATTTGAAATGATTGAGCAGGTAATTTTTTCAATTTGAGTAATAGGTCTTGCTCATTTACTAATTCTCTACTTCTAATAGAATGCTCATATTTAGGTAAATTTTCTAATATTCCCTTGAGATCAAATTTGGGTTTTCCAATTAAATGGGTTGTGTTTGATCCTGTTGCAACCAATCGTTTAAATATTAATTGGTTCATCGTTAAAGATATATAGATGGTTGTACTGTTTAAGCGTTCATAATTTCTGTTATATTAAACTATTTCAAATGCTAGCACTAAGTTATTGGATCCCTTAAATAAAAAAATAAAAAAAAGTTAACTAAAATAGATCGCTCGTAACTGAGAATAAAATTAATCAAAACGATAGGAATAATTGGGTATATAAACACTATTGAAATAGAGACATCTTAAGATAAAAAGATACTAATTTATATTTATTAGAAATAATAAACACTATTATATAAAATATTAGAACAGATAAAAACCATTATATATGATCATGCAAAAGTTAAAGAAACAAAATTAGAATCTTAACTTAGAGAAAAACCATTGGTTCTTACCAGCTTGGTGTCTTTCTTCGAAAGCCTTCTTGATGACCTTCTTAGCTTCTTCACGTTGGGTTGGTTGTTCGAAAGTTTCAGTAGAGACAACAGACTTGAAAGATTCAACGTCTAGAGTGTATCTGGTTGGTAGCAAGTGGTTGTAGTTGATAGCCTTGATGAATGGCTTGATCTTGGTTCTCTTAGCAACCTTCTTAGCACCTAGCTTCTTGGTGACCTTTAGTGGGTATCTTTCGACACCAGCAACTAGAGCATGACCGTATGGGTGAGATTTGGAACCTTCATCGTGAGGCTTGACGATGACGACCTTCTTACCGGCGTAACGACCACGGACAACGACAGCTATAATAAAAAAGATAATAAATTCTTATAATCAAACATTAGGGATTTGTAAGATCATAATAAAATATATTAAAAGATTTGTTAGTAAAAAAAGAAAATGTTATTATTAATCTCAAAAATTGATGGTGGCAATTGGTAAAAAAAAAAAATGATTTTGAAAGCATACAAATAGTTAAAGCATGAATTAAAATATAGATTATCCGAACGAGTAGCTCATACTAACAGTCTACTATTGCTTATAGGTGGGAACAAAGTAACTCTCGATTTTATACTCTTTATGTGCTTAGTGGTAACTTCATAAAGAAATCTCTGTTTTTTCATAAAAGAATAATGGTACAATTTATTCTGCTAATAATAAACAATCATTGTTTCTTTGTACAATTTTTATTTATCTCCTTATAATATTATGAGAAGTCTAGAGAAACATATTCATTTCATTCTATTACTAATATTCATTAACCAAGCTATGGTATTTCATATCATTAATCCACTATATGATCGTATTTCTCATTCATTCATTCATCATTTATTCTTTCAAAAACAAATTTAATCTTTCCGCTTGTCTTCATCAATTTAAAATATTTGAAATAAAAGGTTTATACGTACCAACTTTACCAGCTTTTAGGAACTTAGCCATTTTTATTAACTTGGTGATGTGTATCTATTGGTATTTATTAAAATAATAATCAAACAAAAAACTTATAGATAACGTTAATTAAATAAAACATATAATATAACAAGTATGCTAATTAATGAAATTTTCTTAACTATGTGATAATTCCACTAAGTTCTGTGTTTGTTGGATGTTTTTTTTTCCAAACAATTTTTCTTCCAGCCTAGTTACAAGTTCGGTCTACTAGATGGTGGGAAAGGTGAAAGTATCAACGAAATTCCTGATGGGTAAGGGAAGAGATACAGAGACAAGAGTTGAGGGAAGGAATAATCGGCCACTAAACAGAATGTAGGCTACTCCTTGCTAAGAGACCGAATAGAGTGTTAGCTAGTTTCAAACACACATATTGAAACTTCCTTCTAATTGGGACATGGAATCAACGGTAGAGGGAAATTACTGTGAGTCTAACTGGCATCTCAATGGCTACACTCCAAACCAAATCACCGACTCTCCTTCTACAACTACAATCCTAATGAAGGTTCCCCGTCTCCCAGCCAGATAACAAAACGGATTCTCAATAACAACAAAAACTCACTTTTAGAAAAAATAAATTTGGGAAAAATAAAACTCTTTTTAGATGTCTGGGTGCGCGAGCCTGACAAAATCAAGCATGTACGGATGTTCCAGCAGTCATATACCCGCTGGCCATTGGCCAATCAAATGGAAACGAGAAAAAAACTGTCCGAGCCGTTCAAAATGCAAATTTTATCCCACGGAATGGATTTCAATTAAAGATTTGTCCGACCAAATAAATGAGACCCCTCAATCTCCCCCGCACAAATTTTTCAATAAATTTCATTTTGAAGCGTAAACTTGCATAAACTATTGACAGCGAAGGAGTCTGACTATAATTTGACATATCAACTATAGTTCTACTTATTAAACGACGACGATATATGTAATTAATAAAAAAAGGAAGAGGTTTCGACCCAGATGATGATAAGTTACAATTTTATTCACGAGCCATACACACACGTGAATATAACAAACAAATGATGGTTTTAGTTAAGAACTGCTTAGTTGAAAGAAAAAAACAATGTACATATACGAAGATGAGGAGACATTCAATATACTATGTAATTAATAAAAAATAAAGTAGTTTTCATATGTGTAAATCGCTTGATGATGGTTGTATACAATGTAAATTTTGCACATCTTATAAAATTAACATTAAAGCTATTGTTATAAGACAAACATGGAATTATATTTTATTTAATAAAGCGAGAAACAAAGGAAAATTCTCGACAAACAAAAGAAAATCATACAATATAAAAGACAAGGTTATATTTAATTGGTTTGGGGTTTCCTTGTATTTTTTTTCCTAATATTGTTAGAGTAACTTCTTTCTCTTTTTTTCTTGAACAAAGAATATCAATCTTGATTTCAAGAAGTATTCAAAGGTTACAATTATCGCCAACAACCCTCTACAAACGAAACAAGAACCCACAAAAAAAAAATATGAGCTAGTCAGTAAATTCTTCTTTGAGATCTATACTTGCGTACATCGTAAATAGATATTGTATATTAGCGGTTCAACAGACTCAACTTTATATATTTCCATTCTTATTCGTTAATTGAAACAGAGAGACTAACTGAGTACGACTTCCCTGTTTAAATGCGCGAAACATAGCAGTGAAAGCGACAAATGAAAGGAAAAAAGACGGAAATTTAATTTTTGTTTCGCCTCTCGGCTCTCTCGCTCCCCCCCCCCCCAAAAAAAATATCAAAATTCAGAATTAATTTTTACAGACAACAAAAAACAAAAAAGATAGGGAAAGAAAAAGAGGAGGAGGAGAACTATACACTGTTCCTCTAACTATCAAGAACAAAATATAATACCACATTTTTTTGTAAGCCAAAGAAACTATTTTATAAAAAACAAAAACAAAAGAAGATAACATTTATTATTTTAAAAGCATGGTTTTCTTGTTGTTTAATTTGCATTAACCCTCTCTTGTAGTATAATAAATAGATAGATATATATATATATATATTCTTTATATGATCAACGCTTTTAGTTATTGTACTGTTGTTTTTGAAGATTAGTTAGTCAGTGAATTATTAATATTTTCATATATTAAAAGACTATTTTGGAAGGTTAGTTTAGAACAAAATTTACAGTTGCTGTGTTTTTTCTTCGATATAAAGGTTATTAAATTTGTTTTTGTTAAGGGCAAATTACTATATTAAAAACCAATCAATAATTTATTAAAGTGTTTTTTGATTTTTAAGGAAAAAGAAACTCGACATATATTTATAAGAACAAGAATGTCAGAACCTTCAATGGAAAAAAAAGCTAAGACAGAAATTGCTATTATTGGTGCAGGTATTATAGGTTGTTGTACAGCTTATTATTTAACTAAACATCCAAAATTCTCATCGGATAAATATCATATTACAATTTATGAAAGTAATGAAGTTGCTTGTGCAGCCTCGGGTAAAGCAGGTGGTTTATTAGCAAATTGGGCATTTCCTTCACAGTTAGGTGCGTTAAGTTTTGATATGCATAAAGAACTTGCTGAGAAATATGATGGTGGTAAAAATTGGGATTATAGAGTATTGGATACTATATCTCTTGAAGCAGATATTAGAGATGATATTATTGCTAAGAAATTAAATTCCTCAACTAATATAAAAGATAATAATACAGAAAATATAAATTCAAATACAAAGAAACACTTAAAAGATATGTTAGGTGGATATTCTAATGCAAGTTTAAATTCTTTAACAAGCGCAGAAACAAATAATTCAGATATGTTAAGTTCAATAAGAGATAAATTAAAAATTTCTGATACATCATGTGATGATACATTTGATGATAGTGATAATGAAAATGATGAACAAGATAATAATGAAATTAAAAATCCTTTACCTGAAAATTTAGATTGGATTCAAAGAGATCTTGTTGATGATTGGTCAACTATTGGTGATGTTAAATCCACTGCACAGATGCATCCAGCAAAATTTACAAGATTTATGTTAAATAAAGCAATGGAATCAGGTGTTGTTGATTTAATTTATGCAAAAGTTACTGGATTAACCATTGATGAAAATACAAAAAAAATGGTTGGTTTATCATTTTTACCAGATAAAATTAAAAATAAGAAAAGTCCGAAAGATATTTTATCTCAATGTAGAACTGAACAAATAAATGATGACGGTGAATTACAAACATTTGATATTGATAATATAATTGTTGCAATGGGACCATGGACTTCAAAATTATTAGCAGATTGTCCAATTTCAGGTCTACGAGCTCATTCGATAACAGTTATGCCTGAAGATATGTCAAAAATTTCAGCTTTTGCAATGTTTACTGAATTAAAAGTAGCAGATTCTGAATATTTTTCACCTGAAATTTATGCAAGAAGAGATGAAATTTATGTTTGTGGTGAAGGTGATACATTATTAGATTTGCCAGATCCAACTAAAGATTCTCCAATTGATGAAGGTAAATGTGAGGAATTATTTAAATTTGCAGGAAAACTATCGAATAGTATTGCTAACGGTCACACTTTATTAAAACAAGCTTGTTATTTACCTGTTTTAAATGTTCCAACAAGTTCAGGTCCTTTACTTGGTCAAACTAATGTTGATAATTTATATTTGGCTAGTGGACATTCTTGTTGGGGTATTAATAACTCTGTTATCAGTGGTAAAATTATGTCTGAAGTAATACTTGATGGTGTTGCTGCTAGTGCACCAATTGATAAATTAGAACCTAAGATTTTCTTTGATGCAAGCCAATTATCTGCACCATAGGGAGAGAGAGAAAAGTATTCGTTGTAACTACATTAAGTTTAATAGTATGTGCCTGGTATCTTGTTGTTGTGTTTTTTTTTCATTTTCCACAGATTCATATAAGGAGAACTACCATCCACAATAACATCATACTTCCCTCGTTTACGTATATATAAATAACTACTACATTATTAACGCCACAGAGATACCAATTCAAATTCAGAAAACTTGGAAAAAGTTAGAGCAAAAACAAAAAAAAAAATAGAACACACATTCTCAAATTATCATATTCAGCGATTTAATACATATAAATAATACTTGAAACTATTTAAGACTATTAATTACTTTATTGCATTTGAATTTCACCCTTGTTGTGACAATTTTTATTTAAAGTCAGCAATATCACTTTATACGAAGGTGGGTCCTTGACTTACTGTGAATTTTTTTCATTTGTCAGCGAATTAAATTAAAGCAGCGCACCTTCCTTCGCCCTTTGGCACGGAGTTCTCACAAAACGATGATAATTCGATAATTCCATCGGAAGTAGAAGGAGGGAAAAAGGATTTCTCTTAAGGGATAGGAATTGATTGAGACGACGTGCATCACTAGGAGAGGGATTTGTCCCCTTGGGTATTATGCATTACTAAGATCAGACAACTGCATCATATATATATATATATATATACAGAGGTAACTTAAACAAATAATTATTGAAAAAGTTTCTGTGTCTTTACTTTTGTTTTGGCTGTTTTTTTATATTTTCTGAGTAAAAAGGACGTAAAACTAGTATTAACTGGCAAAAAAAAAAATTAGTAAACATGTTATCAAGATCTAGTGCTGCTACTTTAAGAAGACTCCCATTGGCTGTCAACACCACACGTGTTGGGACATTATTCCAAACTTCATTTGTTAGAAACAAAGTTACATTACCTGATTTAGATTGGGATTTTGGTGAATTAGAGCCATATATTAGTGGACAAATTAATGAATTACATTACACAAAACATCATCAAACTTATGTAAATGGATTTAATACAGCAGTTGAACAATTACAAGACCTTAGTGAAAAATTATCAAAGGATCCAACCCCTGCTTTATCTAGAGAAATTTTACAAGTTGAACAAAATTTGAAATTTCATGGTGGTGGTTATACTAACCATTGTATCTTTTGGAAGAATTTAATTCCAGAGAAGAATGGTGGTGGTGAATTACCAAAGGATTCGGCATTAGCTAAAGCCATTAAAGAACAATACGGTTCATTAGATCCATTAATTTCAAGCACTAATGCTACATTAGCAGGTGTTCAAGGTTCCGGATGGGCATGGATTGTTAAGAATTTAGATAACGGTGGTAAATTAGAAGTTGTTAAAACAATGAACCAAGATACTGTTACAGGTAATAAAATTCCATTAGTTGCAATTGATGCATGGGAACATGCTTATTATTTACAATATCAAAATAAGAAAGTTGATTATTTCAAAGCTATTTGGAATGTTATCAATTGGAAAGAAGCCGCTAGAAGATATGATACTGAAGGTATTTAAAATAGTTCTTATATATATATATATATATAACATATGTGTATTTTATGTCTCTCTCTATATATTCTTTGAAAAAATAAACTTTTGTGCACATATTTCAAATTATTCTTGTATATGTATGTATGATCACTTAAGAGCACACGTCACATGACTGGAGTCATGTGACATTTGACATTATTTCGTTTATGCACAAAAGTAAATTAAAGAGGCGTTCGGGGCAAAAAGAAACAATGTTTGGAAACCAAATCCGAAATCGCCGCCCTTCTTTAAAATACACCATAATAATAAAAGAAAAAGAGAATATCGTAATTCACGAAATTAATCAGTATTTTCTTCCCACGAGAATTGTGTCTCTATGTGTGAGTTGCTCGTGGGGAGAGTTCGTATAAAGAAGAAGAAAAGACACTATGAAATGTTTTAAGGTTGGGTGGGTGGTCCGGTGTGTTAGCGGAAACAGTTCACCCATTAATTTACGTCCTGTTTGTGTGTCCGAGTTTACTCGCGTTGTCGTTTAACGAATGGCTGGAAATAAGGGAAATTACGGAAGAGAAGCAAACCACCCAGAAAAAACACCATTTGCATTGACGACACAATAAATCACGAAGAAACCTGCTGTCATAAACGAAGAACCAAATCTTTATCAATTTTACGAGGCGGAACCAAATATACAAAATGTTTTAATACGTTATGGTCATCGCATCGTTTAAGAGAATTTGGGAAACCACAATCTTTTTCTATGTTACTCGTTTAATTTCTTACAGCAAACCCGTTTACAACCTTTTGTTCTTCTCTAATTCTCCGAATCGAAGTTTTGCTCTGCTTGAATTGTCTGTTAATTACCAACTGATTAATATCGGTAATCTTTGCTGCTGTGACTGCCTCTCTCTCTGATTTTAACAGAGAGAGTACTATCAACTCATCAAATAGTGCTAATTGCCAATGCAATATTAGGACTACAAGTCACAAAATTTCAATAGATTCTTTTAATACATTGCCATTTCAATGCAATCGATAGTTGGATAGAACTTGGAAGGAGAAGATATGTATGTCTGTATCTCGTTCAAACAAGGCAACTTCGATGAAATGATGCCGGTGATGATAGAAACTCTCATCTTTTCATAATTAAGATAAGTTTATTGAAATGATGATGGAAATATGATTTTCTTGTATGAGTAAGCTAACTTGATGGATTCATTTTGTCGGTCGAACTATCCCCTTTCCTGATTCCCTTCCCCGTTCCTTTATCGTATGGTGAATGATGTTGTCCTTTTATTTTCTTTTCAGTAAATTTTATTTTATTTTTTAAATAACTTAACTAATTATATATAAAGTAAATCTTTTTTTTATTTTCTTTCAATAAATTTTTATTTCAGTCACCTTTTTTTATTCAATTGTTCATCTGTTTTTTACTTATTAATATTATTGTTATTACTAAGAAATAATAATATCAATCAATCAATCAATCAAGATGTCTGATACTACACAATCCGCTTCTCTGGTGGCTCAGATATTTAATTATGCAGGTATTGCATTATCTTATTTTAATGCTTTACCATTAGGTCAAAGAATATCAATTATTGTTTTGGCTCCATTTGTTTACCATATTACATGGCAACTGCTATATTCCTTAAGAAAAGATCATACTCCTTTAGTCTTTTCATGGATTCCATGGGTTGGTAGTGCAATTCCATATGGTACTCAACCATATGTTTTCTTTGAAAAATGTAATAAACAATATGGTGATATTTTTTCATTTTTATTGTTAGGTAGAATTATGACAGTTTATTTAGGTCCAAAAGGTCATGAATTTATTTTTAATGCTAAATTAAAGGAAGTCTCTGCTGAAGCTGCTTATTCTCATTTAACCACTCCAGTCTTTGGTAAAGGTGTTATTTATGATGTACCAAATAATAAATTAATGGACCAAAAGAAATTTGTTAAAGGTGCTTTAACTAAAGAAGCCTTTAAGACTTATGTACCATTATTTGTTGAAGAAATTGTTAAATATTTAAAGACTTCACCAAACTTTAACGTCAATGAAAATAATTCTGGTAAGATTAATGTCATGGTTACTCAACCTGAAATGACAATTTTCACAGCTGCAAGAACTTTGTTAGGTAAAGAATTAAGAGATAAATTAGATACTGATTTTGCTTACTTATTTACTGATTTAGATAGAGGTTTCACTCCATTAAATTTCGTTTTCCCAAATATTCCATCTGCTACTAATAAGAGAAGAGATCATGCTCAAAGGACAATTTCAAATACTTATTTATCAATTATTAAAAAGAGACGTGCTGAAAATGATATTCAAGATAGAGATTTAATTGATGAATTAATGAAAAATTCAACTTATAAAGATGGTACTAAAATGACTGATAATGAAATTGCTAACTTATTAATTGGTGTCTTAATGGGTGGTCAACATACTTCTGCTGCTACTTCTGCTTGGACTTTATTACATTTAGCTGAAAGACCTGATGTTCAAGAAGAATTATATCAAGAACAAGTTAAAGTCTTGGATAATTTTAATAGAGAATTATCTTATGATGCTGTTGAAGAAATGGCTTTATTAAATCAAACTTTAAAAGAAGTCTTAAGATTACATCATCCTCTACATTCCTTGTTTAGAAAAGTTATTAAAGATATGCAAGTTCCAAATACTCAATACGTTGTTCCAAAGGATAATTTCGTCCTTGTCTCTCCAGGTTATACTCATTTACAAGAAAATTATTTCCCAAATCCACATGAATTAAATATTCATCGTTGGGATAATGATTCTCAATCTTCTTATTCTGTTGGTGAAGAAATTGATTACGGTTTCGGTTCTATCTCAAAGGGTGTCTCTTCTCCATATTTACCATTTGGTGGTGGTAGACATAGATGCATTGGTGAACATTACGCTTACTGTCAATTATTAACTATTTTCTCTGTCTTTATTAGACATTTCAAATTTAGATACGAAACACCAGATGGTACTGTTCCAATTTCTGATTTCACTAGTATGGTCACTTTACCAACTGGTCCAGCTTACATTATTTGGGAAAAAAGAGTTCCAGGTGAACAATTATAAAGTGTTGTACACTAATTTCCCCCCTTCCTCACTACACAAAAACAAAAAACATACATTATTTTTAGATTTAATCAGGTCGTCTATGAAAGAGATCATAACATTGAAATGAATTTTTTTTTGCCTTTTCATTTTAACAATTCATTATTAATGTTTTCCTTAGCATTGTAACACAATTTTGCTACTTTCTTTGTCTTATTTATTTATATTTCTCACTTATTATTAAATTTTTTATTTACCCTATATATAGACTAGATGTTGATATACTGATATCTATTTATTTTTAAAATTATATTTATTTGTCATAGTTATAAAAGAAGGAAAGAAAAAAAAAGTGATTCTTTTAAAAATTATTGATGCAATTTTATTATAATGAATATTGAATTTATGAATTAGGTATTAATAGTAATATTTAATGCTAATGTTACATTGTTGACGACTTAAACGAACTGTTATTTGTTTGTCTTATACGCCAGACCCAAAGAAATCGTTATAAAATTTTAAATACTCTCTTGTCTCTTCAAGTTGAGTTTGATTAATTTTCTCGGGAATGTACTGTTCATCGAGTGTTTTATTGATAGAAATTTTATCGTTGATTTCATGGAGTTGATCGTCTTCGTTTACGTCAACAAAATATGACTGTTGTTCAGAATCTAGAGGAAATACTTCAAATTTGTTATTAATATTACTATTGTGATAATGATTTTCTGATTGCTGCATCACAGCGGATGGATATGCATATGATTCCAATGGAATTGGTTCAGAATTCAATCCTTGATCTTCTACGATTTGTTTCGGACTTATCTCTATGCTGATATTATCAGTTTGATAATCGTTGTTCATACCATCTTTATTAAAATTGGTATGGTTGTCAGGTTGATGTTGATGTTGATGTTGTTGTTCATCAATATGCATTGTATTATTATTGTTGTTATTGTTGTTTTTATTAAAATGAGTATTGTGATATTCCAAACTATGGTTCTCTTTGTAATTAAATGAAGAAGAAGTCTCTGCAAATGTTTGAGGAGTGTTAATTGGGCTGTCGATATTGGGTGTCTCTACAGTAGATGAAACTACAGACGATTGTGTCATATCGACAGGTGTAGCACTTGATTCGGATGATTTAATTTTGGGAGTTCTTTTCTTGTATTTCCTCTTAGGTCTTTTATAACCTTTGAAATTATCTGAATTTAGAATTAATTTATCATCTCCAAATTTAGATAAAACATCATTTCTGTTTGTATTTTTAGCTACAATGACCATTGCTTCAAGTGCCTCTTTATTTAATAATACATTTGGTTCAACAACACTTTCCATCGTAGAGATATAACGAGCATGTCCCGTTGAGGTTTTAATCATTTTTAATCTATTTGTTATCTTTTGTTTAGAATCCTGCGATGGTAATTGTTCTAAATATTCCTTTGGAAGTCCCTTACATTGACCATTTTCAATATGTTCTTTAATCCATACGTTAGCACTTGAAAAGTATTCATTACAAGCGTTGCAATGACCACCATACTTATTTCTATCAGCAGGTTTAACACCATCTGGGTATGTGAAATGACGTGCTTTCATATGTGTTTTATAGGTATCTCTTCTACTGAATCCACCTGTTGCATGACATCTATCCTCCTTATTGATATCAGTATTAAAAAATGGACAATGGTAAGCTTTTTCTAAAGCGTGTTTCTTAATATGACGTGTTAAATAACCTCTCATTTTAAATCTTGCATCACAATAATGGCAAACATATTCACCATCTATATCAATTTCAACAGGTGACTCTCTTTCAGGTGAACTTGTTAATGATTGATTTAAACTGGAATGGCCTCTTATTTTAGGATTTGTTCTATTTATTTGTATATCATTTGGTGAACTATTATTACTATCTGGAGTTATTGGTAATACATTTTTATTTAAGCTTGTATGATTTGAAGAGTCAGATTTACCATAATTTCTTTGAAATGGACTAAATACAGTTGTATTATTATCCTTTAATGATAAAGTTTCAACATTATTTAAATTTGTAATATCCTGATTTTGTGAATGATTAGTCCCTAGAAGCGAAGGTGAATGTGACATCTTTATAGCTGCATCTGCAGTTGATAATGATGTATTCTTATTGAAAAGAGATCCAACTAATGATGATTCTTGTGGTATATCCTGTTCAAATTTTCCTTGGTTTAAAATATTATCAATATTATTAGTCTTATCACCTGGACTATTCTTATTATCCATCGGTGTATCAGACATATTGATAGTTTGAAAATATTAAACAAATTTGGAGAGGGAGTAATAAAAAAAAATTGTGTTTTTGGAAGATTATGATCGATTCACCATCTAAATATCGGTAAAAGTGAGAATGGAATTCAATATTAGTAATGAGTTAAGTTAGCTATTCTATCTGTCTTTGTATTCTATACTGCGGAAGAAGAAGTGGAAAAACAAAGCTTTTAATATTATTTTTATTTGTAAAAATTAGTAATATCTGGTTTTTTGTTGATGTTATTGTTTTCTTTCAGTAGAGTTAATATTGTAAATATAATTAATGCAGACAGTAGCACCACTGTTAAATTTGTCGATAGATATAAGTATGTACACTATATATGGTCTTAGTACCAAAGGGTATGCACTCCAGTGACGCAAGTCTCAGTCTTCTATAAGTCTTGAGGATAAAAATTGAAATAAAAATGAAATGAGCAGAGTGCCATACCATCTCGAAGAAGAAGAAGAAGAAGAAGGCACCCATAACGCTTTGTCGTGCCATAAGCAAACTATTCCTCTCATCAAGTTCTTTCGCTTTCGCTTCATATTGACAGCTTTTTTTTCCAGTTAACAAATTCATGAATTTTTCACTTTTTTGCTTTTCGCTTTCTCAGTGCAAAACAACGCAAAACAAAAAAAAAGATTTTTACAGAGAGAAAAACTTTCAGTCACTTTCGACGGCTGACACAAAATAAAATAGAGTCACTTTTCCCCCTGCCAAAGCAGTAGGAAAAGGTGCAAAAGGTTGGATCATCATATCCTTTTTTTTATTTTTACAGTGTCAGAGTGATCATCCTCGGATGAGCAACTTAGTTCATGAATGTGTGTATATATACCTTACTTGTTGTTTGGTCCAACATCTCCGATTGATCTTAGGGAGTGGTTTTCAACTGGGCCATCCGATGTGTGCGACATCGTGATAGACAAAGCATCCATCTCGAATTCTTGTAAAGTGAAATCTGTAGCCGCAGAATAAGGGTCTCCCGTGACTCTCGATGAGTTGGAATTCTCCATATGGTTATTTGGCTCTTCAGATGAAAGTTTGATGTAATCATTTTCTTGTTTTTGTTTATATCTGAAATGGTTGTAGTAAACAACATCCAGTAAAACAATAGTCATACCAATCCAGTTATATGCACCACTTATTCTCTCATGTAAAAAGACCATACCAGTAAGAATGGTTAATACTTCTTTAACAATACCAGCTATAGATAATGTTAACACTTTTGTTAATTGTAAGATACCAAATTCACAGAAAGTAAGCACAAAGACATCAATACCTGGAAGAATCATTAAAAATATACCTCTGCAAATTGAACCTAAATTTGCATCTTTATTGTGATTGAATTCAATCTTAAATAGATTGGATTTAAAGATGCCAGGCAATGGTCTTTCAATAATTAATGATGTTAGGATAAGTGTTATGCCCATGATTGGTGCTAATTGATGAATAGTATAAATTGGATGAGGCTTTTCATTCTCATTTTTCTCAATGGAATTTCTATCATTTGGGTTTGGATTATTAGTTTCTTCATCATCAGTAGTAACAGTTAAAGAAGACGTTTTCTTTAATATTAATTGCGTATAAACCCATCTTAATCCAGAAAGACAACTACTTGCTAATACTAATATGCTTCCAAATATAATTAAAGCTTGTGTTTGATCGTTATCATTATTACCATTATTAGGTTTATATACCATCATAACCACACCCATGAACATCACTAATACAATCACACCCAATTTCCAATGAAATTTCTCTAATTTAAAGAGACAACTGAATAATAATACAAATGCAATACTCGATGACTTGATGATAGTATATACCGTCAACGGTACAAATTTAAATGACGCATTACTAAACCCAATATCACCCGCTGTCGCTACAGCTGTTGGTATAATGTATTTTATATAAAATGTCCAATTGTTATTATGATTTTGAACCACTGTAGATTTTCTATGTTGAGCTGATGCAGGGTTCAACTTTTCATGAACTACTATGTATAATGCGGAAAGTACCCACAACGTTGTTTGATGAAATGCCGTCAGGAGAACTGGGTATTCGATTCCAAGTCCATTTATAGGATCGAACATCCATTTATTGTACACGGATAAAGATATAGCACATACATACCAACCAATTATATATGCTAAGACAGTTGTCCACATGTTTTGTTTTGCTTTTTAAAAAAAATGGCTCGAAGTTGTATGTATATGTGTTTTAGCGGTATCAATCAAATAAATGCACGGTTAATGAAATATGTAACAATACTCTAAGGGGATCAGACACGATGTGTTCGAATCAAAAATGGGAACTAGTGGGAGAAGAAGAAATATGTGTAATATCTATCTTTCAAATTTTCGATAAATTAAATTAAAAGTACTTGTTTTTAATGTTGCAACTATTGTTTATTTATGATAAAACCTCCATCGTCATATTAACTCACTAGCAACTAATATTTAATAAGATAGTTCGTAAAATAGTCTGATTCTTAATCTTTATTTATATTCTTGATTAAAATGCACCTTTCTCTAACTGAAGAATTCCAGTAGAAAAATTTCGCAGAGCGCGAAAACGCTTCATGATGGTACGTAAGCCACACGTATATGTGGTAACAACATATGTAAATTTATAGATATTGGTATCACCGACTTAATTAGTTATAAAAAGGCATCCGTTTGTGGGATTGAATGGCAGTAAATGCTGTATTATTCAAATGGTCAGTTATTATATATGTAATTAGAAAGATGCAGCGGCACACTTGGATTAAATTCATTTCTTAGATGGCTGCAATGGCACAAAAGAATTCATCATCAGATTAATGCTGCTGTTACTATTTGCATTGTCATTGTTACTAGGTTTAACCTCAGTAAACTCTTCTGTAATATTTGTTGATTTTGTGTTGTCATGTTCTACTGTTACTGCGGTTACCATTTTCGATGGTGGTGGAGGTGGCGGTAAATCTAAAATTTGAGGTTCAGCTTGCTCGAAATTTCCAAAATCATCTTCTGAATCATCTTCTGAATTACTTTCGGTGTTAATTTCTACACTCTTGTTATTGTTTTCCTCTGTCTGTACAGTGTCATTAATTGAATTCTGATTACGCTGGGCTTCAAAACTACTTACCAAATCGATAGCATCAGCTCTGGTTGTCTCCGAAGGAAAGGTGTCGATATTGTTCGTATTGGTGTTTGTTAATTGAAGTTCGAGAGTACTAGTAGTTTGACTCTGAAGGTAACCAATAGCAGAGTCACTGTCTGATTGGCTGATGGGGTCGTCTTCGAACAGTTCATTAAGAACATTACTAGTAGAGTGACGTTCTTCAATATTCGAATTCGATATTCCTTCCTTGTTACTTGAAGATGCATCGATTACAGGGTGTTCATTATTCTTAGATTTACTATAGGAGTCCTCTGAGTTCCTGTCACTAATCTTTTTCTCTTTATTCTTCTTCTTTGATTTCTTACTTCCCCAAAACCATAGTTTACTTTTTGAATGATGACTTTTGGAGGGACTCTTATCTTCGTGTTTCTTAGATTTAGGTAATTCTTGAGCAACAAATTTCGCTAGGGGATTAACTTTAAACGTTGACTTACCTATTGAAATATTTTCTTTATATTCAGGATGTAAATTGGTCGTAACAATGTCTTCATTTGAATTCGTTTGTTCAGCTTTTTTTTCATCATTCAGTATATCTTCCCAAGAAGAAGGAGATTTTTTAAAATATTTCATTTGCTCAGTTGCAGCACTCAATAGTCGTTGATTGTTCAGAATTTTCTTGGTTTGAATTTCAGTTATAACACTTGAAGAGTTCGACAAAGGTGGTTGCTGTTGTGGCATCTTCATTGGTGATGAAGGTCTAGATTTGCGTTTACTATCATGTGACCATGAGAAATACACGGGTGTATCACTTCTAAGAGCCCTCGACGCACTGGAACTATCGACTGTAGTATGTTCCTGTCCATACCATTCCTCTCCAAATTTAATCGTCCTTAAAGTGAATTTATTATCCTTAGTAGAAAGGTTGATCTCCTGAGCTGGTCCAAATAAACAACTCATAAGTTTACGAGTTCCGGAAAGTTCATCCAATAGTTGATATAATGTGGCATCCTCATTGTTATTTGCGGTAGATTTGTTATTTGATTGGTCCTTTTCAGTCCCTTCTGTGAAAATCTCAGCTAGTATACTATCTATATCTAGGTGATCATTAGTTGTATTGGGTTTACTCAAGGTTTCCATCGTACTGCACTAAAAAATAAATAAGTTGTCGTTAACAATGCAAATGGATCAAACAAATTTCTGTGACATCTAGACTATGTTCCTAGTAACACCTTGAATGTTGTTTTTATCTCAGTAAAATATAACTAGTTAAAAGGACTATAATATTGTTAAAGTGTGTCTTTAAAAATCTCTTTTATTATTGCCGAAAAGTGAAAAGTATTCGCAAGTTAAAATGGAATCACCATCAAAGATAGAAACCAATATAACCAAAGATAGTCATATAAACATAAAACTAGCAATAATGCAACTACCACAATTTCCAGGTGTTAACATTGAGATTTTATTGTTTCAGGATGTTTCAAATGCCAATGATATACGATCAAAAATAGCAGAATTACCTTATGCTTTCATTGATGCACGTACCATATGCTCTGTTGAGCAACTAATGTCTGCTATATATAGAGTAATGATCGAATCGAAATATAATAGACTGAGAACTAAGAGTCTTCATTCAGAAGTATTACTTGCCTTGTCACCTACATCTAATATCGGCGAGGCATTTAAGAAGTTTGGGATTAGTGATGATACTAAAAATCTTATTATGATCGAAATTAATCAAGATAACGATAATTCTTCTTTGGACAAGACTGTAGTAAACGGAGAAATTGTTGACTTTAATGATGATAACTTACAAAAAAATAGTGACGTAAATGCTATAAGGAAAATATATAAAATCGACCAATCTGTTGAATTTGAGAATATTTCAGAATTGTCGAGGGCTACTGTGAATGCCATTCAATTGAGAGGTATTTGAAATGCCCAAAAATTATTCCACCTTAGACAGCCATTTCATAATGGGAAAGTGAATGTTTTTTAAGTAATTATTTTATATACATATATCGAATTGAAGAAAAAAAATTACTATGTATTTGAATAAATAATTGATCAAAAAAAGTAAATACATGAATAAGTAATCAAGATTAGGGGTATGCTGTTCATCATCCATCGAAACCTTGTGATATGTGTATGTATCTATTTGAAATTGGCAAAATGGCTTACCAATTCCAATTCAGTAGATAGAGTGTCGTATCTGTAATTAACTCTGATGTCGGGTACGTTAGTCTTCGTAACGTCATTACCGTCAACACCAGGTTGCTCGAAATTTTCACCAATCCAATGTTCTTTGATTTGTGCTTCCCATCCACTTTGAATGACCGAGTTTCTAGCAAGTTCACACATATCAACATTAGATAATTTGTAAATTTGGGCAGCAACGGAATATTCTTCGATCAATGGTTCTCTAGTATAAGAAAATTGAAGTGGATCATCTGTTGACAACGAGACATTAAGACCTCTTCTAAAATATCTTGGGAAGGGGTTTTTATCATATGTTAGGAATAACGCATTGTTGGACAATGGTGACATAGCAATACCAACTTGGTCAAGGTAATATAAGTATTGAACAAATGGAACCTTTCTCAAAAGGATACCGTGAGAAATACCTTGTGCCAATAGATAAGCCGACACCAAATGTTCAGGATCACCTGCTTCACCACAATGTGGTCTTAAAACTAATGTATTAAATCCTCTCTTTGCTCTCCATTGATTCAAAGATGCTAAATTGGAATATAGATAGTATAAGTAATAAGAGTAAGGTGGATTTTGAGCAGATTCCCATAAAGATGGTTTTGGATATTTTCTATGGAAACGACGATCGACCTTAGATTCATCATCAACAGAATCAAACCCAATAACCCTTTGTAAAAATATATGTAATTTTGGATGAGATTGTGGATTTTTGGTCACTTCAAATAAGGGTTGAAATAAGTTTCTGCATGTGTCATTGAAATTAGCTACAATTCCAGATTTTTTATAGATGTCATATAAACGAGGAATTTGAATTAACCAACGGACATTATGAGAAATGACTTTATTATCAATAACCCAACTTGCTAATTTATCCCATTCATCAATTGATCTACCATAGACCGATATTCTGTATTCACAATTTTGATATTTAGAATTTTCCAAATCAAACATAACTTGCTTAGTAATTTCGGCTAAATAGCCACCCTTGATGTAATTGTTAGTCTTTAAGAAAATTTCTCTTAGACGAGATTCACCAATTGGATTATATTTTAAGTTAAACTTATCAAATCTGTGGAAGGTATCTTTGTGAGCATGCATATCTAAAGTATCGATTGACAGATCATAACCAGTTAAATTCAGAGATTGAAACACTTCAGCTAAAGTCAATATTTTATCATCTCTGAAAATAACTTTTTCATCTTTAGAATGTCTCAATTTGTATTTGATAAAACGTAATAAATGTTTTTGATTCATGCAAGCAGAATGATGAACGTGAGTATCGACTTTTCTAACATTGTAAAAATCTCTATGTGGGTTTCTCTTAGAAACACTAGTCTCTTGATATTCATTCAATAAGATATATAGGTTCCATCTGGCCTCTAAGTATTGCAATCTTCTAAAGGCAAATGATTTTGCAGGACCATCCGAAGAAATGGAGATCATTTTATCTAGATCCAAATAATAGTCTCTCAAAGTAGGGATAGCTGCAATTTTGGCTTCAGGTTTATCGGTTTGATAAACGACATAACTATCATCATCATTTGTAGAAAATTGCCAGTTTGGATCTTCACCTGGGATTTCACATTCCTCGAAGTTGAATGTTTCAGAATCTGGTAAATTAGTCACCGGAATAACAGTTTTTGTTTCTGCATTATAAGATGGTTTTGGTGGAGCTGGATAAACTTTATAATCTTCATTATTCTTAGGGTTTTGTTCATTTTTTTGTAAGGATAATGTTTGATATTTATCTCTTAATTCTCTACATTCTTGAACCTTTGTGTATAGATCAACCAATTCTGGAGATGGATCATCAAGAACTTGTTGAGTTGAATCCTCGGCAATCATACCCATTTTATATAAAGTATTTCTATTTTTACCGTTTGATTTGGTAGCATCATCAGATGGTGGGGTTTCCCAAATAGGTCTAGATGGTTCAGGGAGAGTGTTTTGAGCACTAGTAGACAAAGTACGAGTTTTACCTGTCTTAGGAGTATTTGGAGAATCAATACCAGATCCCAAATTAGAATAATGAGCTGGCTGTTCTATGATTGAAGTATTTGGATCCACAGCCATTTGTTTACAATTACTATCAAATAATTGTTGACTTTCATGATAAGAGAAGTTAGCAGTAGTAGTTGGAGCATTTTCTTCTGGACTTTGACTACTGGCAGAGTTTTGAGGTTCTAAAGAATGTTCATTTTCTGTTAATACTAGACCTGAACTATGTTCTAGATCATCATGAGATGGGGCCGGTTCTAGTGACAAATCAGAGAAATCCTTAGCAGTCTGATTAATATTCATTGTAACGATATTTAAATAAATTACCTATTGATTCGGAATCTTCTTCTTCTTCTTAATCTCAGGGAGTCAATAGGGTTTTTTTCTAAGTTGTCAAGGATATAGGTAAAGGTCCTCCAATATTAAATGTTGCAGTGTTTTTAAAATCAACAAAAAAAGAACTCTTCTCAAGTATCACACTAAATTAGTTTGTAAATCAGTTTAGGAACGTGTCTTTGAGCAAGGGATATTGAATGCAACAATCTTGCCCCTCTCTATGTATCCTTCTTCAATCAAATTTTACTACCTTGCCCTTTCGGCTTTCCCCGTGTAAGCTCATCGCTTCACTTCAATTTAGTATCTGAAAGGGTGTGCTACCTACCGCTTTAACGCGGTACAGCCAAAAGAAAAAAAACAGAGAGATTTTCCGAGGATTGTCGTGTTGCACGATAACCCTAGTACCCTAGGGTTTGGAGGGTAGGGTTTCCTTATTTTTGTTAGTTTCTTTTGATGTTTACTTTTGTTCCGCATTTGGAAATTTTCACAAAATATGTAAATTAACGAGAGGATGGTCCAATTGCCAATATAGCATATTGGGCCGACTTTCGTTGATTGAGATGAGCCTCAAAGAGGTAGAGTATCTTTTTTTAATTTGTTTGTTATCGTTGTTGAGTTATTAATAGCTGTATTGTCATATTGTTTTTTGTTGACTGCTCACTTCTGAAGTTTGCATCTTTTTTTTTAGTCATATCCTAGCTCTAGATAATAACAATAATAGTAATAGTAATAGTAATATAGCTAACTAGAGGCAGAGATAATAGTATATCTACAGATATAAAATTATGTCTGACGAATATTTACAAGATGGGTTCGACTATATGGACCTGAAGGTGTCTGAACTACGAAGGATTTTACAAGAGAATAACATTCCTTATCCACAATCTGGTAAAAAATCAAGGTTACGTGAAATTTATGAAAATAAACTAATACCGATGATTCCAGAGATTGTTGAAAAGAGAGCAAATGGCTCTACAGTGATGACTACTCCAAGGAAAAGAGATAGAACTGAGATGGAAAGAAATAATCAAAATGAAAAAGAAAAAGATGAAGATTCTTCATCTTCTTCTAGTTCACAACATGGTACAGAGAATAGAGTGAAGAAAAGCCATGCTTCTTTCACAGATGATGAAAACGATACATCCATGTCATCTAGGGATTCATTAAGAAATGTGGTAGTGCCACAAAATGTTTCTACTCCAGTGTCAAAGAAACGTAAGGCTGAAGATAATAGCAGAAGTTCTACGGGGACTCCCATTGTTAATAAAGTACAAAAAAAGAACAGATCTTATACAGCAGATCATAGAGCTGATATCTCATCATTACCATTGTTATCATCTGATGATGATGATGATAAAGATGATTCTATTTCTGCTAATATTACAAATCATGGGAAGGAGAATCAACAAGCACCAGCTTTTGACTTTTCAGTTCAAAGAAGAACATTATCACCAGACTTGAATAAATTAAAAATATCATCTGATTTTGCTGAACGTTTAAGATTAGCTAAAAATAGTAATAAGGATAACGATACTAAAAAAGAATCTCAAACTGGTGAAAATGTGAAACTGGCAGATACATTGGGTATTAAATCGGGAAGGCCAGCATTCGAATTGCAACCCTTTATTGAAATTTCTGATTCCAGTGGAAATGATTCCGATAGTGGTGATATCATTGGAAGTAAATCATTACCACTATTAACTAAAGGGGTTCCGAATGATTATCAAGAGGGAGAACATAAAAAATCACAGTCCAAGGTTTTATCTATGGATAATGATAAGGAAGACCTTGAAGCTTACAACAAATCATTGGAAGGCCAAGATATTCTAAAAGTGAGAGTAGAATCACCAGCAGAAGATGAAACAGATGGTGTACATGGTGACGAGGTTCAAAGCTCAGAAAATGAAAGTGACGAACTTAAACCCCAAGAAGAAGAAGAAGAAGACGAAGAAGAAGAGAGAGAGGAATTAGAAGAACAAAAAGAAGAAATAGAATTAGATGAAGAAGATGAAGTGGCAGAATTAGATAATGAAATAGAGAAACAACAAGAGGAACAAGAAAATTTGGGACTTGAGTTGGATGATGAGTTAGATGAGGAATCAGAACAAAGCATAAATAATAACGAATATGAGAGGTTACACCAACGAATGGATGAAGAGCTACGTGACCAACTTTCGAAAAAAGACAACGCTGATATTGCTCAAAGTGAAAAGAAGACTGTCATGAGAGATGGAAGCAATGATATTGAGGAAGTAAAACCTCAATCAGTTTCAAGTAAAAAGGATAATAAATTTTTGTCCTTTTTGAATAATATTTCCAAATTTTTGTTCAAATTAGTTTTAGTGGTAATTTCTTTAATCATTTTGGCTATTCCAGTTCTTTTGGGTCTATGGTATAGAGAACAAAGGGTTACAGTTGGTTATTGTGGTTATGAAAGACAATCTCAAACATTCTATGATATATATCCATCCATTCAACAATTAGGTTATATCGATGAAATTTTAAAAGAATACACCCCGGAGTGTATCCCATGTCCTGAAAATTCTATTTGTTATCCATATTTAAAATTGAGATGTAGACCAGGATATACATTACAAAAATCCAAATTAAGTCTTTTTGGGTTAATTCCTATGAGTGATAGTTGTGTAAAAGATGATAGAAGAGAACAAATAGTTAGAGAAATGGTTCAAAAATCATTAGAATTTTTAAGAACAAAGAACGCAGAGATTTCTTGTGGGGAAAATGAGAATGATATCGAAAGTGGAATTTCCCAAATGGATCTATACAATATATTTGCAGAATCTCGTGCACCATGGATTGACAATGAAGAATATGAGAAATTGTGGGAAGAAGCGTTACAAAATCTTGAAAATGAACCAGAGATTATTATGAGGCAAGTGAGTATAAATGCATTTTTTATGAAACATTTTCAAACAATAATACTAACAACCTAACAGTTACTCCAAGATGGATCTAACATTCCATTCAACACCGACTTCGACATACCCACCGATGATTTTCAAAGGAAGGAGGGATATATTCAACAAACAAACGGGACTAAGGAAGACAAATATGTTCGATCTACCTCCAAAAAATACGTCGGGTTAAGATGTAGGTTTGAAAAAGAGATTAATCAGACCTATAATAAATATAAGGGCACAATTTGGTTCCTTTGTTTGATTTTTGCTATGATACAGTACACCAAGTATAAACTTAAGTCATACTTTGATAGAAAAGCCAAGATTGTTGAAATGACTGAAGAAACATTGACAAAGTTGAAGAATTGTAAACATAAAAATCCACCCTATATCAGTACAGTACAGTTACGTGATATTCTACTCAACGACGTCACAAACCTTAAGGAACGGAACAACCTTTGGAACGAAGTGGTAAAAAGGTTAGAAGCGAATAATACTAATATTAAATCAAGCCTTCTGGAGATTCATGGAGAAATTATGAAATGTTGGGAGTGGATAGGCCCTATAGAAACAAGTGAGGAACAAAGTTCTTCTGACAAAGTAATTTCCCAAAAAGACGAAGATTAAAACTATATAAGTTTACTTTTGTACAAGTTTAATGATATTTATTAAATATTTTCATGATGATTAATTCACAAATGAACACTCAAAATGACAGTTAAACACAGAGTATATACATATATGCTCAAAGGTAATTGTATAACTTTTCTGTCTACTCTAACTTATTATTCAAATAATAATTGGTGAGCTAAAGTTTTTCAAGTACTTCTCATAAAGAATATAGTAAGTATTATCTTTGAAGGTATCATATTATAGCATCACTGGCGCTGATATAATTTTTTGTTTACTGGAACAGTGCAATGTTAACATTTGCGAACAAAAAGTAAAATTAAAAATTTATTAATATCTGACTAAAAGAGAAAAAAAATTGATTAATTTAAAACTTTACTATTAAACTCCAATTGTTAACATGCAATTCAAAGAATCATTAAATAAGCGTATATAGATGTATTTATCTTTACAATATATTATATTATATCCTATAGCTACAATGTACCCTAAGGGTTTGTTCGTTTCAGATGAAGTGGATTGACTTTTGGTCTTCCTACTTCTCGCCTAGATGATCTTACTGGATTTGGAACAGGGACGTAATTATTAGGATGAACTACCTTCGAGGGAGGGGCAAACTTGGGTGCCATTGATTCACCTTGTTTTTGTTGTTCGGGAATATTATTGTTATTATTTCCAGTTGCAGGTTTACTGAGGTCAGATGAAACACTAGTATCTACGATGGTATTGGAAGAAGTTATAGATGTCTCAGGAGATATGTCTGTTGTATCCGAGATTTTCGCCGACACGGTTTCTGTATTTTCTAATTGCTTGCCTTTTGCAGCAAATTTCTCATAAACAGAATCTCTTGACTCTATTGGCCTTTTTTGATTTGCGGAAGCTACAGGTATATGTTTTGATGTTGTTTGATCAATAGTATGTTTGATTGAATGTGCTTGGTATTTAGGATCAAATACATTATCAGAAGGAATAGCATCCCTGTTCTTTTGAACAGAAATAGCTCCCTTTGCAGTCACAAAGGCAACAGGATTAACATTATTACCATTCGTACTTTCTCTAGGAACAAAATTGGATTCAACACGAGAGTTACTCATATTTAACAGATCGTCATCTTGAAAATCATCACTCATGGTAAAAGAATCATCTAGTAGATCCTCATGCTCGAGATCAAGGTTTGGATTTGGTGTGTTCGAAGGATTTAGATTATTACCTATGGAAGGATTTGCTGGATGTATATTCTTTGTTGGGACAGGTACAGATGGGGTTGTAGTCACTTTGTTATTTACTCGTATAGGTATACTTGTGCTGTTCGGACCATTAGATGGCTCTACTTTAGTTAGTTGTCTTCTCTTGTTTGGTAGATCTATATTTTCGTCATGCACTTCCTTTGTAGGGGCCCTAGATCTTTCTGAATACTCATCAGATGCTCGGTACAAATTTGCTTCTTCAATATCAGGTGGATCATATTTCATTTTATCAATCTTACTTAGAAAATCTTTATCATAGAAACAATTACCTAGCGCATTACCGTAACATCTCATTGCTCTCTTCAGTGCATCAGTAACTGCAGTCTTTTTAGCATTTTCAAACGCAACACCTTTTCTACGTTCATTCTCGGAAGTACCGTATCCGACATCCTCTCTATATGAACCATTTGCTAGAGATACACGAATAATGGCAGAACAACCAATTGAATATCTTCCTTGTTTTTCATCAAGAAAATCGACTGTGACACTTTTAACATCAGTAGACCAACCATTATAACCAAAAATTTGATTTGCTAAATTAATAACTTTCCAACCTTCGACATATGCAATCTTATTCTTCCCGAAACCGATCCTCTTAGATACAAACTCAGGACCTAATTTCTTTTGCAATTTATATTGAATCTCCTGATCTGAGGGAAACACAGGTTTCTTTTCATCCATTTTGTCTTTAAACTAAAAATATAAAATTTGGCAACTTTCTTAATTGAAAATAATACAAAAACAAACAAACAACGGCGGCTGGTTTCAAAATACTCGACAATTGATATAGCAAATATTACAATCGTGCCAATATGGATCTTCGTTTCCTCAATACTTTATATTCGTTGTCACGAATTAAATTTGGTGGCAATTCATTAATTTATCGATGAACTTGGTTTTCATTTTTTGATGTTTATTTACTTTGGGTTACCCTCAGAATATGAAAAAAAAAAGACAGACAGAAAACTAATTGAAAGTGCAGAGGTTTCTTGATTTCGAGTATGGATTTGTATTTTCCAAAGCATCAAACTGGCAAAGTGGATACGAAATACACAGAGCTATTTTAAGAGGTGTAAAGAAATCATATAGGAGATAGTTCATCAAATATCTCAGCAAAGTAGAATTGTCATTTATACCCATATATACACATATTACCTTATTTCATATAAGCATACATACACAATGTCGAATGTCATCCGCGATGTGCACACCAGGTACAGTTATAATACTATCTTTAGTGACATATGCAAGACTCGTTTTAATAATATGATTGTGAGGTTTTTCCTCAGTATAACATTTATCCAAACTCTATTGATTACGTTAGCGTCACGATACAATGCTTCATGGATACAAGGGATATTATTATTCTTTCCTAAATATTTGGCGTTATATTTTGTCGCTATATGTTTAATAATAAGCAGAAAAAATTTCCTACACGTCAATTCTTTGGGTTATTCAAGCTTCGTGACTCAAATTGTTGGTGGGGTTTGTTCTTTTAAAGCCATTGTCTATTATGTAACATATTCTGTCTGCAGTATAATGTTAGGAAATAGCATCGGTGATAATAGAATCCTTTACTCTTTGTCCTTCCATAATATTGAAAACTATAGATTATATACATGGTTCCTAATACCTTTGGTATACACCGTACAACATGTCTTTTTCGATGCAGACAAGTTGACTTTCAGTATCGATTCACAATATCAAGCTCCACAACAATATATTACTTTGAGATTAGAAAAAATCTTAATTAAAAGTTCAGTATTATCTGTAATTTTATTATTGGCTGCTCCACTTACATATAAAACACTTGGATGGTCTATGTTTTTACCAATCATTACACAAATTCAATTATTGATTTTATCATTCATATTGTTTCTACAATTTGAAATTATAAATGTTACTTTCAATGCCCATATGTCTATTGGTTGCTTACATAAAGGGAAACCAATCTCATCATTATCTCCTTCTCCAATAGAGACTTTAGTGAGTGGATTAAGTAGTAAGAAACCATTTACCAAATTAACTGCATTTCAAGAATTATCATACAGAGCTACATCTAACGATACATCTTTGAGATTACCAATATATTCCAGTCAAATGAAAAATACAAATCCATGGTCAAATATTTTAACTGAATGTATAAGAGTCATTCAAACTAATAACATTACAGTTAACAATTATTTGACTTCATTGGAGAATACAATGTCTAAAAATAAGAGATTACAAAAGGATACATTAAGAAAAGGCTCTCTTGATGAACACGAATCGGATATATTTGGTAATCAACCATTTGCTACTAATAAAGAGTTCAATACTGATTATCCATCAAATGTTTCCTTCGATAGCAATATTAATGGTGTAAATGCTCATAGAATTTCTTTACATGATGATAATATATTATTGAACAGAAGAAAGAATAGTTCATATTATAACCAACACAGTTTTTCAAATATGGGATCAAACAATTTGAGTGGTCTTGATGCTTACCGTTCTTACAATGAAACTATCATTACCAGAGACCCCAAGATAATTATCTTAATTAAGACTATCATTAATAAAATTAAAAATTCCATTGTATCATTTTTCTTTCCAGCCAGTTCTAATAATAAGGATTCACAATTACCTCAATTAACATTATTTGATCTTTGGTATTTGAGTAAAGAGAGACAAGCAGAAAAATTAATCCCATTAGCAGTATGCCATATGGAAAGTATTGTTTCATTAATGGGATTTCTGATAAAAGCTATTGATGAATCACCAAAGGGTAGCGTTGTTGCTTCTGTCGGTGAAGTATTAAAACATTTAGAGAAATCTGTGGCCATATTGGGGAAATTCAATGAGTGGAGACCAGAGAGTAACACCAGTGGAGTGACTTCTAAAATGAATGGAGAAGATGAATCTACGAAATCCAATGATGTGATATCTTTATTATATGAATTATCAATCAGCGCATTCTTGGAGATTGTACTAAAATATAACGTATTATTAAATGATGTTTACTTAGATGAGGATGTCATTAAACTAAGCAAATGGGTATTAGACATGTGTGCAGAAGAACAAGACACAATCTCCACCACTCACTACTAACACTAATGCATCTTTTTACCTTTCTACTCTGTTATTTGCATACTTCCTCTGTACTTTCAAGCATAATCTCCATCAAATGGGTGACATATTTATATAATAAGAAATTATAAATATATATATATATATATAAGCACAGAGTGTACTTTAAACATAAAAAGGGAATGATCCCTTTGACCTTCAAACTAAGTCAAATTTTGCTCAAATAAGCTCAACTTCACTGTTACTTACTTCTCCCGGGAATGAGTTAAGTAGTCTCTAACGGAACACTCCGCGTTCTCTCATCAAATTAATTTTTATTTACTGAAATTTTTTGGCACAAACATATTAATTTTTTTGTTAAGCGAACAAGTGGAAAAGTAAGGAGTTGTGATTTCATAGGTAGACTGACTTTGTTTAAGGTTTTACAAAGAGGATTATCAATTAGCTTGATTACAATTTAATATATTTTAGCTTACTCTAAGTTCTAAACTTCATTTTCACATGTTATAACAGAGTTACAAATAGTCACTCTAGTTATAAAAAGTATTTAAGACGTGTATCCCCTTAAAGAAGAATAACAGTTAGAATTGAAATATCCTTCTAGCTCCCCTTCCATTCAGTGCTATCGATATAACGTTTATAATTATTAATTTTGAATAAAGATGACAAGTATACCATCTAGTTTCGATATGGGTCCAAAGGATGCCGACGATTTGGAAGAAATGTCCTTTGGTCAAAGAATTGTTTACCATTGTAAACAACAACCATTGGTCCCTATTGGTTGTTTATTAACCACTGGTGCAGTGGTAATGGCAGCTCAAAGTATCAGAACAGGTAATAGTCGGAGAGCTCAAAATTTCTTCCGTTGGCGTATTGGTTTCCAAGGTGCTACATTAATTGCACTAGTGGCAGGTTCATTCTTATATGATAATCACAGAAAAGATATGAAGACAAAAGAAGAATTAATGAGAGAAAAGGCTAAGATGAGAGAAAAGTTATGGATTCAAGAATTAGAGAGAAGAGATGAAGAAGCTAAATCAAGAAGAAAGAGAGCTGAATTAGCAAGACAAAAGACTAAAGAAAATGAAGAAATTATTAAGAAATTAGAAGGTGAACTAAAAGAACTGGAATCTAAAGTTACACCAAAATCAAAATAAATCTAATTAATATTTGTTCGGCTCCCCTTCTCAATTTATTTATTCACCTTCTTTATTATAATGTATCTTTTTTCCAATAGCCCTTACGTTTATGCATGTACATAATTGATATATATATATTATTCATTATATTTGAATGTTCCCACTCACTTCCCTATATTTAAGACCTCATTAAGGAAACTCGACCCCTCGTCCCAGGTGACGCAAAATACCGATGGGGCCCATTTTGATGTCGAAGAACTGAAAATGATTACCTCAAGAAACAAGAGTTCAAATGTATATTCATTAATATTTGCACAACTCGGAGATGGTAAAATTAATAGGTACTGTCAAATTTTTGAGAAGGGACGTGTTTGCAACGGAATGACAACGTTTAGCGATGAAGGTGAGATCTGCAAACAAGGTTCTAGAAAATGCGAAGGCCATATTAAAAACAAACACGCACATATATACGCCTCAGCTAATCCATTGTCTTATCTCAAGCAGGAGCATAACCTTGTAAAAAAAACTGCTACCGAGTGAAGAAACAGATGGTGAAGTTTTAGTATGGTCAACAAAAGGCACCAGTTACAAACTTTTCAGCTCTCTCCTTTGGAACGACTTATGATATCATTTATGTTTGCAAGTTGCTCCTTCTCTGTGTGGGATAATCAGTATGTTAAAAAAGGAATTGTGTTTGCATTCCCTGATAGTCCACCAGGAGAGTACAGAAGGACTTGCTCAAATATCATTACCAAATTATTAGGTAGATTTGGTAACTACATCCAGGATGAATTATGAGAACTGTAACAGTGATTTAAGAAAGATAATAAGGCAACTTGTATTTTTGGAATTTGATGACTACTATGTCTAGCTCAACAAGAGTATAATCGTCTGCTTGAATGTAAAATGAAACGTGAAAGAATTCAAAAGAGAGAGGAACAAAGTGGAACCAGTTACTTTAGAATAAGCGAGCGCAAATCAATTAAACTTGGCGATACTGATATTTTTCTACTTAAAGTGTCAGTGCACTTAGACGTGCTGCGTTCGTATAAGCAGGAGGCCGACAGAAACGAAGGTCCACCTACGACTCAAGTGGAGATCACTGCATTATTGAATTATTTCCTTTCTTTTGCAGTCACACCAGTAAATGCAGAAAGGTCCTTTTCGAAACTGAATAGGATATACGGGAATGACAGACATCGCTTGATAGATCGAACAACACTCGCATTAGTTAATGTTATCAGTGTTAACGATTCTTACCTAGATATAAATATTAAGTCAGGGTTTGCAACCCAACATTTATCGAAAGCTCTTGGTTTCAGTGGGAAAATTGGTTCAGTAAAAGAGTAAAAATATTACCACTTCATTTGTATGATACTATATAACAAACCACTGTATATTAGAATATATCTAAATGTTATAAATATCAATTAATCTAACCAGATTTAAAGAAAAAAATAAAACGATTTGCAGTTTCTTCTTTTTTAAAGACCGAGTGTATGAAGTTTTAAACTAAAGACACATAATGCTATCATGTAATGGGCTTAACCGGCAAAAACAGATATACTACGACTGAAAGTTAAGTAGCATCCCGAAATTTAAGAAGGGAGATCAATTCTTAACATTAATACTCAAGCCTTCTATCCAAACCAGGTACTTAGGTGGGTTACAGTCCCTGAAATATCCAATAGCTCAACTAATGTATACTAAGTGCTCCTCCATTTTTAGCTTGAAAAGTTTCTGGCTCGCCCCCATTTGGCTAATCATGAGGCACGAATATCTTCAATGGGTTGCAATCTAACTCTCTCTCTCTAAATTAAAATTGCGGACAGTGGAAAATCAAAAAAGTCATAATTGAAACTGTTTACGTCATCACTTAGGGTATTTTCAACAAAAAAAGTAGAAGTAGCTTGAATCAACAAGTTAAACATTTGAAAGCTCACATGAAATTGTAATTGTTTAACAGTTGAGCTAAAGATTGTGTATTACTTTTGAACCAAAGAATTAGGCAGATAGTAAAAATTCCTATTTTCTTTCTTCTAAATTTCATATACACATATATAGGTAGTGTTATAATGTTTGAATTAAAAGTAGAAAAACCATTAAATGTATCGATTTATAGCTCCAATTTAGAATTAATAAATTCAAATTTGATTGTAGCAGTACATCCAAAGACTACAATTCTCAGATTATTACAATATGTGCATTATCAATTGTCATTGAACCATTATGAAAACAACAGTATTCAGTTGGAGGATGTAGCGGCCTACTGTTTGAAACTCGAGGAACAAACAGTTCCATTAGAGTCCTCAATAGAGTCTCTTATCACTGATAATACATTATCACATATATCGATGTCGTTTGAACTATCTGAGGCGAAATCCTTCAGCGCCTTGAATTTACAATATGATCCCGTCACGGATTTTGGCATTACTAATATCAAATACGAAGTCAATATTTTATCCAAATATAAATTTCTTCATAATATAGAATATCAAATTCCATTGGATACAAAAGTTTCCAGGTTGGAAAAAAGTGCTTTGGAACATTTGATATATGAGGAACAGTTTTTAAACCACGACAACAAATGTCACTTGGGTCATGAGCATACAGTAGAGAGTCTCGTAGCGTTAAAATTAAACGGTGAAAGTGATGTTATTCAATTAACAGAAGAAACAAGATATTTTTATATGGATCTCACTCTAAAGGATTTATTACACATTGATTTTGCACCTTTAAAGGATAACGTATTTACAATAATGGTTTATGCTAAACACGAACAAAATATCGCTGATCTACAAGATATTCATATGATAGAGCTGATATCTAATTCAAAATTGTTTCAAAAGTACATGCTTCTGGATTCCAGAACTAGCGTTGGAGAAGTACGTCAATTTGTTTGTGATGTTTACAGTGCATCACAAACAATTTCTCCTAAAGATGTGAAATTGATATATAAGGGCCAATTAGTTCACGATAAGAATTTTGCTGAAAATGATGCTAGAATACTAAGTTGTATCGATATGAGGCACGGTGCCCAACTCCACGTACAGGTGACTGAACAACAAACTTATGGCTTAACTGATTCATTTTGGAATGAACCGGGACTTGTCGACGATGTGCCAAACCAAGTACATCAAAATAACACTCCAATATCATCTGTGAATGAAATTCCAGGATTGGATACTCCAATTGCCATAAATATTAATGAGGAGACCAAACCACATTTTGTCACAGAATCTGGGAGACCGATAAATGTGTCATCAGATATGATAGCTACTTACGGTGATTACATAGAGGGTTCCTTGGAAGATGGCTATGGTAACTCTGAAGAAGTGCTTGTTTCTGCTGATATATTAAACAAAACACAAGGAAATATACTTATTGGAGACCATTTAGAGGTGAATGTTTCAACAGATGGTCAAGATTATATTATTGATAGAAAACAAAATGTGTTAAGAATAAATCCACAGACGATCGAACAGATCGAATCACTCACAGGTAACTCAATTATGTATCACGGAGTAACAAACAAATTTCCTCAAGTCGATAATGACAGTAATAGTGGGCTATCAACAAGGATAAGAGAATTGTTAAATAATGAACTCAATGATCCTGAAATTCTTCAAAGAATGGAATTATTATTCAACCGTCAAACTTCATTGCAAAGATTCCAGGGGTTATCTATAGGACAAAAAATCATATTTAGTGTTAAGAAATTATTTCAATTTTTAAAGGTTTGTTCATTAACTGTGGTATATTTAATATGGTATATGTTTCTTCCTATAGCGGCTACAATCGAGGTTGGATTTTTCTTACCTCCATTTCTTACAATATCAATCCTTATAGTCTATACTATAGTAATGTTTTTCCGTTCGAATAAAATCATTGATATGTGGACTGATTTCTTAGAGTTACTAATATTAAATGAAGAGGATTATAAGAGAGTAAAATTGTTTGTATTACCAGAATATACCTCAATAAGAACTTTAAGACACGAGGACCAGGTCAATAGTAGTCCGATGCCTAAAAAAGTATATGAAAAAATTCAAGAGAAACCTTCATTATATTCATTATTCTTATTATCTGCATTAGATGATGTACGTCATTCATTATATGACCAATACCAAATTAATCAAATGGGGAATATGACCGAAGATGATTCATTAAAGGAATTATTTCGTCAAATCAAGACAGGAGCAGTTGAAATCAGTGACGCTAATAGAATGTTAGAGATTCTTTTCATGATCCATGAGTTGCAAGCATTTGAAAATAAACAACAGGAGAATGATTTTTATAGAGTGTTAGCTATTATTAAACAACAAGCTGATCTTCAAAATCTTGAAGCTGTGGAACCTGTCAGACGTAGTATCATTATAGTTAGAAGAAGAGCAGAAGAATTGCCTAATTTAATTGCAGAATATATTGTCCCAGATCCACTTAGAGATGACTATGTAATGGCTGTTACAAAGAACATTGTCCTATGTCTTGTATTATTCCTACCATTTTCCTCTCGTTATGTTGATGTTGTCATCCAAAGACGAGTTGACGAACGTACAAGGGAAAGATTACAAAGAGCTCGCGAAGATCAAGAACATGATTTTGAACAAGTAAACTCTGATCATGATAATACTACTATTAATAATGGTGAGGATAGCGAAGGTATCACTGAACTAGACCCTGCCGTCATCGAAGAAATTGCACCTGAACGTGGAGAACTTGACAGCATCGGTGACCTTTCACCAGAGGAAGAAATCATTGAAGATATACTTACAAATGGTGATGAAGGTGATGATATTGTGAATGCAACTGGTGCAATGTTCCATACACAGTCGTAAATAATACATAAAATGCGAAGTAAATATATATAGATATCCATATAGACTACTACATAATCAATTGAAAACAACAACCAAAGTACGTCATTACTAATCAATGAAAAAAAAAATAAAAGTAAAATACGAGCTAATAAATGACTTCTAACCTCTCAGTTTATCCGATTCTCGAGCTAGTTCCACTGTAAGTTTCATGGACAATGAAAAAAAAGACAATATATTGTGCACATTAGATTGAGTCCAGACATTCACCGAGTTATGACAAATAATCATTGGAACGACGAAAAATGAAATTGATCATCGAGCGATAAAAAGCGTGCGGTGTTCCCATAGTAAAGAATTTGCGATGCCGAAAAAATGCTAAATGCAGCGAGCAAAAAAGATGGGCGTGAAAGAAGAAGGGGAGAAACAGGGGAAGGGACCCAACATATATAAAGGGGCCAAGGATACAAAGTGTTAAAACTCTTCCCATTGATTTATATTCTCTCTTCTTCTTTAATAGTTTTCAATTATATTTTTTATAAGTTATATAATATATCCATACAATTCAATAAAGAATTAAACAATACAAAACAAACAAAAAAAATGGTCGCTCAAGTACAAAAGCCAGCTCCAAGCTTTACCAAGACTGCCGTCGTTGATGGTGTCTTTGAAGAAATTTCTCTAGAACAATACAAAGGTAAATATGTTGTTCTAGCCTTCGTTCCAATGGCTTTCACTTTCGTTTGTCCAACTGAAATTGTTGCTTTCTCTGATGCTGTTCAAAGATTCAGAGATCAAGGTGCTGAAGTTTTGTTTGCTTCTACTGATTCTGAATACTCTTTACTAGCCTGGACTAATGTTGCTAGAAAGGATGGTGGTTTAGGTCCAATTGATATTCCATTATTAGCTGACAGAAACCAACAGCTATCTAGAGACTACGGTGTGTTAATTGAAGAAGAAGGTATTGCTCTAAGAGGTCTATTTGTTATTGATCCAAAGGGTATCCTAAGACATATTACTATTAACGATTTACCAGTTGGTAGAAATGTCGAAGAAGCCTTAAGAATCGTTGAAGGTTTCAAATGGACTGATGAAAATGGTACTGTCTTACCATGTAACTGGACTCCAGGTTCTGCTACTATCAAACCAGATGTTGCTGGTTCCAAGTCATACTTTGAAGAAGCTAACAAATAAACAAACAAACTGAGGACTTCTGAGACCTAAGCTGTAATTAGCTAACTTATATATATACATATATATACATGAAGAGAGGTTTCTTTTCATAAACTGACGAATACATATATTCTAATAATTATTAAATTAACAAACAAAAAGAAATCTAAGTTTAAATTATCACTTCTATATGCAAGTAGATTAATAATACTCGTTCGAGTGTTTTTTAAAATTCAATGGCTTCGTCTCTCTCACGTGGACAAATTTCAAGTTGGAATAAAGTCGTGTTGTAAACTGATCAAAAAACCATAACACAATGAGTCTTTTTTTTTCAATACTTCTATTTCTGATGTAACAAACAATTACTAGTTACATATTTTTTCAATAATTTCTAGAACCAAATGTAAAGTTTCTAAATTTGATAATTCTTAAAGGTATTAAAAAAACGAAACACAATAGATATGTAAAACTAATATAAATTGAAAAACGCGGAATTCCTCATTAGGAATTAAATCTTATGTATTTAGAAGCTTTTGTGACCAGCCAGATACCAAATTACCAATATTCAATTAACTTCAAATTAATTTTTACCTCTTCTAGCATACTATTATTTAACCAATAAACAATTAATTTTAGAATTCCACGTGAGAATCACGTGGAAACTGCTAATTACGTTTCCCAAATTGGAACCTCTCACCAAAAGATTTAATTTAAAGAGAAAATAGTACGCGCAATATTAAAAACTCAAGCCACAGAGAAGCGCATTCCTGTTTGTGCAACCTTTTCTTACTCGATGAAACTTTTTAATTTAATTGAAATTCTTGAAAACAAAACAAAAATTTGAGCGCGTCTTCAGGGTAACGCCCTTTTATATATGTGATAGAGATTGAATCTGTTCCCCCATAGCAGCTCTCAACAAAATAGTGGTGAAGGCGCGACGCGAAACTACCCCCAAAACGCGGTCAGTTATTTTTTTATTTTTCCCGTCATTTTCTGCGTAAAGACAGTGGAAGAAAACTCATCGCGTCCTAAATTGGCCAAATTGCCCAGGAGCGAAATTGTTAGAGAGAGAGAGAGACGCAGTACAAAGTTTGCAAACCAGCTCGACGATTTTTATTTTTTCTTTCATTAATGGGTATGCTATAAACTACTTCTCTAAAGAATATACGTACCATTTTCAATTATCATCTTAATTGGGTACAATGATTCCTAATTAGGTGAGAGATCGGTTTTCCCGTTACTTGTTTTAGAAGTTAACGTATATTATTTTTAAAAGTAATAAAAGATCTATCTATTAGTTTGTAGTGGGCCAAACTAAAACTATTTGGTATTCACATCTCCCGATGAGGTAACAAACACGAACTGCAAGTAATGTTTTTCTTTGTTAATTTACTACAAACAAGGTCAATTAATTGACATGTTCTTTAAAAACTCAAAAATGCGGTTATTCCTCTCTCTTTCTTTCTTTTGCATGAGGGCTCACACATATACAGACACGCTTGTAGTTCAAAAAGGAATCATCATCATTCATTAAATCAATTTTCTTAGTCTGTTCTTTATTAATTATATTAAATTACGTTTTATACATTCTACGTACTGCAGTTCTTATTTTTATTTTTAATTTACAATAAACTTTATTGTTCTGGAGTTGCTGTGTTGTCCCAATCTAGGTCTATTATTTCGAGACTATTCAGGTAATAACTGACGTCTACGTGAACCTGACAGTAAATAACCTACATAAAACTTAAGTAATTTATTTCGTATCTGTTTATTATTATCTTATGTTTATTATTGATTTTCTTTTCTCTCTCGAAATTTATTTTAATTAAATAACTTATTTGGTATTAATGATTTAATAAACAATATATATAAGTGTAAAGTATATATCAAACAGTTTTATTATTCTGTTTTTTATTTTCTGGAAGAACACAAACTTTTGGTCAAAATTTATCTAACATTTTACTGCCTATTCTTTTCTCATTTTTATTTTTTTCACTTTTTAGATCATCAAGTTATTAAATTTATTTCAAAATTATATCAACAACAACATTTAATAATGATGTCTAATAAGAAACCTCTACTACCATCCCTAGCCTCATTATTGACCCATGAACCTACAACCTCAACATGTTCAGCTCCATCTTCACCATTTTTTGAATCATACAACAAGAATAGCTTTCGTAGTGATGACCAAGGAATAATTAGATTACCACCTCTGTCAGCTACTTTGGCATCGCGTCCAAGATCTATCGAGTCTGCAGTTAGACAATCTTCTATCTCATCTGTAGTATCCGCCCCTGCTTTAGTTACATCCACTAGTACTTTATCACAATTGCCTACTTCTGATAATGAACTTAAGACACCTGCATCCTCTTCCCATTATAAGATAAATGCTGCAAACTCTATTGCAACTACAACTAGTAACGTTACAACTATGTCAACACCATTTCATCAACCACCATCTCCAAGGCATATGAATCAAAAATTCTCAGTAAATACACCATCCACACCAATGGTTAAGACAAAGACTCCACGTAGTAATCGTAAGAAGATTGATATGCTTACACCTTTTACTGCTGTAAAGGCTTCCATTACTCCATCGAGTAATGAAAAGAAACGTGCTTTTGCGTTTATTACACATTCACAAGAGACATTTGGTGTTAAAGAACCAAAGATTGATAATGCTCCCTTAGCTCGTCGTAAGAGAAGAAGAACTTCTGTCCAAGAGTTAAATATTTTACAAGCTGGATTTGAAAATTGTCCAACTCCAGATAAGAAACAAAGATTAGCATTAGCTGAACGTTGTTCAATGACTGAAAAAGCTGTTCAAATCTGGTTTCAAAATAAGAGACAAGCTGTTAAAAGACAAAGACTCGCTTTATCAAAACCAATTTCTACCTCTAACGACAATAATGATGATAAATGTGACACTGAACTACATGAACAATCTACACCATTGGCACCAAAGAGTTCAATCGATACTGATTCTAGCAATGCTGACTTAAGCTTGACTGACAATTCCATTCCAAGTTTATCCATATCTTACCAAAAGAATCAAACAACACCAACAAGAAAGACTAAAAATTTCTCACCAACAAAACGTTCCCCAACTCCAACTAGAGGTAGAGGACAAGCTTTAACATTCCACTTAAAAACTGACAAGAAAATATTGACTCCAATGAAGACATCTCCAAATAATAAAGTTAACAAGTTGATTAATGGCTACAATGACAGTATCTTAAATCAACATCGTCATAACACATCTTCTGAAAACAAATTCTTGGCAGGTTCTCCATCAAAGAAGAGCTCAAAATCAAAATTAGAGTTTAAGACTTCTTTAGAAAAAACACCTCTCAAGGAAATAAATACAAACATCATCAAGAGCTAATTCTTTTTTAACCGATACTTATTTCTTTTTCTTTTATCAGCAATTATAAATTTTGATCGGTGTGTTACAAAATGTTGTCACATTCGTTCCGGTACTAAACATTTGGGCATTATTATTCATTATTCTTTTTCTAAATCTTCTTACAGTCATTTTTTAAAATTCCATTTTCAACTTAAAGATCACATTCCATGCATATAAGTCACTCCAGACTTTTATAAATATAAACATAAATATACATTCATACATATATATACAGACGTCAAATATATACATAATGTACTCTCAATTTATCTCAACGCGCATGTTGATACTTCTCTCAACTGCTAAAATATTGAATTCAAAAGAGTGTCAAACTATCAAACATGAATGGGACTTAGAGGAACGGATAGGAGGGAACCTTAAGAGTATACACAGAGGAGAATACATGTACATGGCCATGAATATATAGTGATAATATACGAGTATAGTTTAGTTTTGAATGTAGTTCTTACTCGCTTGTAATGATCACTGCAACAGAAGAACTTTTATTAGCATAGGTTTATCCAAGGGCATGAGTAAAATACAGTCAGAGAGAACATTCAACACCATAAGGTAGACATCCTTCACGACAATCAAGTTGCTAGAGTAGGAGAAGGAGCTTCACAATTATCCACCGAATCTTTTTATTCACTTCGATAGGAAAGAAATACAAGTATTTATCAAGAGGTGGTTACAACATTGCGTCCAGTGCTAGGCGAAAAAGAATACAATTTGATTGCTTATTGTGACTCTATTTAACGACTTTACAAAATTTGAAATGCTTTAGAATAAACTGATATGCAACACCAATGTGGTAGATACGTCTACGTCACATGTTGCTTACCTTGGACTGTGTGACACTTATCTGACAATGGTGACCGTCACCATGGGCAGTCACTCTCTCCTGTTCGCGTCTTTTAAACAGCCGCGCAGGGCAAATGAAAATAATAAACACAGTTAACGTCACAAACTATTTTCAATCCCTTAAGACAGCTTTGGTGATTGGGATGATATAAAACAGTCAGAAAAGGAATTAGAACCTTTTCCCCTTCTTCTGTCATCTGTTATAGTTACAACATTTTGGCTTTAAATATAGTACGACAAGTTAATCATCTTGAAGAAATAAACAAAGGCACATTATATTAGATATACTTGGAGGCTACTGAGATGAATTTCCTCTATATGTCGGCACCCTAGCTCCCGATATTTGTGCCCAATATATGCTTGATTGTCTATAGTTGGTTTCCAATATGTGCATAAAAATATCGCCGAGTACGCACAAAACTCTCGATAAAATTGAATATCTTCTTCATGCAGCAAACTAGACCCGAGAGTAAGTTCAATTGATATAAAACCAATATGAACAAGGACTTAGTTCCAGTTACCTACAATGGAACTGCTCTTCACGTACTTTCCTGCTCCAAGAGACAGCAAATAATAATATAAAGACGTAAAATTTTTGGAATTTCCAAAGTTATCTCCTCGGTATATACAAATTGTATGCACTTCCACACAACAATGTTCAAGAAAATTAAATAAAATATTATCCATTTTGTCTTTTTCCCGACAAACAATCAAGTTATTTCACGGATTCTTACATCTGAAGTTAAATATCATTTACGATGAAGTACTGACTGTCTCCTTGTGTTGATTGTTTAAATACCCAATGACTCAATGACTTCGAGATACCTTTGGAAATTTAACTAAATGTATATCACTGTATTCTATTCTTTACATAAAAACATGACACCTATTTATTCCTACGAAATGTTCGATATTTACAAATTTTTTTATTTGTAACCTTCGAAAGTTAATAATGCTGTATTAATACTATTTTATTTATTTATTTGTTGTAATATCTAGTGATATAAACGTATATATCCACGTATATAAAAAGATGGAAAAAACTTAAAGAAAAATGAAAATATTGTCAATAATATATGATATAATTTAAATTCTTAAGCTTAAGATCTTCTTCTACCAGTGGTCTTGGTATGTTGACCTCTGACACGTAGACCCCAGAAATGTCTGATACCACGGTGGGCTCTGATCTTCTTTAATCTTTCCAAATCATCTCTTAATTTAGATTCGACTTGGTTAGCTAGAGCATGGTAGTCCTTACCGTCAGCAATATCTCTTTGACGGTTCAAGAACCAAGCTGGAATCTTATATTGAGTTGGGTTTTGCATAATTTGAACAATTCTTTCTAGTTCTTCTTGGGTTAGTTCACCAGCTCTCTTGTTTAAGTTGACATCGGCCTTCTTACAAACAAGGTTGGAGTAACGACGACCAACACCCTTGATGGTGGTCAAAGCGTAGACGATCTTAATGTTACCGTCAACGTTAGTGTTTAACAAACTGTAATAAAATTATAAGTTATTTGGAATGTAAGGTACATTTCGAATAAACCATATATATTTGTTAGTAAAAAGGAAAATAAATTAATTTAATTGGGAATTAATAATATTGATTGAGAACATTATAGAAGATAAATCGTAATGTTTTGACTGATTACAACATCTGATTAAAATCCAATGGTGGTACAAACGTATCTGCTCATTAAAACTTCACGTAGTTGTTCAAAAATGGATGAGTATATGCTACTTTTATATTGTACATCATTTATGATTATTCACAAACATGTTTTAGATTATTATCATGCACTTCTTAATCGTCGTGGATAGGTTATCATTTAAATTAAGGATTTCTCATTATTTCTCATTGGATCAATTCATATCTATTCATCACCTCGATAAGTCTCAACCATATATATATCTTCATATCACTTTAAAAACATACCGTAAAATGTGTTGGAAAGAACCTTGTTCTTGGACGACTAGAGACATCTTGTTAACTGGGTTTGGCTGTGGGTTCTTTAATATATGAATAATAGATAATTGCTATTAAATAATAATTCAGTTACTTATATGTTAATAGCACTTAGTCAATCACAATTTTTTGCTGATGTTTGCGTAGTATCAAAGTTCAACTGGTATTGAGAGCTACTACCTTCCCTACAGTATGTTGAATAATATTCATTATGCCTGTGCATATTCCTTGTGAAGATTTCCACTTCCCTGCTCTGCAAATGTTTCACTTTTCCTTTTGAAAAAAATATCTTGAATAGCGCGTGAGTGATACATTTCTTTCTTTGTCCCTACTAAATTTTATCTAAAAAAAATCGATTGAAGTATTACTGGATGTAGGGGTGGAGCGGAAGGGTGTCCGGATGCACTGACAGTCAAAGCAACAACTATCAAACTCAAATACTAATGTTTGTTTAGAAAAAGGGATCATATCTACGAATATGGACCAACAAAGAATAAAGAATAGATTATTTATTTGATTAGAATATGCATTTCTACTTTTTCTGTTTTTTACACATATATATACACGATAATTATAAGTATCACATATCCTATCAAAAGGTGATCATGTGGACAATGCAGTAAATTCCTCTGCTAGATACTTTAGAGCATCTTCTTCAATAAATATTTTACTTGCTTTTAATAAATCATTAACCTCAACACCTTCTTGTTGTACGACATCTACTCTATTTTTGTACATGTCAGTATATTTCAATAAACCTGGTCTTGTGTCTGATGTGATAAATAATAGTCTCTTCCCTTCATATTCATGCTCTTTTAAGAATTTCTTAAACATTACACTGCTAAAATTTGGTTTCGTTTTCCCATCATTTATCTCTATATCAAGTTTATTGGAATCCGTTTCACTAGTCGGTTTTATCGAATTCATATTACCTATTATAAATAAGTTTCCTTCTTTATATTGGTGACTTAATGCAGTTCTAAAGGCCAAATGATATACTTTATTTGGTAAATCTGTGGTATAGTCATTTGGTGCGTTTCTCGCTAAAGCAACACCACCTTTATGTCTTGTTGGCGAATTAGCATCACCTACTCTTGCATTACCGGATCCCTTTTGTGGTAGAATTTTATGTCTAGAGTAACCGTTTTCACTTCTACCAGGAGGATTAGATGCACCAACACGTCTGTTATCATTTTCATGAACAACGGCACGCCATAGGATATCACGCCTTAATGGTACTCCCAACACCGATGTAGAGATAGGTATACATGACAATGGTTCAAGTGAAGGAAATACTCTTAGTGTGGCTAACGTATATGCAGGTGGAAGTTGACTATTAGGAAGGGTTTTCGAGGTTCCTGATATAGAACGTACAATATTTAGTCTCTGAAACAAAAAAAACATCAAATTAATGATAATAATCATTGTGTTAGTAAATCGAAAAATTAATCGTAGAAAATAAAAAAATAAAACATAATTTAACATACTATATTTGTACTTTTCAACATTATTACGAAGGAAAAAATAAATATATGAAAGTTTTTACAGTTTATTGACAGGGGTTTACTTTAACTTCAGTTGCTGTAAAACTATATTGTTCTTATCTCTTCTATATGAAACACTACTTCAATCCAATTTCTAAGGATTCTTGATATATTTATTTATTTCAATTGATTCTCAAATTAAAAGCCGAATTATGAAACAGTGATAATATATAATAAATTTCGTCAAACATGATTTCGGACATTGTACCAGAAAAACAAAAATGTTTTGACCGTTTTCAAACACCCATGCATCACAAGGTACATCCTTACACCTATTTGATACTTAATTATTAATTTTTATTTTTCGAATACAAATTTAAAAAAATTCAGACGGATAGTTGGCAAACACATTTTATACTGAAAAATTTAAACAAGATTAATTCGAAAATGTCAACCTTTCCATAGTGGTTTCACGATATTGTCAGTCTGTGCTGGTGACATAGTGTGCTTCAACATACTACCTGTTACACTGAATCTTTGTATTACCTTCGTATAGACATCGATTCCGAATTAGTATTGTATAGATTACTAGTATAGACATTAAAGTTATAAGTACTAAAAGAATAAAAGCCTCCTTACTATTAGATAAAGTTTCTTGATTACATAGATAGAACAAACCGAGAACCAATAATACAAAAATGGTACGTTAACTTTTTGAATGAAGGAAGAGGAATGAATGCTACTGAAGAACTTATGAGAATACTTTAAAAAGAACTTTCAAGTAACTTGCAAGATATTAAGATAATGTTGATATAAATGAGCAAACTTCACCAATTGGAGATATTTTAGAATATATCAGATGAATGAAGAACATAGATAAGCGTGATTATAATCTTCACATATACACATGTGCCTTCGGAAAACTGTAAACTATCGTAATGATAATATGTGACAATCTTACACGTTATGCCAGTTATTCATAAGTAGTTCGCATTCCTTTGATTCTACCTGTTATGGCTTTGGAATTTATTTTTTTCTGATTTACTAACAAAATTTCATATGTCTTTAATCAAAATTGTTTTGATTAATTACGATTCGTATGTTAATTATTATTTATAGGGTAGAGTTAGAACTAAGACCGTCAAGCGTGCCTCCAAGGCCCTAATCGAACGTTACTATCCAAAGTTGACTCAAGATTTCCAAACCAACAAGAGATTATGTGATGAAATCGCTACCATCCAATCCAAGAGATTGAGAAACAAGATTGCTGGTTACACCACTCACCTAATGAAGAGAATTCAAAAGGGTCCAGTTAGAGGTATCTCCTTCAAGCTACAAGAAGAAGAAAGAGAAAGAAAGGATCAATACGTTCCAGCTGTTTCTGCTCTAGATCTATCTCACTCCAAGGGCGTCTTGAACGTCGACAAGCAAACTGCCGAATTAGTCAAGTCTCTAGGTATGAAGCTACCTTTATCTGTTATCAACGTTTCTGCTAACAGAGAAAGACGTTACAGAAAGTAAACAAATTAAATAATTTCCTTGTTTAATTATGTATAACAACTTTTTGTATCTAAATATAACAGAATATCATTCTAATATTATTAATTTTAATTCGTTTATTATATACACCTTTTTACAGATATACATATGTGTGCGAATACATGCAAGTGCCTTAACATGAAGACTATGAGTCCAAATATGGGAATATAGGTAGCCTCGAATGTGTTAGCGAAAATATGAATGAGTTATTCTTAACTATGTGTGCATCTAGCCTCATTATGTAGATTGTAACACTTTAATGAACAAACTTTATCTCCACATTTCACACAACTTGAAATACTGTCATAGCCACCACATATCGAACATACTGTGATCAAAGGCAATACCTTGAAATATTTCTTGTTGTAAACATTATGTAGTATTACGCTCTTATCAACATGACTCAACATATCAAAATATGTATGTAATGGACGTTTGGAAACCAATACCTTTCTTAAAGCTACAATCCTATTTGTACTTTTCTTTTTAGGTTTTAACGGTTTTGTTGATTTGTATGACAGTAATATACTTTTCGGTATTTCAAATTTGTTTCTACTCGATCTGGATGATGAATCCGAACTTCCTTGGGAAACCGTTGTAGTATCAGAGTTAATCTTATCTCTATTAATACCAGTGGAACTACTTAATAATGTTGGAATTTCTGATAGATCACCTAAATTTTCAGTATTCAATTCCATAAATCGTCTTTTGGATTGCATAATTTGTTGTTGAGAAAATCTATCTCTTACATATTTAGTAGCACCTTTAGCAATATGATTATCCTGTTGCGATTTTGCATTATCCTGTGACATGTAAAGCTTAGCCTCCAAGTCTGCTAATGAATAGTTTACCCGCTTCACTGACCTGAATGTAGATGAGTTAGAACTATTTTTTTGCTTCTTGCCCCTGAAGGACCTCGTATGTGGATCCGCACTTGTATAGTAAATGTTAGGATCATATGTCCTTTTATCAATCTCTTCTACTAACTGACGCGCCATTTAAACTGTTTTGCTGTATCTAATTGTTAACTGGTTCATCGCTGTTCTTCATGATTATCAATTCAAAAGCTAATTGTTTACTCGTTCTTCTTTAATAATAATTCAATTTAGGCGAATCGTGCGCCACTCGCGCATCGGAATTTGAGAAACAAGAGAAGATTCAGACCTGTCACCGTATATTTAAGATTTTATATATAAAGAGTAAGCATAATTCTGCTAACAATAAAAAACTTCAAATATTCTCATGTTTTGAACATAATAATACCCATCTATACAGTCACGGTAATGGTTAAATTTATTCTGGGCATTGCTGTATCCAAGGGGAGGATGAAAATCAGAAAACAAACGAGATGCTGATTATTTCTGATTAGTACCAGTGTTTGTGGCAGCTACCATGTTATACATCAAGAATGAAAAAAGAGAATTTAAGCCGGATAAGTGGCATGGTATGAGTAAATCATAGTCAAAGTGAGCACCTGACAGCGTCTCCTCCATGTCTTTCAAGGCGACTGATCTGTTAAAGCCGAAGTGGCAGTCTCATAATCATCTCATGGTACTCCGAACGAACTGTGATAGAAAAGAAATGCAGAGTATCTATCTTGAGGTGATTGCTGTATTACCGCCAGTACTAGGGTGAGTGAGCACAGTTCGATTGCATATTTAGATGCAATTGGATACCTTGCAAGTTTGAAATTCATCGGAATATGCTAATATTCAATAATAATGTGGTAGAGATGTTTCAATCAGATGGAGCATAATTTAGACTACATGGCATGAATGGTGATCCATACCGATAGGTCGGTGGAAGCCGTAGGGAACCATCACAGATTTGGCTCACAACTTGCTACACCCGAAAATAGTTCCATGAAACATTTAATAAGAAGAACACAGTTACCAGTATTGAAGTTGATCATGTTACAAGCAGGGAGTTTGTGTTTACAACTGGGACAAATGAGAAAGGATCACTTTGTATTTAGGGGAAGGGTAAATATATTAATATTTATTTGGAATATTGGGAGGACACCCAATTAAGAGTATTTGGGATGCAAAAGAGAACACACGAGTTTTTATTACGAATATATTGAGACTGAATATATCACAACCTCAAGATAAGACACAAAAACCATGGTTAATTGGTAACAACGAGAGCAAACAAGAGCTGAAATAGAGTGTAAAAATACTGCGTTCGGTCAAGTAATCGAAGTATAACAGGGAGGACTGAGGGGTCTGTAGTTCTAACTACAATGAGGATTCTCGTATTAAGCGAAGGGATACATTTGAATTCAAAATGTCCAGGAAATATTTGAGATGAGAGAAATTGATTCGCGATTTTGCAAATGTCTATATTGTATATTACTTCGCAAACAACACTCTATAACCTCATCTATTATTTGTCAGATACTTCAGTTTGTCCAACAGTCTGAAATACAGAGTTAATGTTAGCATTGTAGAGATACAACCTCAACAAGCGATTGGTAAAAGAACATCAGTTAGATTAACGCAACGACTTTCTGCAATATTGCAGGGAACCCATATCAGAAAAATAACGTACTACAATATACTAGTTGGAAGTACTCTCATATGTCACTCCGATTTATAATTTACCAAGAATTTCATGAATGGTCGCTCCCATATGCACATTGGAATGTGAAGGCGTACACTCTCTTGTTCGCTTCTTTTAACAGCCGCGCGGTGCAAAGGAAAAGGGTTAGCACAGTTGGCGTCACAAAGCATTTTCAGTCGTTTGTGAAACTTTAATTACTGGGAAGATATAAAACATTCAGGAAAGGAAGTGGAATATGCCCCCCTCTTTAAATATCTGTCTCATCCACAACGTTCGGTGTTAACGCTAATACAACTAGTTGATCATCCTGAAGAAGTAAAAAAGTGCATCTATTTCAATTCCAAGAATTCAACTTCTATTGGCTTTGCTTTAAAAACAACCCATAAAATGCCTCCAATTTATGCTTGAAATATTGAAAACCAAGAAGTCGAATCCTTAGTGGATGGTCAAGTCTTAGAGGAGATTATAGAATCAAAAATTCAGTCACATGAAGATTATTTACTATTTTTCCTAGGTAAAAAGGATGCTAAAAAATTAAAAAATACCAAAGCCTTGGCACTAAAATCAAATGTAAAATTCCAAGGTATTTACCCAGAGACATTTGAATCGGATACACTAAAATTTAACCAAGAAAATGGAACTATCCATATCTACCATTTTCTTCGCTGTGACAATATTCTAATTATATCAGGGCTGAAGCAAGAATTTGTTGAAAAAGACATTAAAAGTTTAGAAGCAACACGAAATAAGGAAGAATATTTTATTGGACAATTAATTTACAGTTATATTTGTAATACATACGAATATACAGGCTACATTGTCGAATCTATAGATCATGCTTGGATTTCTTTGCACGAGGCACAGTATGCTACTATTGACTCTTTTAGGACTGCAGATATGGGTAGATAGGTTGTAGATATGCTACTTTTTGATTACTTCTCTTCATTTAGAGAAGATGATGAAACAAAGACTATGCGCTATACAAAGCACTGCTACGTCAATAACCAGGAGTTGAATAGAATCAAAAATCTTCTAAAAGGAAACAATGAAACATTCAAAGAGGTAACACAATCACTTGAGATTCTAGAGATAGAGATTAATATTTTAGAAAATAGAAGAAGTGAGTCTGTCGGGTCATGTCTTATGTACAGTCTCGTAATTGGAGGAATCGGCCTCAATGTTTGGAGACTAGTTTCTCTGATATTGGAGACTATAATGCCAGAAAGAGTATCTGAGATAATTTCATGGGTCTTACTGGGGATCATACTGTTAGGTATGTTTCGTTTCTCCATGTGTGTTTTGACTATTCTTCTGAGATTGAAACTTCCGAGATGTCTATTTTAGTGAAATCAGTAACATGGAGGAACCGTGCCCATTATTCAGGCTGAAAATAATCATTCTAAAAATGGGTAAAAACAATACACCAGGCTAGATACATCTGTCCGTTGTTGGTTTGGGGTCCCACTCTATGTCATCATCCTACTTCCTAATGATAGCACTTTATATATATTTTAGTTTTGAAGCAGTGTCTTTAATATAAGTAAAAAATGGCTTAATAAATACACGGGAGTCTCAATTTGACAGTATATAAATATTTCCCGTTAATATTGGGTGCTCTGAATTAGTATCTGATAATAATGTCAATAAGTTCAATAAATACAACTCTAATAAATCGACTAAGAAGAAAATGTTTTTTTTTTATATTTTAATGTATATAGGTAATATAATAAATGTTTATTTATAAAATGTTAATAAGTCCAAGTAGTTTCTATTTCTTTGCAATATGAATATCATATCCTGATTCATTTGGTAATTCCAAACCTTCTTTCAATCTTAATGAAGGAATTTCATAATCACCAAAATTTTGCTTTCTGTAGTTGATAGGTTCAACACTGTCAAATTTGTCAAAACGTTCATTGACCAAATCGACAGCTTCTTTGAAACCTTCCTCCTTTCTACCATCAGTTCTATGGATGACTATAGCTGGTAGAACCTCACAACCAGTGTAAAATAGTAAACCATGATTAATGGTAAACAAAACGTGATCTATAGGGCCATTAATACCTCTGTCAGAGTATTGTTCTACTGAACCACCGCATGTAGTAACAACGAAAGCCTTCTTACCAGCAAAAATACCTTCTCCATATCTGTCACCGAAACGAGTGGCAGTATATTCACCGGTTCCGTAAGCAAAGCCACAAGCAAATACACGATCAACCCAACCCTTTAAAATAGCTGGCATGCCAAACCACCATATAGGAAAATGGAAAACAATAGTGTCCGCCCATACAAGCTTATCCATTTCATCAACGACATCTGGTGTCAATTGTTTAGCGGCAAAAGCTCCATAAGAGGCAGAAGCTACTTGTAATCTGGCGTCTTTATCTAGATTTAAGAAATCATCTCTGTCGACGACAGCTTTAAAATTTTGTTTGTATAAATCAGATACTTTGACCTCGTTACCTTGAGATTCTAAATGCTTAACATAAGAATCCAATAGAGACTTATTGAAAGATCTCTCTTCTGGATGAGCGAAAACAACTAGGACCTTCATATTTGTAAAAGTTTAAAAATAAATTTGAGAGAGTATATATGTTTGTGTAAAATGGAAATACTTATTATTGTTAATAATTATTTCTGTTTTGTATGGATATTTATATTATTTTCAAATTAAAAATATAAAAGTAATTAAATTAGAGACAATTTCATAATAACTAATGTGGTTAGAAGGTCCTCCTTTTATATGTTTTCATTTTTATTTGAGTTCAATTATTAATATTCTAATGATTATCATCATTAGGTAATCATTTAACGTATTGTACAATTAAAACAGGTAATTTGTTACTACTGTTTTGTTAAAAATGGTTAAAACTATATCACCCTACAAACTCAAGATTCTTCTAATTTCAACGCATCTCCATGCATAAGAAAAATCTCTGCTTCATATCTCTGAAATATTTTGATAAACCTTTCTCATCCTACGTGGCTTGTATCACCTTAGCTAATCACGGCTTAATCTCCGGTATCTCTCGAGGAGACGGGACATATGTTCGGCGCCACGACCATGCGTCCCGTCTTCCCTCAGTGTGAAAATGCCGTAGAAGTATAACACGAAGAAAGAGACCCTTCACGAACTCACGGCGTTATGTCCCGCTAATATTTGGTAATCATTTATGGGACATCAGGGGAGACAATTATCTAAGCTTGTGAAGAGTGCGATTTAGGTTCCAAGTAACTGCGGAGGGGAGGGGTGGGGCAACAGAGTTCTCAATATTAATAAGTGTGTATTTATGTTTTAAATGTATATATATGAAATTTTGAATCTTTGTATATTCTTTTTCTTTTTTTCTAAATCTTTGTATAAATATTTATATGTATTTTGAGTAGTTGGAATAATGTAGAGGAAGAAATATGATAGTTTAGTTATTAAAACAATTTTCATAATTTGGCAGTAGTTGATTCTTTAATTAAAGCATCAGCCATTTCATCAGCAGCTATATTCAAATAATAATGCATTCTTTCAACAGTTAAACCACTGAAAGCCGGCTTGTTAACAATGTTGATATGAAGCCAGTCCTTATTTAGCATATAAGCTAAACCAAATCCAATATCATTAACTTGGGACCAACCATATCCATCAAAATATTCTGAGGTTAGTTGAGAGGTAGAAATTAACCATGTAGATGAATAGTTAAACAATGGATCTTTGAACAATGCTGGGACTGTTTCGTTTGGTTGTTCTGCATTAACCATGTTCTTTAACCCAAAGAAGTGACGATCGACCCCTTGACCTTCAGAAGCCATTTTCAAATAAGAAGCATGTGCAGCAGCGGATTCTCTTAGTAATCTGACTCTTTCAGCATTCGATACGTTTGGTTTATCCCAGGATTGTACAAATTTTTGAGATGCTTCACTAACAGAACGACCAGTTTCAGTTCTACCTTTAAAGAATTTTCTTGTCGAGGCAGCTTCATAAGTTGGTAATTGTTTACCTAAATATTTATAGACAGCTAATTGAACAATTTGTTGTAGATAAGCATCTGGGGACATCTTATGAGATTTGATAAAATTCTTACCGTATCTATTATAATGCCAAACTTTCAAATTATGTTGATCCATGGTATCCTTGAATTGTTTCTTAGCATTTGTAATATGAGATTGAATGGAAGGATTCACAGTGAATGGCAATGGTGTTGGAGATAGAACTTCGGATGATGTTGGTGTGATAACCTCTTGAACAAATTCTGAAGGGTTTAATTTAGTCATTTCTTGACACATATAATTATTTAAAAATAAAGTTGGAGTACCATCCATCTTTGAATGTTCCCCAAGGAAACCAGAAGTACCATTCCCAGTGACAAAAAATTGAATGGATTTATCATAAAATCTATTAATTCCATCCCCATGCCAACAATTTCTTGACTTTTCTTCTAAAGTAACAGGATTTTTATCTAAATCTAAACATATCATGAATGATGATTTATGAATAGTCTCTAAGGATTCCTTTGAGATTGGATCCTTAATCAATTCAGCGTAAGCTGTACGCCATTGATCTCTTGGTAATGATGTTAACGATCCAATTCCATTACTTTGTTTCTGAGAACCACGAACATTTTGTCCCCGAGTACCATTTACTACAGAATATAATTGTTGCCAAATTTGATTAGATGATAAAGGTTCAGTAGATTCTTTATCATGAGTGAAAATTTTGTAGAAATTCCCTTGATAAGCGACAATAATAAAATTATTTTCATAGATTGAGTAAAAAATATTCGTATCACGATTGTCCTTTGGTGAACCTGGTAATCTTGAAGTATTAAACATTAATTGGAAACTATTCATACAAAATGGATTTTTTTTAACTAATTCAGCAGGTAAAGATTCATCTTTAATTGCTTCAATAAATTTAGTTGCGGTCACAATAATAGCAGTAGCTTTCATTAATGGATCATTTTGAATAATGGAATGAGTTGAAGGTAATGGTTTATGACTGAAAAAATAAGACACATAAGGAATAACGGGATCATCATATTCTAAATAAGCTTGATTATCCCAAAAAGTAGACATCCAATTACGCTTCCCTTTAGCATATTCAATTAATCTTTGTTGAAGTACGGGACCTTGATTATGCAATAAATCTTTGCATAAAGCTTCTTGTCTTTGTAAAGCTTCTTCATTACCATTAATATAGGGTTTCACAGATTGTAAATATTTATTTAAAGTTTCATTTAATTCAGGTACAGGTAAAGGTGGTAAATTTTTTTGTAAATTAAAAGTTTCACCTTTAAAATTTGATCTATTTTGTTGATGAACTGAATTTTCTTGATGAGCCCAATAGTGCTCACCATTTTCTGTTACCATAGGGAATTTATGTAAGATATTTTGTACCATTGTAGTTGAAATGGAACGTGATAACATCAAACGTTGTAACGATTGCTTATTTGCATGTAATACAGAATACTTTAACATTATAGATATATGTTAATTCAGTCTAAAGAACAGTATCTTAATTACTTTTATTATATTGAATTTAAATAACAATAAAAAAATAAAAGAAAAAACAGGGAAATTTTAGGGTATATTTATAAATTTCAAGATTTCAATAAAATAAAATATCTATGTCTGTCCCCTAGTCGGATACTATATATTTATATATAAGTCTAAATCCGATGACAGTTGGAGTAAAAAAACAAACAAAAAACTTGTAAACTGAACAACTTAAAAGAAATGATATCTAATCATCAACATCATCAACTTTCGCAATGAGCCAAGGAAAAAAACGAGTCATGCGGAATTTCGCCATCTCCAAATAATGCAACGAACCCTTCCATATTTAAAAAAAATACGAAAAAGTGAGGAATCTCCAACGTGATGAACAAGAGACGAGGAAGTCATTCAGTTCTGTAAATTCTTTGTAACAAACGGTTCGTAGTCAATAGAATGTGTGATTAGCAAACCGTTACGGAACAGAGGAAACTCAATGTTACAGGAATTAACGAGGCGTCACGCAGTTAATGTTTATAACGTAATATTACAATAGTAACAAGTAGAACTGCATCTCAATACATATACATATATATATAGGGAGAGAGCTTAGAAACAAGACAGAGTTGAAAGCAATGAGTAGTAGTAACTTTAAGTATAAAAAAAAACTAATGTTGTTGTCAGCTGTCTTCAAATTTATATATCTTGCGCAGCCAAGAAGCTACTCATGATTAGCATGAAAATATTTTGATTAGATCATCACACAACGGGAGTTTCCATCACTGTTTCTATACACATTCAAGCAGGCAAGCAATTAGTCTCTTCGATATATACTATATTGTAGCTTAATTAATAAATTCAGAATTTTCAGTGTTTGGCTATGTTGCTTTGTCGGTCATTTCAATTAGATCCGCCTGGGGCGACAACTTTGTCATCATTTTATTAATTAATAGTCACAATATAATAATAACATATCTAAAATCAATATGAATATATATATATATATATCTCATCTTATCCAAACAATAAGATAAAAAGACAATTGCTTCTGCTGTTGAAGTATATGCAGTGTTGGGAACACCTGTTCCCTTGGTACACTCTCACACACTCATTCTCTCAATGTAGTAGTACTCTCGATATGTGAACAACACAAGTAAATAAACTTTTATTAAGAGACTGAAACAAAGATATATCTAGGTTAATTCTTTTGTCTTGCCCTTTTTATATGTTTCCACTTTGAAAAGAAAATTTTCGTTCTCGTTTTCGCAACGAAGAAGAAAACCAGAGATTGAGTGTGAGGGTAACATTTAACTTTTAAATTGATTTTTGATTGGAAAGTAAGTAAGGGCTTCCTGCGAAGGGGAAAATACCTGTGAAAATTAACAAACGAAACTATAGAACAGTTAAAAGGGTAGTGGTAGAAATAGAGAAATAGAGGGAGTTGAACAGGATATATAGATATATAGATATATATACTTATTCTACAATACAATCAAGTGTTGGTTTCATCATCATCATTGTTTTCGTTTTAGGATGTTGATGTTACGTCACAGTTTGCGTATGCCCATGAGTATGGGGATCGTGTCGACAATCACCAAACCTAAATATTTTACTACTAATTCTTTACTATGGAATCAATTGAAAAATAATGAAGATATAAATGATTCATCTGTGAGTAATGTAATTACACCCAGAATATTAAAAATTGTTCCTAATACCACAGATATTGTTGAGTTAGAAAAACAAGATATGTTAATTAAAAGACGTAGAAAATTAGCTAAAGAAGTTACAGAAATGAAAAAATACAAACCTGTATCACCGGGTGTTAGATGGTACAGACATCCTGTTTATCCTTACCTTTATAAAGGTAGACCCATTAGATATTTAACTACTATTAAAAAAAATCATGGTGGTCGTAATAACACTGGTAGAATTACAGTTCGTCATAGAGGTGGTGGTCATAAACGTAGATTAAGATTAGTTGATTTTATTAGAATGGAACCAGGTAAACATTTAGTGAAAAGAATTGAATATGATCCAAATAGAACAGCTCATATTGCTCTTTTAGAATCTCAAGAAACTGAAAAATTATCTTATATTATCGCTTGTGATGGACTTAGAGAAGGTGATACTGTGGAATCTTATCGTAAAGGGATTCCATCATCTTTATTAAATGAAATGGGCGGGAAAATTGATCCTGCTATCTTAAGTGTTAAGACTGCACAAAGAGGTAATTGTTTACCGATTTCAATGATTCCAATTGGTACAGTGGTACATAATGTTGGTATTACACCTTCAGGCCCAGCAAAATTTTGTAGATCTGCTGGTACTTATGCAAGAATCATCTCTAAACTAACTGAAAAGAAAAGAGCTGTTGTACGTTTACAAAGTGGTGAACACAGATATGTTTCCCTTGAAGCATGCGCTACTATTGGAATTGTCTCTAACATTGATCATCAAAACAGCTCTTTAGGTAAAGCCGGGAGATCTAGATGGTTAGGTATTAGACCAACAGTAAGAGGTGTTGCTATGAATAAGTCAGATCATCCTTTGGGTGGTGGTCGTGGTAAATCCAAATCTAATAAATTATCTATGTCACCTTGGGGTCAATTATCAAAGGGTTATAAGACTAGAAGAGGTAAAAACCAAAACAGAATGAAAGTCAAGGATAGACCAAGAGGTAAACAAAAGAGAGGATGATTATATCTTTCTTGAAAGAAACTACATTGACTCTTTTTCATTTTTAATTAAAATGTTTTGTACTGAGAATATTCCTATAATTAGATGGTCAGAATTCGTTTCAATTTTTTTGAATTCTACCTATCATGTAAATATACAGGTAAATAATAAATACACAAATATAGTATCCGTATACTATTAAATCAAATCGTTTAAAAAAAGAAAAAGTTTGGAAATAGGAAAGTTATAATAATATATAACTATATATATATTCTATATGTAATGTCATGATGTATTAAGTTTATTGCAGTAAGTAAACAAAAGGATAAGAATGTTCCGATTAGAAAATAACGTCATCCTCTGTTTCTGCAACCAAATTATTACTGTCTTTTTCATCATTCAAAGATGTTGCCTCTAATTGTGTTTCTATACTTGTTTCTTCACCCTTCTTTGCTTTTTCTTCAGCTTCTCTCTTTCTAGCGGCATCCATTTCAGCATCTAATCTAGCAACCTCTAATTGTTTCTTCTCTTGCACTTTCTTCAATCTGTAAAATTCTTCTCTATCTAATTCATCAAGTTCACTGTTAATATAAGCAATGGTGTTCTTAGTTCTTGGAATAATAACATGCTCAATAGCGTTAACTCTTCTGTTCGTGACTTTAATAACTTCATCTAGAATAATAAATGCAGTTTGTAACGAGGCTAATTCAACAAGGGTTTCAACCGCTTTTGAGTAAATTTCTTTAGCACGCTGTACCTGTTGACCACCACGACCTAAACCAGTTAACTTGAAATCATTAATCTCTGGGTCAATATAGGATTCAAATTGTGGTAAGATAACACCACTGACATTCTCTTGACGAGCACGGATCTTAAATCTAGCAGTAGAAACACTCTCTTGGACTTGATAACTAATGTTATCACCAGTAGCATAAGTAACTTCAGCTAATGAGAAGGCTGCAGTTTGCATAACACGACCCATCTTTTGCTTCGCATCATCAATTCTCTTCGTGATATCACGAAATCTCTTGGTTAGGGCCTCTGACTTACGCTTCAATAGTGTATGACCAACTTCAGCACCCTTTAATTTGGTCTTCATAAGACCTAAGGTCATACGTGTTGGAAACACTTGTTCTCTTGTTGCAGACATTTTGTTGTTCTTTTATTAGAGAAGTATATCGCTCGGCTCTTACTTATCTAAAACTGATACTTTGTATGAAGGTATTGAAATAAATACTCCTTATGTTCGTCGAAATAAACAAGATTAATAATAAATCCACTATATCGATCAACCTATCTTATTAAATTGTCATTCTTAATTAATGGCTGTATTTAATATGCATAACCGTCTCTTTATTCCGATGCTGCTTAAACCGGGCCTTTCATTTTGCAGCCAAAAATGAAAAATTAAAGCAAAAAAATATATACATATATATGTACATTACTGAGCGAGTTATATTATAACAAGAGACAGACAAAAGTAAAGTGACAACAATCATATATTAAGCTGGTAAAGTGCAGGTTTCAAGTAATAGTAAATGAATATGTTCTATTTATTTGAAATTGTTTCTATTTATAAGGGTTTGAATATATAAAACGTTCTTATATCCAATGAACTACAACAAAAATATACAAATAATTGTAATAAAGGGGATGACACACATATTCAGATCAAAACTCTGGATGAAAATATTTACACTATTCATTGTAACTTCTTCTTTGTAACCCATTCTGTACTACTCATTTGCGTCAATCTACTTAATGCTCTTGCAAAAGCAAACCTTTCTTCATCTAGTGCAAAAATATGCGACTTCTTTGCGACCTCTTTTGAGAACCCATGCTTCATAACTAGAGCATCACTGTCCAAACTATGTTCTTCTTCGTCTTTTGTTTCGTTTGGTATCTGTTTTAATTCGTAGTCATTAAGGATATCCTCTGGTTCAACAAATAAGTCTGTAAACGTAGCTGCACCTGTGGTAGCTAACTTACCACCATTATCGTAAACGGCATCCAAAAATGTAATAAACCTTCTGATCTCATCTCTAACAAAAATGGACAGGTAAGGTATATCAGTAACTATGAATGCATCAAAGTTTTTGGCCAAGATAAGGTAATCACCAGCAGCTAGAGGTTGACCACAGAGTTGTTTGAACGTAAATTGTGCAACTCTTGGTGGTGTACATTTAGGGACCTTAAATTCTCTACCCCAAATTGTTAGTGGATATTCGGTAAATTCTTTATAAGCTGACGTTTCCTTGGTATTGATAGGAGCAGATTCTTCAACTTGTGCAAAGTATTCGTACCATTTGTTTACATGATTCTTCCTAAATAATTCATATTCTCTGGAGTTATATTTTAACCCATTCTTCGGATAAGAATACACAGAAGAAACAGGTTTAGGAATCTTACGATAATCCGTTTCGGAATCTAAGCTTATCACCTCAGTTCTATTCTTAATTAGTTCAATACATGGAATGAATGATTCTCTTTGGATACCATTTATATACAAATCGTTTGGTTCTCTATTAGATGTTGTGAATAATATTACACCATATTCGTCTGATAAAATTGTTGTAAAAAGCCTTCTTAATATCATAGCGTCGGCAACATCTGTAACTTGAAATTCATCAAAACACAGTACTCGAGATGTCATTGCAATTTCTTTAGCTAAAAATGGAATCGTATCGATCTCTTCTTCAGGATTCTCTCTTAACTCCTGTTGTTCTAAAGTTATTTCATGGGTACGTTTATGTACGTATTGCATAAACTGATGAAAATGGATTCTTCTTTTTGATAAACTTTTAGGAATGGTAGTGAAGAACAGATCCATTAACATAGTTTTTCCACAACCAACATCACCGTACAGATAGATACCCTTAGGTAAATTTTCACCTATCGTTTTAACATCACGATCTGTAATATCCTTAGGACGACGAATCATCGATACTAATTTCGATTTCCATGTTAAGTTTTGAATTGGCAATGGTAACCTAATCGAATCTGCTGGAGGTGGTTTATAATCAAGTAAAACTTTATACATTTGCTCCATGGATTTTAAAATACCACGTTGAAAAGGATCATCCCTTAATTTTCCAAGTTTAACTTGTCTATCATATTCTTGAAGTGGAGTTATATTTTGAACTTCTTCTCTTAAATAATTTGTTGCTGTAAGAAATCTGACTGAGCCAGTATTAATCAGTGTACTGCTCAGCTTCCCTATTAAGGGAACATTATTTATTGGCCGTAGTAACAATAAGGACATTGTTTTGTCTAAAAAGTATTAGTTATTGGGCGACTAAAGTATTCTTATTCTATCTCTCTTTAACAATATCTAATTTTGGGTAAATCTGAAATTAGTGATCTACAGGTACTAAATCTCAGATGGGTTTTTTATTTCAATAGATTAACTATATAACGTCAAGTGGAGTGAGAACTCCTAAATCTGACTAATAAACAATATTGACGCCTCGAGTACTATCGCTCAATGAGTTTAGGTGTTCCATCTATATATATATATTTCTTTATTCACTGCAATGATTGACAGTAAAATTGGTCAAGCTTTCTGGTTCCTCGACCTATTAATGGATAACCTTACAGATCATTTCTCTTTTTTCTTGGCTTCCTGAGGGAAGGCCTAAGCAACGATATCCCCGAATATCAGGATAACACCGCTATCGTTAGTTATGATATTCGATCGGAAAACCCCTGTTTGCTAAATGAACCATTATATAACTATAGATATGTAATAAGCAATAAAAGATGATGCACCTTGTTGTAGCGTATAAGAAAGTTTAGTTTGGTTTTGAAAAAACTGCTAAAAGGGTATCTTGCTAATATTGCAGCCATCTGATTGTCTTAATCGAGTACCATAGTGAACTAGTCCTCATCAAAATGAATTCGGACGACATATCTTAACAGCTAAGATGTCGCAGACATTATATTGCAAGTAAAGATGCTACAAATATCAATATTATGTAGTTTTGTGTGGGTTTTCGTCATATATATGCATCCTCTCTGTGCGAAGTTATTAATAAGAAATTAAATGTATAATTCACCTATAAAGGTGCGCAGTTACGTATTTTTCAGCATTTTTCATTTTTTTAGTATCATGGAATTTCCTTAATTGCATGAAAAATATATATGTCAATAGGGAAGCTTCGAAACTGGATCAATTGCAAAAGGCAAATTACGATTTGATAGAGTATATTTTCGTTATTTGAGCGGTGTATTATTTTCTTATCAATACGGTAGCAGAAACCACAGAGCCTTGATACATTTATATTGCGTCAAGAGGACTAATCAGATGCGATGACCTCCGTTATAGAAGACGATAATATTAATAACCTGGATGCCACATTTTCAAGTTTGAAAATACAGCCTCATATAAAATGGCCCAGCCAAGAAGATTTAATAAGTGTTAAAGATCTACTCAGTGAAAGTTGTAATAAATTAAATGCAGAAGATATTGTAAAGGAACCTACGTTTGATTTGTTTGAAGGGACTCATTCCTTGGAGATTAATAACGTTAAATTAGATTCATATTTGATCGATTTGTCAGAGGAGGAGGTTTATTTTGATTGCAGAATTGCCTATGATAGAAACTCAGATTCACAAAGAGTTCAGGAGGATTATCAATATACAACGGCTATTATCGACAGACTGGTTAGGTCAATTATCACATGGGTGACAGATTACCAATCTTTACCTACCACCGTTTTAAGTTGTCAATACGTAGAATACCTCTTGACACAATTAGAAAAACCAGATAATATTGTTACAAATTATAAATATTTGAATACACAAAATCCTTATTTTGATGATGTTTTGAACTCAAGTATTATGGGTATATGTTTTTTTGGTGCGTTTGTTAAGAAACTGCTGAAAGGTGGCGGCGTATTTGAAGAAGAGGACTTAAACTTCAACTCCATGGGATTGTCTGGTTTTGATTTAATGCCACCTGCCAGTAGTATACGGTCTCTCCTAGCTGAAAGTATAACATTCATTGAAAATGATAAAAATATTCCAACTGCCGACGCCAAGAGATTATTATATTTGATAGAGTTGATAGATTGCTTGGTGATATTAGATAGTCACGTTACTGAATATTCATCCAAGACTGAACATTTGGATAAGATTATACAGATTGCTAATGATTTGAACAGCCTACCTCTCTGTTCACATTTCCCTCCACCTGGATGCTTTTCTATGCGTATACAAAAACAATTATCTAACCAATTCCCACCTAAGGATTTGGTGACTCCTGATAAGAACTACTTGAATTATATTGCCATTGCACAAGATATCAAAAAAGTTATGATGGTCTATAATGTTACAGAACCTTACCAATTGATGCAATTTGCTAAGTTTTTTAATAAAAATCACCAAAGACATGTTTTAGCAAGAGCATTATTTCCATTAATTGTGATAAAAGAGGATTCATCTTTACTTGGGAAATGGACCTTCCATGAAGCGTTTCAAAAACATTTGCAAATCCTTTCATTGACAGCAACAAACGCCAACGAGGCTTTAGAATCAGAGCCATTTAGATCGCTACTAGATCCTGTAGCTCAAGAGGCTTTAAATGTCTTATTTGAATGGTATCAAAACAATGCACAAAATACAGCAAGATACAGACAAGGATATAACAGACAACTGTTATTATGGGATTCTGTTCAAGCTCAATTTGAAGGTGTAGAACTGCAGTTTGAAGGTAGCGAAGATGATGCCGTTATTGGACCACCGGGTTACGGAAATATTCCCTTAATGCCATTCTCATCGTGGGCCTTCATAATGAAGACGAGTTCTATGATTGAATTTGTATTAAAGGGGTTTGATTTAGAAATATATAAACCATTTGAATCGTTTGAGATGTTCTGGTTTACTTTCTATTTAGCTGAACAATTAGAATCGTGCTATCAAAAAATTAATACCTTTTTGGATACCAGGCTCAACAGTATTTATGCAATCAATAAAAGAATGAAGAAACAGAAGGCTGGCGAAAAGAAAGAAAAATTACGAAAACAGTATCAGACGGAAATGGCTCGAACTTATCCAATGATCCATTCAAGTAAATCATTCTTGAAATATCTTTCAACACATAATCAAATTATCAAATCCGTATGTATATTCCAATCTTTCCAATTTGGGATATTAAAATCGTATGGTGCCATAGATAACAAAATGCCAGGAAATAGTAAATTTATTAACCACAAATTAATTCACGATTTAAGATTTAAACCATTTTCTTCCATTGGTGTTCCGGAATTACCAACATATGATGTATTCCAGGAAGTTCTACAAGGCTTCATCATTAGTGATCCCATGTTCCAGGTAAAGCAGGAAAAGGTGGTGACACACATGAAAGAACAATTGGCTGTCGCACTTCAAAATATTAAGAATATTTTGATAAGCATTGAAGTAGGAGATTTGAACAGTGAACTGATTACAGGAACAAGGGCCATTAAAGAAGATGCAGTTTGTTATTATACGAAATTACAGAAAACTATTGAGGCTCTATCAGATAACTCTATATCATTATTACAGAAGATACAAAAGAAGTCATTTCAAACAGATATTAATCAGTATGAAATTGTATTAAGTAAAAAGGATGAACTTTCAGGTTATTTCCCGCTAATGGATTTATCTAAAAAGAGGCAATCAAGACGTTAATAAATTCGATTGTGAGAAGCTTCTACATTAAAGTAAATTTATATAGAGTAGTTATTATTGTAAATAATAGACTGGCATTAAGAATGCATGCACTTTAATAATCTCAAGGGTTAAATGATGATTTTGATCCTTTGGGGCATTGACACATTTTTTTTTATTCTCGGAGAATAATTAGACGTCGCTAAGTTTTAGGACTTACACCCGTACACCCGATGGTGTTTGGGTGCACCTTTTAACCATCTATTTGTGGAAATGGCATATATTCATAATATAATCAATATATTAAACCACTAATTCAGACTGTTTATTATTAGAGTCTTATTATTGTAATTAAATGAATTGAATACGGTCTATTTTACATTATAAACTGCTCTATGTGTCCACCATTCAGCTGTTGTGTTCCCTTAAAATGTTGGAATTCTTTTTTAAATTTTTTTGAATAGTTTTTTTAGTTTTTCATTTTTTTTTCATTTTTCAAAATTCAAATATCCGATTTTTCAGACGGCGCGAGTTTTGATAAAAAATCAAAGAGTGCAGTATATTGGCGCAGAAGAAGGCAGTACTATTACTTCAAAAACCTGAAAAATTCACCATTTTTTTCTAGTTTTTCGTTATGTAAATTTTCTATTGTATGAAATTTTCAATATTGAGAAAGATAGCAGAACAGTAGTTGAGATATTGTATACTACGATTCCATCATCATCATGGAAATTTGGATATTATATCCAAGTTATTGTATGTGGGAGAAATAGTAAACTAAGTATCCTGAACTTAGTAGACTCACTAACGATGAGTGTGAATGTTTGGGTGAATTCTAAGTTCTAGATTCCTAATAGGTCTAACCATGTTATTGTAATTAAACGTGGATTACTTGAATTTTTAAAGGTATATTACATATGTAGATATTTATTTAGTTAAAAGAGTTTTTGTCTTTAATTCCCTTGCAAATAAGTAAAGAAAAAACGAAATAGATCAAGATGCCTCCAAAGTTTGACCCTACTGAAGTTAAGTACCTATACCTAAGAGCCGTCGGTGGTGAAGTTGGTGCTTCCGCTGCCCTTGCTCCAAAGATTGGTCCATTAGGTCTATCCCCAAAGAAGATTGGTGAAGATATTGCTAAGGCTACCAAGGACTTCAAAGGTATCAAGGTTACTGTTCAATTGAAGATCCAAAACAGACAAGCTACTGCTTCTGTTGTTCCATCTGCATCTTCTCTAGTCATCACTGCCCTAAAGGAACCACCAAGAGACAGAAAGAAGGACAAGAACATTAAGCACAGTGGTAACTTGGCTCTTGACGATGTCATTGAAATTGCTAGACAAATGCAAGAAAAATCTTTCGGTAAGAACCTAGCTTCTGTTACCAAGGAAATCTTGGGTACTGCTCAATCCATTGGTTGTCGTGTTGATTTCAAGAACCCTCATGATATCATTGAAGGTATCAATGCTGGTGAAATCGAAATTCCAGAAAACTAAAAGAAAAAATAACTAAATCAAGATTTTTATTTGTCAAATGTTTTAATTGTTAAAAAGGAGAAGATAAATCAACAAAAGAAGCACAAGGATAATAGATTTATAATATCTTTGGGGTCCAATTTACGACATATTCTATATTGTTTTTAATTATCGTCTCGATTTTTATCTCATTTCATCTATTTACATAATTTATTTAGTTCTGTATTTTAAAATTTTCAAGTCATCAAACAGTATTTTCATATTTTGTAAAAATATATACAATTTAAATGAGTATTTGAAAGAGAAGTCTATTAAATAGTGAATTAACAACTTTCCAATTGGACTTAGAAAAACCTGTTATAATTCTACCTTAAGAAATATATATTAACTAAAATAAGAGACTCATGAATGCATTATTACAAAAAGATTACAGTTTAACGATATGTGTTAATTGATGTTAGCCACTTCTAAACATTTTTCTAGTAAGAACCATACAGTTCTCTCAAAATTCATTTTGATGTCGTTCATAGTGATACAAATCGCAAATATAAGTCATTCTAGCCCAGTTATATGAAACTTAATGAATGCATACAAATATCTTAACAATAAGCAACAAGGAATTATATATATATTTACAAACCAAAAGCTTTGGGCAGATGTTGTTTTTACAAACCTATCACAGCGTTCTTTCTCCTCTGTGCCTAAGCCCGGGACTGACAATCCTAAGAGCACTAAAATAATAGAGAAATAACCGCAACTGAATAATACCACTTGGAAATACAAAAGTGTGCGGCTCACAAGAAAGGCCGTGTATGTATGCATATTTGGCATGGGAGGGGGCTTTTGAAATTTTTTCAAATGGGGGTTTTCGGTGGAGTTTGGGGGTTTCCGGTGGGGTTTCTGGCCAGATATTTAATCGTTGTCTTCGTTAAAAATGATATACAGAGGGGTTTAATGAGAGTTGGTGTTTTCTGTTTAGGTCTTGGTGTTTCAGTTGGGGTTTTTGACCTATAATTCGGTCAAAAAGGGGGGCTTTTTTGTTCTTTTCAAAGGCCCCCATGCTTAATGCGTAATATATGTACATATATATTTGTATTGGAATTGTCATTTACATACGTACTTTATTTTCTTCCAGTCGCTGTGATATTGAGGGATTTTTGAATTTCAAAATATCACAAACAATAGTTAATAATCGCCGGCCATTTATTTAATATTTCAGAAAGAACCGGCGCGCTTTTCCTGTTGTCCCTTCTTTAAATAAGTATACTGTTGAAGCTTGCTAGGCCCCACAATTAAATAACCAAGAAGTACATTAACTAACAATAAATTCCCTCGTCTCTTTTGTTCAAATTAGTTTTTCTGAACGGTCACAGTTACAGCCAGACAAGTTAATTGTTCTCTTGCAATGCCTTGGGCTTGTTAGTTGCGTCAATACATTGGATGGAGCCTTTCAACTAAACGCCAAAGTATCGAGAGAAAAAATTCAAATTATATGTAAGTTGCATTAAATTAGCCCATCAATAAATGGATGCGTTCTTTTTTGAGGACTTTTTTTTTATCGCACAACCAAGTTACAGTATTATTTCTAAGTTTCATTTTACTCTCTTCCCCTTTTATTCTATTTTAATTTGGCATTGCATGCTTTTTTTTTTTGTTAACTGAGGATTGTTTAATCGCTTAAATAATGTCAATTATTTTACTCAGATTTTGAATGGATCTCTCTCTACTAGAATTCACAGAGTCATCTCCCTACCTTCTATTCTCTTTTGATTTAATTTTCTTCTTATTTTTGCTCTTGTACATATTTTAATTGTCAACCCTCAGCGATGATTTAATAAGGATGATTGATTATTAAATCCTTGAAAAATTTATATAATGTGTTATTATATTTTATTCGATAAGTAAGGTAAGAGAAATATATACGTACATACGTACATACTACATCTTAAACTATATCGTAAACTTTTTATACCTGTAATTGCATATTAAGCACTTTAAGTGCTTATTATTTATCTATCAAGTTTTCATCTTTCTGCTCTAATATATGTATGATGTATGTGCAATAGAAAAGAATAATAGAATTTATTTTACTTACGTATTTTTAAGTATTGTTTATTACATATTACGCTCAATTTTATATATTTATTTACTCTTTTTTATATCATCTTTAGTTTCTTATTTATTTATTGTTGTTTATTTATTTGAATTTGACATCAAAACTTTAACTTGAGTTTGAAGAAAAGAAAAATTTCTTTGGTTACCAGCCGTGTAAGATAAAGCACATGAGAAGAGAGAATTATATATAAATTTATTACTTACAAATCACACACTCTATATTTCAACTCACTTTGCTACTATTCAGCCATTACATTTTATTAAGTTGAATAATTTTTTTGTTTCTAAGCTTCCTTCATTTGAACCTTCATATAAAATATATTCGTTGGGAAGTGAATAACTTTTACCAAGTTTTATTATTTTAATCGATTCCCCCCAATCATCGTTTCAATTTTTATCCACAAGAGAAAATCAAAAACTTCAGCATCTATCTGATTACAACATACATTATTATTCTTTACTTTTCAATACACTAATACAATATGACAAAGTCTGTCAGAGTAGGGGACTATTATGATAATGACGATAACGGGTTATGGTCATGGTACCTTAAAAACATTAGATCAGGTGATTTTGAAGAACTAACCCAAAATGAATTGAAATTCACTCTATTAAAAAGGTTTCTTTATAATAAATTCATTAAGGATCGTGAGGATGATCCAGACAATTCCACAGTTTCTAAAAATTCAAAGATTCTTTTCATTTCAATTCCTGATAATATTCATAGTGATATTTCACTACTAGAGACATTTTTAAAAGAATATTTCCATTTAGAAGATTTAACCAATATTAAAATTTTAAAATTGACGCACGATAAGACATACCATCATGAGAATCATTACGTTTTGATTGATACATTGAATAATTTCGATGACCCGACTTTCTTAGAATACTTAAATCCAAAGGATTATAAATATAATGATAGCATATCTCCAAGCCAACAAAATTTTTCAAATAGTAATAATAGCTTTAATAAGTCAGATCATCGATCAATACCCAGTGGCATAATAAATTTCCCAAATCCTAATGTAAATATTGACTTAAATGCAAAACAAAATGATGGTAGTCATAGAAATAATATGACTGCAACAAAGACAATTACAAATGAAGGTGAACGACTTTTGGATACAGTGAGAACCATAACAGGTGGAACCACCGATCATACCATGACATACACCCATTCTGAATCCGTCAGTTCATCTCGCGAATCATCTGTTGAGTCATCATATTCATCATCTTCATATAATTCATCATCTGCATCTTCTTCCATATCATCCGCATTATATTCAAGTTCAGTCGATTCAAATTCAGTATCAAGATCAATCGAGTCATCCACACGATCTCTAGGATCAGTGCCACAACCTTTGCATACTTCTTCCATGAAAACCAAAATGAAAAATGAAACACCAAGTACCCAATCTCTAGATAATAAAAAAGATATATCAAATGACAGAAATTCATCACATCGTAGCCAAAATAGTAGTATAAACAACAATGAAAGTATTAATTCCATAAATAAAATAGAAGATATGGAAGATGCAACGGGCAGTATTATTGAAATAAATTTCCCAAGAACTAAACTTCACACTCAAATGAGTGAAGAAGAACATGAACCAGTAAAACAATTAACTACAAGCCGTGTCTATAATCCTAGAGGTGACAATACTGGAATATATACTCCCCCTCAATCTGAGATTATTTCAATTAATAGTTTTGCTGATACAAGATCCAAGATTTTAGAAATCGATACAGAACCATTACATCAAGCGAGATCAAGATCTGAACTTTCTGTGTCAATTAGAGAAGATGAGGAGTCCAATAATTTCAATCCATATGAAGATGACCTCGAATCCAATGATGTTGAATCTAGGATCGATAGCTCTTCAGGTAGCTCATTCCTTACAGTTTCTACACAGACCACATCTGCAGATTCAATTTATTCCATTCTACCATCTATTTCAATCAGATCACCCCAAGGTCATTTTAGACTTGTATTACAATCAATGTTGACATTGAATGAGGACCGTCAAATTTATACTGCAATTAGACAGTCTAATAATTTATTGGATGATGCAGATGTCAATGATGATTGGATTCTTTATGATCAAAATTTTTCTATGAATAATTTGATAATGTTGACCTTGAAAGATTTATTCGAATGGGGCCAAAACCTTAAGAAAATATTATTCTATAGTATGGTTTTCATTGATAATACAGGTGTAACCGACGACAAGAATTTAGAACCACCTAATAAAGATCAAAATGTTAACAATAGTTCATTACAGGAACCTGATAATAGTGATATAGAGACTCCGCAGTTGTTATTTGCGGATGATGCTGAAAGAGACCCAACTATGCATTTAGCTGAGCGTGTTCAAACAAATAATACTATAGCACATAGATCTATTAGAACGATCAATAGCATTGGTGAATGGGCTTTCAAGAAGAAAAGTAATACTACAGATAGATATAGTGGGTCATATGATTCATCTGATTTTGAAAATGATCCACAAACATTTTATGGAGAAGGTGATGTTCTTACAAATACTAATACAAGACAAAACACAAAAGATAACGTTATGGTTGACCAAAATAAATCAAAGAAGAAAAACACTAAAAACCTAAAGGATCTTGAACGTGTTGCAAGATGGAAGAGTGTACCAAATAAGAGTGATCCAATGCATAATATCGAAGGTGGTAATTGGAAGAAAAACATGAAGAGGTTTAGTAAAGGGAAGTCTCACAATCAAAAGGACACTTTTTGTACTATTATGTGATTTTAATATGAGTCCATATTTAATGACTTTTTATAAATTTAAATGGTAAGAACAATAGAAGCATATATCTATATAAAATTGTATAGATGTATACATCTAGTATGTTCTTCTAAATTTTTTTTCGCATAGCTATATTTATTAATATTGAATACAAACACAGGATTTAAAATAAGATTTATTATTAAATGTTTTTTTTTTAGAATAAATAAATAAATTTTAAAAAAGGATATATAAAGAAGAAAACCTTAACAATGTGAAAAAAAAAAGAACGTACCCCAAATGTTCATCTTTTATAAATATGTATATGTAAAATGTGTGTAAGATGATTCATTGACTCAAAAAAAGAAATAATAAAAATAATATTATTAAGCCATGTGTTTACTCAAAGCTAATTGAACATCACTTGCATTAACAACAACCCCTCTTTCTGAACATTTAGCCTTTGACATCAATTCACCACATAAACCATCAATATCTATATCAGAATACTTTGGATGAGATGTTATTCTATCCCAAATTTCTGAACATTTCAATAAATCATCATCTTTGGAGGGAACCACTGCATTTGCATCATCATCGTCATCATTAGCATCAACAACAGGAAGCGTATCACAAGGAGCAGGTTTTGAAGAAGAAGTATTATTAACTTCTGGTGCTCCACTTGGGCCTTCATTAATCAAACCTTCCAAAGGATTTCTTTCATTATCTGAATTATCTTCATCATCATCATCTTGTAAAAATTGATTGAAAATGTCATTATTTATACCAGAAGAACCTGGTGTTCTAAATAAATCGGCAGTATCAAAATTATTATTAATCTCTAATGTTGGTTTAATATTTTCAAGTGAATCTGGTGTATCATTGTTTAATCTTGGTTGTGTCATTAAATCATTTGATTCAGTTGGGAAAGCTAAAGCGTCATTAATAAATGGTATATTATCCACAGAATCCGTTGATGATTCAAGGCCCTTAGATGTTACTGAATCAGGTGTAATATTATTTAGAGTGTTATTAATTGAATTTTGATAACCAATTTCACCAAAACTTAATTTTTTTGACATTGATCCAACAGAAGATGGAATTGTAATATTTGTATTTGTCATAGAATCAGAAGTTAAAGCATTTTGTGGTGTATTTGTTGAAGATATTTCTGATGGCGAAGTAGCTTTTGGAATTGGATGATCTTTTGTTCCACAAACTTGATTCATCTTAACACAAAAATCTGTTACTTGTTCATCAAATCTTTCATCAAAATTAAATTCATTTGATAACATATTACTATCATAATTTGATGGATTACCTAAGCTTGCGATTGACGAAGAAGGTTTTCTATTTAAATTATTATCATTACCATTAATTTGTTGATTAAACATATTATCATTATAAAAAATATTATCTAACCAATTCATTGATGGAGTTGAAGCATCTGTGGTGGTATTATTAATATTATTGCTATTATTTGGTGAATTTATTGAACCAAAATCATTGCTAAAAAAATTATTATTATTTGCAACGAATTTACTTTCATCAATATTCTTTGTTGTTGATGTTTGATTTGGTGAAGAATATGTAGATGAACCATCAGGTGAAGGGATATTGTTACTATTGCTATTTGCAGTCTTTGAATTAAAAGGATATGAAAATGAAAAATTTTTCTTTTGATCAATATTTTTTTGTAATTTAATTTCCTTTGATGAATTATTGTTATTTTCTGGTGGTGTCAAAGAATTTAGTAAATTATTATTACTATTATTATTTTCATCATCATTAACTTCATGTTGCGCTAAATAATTTAGAACTTCAGAATCATTTGACGTTTCCGGTCTAAATTTTTTTAATTCTTTAACTAAAGTAAATAGTTGACCTCTTAAAAATTCAGATTCAATTTCACTTTGTTTATGAATATCTTGTAAATGATTCACTTTTTCTTCCAATTCTTTCATTTTTCTTTCTTTTCTTTCTCTAAAGGCTCTTTGTGCAGCTCTATTTTGTGCAGTTCTTTTATTTTTAGTCTCTTCATCAAGTGGTGTCTTTGAATTTTTTGAACTATGATGGGATTTCTTTGCAGTATTATTCATTTCATCTTCATTATCGTTTTTTATCAATTCATCTACTGTCTCTACTGAGACATTAGTACCACTAATATCCAAGGGTCTCTTTGCAGCAGTAGTACTCATCCTTTATACGTGAAATATTTTTTCTTTTCAATAGAACAAACCAAAAAACAGAGTTTTTTAAATATATGTATACGTAAAAGATTCTATTTCAATAATAACGGTAATATTTTTGAAAAGGTTTCTAGTTTCTTTCACTTTTGGTTTAAATTTGTTAGTTGTATTGGGTGGCAAAATATACCTATATTGAGATCTCTCACTCTCTATATATATACTATGTACGTATGTATGCAATATAATATGGGGGTGCACAAGCCGATCCTCACTCTCGCTCTCTCCTTTTACTATCTGGTCATTCCGCTTTTTCTTTCTTTCTGCGAAAATTTTTCTAAATGATTTGTCAGAATAGTTTGTGTGTGGGTGTTGTGTATGAAGCATTGATTACTAAGAATTTATTTGGTGGGCACAGAGGGACCACGTAATGAGGGAGTTATGGTGGTTGGCCTGGATGCACTGTGTGTATATGTATATGTATATATGTTTATGGATATATGTATATATATATATATATGGTTGTTGTTAAGCGGTATTTTTAAAATATATGCCTCACTATATCTCTGGTCACACATATGCATATGTGCATATGTATATCTAGCTGAGTATCACGTGCGTGCCACGTGAGGCGCACGTGGCAGTATTCCGTACACAGTGATACATCTCTGATTTTTCTTATTGGTATTTGTAGTATTGTTAAGCTAAGTACTTCTCTCGGGCTTAATAACAATAGCATGCCACTATTGACCCTTTAAGAAAAAGTGTTGCAGTATGTATATGAATGTGCTACCCAGATGTGCCAGCATTTTCGGACACACTTGCAATAATTCTAGTGCGATTGAAGTAGATATATAGCTTTCTTACTGTATGTGCCAACTGGCATCCCATCCAAAGGGAAAGAATCGGGCTTTGTATTGTTTTTAGCATTTCTCGTGCATCTCGGATTTAAACAATTTTAACTAAACACAGAACTGCCGCTGCACAGTAAAAGCACCGCAGAGAGACGCCCGTTCCCTCCCCGAAGCACAGTTGGTGTTATCACTCGTTCGTTTAACAAATTTGAGAAAAGCTTCGTTTATTGGAATTTATCTGGATTGCTTTGTTCTCTCTCTGTCTCTCTCTCGATATCGCTACGTAGTAGCGGTGTGCATAGAGAGGATTCTTATACATCGTTTAATGTAAACTCTGTGATTTCTTAATTTTTTCAGTGAAGTCAAATAGTAAAATAATAACTAGTAGTATGCAGACCATTGCTTTCTTAACAATAGCAGTTTTTAGCTTTTATCGCTTGGAAGGTTGAATACTGAATTGACTTTGATATATAAAAAGGACTTGTGTTGCTTTACATATTACTAGGATATTTTCCCTTCCTTACCTATATTACTTATTCTTCGCTTTTTAATTTATATATATATATATATATCTACACAGTGGAATATTTCAATTACAAACAATAAAAGATGGACTCTGAAACTAACGAATTAAGACAAAGACAAGCTACATTCTCCAAAGAATTACATGGTCAAAATGTCGGTGAAAAATCAGGTATGACTGCGTTATTATCAAAAAATAATAATGCACAACAAGAAGCTGTTAATAAATATTTAAAATTCTGGGATGGTAAAACTGATAAAGATGCAGAAGACCGTCGTCTTGAAGATTATAATGAATCCACTCATTCTTATTATAACGTTGTCACAGATTTTTATGAATATGGTTGGGGTTCCTCTTTCCATTTTTGCAGATTTTATAAAGGTGAAAATTTCCAAGCTGCAGTGGCAAGACATGAACATTATTTAGCTCATATGGCAGGTATCAAAGAAGGCGATTTAGTCTTAGATGTTGGTTGTGGTGTTGGTGGTCCAGCTCGTGAAATTGCTAGATTTACTAATTGTAATATTATTGGTTTGAATAATAATGATTATCAAATTGAAAAAGCTAAATGGTACGCAAAAAATTCAGGTTTACAAGATCATTTACAATTTGTTAAAGGTGATTTTATGAATTTGGAATTCGAACCAAATACTTTTGATAAAGTTTATGCAATTGAGGCAACTTGTCATGCACCAAATCTAGAAAAATGTTATAATGAAATTTATAAAGTTTTAAAACCAGGTGGTGTCTTTGCTGTTTATGAATGGGTTATGACTGATAAATATGATGAATCAAATGAAGAACATAGAAAAATTTGTTATGAAATTGAATTAGGTGACGGTATTCCAAAAATGTTTACCGTCGATGTAGCTAGAGATGCTTTAAAAAATTGTGGGTTTGAAGTCCTTGTGGATGATGATTTAGCTGACAACGTTGATCCAGTACCTTGGTATTACCCTCTAACTGGGGAATGGAAATATGTTCAAACTTTAAGTGACATTGGTACTTTTTTCAGAACTTCATTTTTTGGTAGAAAATTAACTAATTTAATGGTTTCCACCCTGGAAAAAGTTGGTTTAGCTCCAGAAGGTTCAGTTAAAGTCACTGCTGCTTTAGAAGAAGCTGCGGTTGGTCTTGTTGCTGGTGGTAGATCTAAATTATTTACTCCAATGATGTTATTCGTCGCAAGAAAACCTTTAGACGCCGAATCCACTACTACTACTACTACTGCTTAGAAAAAAATAGAGTGGCCTTGCATCTTATTTTCTTCTTCTCTATAAAACAAATATGATTATATTTAGGATCTATACACTAGTAAATACATAATTCTCGAAATATTCCTAATCTTTTATGAAGCACCTTTGTTCATTAATCGTTGTGATTGATTCCAACGTTTATTTATATATTACTGTTCCTCCTTTTGTTACTGCGCGCACACTCTGCATTTTTTTTAGGGTGAGCTCCTTCATCGTGCAATTAATTTATTTAAGGGCTGATAATTAATCAATATTTAGAAACCACACAGGAAAAAAAAAGAATTGAATGGCACTATCCCAATTCAAAAACGATAAAGATATAAAAAAGATAGATATACATATATTCAGAAATTTAAAATTTGGTTAGTTGATTTACTCCCAGTATTTTAGATGATTTGAAAATAAAAAAGTGATACATTATATATATACATATATATATAAACAATATGAATAACATAAATATATTTGAAAATTTAAACAATAACAAAATCAAAAATGATAACGATGAGGAAGAAGAAGAAGAAGAAGAAGATAATAATCCATTTTCGGGAACGAATCATATGTTTGCATCGGGAATGGCTGGTGTCCCCGATATAGATACATTATCAGGGACTACTGAGTTGAAACCAGGTTATGAATATCCATCACAACAATCTGCTGAAAATAATAATAATCACAAAGATACAACACTTGATAATAATGATTCACCATATAGTGATGATGCTAATTTATCAACCATTTCATCAAGAACACATTCATCATCAAATAGTTCAGATATAGATTCACATGATTTTCATTCAAATTCTAATGTTAATTCTACTTCAAGTAATTCTCAATATGAACCTTATGAAAATTTATCATTATCTGTAGCTTTAGCTCAACAACAAAATCAAGAAAATATTATGCAAGACCAAAAAGATTGGCAAATCAAGATTGTTGAATCAGGAAATTTTAATGATCAATGGGGGAAACATACTATTGGCTACGTTATACATTATAACGATAAAGAAGTAATAAGACGATATTCAGAATTCAGTTCATTACATGATTTACTAGTTAAATTTTTCCCAACAATTGTTGTCCCACCAATCCCTTCAAAACATTCATTAATGAAATATTTTTTAAACCCAATTAATGCTCAATATGATACAAAAGTTATTGAAAAGAGGAAAAGAAAATTTGCTTCATTTTTAAATAATTGCAATAACACCCCCGAAATAAAATCCCATATTATATTCCAAAAATTTTTAGATCCTGATTTTGTTTGGAAAGATGTTATTCATTCACCACCAGTTACAATATTACCACAGAATAATCTCCTAGCTCCACCTTTAAATCAGGTGAAACCAAGTCCCTTACATCCATTATTGCCGTCTCCGAATACATCAAATAGTCCCACAAATTCACAAATTATGGATTCGTTAAAGGATAATACGGAGTTAATGAACGTCGCAAAAGAATTCATCAAAATTGAAAGTTTATTATCTCATTACCTAGCTATTCTACAACCAATTTATAATGAAGTTAAACATAATAAATTTCATTTAAGTTCATTATCAGGACAATTTGCAGAATTAGGCGCTTTCTACAATGCATTAAGTATCGAAAATCTTCCATTTGGTAAATTGAGTTCATGCATAGAAAAGGTAGGTAGATCATACGATATCAAATATGTATCAATGGAAGTATTAACAGAAGGTATTCAAAACTTACTAGAAGAAAATGTAGAAGAAATAGTAAAGTTACTATTAGATTCAAGGAGAGTAATTGTCTTTAAAAATATGAAACTTTGTCAATATCAAATAGTGAAAATTACACTTCAAAAAAGGCAAAATCGATTAAAAGAATTAAACGAATTTGAGGATAAATTGAACAGATTGGATATGGCTTTAAATAGAGATGCAGTAAGTTCTCGAACAGTTGCTACAGTTGTAGATAATTTGAAGAGAAAAGATTATGATAACAATAAAAAAAATGGTAATACCAATACTAATAATAATGTTGAAAGTACAAACCAACCTATTGAAAGTAATAATAATTCAAATGAACCAGACTTGGAACAAATAAAATTAGAACAAAAACACATACAATTACAATATCAGTTACAAAAGAAAAGAAAAAAAATTAATAAATATACTTCAAAATTGGATTCCCTCGGACCAGAATTCTTGACTAAAACAGAAAGGGATCTAGAGGGTAAAAGGATTGCTAAAGAAATCGAAAAGTTAAATGAATGCTTTAAGGTTATTCAACGAGATATCAAAGAAGTAAACCTTTCTAGTATGACTAGCTTGGCTAATTTACTTCAACACGTTCAAAACAAACTTGACTTCATGTTGCACGGGATTGTGAAGCTTATATTAAACTACAATTTAGAATGCTTGAACGCTTGGAAGGAGGCCAAGAGTTTAATAAATGAGATGTAAGTGATATTAACATCAGAGAAGTTTTCAATATAAGTGAACACATATCGAAATTCAGTTTTTCCCATGGCACATCAAAATCTAAGAAACTATAAATAAAAATATATATCTATAATTATATATGAAATACAATACTGCATTTTTAAAGGCATAGTCCAACAACACATCGATCTTCCTTTTTTATGGTTAAATATTTTTTGCTATTTCTCATTTTTTTATTATTGTTAAAAACTCTTATTTAATGAGGTCAATTACGAATTATGTACATATACATGATGATGACAAATACAAGGAACCAGTCAGGTAAAAACAATAATAAACATCGTAACATCGTATATACCTGGTGTTAATTTATAAACTTCTCCTCAGGAACAATGTTAATTGATGCATAAACCAATTTTTGTTGCTTCATTAGTATTTTTTTAATTTTTTTGTTTTTTTGTTTTATTTCCTTTCGAAAATACCTAAGTTTCAATGTTTTATTGTTTAATGTGAATTTATAAAGAAAAAGGTGCAATATCTTGTGTTAAACTAATTTATACTCTTGGTTTTGGTTTAGACCATTCAACATGTAGAATTAAGTTCATGTAACCTCTACCGTTCAAGAAATGTAGAGCCTTTTCAGCCATTTGTTCACTGATAAAGGTAACGAAAGCCAAACCTCTAGATCTACCTGTTTCTCTATTTCTAACAACAACACACTTTTGAATAGGACCGAATGGGAATAGTAATTCTTCCTTTATGGACATTTCATCAGCATCTTCATTTAATTGCATAATCTTCAAAGTACACATGTCATCACGTTCTCTAGCATCTCTGTAAGCATCAGAAGATGGATCCTTAGCACCGGCACGACGAGATGGCGGAACATAACTACCATTACCGGCACCAGCACCAGCACCTTCTTCTTTACCTCTGTTAATTTCTTCTGCAACTTCAGCACTGTCTTGAGCAGCTGGATCTTCCAAAGAAGAAATTTCATTTAGAATAGACTTGAATGGACAGTTCATGGTGTAATGCTCATTACCACACAGTCTACATGTTAGACCCTTACTTGTAGATTCCTTAGCCTTACGTGCTTTTTCTTCCTCAGCATGTTTCCAATCTCTGTTCAAGTGTAATTCAACCTCTTCACCAAGAGCAGTAGAATCACTTGGACCTGCGCTAGAATTCTTTTCAGAACCATATTTGGCCCATTTCCTTCTCTCAGCAACAGCCTTATGAACTTTCTCTACAATCTTTACTTCTTTTATCTTTTGAGTAACTTTGTACTTTTCACCATTTTCAATCTTGTAAGTGATGACGGATTTGGTACCATCACCGTTGTCAATAATTTCTGGTGCTACTTCAGCCATTTCTATTTATTCTATCTTGTTATGCTTATAGTATATAACTTCAACAAGAAACTACAAAACAATGAGAATTTAGAGCAAAAAAATCTATATCTATACCACTAACACTTTCATATAACTTGATTTCCCTTCTCAGTGCTTTCGTACTTTCGTGAATATAGATGAACTTTACTAACTAAGCGTAAAGTTTCAGAAACATCAATCATGAAAAATTTTTGCGATTCGTCGTGTGCGACGGTTGGTGTGGTCAATATCTATGCCGTCGTATAACGCGATGTTTTGACAGGACTAAGTTTCCGAATTATTAAGAAGCTTCAATATAAGGATGGGTAGTGAACTAGTCAATAACATTGTTAGAAAGGGAACAAAGTAAAGAAAAGGTTCAACTAACGATTAAGTATTTACGAATAATTTAGAGTAACTCATAAAGAGTAGATATAAATTGTAATTTTCTGACAAATCCTATACCTTTTAAATCGAAACTGAGAATATTTCACTATTACCATGGCTAAAGCTAAATTGAAAGTTTCTGTGATAAAGTTGATATCGACAGCTGCCACTGGGTTTTCAAGACATATTACAATTAAGAGAGGTGCTCCACTTGTCCATCAAGTGAGATATGACCCTATAGCTAAACGTCATGTCTTATTCAAGGAAGCTAAAAAGAGGAAAATCCCTGAAATAAAACCAATAACATTTTCGAGGGTCACTAAGTAGTATTAACGAAGAGTTATAAATTTGAAATTAATATTATTTAAATTATCAAAAAAGAAATAAAATAAAATAAAAATGCAACACTGTATCAAACACAATTGCTTCCAAGACATATATTCCTGATGTACTCAAACTCCGTTAAACTACATGGGAGCAATGAAACGGGGAATGGCGATATATAACATTCATTCACATATACTGATATATATATTTATATATACTTTCAATAGTAGTCATACGACATGTAAATAAAATACTCCTACATATATTCTGACTTCAGCTTTATTTAATGCTGTTCCTTAATTTATAATTTTTTTTTTTGAATTTACATTATTTACTATAACTTACATATAGATATTGTTATGATGAACAATTAAATGCACATGCACAAAATTTATATAATTCCTCAACACCAGTTTTTGTTACTGATATAAACGTTGAAGAAGAAAAAACACATCTTTTTATTTTATTTTTAAATATTTTTCTAGTAACAGGAGCATAAAAACTCACTGAAAACATTGAAACATCGAAAAAAACACAATATCAATTAAACTTGGAAATACCATAATACTAATTGGAACCCCATGTACTGTTCCCACCGTTATTTTGATTACCCCATGCTGATCTATTACCTTGCTGTTGGTTATTGTTACCCCAAGCAGAAGCATTACCTTCATGATTGTTATTATTGTCATTGGAGTTATTATTTCTGTTACCACCCCATGCTGAGGCACCACCTTCTTTGTTACCCCAAGTGGACGCACCACCATAAGCGGAAGTAGCACCACCACCCCAGGCAGACGTAGCACCGTTATTATCACCACCGGCAGCCCATGTAGAAGCACCACCGTAACTAGACTTGTTACCCCATGTAGATGCACCACCCCATGTAGAAGTAGCACCAGCTCCTTGTCCACCCCATGCAGATGATCCACCAGTGGATCCCCAAGCGGATGTACCACCAGATTGACCACCCCATGTAGAAGCGCCACCCCAGGCAGATGTACCACCAGAGCTGGCACCATGTGAATTAACAGCCGGCGTTTTACCACCATCGAATGCATTGTTCCAGCCCGGTGTCATACCACCTGGTAATGTTGTATTCATTTCACCCGGTTGTCTACCAGTGTTCATTGGATTACCAGCACTAACATAACTTGGACCCATTCTACCTTGTGGAACTCTACCACGTCTATTAACAAGCTCATCATAAAGGATACCTTCACCACCTTCACGGTTGTAATAAGTCAATTTCCTCTTATCAACTGTAATGTGTTTATTTTTGGAATGTAGTTCAACGGTGGCTTTATCACCATTGACATCTTTTACTATACCTAATTGACCTTTGTACCCTGCAGAACGAATTCTTACAGTCTTACCGACAGCAACTTCACGTGCTGGACCGGCTTGAGGACGTGGGGTCATTGCTGATGGAGGTCCCATTTTTGATATTATGTCTGGGTTCATTCTACTCAAATCCATTTTATTGCCTAATATATTGTCTTTTGATGCAACAGCTTCAATATTACTGGTATTCAAAACAAATACACCAGCATTTTCAATAATTTTCTTGGACATAACAAAAACTTGTTGATTTTGAATAAATAAAATCTCACCCTCTCTACGTGCACCTAGTTTCTCTATGACACTATCACCAATCTTAATCTCTCTACCTTTACTATCAATAGTGGCTAATTGTAAACGGTTTGTATTAATCTTGCTCAATATGGAACCTTTATTAATTGTAAACACTTTACCACCTTCATCAAGAACTTTAAATATATCATGACCTGCTTGAATGATACAAGCCACATTTTTTGCACTCAGTTCGACAATATCATGTAAAGCGTATTCACTAGACGTTGGAGTGGAATCGATAGATTTGGAAAGATTATTAGCCGTAATAGTAACTTCTTGTCTCGTTTGATTAGACATAAATGTAACTTGACCTTGCTTTACAATCAAAACCAGACCAGCGTCACCTTGATGGTCACCATTAATTACAGTAACATGATCACCAGGTTCGAAGATCTTTCTTAAAGATGAGATAGGGAATTCCAATGGTTTTAATGGGAATTGAGGTAATTTCACTGTTGCGATATCGGTTGTCGTCTTTGTAACAATACCTTTAGAACTACGTTGTTCACCTACTAGAATTTCAACACGGTCACCAGCTTGGAAAGTTACCTTTGATGCTTGGGATTTCTTTAAAGTTTGAGATATGTTAGATAAATCCACAGAACCATCCTTCGAACTGAATCTGGCAAGTTCTTCAACAGATGGTTGAATATTTTTAGTTTCAATGTATTGGATTCTAAATGACTTAAATAAGTAACCATCAATATAATCTTCATTTTTATATGTAAAATGATGATCATCTCTCTTGTATAAGTTAGCTTGATCAAGTCTTAATGCCATAGTTGGATTGAATAATTGTGGGGAAGCTCTATTTGCAAATGTTGCTCTTCTTGGTTTTCTTTGTCCTGTTGTTGGATCAACCTCGTCGAACTTACCATAGTCTAAACGAGGAACTACTTTAAGCATGACTTCCAAATTGTTTTCACTAATTTGGTCAATCATAGCCAAATCTCCCTTATAAATACCTCTCTTAATACGGACATAATTTCCTTCTTCCAATGTAACGTCATCGGATTTGTTTGGTTTCAATAGCAGTGGCAATTCTTGTACAGGGATTAGTAATTTTTGATTAATGTAAATATCTGGAACACCATTACAGAATTTCTCAATAATAGATTGCTTTGGAGCTTCGATATAAATTCTACCATGATAGTTATCTCTTTGGAAGATAGCAAGAATTTTTAATTTCTTCTTACCCATTGCTCTATCTAAGTTTAACTTCTTCTTAAACAACTTTTTCACCAACTCTTTTTCTTTACCAGGTCTACAACGAACACCCCAAACAGTAGCTGTATCAACACTAGGTAATAAAAATCTTTGAGGAACGTAACCATCTTGGGCAGCTGCACGGTATTGTTTAGAACTTGTTCTACCATATCTTTCTCTTAATTCCTTTGCCAGTCTCTGGGCGTCTTCTTCTGATGTCTTGTTCATGTTTTGATCCAGTTCTCTATGTAGACGGTCTCTTCCTTGTCCTTCCTCTTCATGCTCATCATCACGAGTAATGAAACCTTCTCTTACTAATTCAGATTCTTCTTCATCCTCGTCCTCATCCTCATCATCACTGACCTCAGCTTCAATATCTAAGAATCTGTTTCTTTCTTGACGTTGTCTCTTACTTGGAGCTGCATCTTCATCTTCATCTTCATCGTCATCGTCATCGTCATCGTCATCGTCATCTTCGTTTTCATTATTTTCGTCATCATCATCATTGTCTGATCTCGGTCTTTTCGAAGTTGATGGTGTACTATCTTCCTCTGCATCTGCGTTAGATAAAGAATCAACATAATCTGTCTTTACAGCGTGAGCCTCACTTGAAGTTTCGTTGTCTTTATCATTTTGATTTGCCTCTGGTTGTGCAGAAACTTCATGGGATGTTGTGTGGTCCACTGTCTCTTGATTTTCTTCATCTTGAGGAGCATCAACTGTATGGTTTAATTCAACGGCTGGATTAGACTCAGTCTTAGGAACAGTTGCAGTGGTAGAAGATACTTGCGTGTGCTCAGTACCAGTATGCGTGGCAGTTGCGCCAGTTCCAGGTCCTGACTCCATCGTTGGATTTGGAGTAGTATCAGAATTTTCACTCATGATTTAGCTAAAATGATAAGTCTCTTTCCTGCTAATGAGTTAATACTATTCTACTTCCCTGTAATAACAAAACAATAAACGTATTCAACAGCTATCACTTTTAAATTACAAAATTCTAGCTTTTAATCTCTCTTCTTTTCTTATAATATTATTCCAAAGGAGTCTATTGTTGGGGTGGTAGTTCGTGGTTCAGGTAACATTATTTCTTCCTTCTTTCATTTTTTGCATTGCTTTGCATTTTCAAAAAGGGAAATGCCTACAATTCGCACAGCAAAAACAAAGAAAATAAATTTTCAAAATGAGAGGGTAACTTTAACACGTTGAAATGTAAACCGATGAAACCAACTAGGAGATGAGGACTATCAAGGCACTAGTAAAGTTTGTGTTTTCATCTCAACTTCAGCCAGCTTTTATGCTCATAAAGGTAGCCAAAATATTGTTTGCAGTTAAGTTTTTCATAGCAAGGTAATCCTAGCATACTTCCAACCTTCAAAATTATCACTGCTTGTAGAGTCATGAGTGATAGACTAAGTTATGAAAAGGTATCCCAGTTTGCAAATGTCAAGGTACCACAGGATATCGAAGATGAAATGTTAAATGTATATGCTACATATAGCATTGAACATGATATGAATACTAATGATTTAGAACCTTATTTCAAAGATCTAGAGCTACCGAAAGATCTGTACAAATTAATAAGGAAGGAAGACCTAGTTATCGAAGGTACCAATATTATTGATTTTCAATTACTAATTAGAAGTACGTACCATATTTTGATATACATTGATAATGGAGATGTTATTAAGAACTTATGGACTACAATGATCAAAAATTCTGGGAGAGATGTTCAGTTTCCAAATACCAAACTAACAGACCATGTTCTCAGTGTGAAAGATCTTCAGAAAATATCCAATGTTATAGGCGTTTCAGACCAATCTGGTCTGATACAAATGATGAGTTGCGCTACAGAAGGAAATAGATTGTTTATTACATATCTAGACTTTGCATCTGTATTAGGGAAATTGGGTTTACTACGGTATAGGAAAGCTTAAACATATGAAATTGTAGACATGGTTATATATTTTCTAATATACCTAGAAGATAAATTTGAAGTATGGATATATAATGAATTCTCTAAAGGATTTTGTCATAATAACTCTTCAAAAAAAGTAGAAAGGAGAAAACATAAGAAAGTAGTAGAGATATCACTGATCATCGTCATATTCTTCTCCTTCATTAGAGTCAGATTCGATAATATCTTCAACTAATAAACTGCCGTTGGGCCATATTTGAGACACTTCTTTTATCATAGTGTGCTCACTATGGGGAATTTCACATCTAGGGAATGGGGAAACTAGTTCGAAATCAAACATTAAAGGAAATTCGTTATCAGTTAGTGCCATCCATTTTTCCAATTCATCGGCAATTACTCCTTTCAAATACATTGCATCTAATTCATCATCTATAGTTAGTTTATCCTTAAAACATAATACCGATGAGTCATCAACTAATTCTTTAACTTTATCTATAATACTCTGACTCCACTTAATGGGTTCTGAAGAGTTTTGATTCAAGTACAAATAGCAACCGATTTTACAGTACACGGAATGTAATGTGGTTTCGCTTTTGAACTTCTTGACAATTCTAGCACCATTAGAAGTTCTAATTTGTAAGGTCGCATATTCATTTGTCGAATCTGTAGATAATTTTTCACCAGTTTCTCGATCCAAGGCATCAACGCAAAGTTTTAACCATTTCAGATTACTAATAGTATCATTTAACTTGATTTGTTGTTCTTTTTCTAATCTTAATCTATCCTGTAGTGCTTTTTTGTCAGCGTCTATCCTACGATTCTCTTCTTTGATACGATCTTTACGTAACGAATCCTCGTATGCTTTTTCTTGCAGTTGTTTGATTTCTCTTGCCATTCGAAGTTCTTCCTTTTCGGTTCTACTTACCACTAATTCACTCTCAAATTTATCTAATGTGACTTTCAGAGAATTTTGAAACTTTCTTGTAGAGGTAATTCTCAATCTAGATAATACGGAGAGCCTTGTAGTACCATTTAGAGATCCGTTACCATTCAACACATTACCGATCAATAGACATTCTGGAGTATATTTAATATTTAAGTTCCTTGCCACGAGCCATGGTTCTAATTCCGTCACAGAACCAAAATATATGATCATATTATCTTTATGTTTATCTAAAGTATCTAATACTTTTTCATGAGTGAAAAATTTATTGAGAAGTTTCAAGGAATTGGTATCTATATCCTCTTGATCATTAATTGTGCCAATGGATTCCTTCAATTCATCATTTTCATCTCTAGTGGATGATTTCGAATTAGGCATAGAACCCACTAAAATGACTAATAAAAATTTGAATTCATCTTCACATAATTGAAGAGCATCATTGAAGGAAATATGAGGACCCTTCAGCCATTCGTTTGCTCTATCAATCATTTTCGGCTCCTTGTCTTCAGTGTTCCATATTCTTTCTAACACGATATTATCATCTTCCTCAGTGGGTAATTTTGGAACATGCATCATTACCCTATTTCTTTCTCCATTACTTTGGTTACTATCATCTAGTAAACCAAACGTAATCAAGGAGAATAAAACGGTAACTAATTTCCACAGGAATCTCGGTATCACCATTAATAATAACATAACAGGATTCCAATCACCATTCACTTGAGCTGATGTTCCTGAACCATGATTTAAACCTACTACTTTAAACTTATCTCTGTAGTCAATTGGTAACCTTTTCACTAAAGGTAATACTGGCACGAGACTTCTGCTTGCCTGCCATTGATCCATCAGGGAATGTCTAACTCTTAGCCCATCATTTCTATCAAATCGTGGACCTGGTGTGGGGACTCTCGTTGGCGGTGATGGCGATCTCCCTGTAGGCAATTCCATTTCGTCTACATTAGGTCTTGATCCAGTAGTATTAGCAGATGATAACTGAGATAATGATTCTTTCCAATTATCATCAAAGAAACGGCTAATAGCAGGTTCTAAATGCCAACTATGATTTTGTAACAATTTTATTATTAGTTCAAGATCCTCCTCTGGGAAATCGGTGATACCTTTAAATTGGTTCAATTTATCTTCTTCCTCATGAGATAGATGAAACTCTTTATCTCCTGCATTAATAATCGGCATCCTTATTTAAATTGTGGTTGGCCCTTTTATTATAAAAAAATATACCTTATCTCACGAACGTTCTATTTGAACTACAAAATATAGTATCAAAAATTGAGCTGTAGACTTTTTTCAAATATCCAAATGGCTATTAAATTCCATGAAATGTTGTAGGTGTGCTCCCTATTTACTTCATCAATTGTTTAAAATAATAGTGAATTTAATCAATCCATTACAAATTTAAAGGTTTTTGTTGGATTTTTCCTCTAAATGTGGCGTGGATTCCAGTACACAGTCAATTCGCGTAGAGGCCAACCTATAACGATATGAAAAGAGAGCATCTGTATATATCTATCTATGCAAAAAAATAGAATTTCATTAAAATGTATATATACATATATATGCTTATACATTTATATTAGATTGAAGTTGAGCTATATGCCGTCTGAAAAGAAATACGAACACACATATAATATGCTGTAAAAAAATGCTGAAGTATCCTTAAAATTTCCAAAAACAATGAGCTTATTGTTTCTGTGCTATGACGTACCAATTATCTTTCTCATACCCATGACTAACAATAGTAGCACCTGCCTGTATACAATCTTCTTCAAGTTCACCTTCCTTATATAAATGATAGAATCTATATTTTGTAACTTGTTCAGTGTTTGTAGTTTGATTTTCTTCTTCTTCTTTTAAGGCCTTAGCTGCTTCAGCAGCTCTTTGTTCAGCACGATCTTTCCTCCATTGAGCAACATACGTGGCTCTATCCTTTGGTTCAATCCCCGTTAAATCAGGCTTCTCATGATCGACATTTGATTTCTTACTTTTAGTCTTCTTCTTTGTATCATGTAACACCCAAGGAACCATCACGTCTTGTTCCATACCTTCATGATAGCCTCTTCTTGATTCACCTTGTTCCAAAGCCCAACAATATATCAAGGCTTGACCACCAGATTTAATCTTACTCAAGATATGATGAATTGCTTGTACTCGTCTCTCCCTTGTGGTCCAATGATGCACCACAGCAATCGATATGGCAAAATCAAATGTATTATCTCTATGTGGTAAATTCATCCCATCAGCTACCATGACATTATAGTGTGAGTTAATCCCATGGGCACATTCAATAAGTCCATCCGATCTATCGGAACCTATGATATAGATATTATCATTGATTCCCAGATATTTCCCATTCCCACAACCAATATCGATACCTATACTACCTGTAAGTCTATTCTGTAAAAAATTCGTAACTATAGGCCAAGGTTTATATCTAGTCTCTGAGAAATGTGCAGCGATTTCATTGTATACATCATGCACATACTCCTGTTCTTTCGCCTGAGCTTCACCAACACTACCCATTTCTGTATATATGTTTGAAAGTCAACGTCGTAGTAAGAATATTCCACACGACTCACCCAGTTTCAAGTCAATTGAATCATCAATTGCCTCATCATCAGCAGTTCTTTAAGTAGCAAAATCCAAGAAAATTTTTCACTGTGGAAACTTTCGGAGTAGACCCGCCTCGTTAACAGTGATGCTCGTCTGAAACAGTTCGTGCCCAAATCATTGTAATTGAGACCATACTCAATAACAACAATACAATCTTGCTAAAGTCATTGCAGACCCTAATGTCAATTTTATCATAAGACCGTAAACCAAAATAACATACTATATTAACTTTACACAGGCAATAGAACCTCTATAACTTCTAGTCCCATATTGCTCACTGTGAAAGAGATAGACAGACACTCAAAAATTTAACGGGCAAAAGAGATTCGTTTCCTTTGGCTTCTCGCCGCGTTTAGAAAATTTAAAAATAAAGAGAAGAGAAAGAAAGGATTTGTTTCACCTAGTTGGGTGCTCTCTCTCTCTCGCTATCTACCTCTTCACTATAACTTTGGCTTGGGTTGCTGGAGAAGAGAAAGTCAGTTGAAAGATTGATATTTACATTTGTTGGCTTAATTAGACCAAGTTATACAATTTAGTTACCTACTATACAGTAACTTGGAGAATCCGTTTTGTCTTTTGCATTGCTTCATCGAGTGTCCTCAGTCTTACATAAGTTACATCTAGGGATACGGAGATACATTCACATATTTAAGAGGCAAAGAAATTATTAATATTGATTCTGTCGTGTTATACCTGTGCAAGCATAATTTACAGATACTATTACAACTTCAGATTTGAAGAAATCCAGTTTTGCAAATAATCTATATCGTAATTTTTATTTTTATTACACATTCTGGGAATATTAGTGGGAACTTTTTTTTTAGATATTTTGAACACGTATAAATTGTATAAATTAAAGAATAACAAGAAGAAACACAACAATGGGTAATTCAAATTCCAAACCTTCGAGTAAGAGTAAGAAATCGACTAAAAAGGGGAAAGAAAGTTCCTCGAGTTCACGTCCATCCTTAAGTGCTAGAAGTTCACATAATCACAGTACAAGTACAAAAAGTCATTCAACTGAGCATGTTCCAACTATTATTAATACGCCTGAATCACCTTTGAAATCAGGTGAAACAATAATGGATACAACCATTAATAGCGGTAATGAATTAATTTCTACAAATTTAAATAGTGGTGGTGGTAGTGAATCTCATAGTAGGTCCGGTAAACTTAGACCAACAACATTATCTCGTACAACAACAGGACAATCAAATAAATCTTCAAGATCATTGAGATCGAGGCGATCGTTAAACAACATGACTACATCACCATCCTCTAATATTGATGCTGGTGATAATAATTACACTAATAATAACCTGGGTTTACCTCAAATAAAAAAACAGGTATCAAATATCGAAACAAAAAACAATAATAATTCAATTTTACAACAACCATCTTCATCATCATCTACTTCACATTCACATTCACATTCTCATAGAAGATCACACTCTCAACATTTATTTCAATCATTCCATGGTAATTCTTCACATGATACTTCTGAAGATACAACTGCAGATCATAATAATCATTTACATCCAAGATCTGGTAGACCTTCAAACGCTAACTCTAGACGATCAAGTTTTAATAATATGAGTGATTTACCCCCGTCAATGATTCAAGTACAACCAAAACCTCCAATTTTGAAAAATAGTCAATATACGCAATCATCTCATTCTTTCCAATATTATGAAAATGCTCTAACAGACGATGATAACGAAGATAATAATAATAATAATACGTCATATTCTGTTCAGACACCCGCTGGTGGTGAAAAATCTTCAAGACAGGAATCTATGAGGCACAGTCATTCTTCAAGGCCTTCTAGTATTAAAAGTGGAGTCTCTTCATCATCAAGACAACGTCGGAAATCTGATAATAATAATAATAGCAATGGTTCAAGAGTTCCTGATTTTGTAATATCTGCATCCCAGGGACAATCTCGTTCAAATTCATTTGCTTCATCGATGCATTCAAGAAAATCTTCACAAGGTTCAAATACAAATACAGCGTACAGCACGCCTTTAAATTCGCCTGGTGTTCAACAATTATTACAACATAGTAAGATGAGCGATGAATCACAGGATTATTTCGGAAGTGGTTCCAATGTTGACGGTACAGGGTCCTCCAATGGAACTCCACATCATCATCGTCATCAACATCATCGTTCCTCTTCTTCTGTAAATATTGATAATGGTAATATGGATAATCAAGCGATGGATGGGGAAGGTGTCAATAATTATACAACTGCATCAAAGATGGATCAATACCCTGGCGGAATGGATACATTTAATACCCCTATTGGAGACACTGATGTAACATCCAATTTAGGTTTCAATGGAGTAGTTGGTAAGAAAAAGAAAATCTATAAACCAATTGATATAGATGAAACCATACAGAAACTGTTGGATGCCGGCTATGCAGCAAAGAGAACAAAAAATGTATGTTTGAAAAATTCCGAAATTGCACAAATTTGTCAACAAGCTCGTGAAATATTCTTGTCCCAACCATCATTATTAGAATTATCACCACCGGTGAAAATTGTTGGTGATGTACATGGCCAATATGGTGATTTATTAAGATTATTTACCAAATGTGGGTTCCCACCTCAATCAAATTACTTATTTTTAGGTGATTATGTCGATCGTGGGAAACAATCTCTTGAAACAATCCTTTTATTATTATGTTATAAGATCAAATACCCTGAAAATTTCTTTGTTCTGAGAGGGAATCATGAATGCGCTAATGTCACCAGAGTTTATGGTTTTTATGATGAATGTAAGAGACGTTGTAACATCAAGACTTGGAAAGTATTTATCGATACATTTAATACTTTACCATTGGCAGCAATTGTTGCAGGTAAAATCTTCTGTGTGCATGGGGGTTTATCTCCAGTTTTAAACTCCATGGATGAAATTAGACACGTCAGTAGACCCACAGATGTTCCTGATTTTGGTTTGATTAATGATTTGTTATGGTCTGACCCAACAGATTCGCCAAATGAATGGGAAGATAATGAACGTGGGGTTAGTTACTGTTACAATAAGGTTGCCATTAACAAATTTTTAAACAAATTCGGATTTGATCTTGTGTGTCGTGCACATATGGTTGTTGAAGACGGTTACGAATTCTTTAATGATCGAAGTTTAGTGACAGTTTTCTCAGCACCGAATTACTGTGGTGAGTTCGATAATTGGGGTGCAGTAATGAGTGTCAGTGACGGTTTATTATGTTCTTTTGAATTATTGGATCCTCTGGACAGTGCTGCATTGAAACAAGTGATGAAGAAAGGAAGACAAGAAAGAAAAGTGGCAAATCAACAACAATTACTTGATCAAAGATAAATATCAGTTGATAAAAAGTGATATATAACAACTACTAAGCAAGTATTCTAAAAAGAGATATTATATTTTTTGTGTTTTTTCAATCCCATGTACATTTCAAATTCAATACCTTAGTAAAGAAAGTAATAAACTAGTCATAAAAATATCTTTTTTTATTTATTATTGGTATTCGATTCTTTTTAAATAATTTTTTACTATTCATAATAACATTTTTCATTAATCTATATATACATTTAATAACTAAAACATTAATAAAAGATTCATTCTACTATCAATGTTCCAAGGGGATATTTTTGGATTTTCTCGAAGTTAATTTGATATTATTAAATTATTTATGTTGGTGATTGAAATTTATTTCTATAGTTATATTACATGAACGATTATAAAAAATTTATGGAGATGTAGGAAAACGGTTACTGTATAGGTAAACCCAGGAAAAGAAAGAAGAAGAAGAAAATGCAGTGTATATTTATTTGAAATGGAAGAATTTAGTAGGAACGAAAATCAGATAAGGTAACTGTGTTGTATTTTGATGCTAACCATCGGAGAAAATAGATATCGTTCTTTCTTAAAAAGATAAAGAAGAAGAAAAAACATAATGAACTAAACTTATGCATCTGACTGATTTCTGAAATTTGATTGACCACCACGGTTGAATCCACCACGGCCACGACCTCTGTCTCCTCGACCACCACGACCGCGACCGCGACCACGGTCATTGCCACGATTATTATTATTATAGCCATGATGGTCATTATTAAATGATTTACCATTGTTATTTGATGAATTTTCATTTTGCAAGAAACTACTAGCAGGTTTGAAAAGGGAATAACTTTGAGTCTCAGTCTTCTCAGTTCTTTCTTTTCTCTCGTAAGATGATTCATCATCTTTTTTATCTCTTGAGTATCTTGATCCTTTGTTATAGTTGTTGTTACAACTAGAGTATGACTTATAACCTCCCCTTCCACCTCTCTCATTGTTATAACCTCCACGGTTGTTATGGTAACCTCCTCTATTGTTATTTCTATCTCTATTATTGTAACCTCCTCTTCTGTTTTTATATGAACTGTTACTACCTTCTCTATCGTTGTTCTTAAATTTAAATTGGGAAGAGTCTGATGTTTCCATTCCATTTTCATTATTATCAGATTCTGTTTTTGTCGATACATCGCCGTCATCGACATCATCGTTTTCTCCATCATTGTCGTTATTATCATTGTTACTGTTATTATTATCATTGTTATTAATGGTATTAGAGTTATCACCTGTAGTGATTTGTGTTTCGTCATCATCTATAGCTGTGTTGATTAAATTGGTATTTGTTACAGGAGATGATTCTGTTGAATGATTATAAGCTTGTGCTGGAGAAGTTGAACGATTCCTTTTTGTCTCCTCAACAGATTTTTGTAATACTTCAGAATAACTTAAAGTTGGTTTCTTTAATATAGTAATTTTTGGTTTTTCAGCAGATGTTGAAGTATCTAAAGTTTCATTGTTATGAAATGCATTTTGTTGTCTAACTAAAGATGCTAAAGGTGCAGAATCCCCTTCATTTTGTGATAATCTTCTTAATGTAGTAGTGTCTTCAATATGTAATTCATCCATCTTTTTTTCAATTTCAAGTGTTACTGATTGAGTATCAGCAGGTTTTGCTGAACCAAAAGGATTTGGTTTACGTTTATGTTCAACATAAGGTCTTGAAGCATCGATTTGTGGATCATTTTTTAATAAATCTGTCTTTGAAATATATTCTTTAAAATTTTCAAAAATTGCAATTTCCGTATTAATATTATAAATATCTCTTAATGGTTCTTTCCAAAATGAAACAATTTTTTGTAAATCTCTTGCTGTATATAATTCCACAAATGCAACTTTTGAATCATGTTTAAAATTCTGTTCAAATTCGGAACCATTCTTCATAGTTTCAATCGATGGATTTATATTTAATTCCCAAAATAATTTAAATTTAATAAATTTTGTATATTTAGCTTGAAATAATTCTTCAATATCACGATTTGAAAATCTTGGTGGTAAATTAGAAAATTTTACAATGTATGGTGGACCTGGCATCATATTATTATTATCGTTATTATTATTATTAATATCATTCATTTCATTAAATGCATATGGATCTCTATGATAATTGTTATGAGATGGATTATGACCTCTAGCGTCATTAGATTTATTATTTCTTGCTTGTCTAAACAAATCGATATTTGTAGTATTTGAGATAGCATCTAAATTAATATCACTTTCATCCCAAACGGAGTCTCCTAGGGATTCATCTCCAAGAAACTCCTCTAATGACATTTTCTTTGCGTTACCATGATTAGAATTTGAAGCCATGCTATATTTGTAATCGATATATATGTATGACTGTTATATTTGTATTTCTATAGCTGTTCCAATGGTATACCAAACAGTGAAGAAAATAGAGAAAGCGTAGCTTTAAATTAAATAAGTAGGAAACTTTACTAATTGTTATTATTAAATATTTTTAGGTTCTCTGTTCTCTATATTTCGTGCTCCCTCTTTCCAATTCTATTATTGGCAAAAGCCGTGAAGGCTGAAATTTTGGGTGAGTTTGGCCCTTTTTGGTGGTTGAAGCACTCAATTTCCTCATTTTTTTTAGTTGGATTTTTTCGCGTAAAGTTCAGTTTGTGCGTCGTGGTAAGTGATGCTATCACGTGATATTACGTACTCCCTCACTATAAAAATGGGCTTGAGGGATAAAATTATATATAAGAGATACAGTGGTATATTTGGCACCAATGTCAAGCATTTCATTTGGATGCATGTTAGTATCAGCCGTGACAGCATGAGGAACCACGAATGAAGCGATACACGTGAATCCTTGTCGTCTCCAGTGATTGGAGGCCCATTCTTTATAGATATATATTATCACTGCTGAATTGTTATAGCAGTTATCGCAACGCCGAATTTCACTTTGTACGGAGGAAACCGTGTGATCATCGCTGAAAAATTCATTGTAGCAAAAAAAAGGATTAAGTAAATTATCTGCACTCTCAGAAGTTCGATGAAATCGTTAAACTAATATTTCATGAATCGTAAACTATAACAAACCTTGGTACCAGATGACTGTAAATGGAATTTGTTTAAATATTCTCTTGAAGGGATATATCTAAGAGGTAACGTGTAAAAATCTAGATTAGATATTTCTAAACAAGTTTATTTTCCTTTCAATATTGTTGTTGTTAATTTAGACATCAACAGGACATACATTCTGCATATTCATTTATATATAAAATAAATTGTACTTTGATTAGTTATTTTACCTGTTTCACACTAATTTAATAATGCTGATAGATAAAGACGTTAGTAGAAAATGGACATTAGGCCTAATAATGCTGACTATAGTAATTATACTATGGGTAATGTCATCATTTCTAATCAATTTAATATTTGAAGATAATATCTACAGGAAACCATTTTTCATCACATATATTAATACAGCTTCATTCATCTTTTATTTAATACCTACATTTAAAAATACTGTACGAAAATATTTTAGAGATAAACATTGGTCTATACATAAAGAATTAATTTTACAAGAGGAAGGTGTCTTAGATGATTCGATGGTAGATGAAAATAATAATAATATTAATAATACTAGTGGTACTGAAGTAGTTAGAAGAGTCTCGATAAATTCTTCAAACTCTACTTACGTGGTACGAAATAGCAGTAGTAATAGTAATCTCAATAGTAGTGTATCTGCTGCTGTTCGAAGTAGAAATGGTTCATTCAACGCTGCAGAGACTACTCAATTATTATTACAAAGGAATAGTGTTAGTAGTATTGTTAGTATACGATTATCACTTAGAGATACAACCAAATTAAGTGCTCAATTTTGTGTTCTTTGGTTTTTAGCAAATTTTGCTACTAATGCATCCTTGGCTTATACTTCCGTTGCATCACAAACAATGTTATCATCAACTTCATCATTTTTCACATTATTTATTGGTGCTTTAGGAAATGTTGAGACTGTGACAAAACCTAAAGTTATCGGTTCAATTCTTTCATTTTTAGGAATCGCTTTAGTTACACAATCTGATTCTTTACAACGTCGTTTACCAATTAAACCTACAGGCCATATGCCACCAACCGAACCAATTACAGATTTAACATCATGGCAAACTATGATGGGTAACCTTTTAGCTGTAGCAGGTGCAATGTTCTATGGTATATATAGTACATTATTAAAAATTAAAGTTCAAGATGAAAGTATGATAAATATGAAGATTTTTTTCGGATTTGTTGGGTTATTTACTTTATTATTCATGTGGCCATCTTTAATCATATTACATTATATGGGTTGGGAAACTTTTGTATTACCAACACAACCAAAAGTTATAGTCATTATCTTAATTAATATGGTAATTACTTTTGTTAGTGATTTTTGTTGGGCTAAAGCAATGTTATTGACTAGTCCCTTAACTGTTACTGTAGGGTTAAGTATTACAATCCCAGTGGCAATGTTTGGTGATATCTTATTTAAACATAAAAATATGCCTTTGGAGTATATGCTTGGTGGGTTATTGATTCTTGGATCCTTCGTTATTATAAGTAAAAATACAGAAGCAGAAGAAGAAGGTGATATCCAAACGATATATGAATCTCAATCTAATTCAATTGATGAAAATTAAGAGCTATTATTATTAATAATAATTCATTACAATATATACATACGTATATTCTATATGTATATGCATTTTTTTTTCTATATATATATATATATATAAATCATTTTATGGCATTTTAATATTGAGTTTGTTTTCTATAGATGTATGACTAATATGAGTATGCATACCCTGGTGACTTTACGCTAAAGCAGCCAATATAATATGAGAAAAGATAGAACAATGCATAACCAAAAAGAAGAGTCAATAAACTATCCATTTTTTCATTTATCCTCTCTTGAATGAAATCTGATTTCAAGAAGATTAAACCAATAAATAATATACCCATCCCAGTATACATCAATGAAACTGTAAAGACTTCGATACCAAATTGCCATCCTGTACCACCACTAAAATACATGATATTACCTTCGTCATTCCTGGCGATAAAGGGTATTCTGTTCATTTCGGTAAATTTATAACCTGTCAAACTTGGAAGCATGATAGAAAATGCTAAAAGAATCATAGCCATTTTAGAGACATTACCCTTTTTGACAATTGGCCAAATAATTTTTTTTAAGATTACAAAAAAAATTGTTGATCCAACAAAATATTGTATGAACTTCCCCTTGTCGAAATCTTCCTCTACTTCGATGTAGATATTTAAAACTTGTGCTAAGAAATCTCCAAAATGTAATACATCACCTGAATGATCTGGTGTAAGTTCATATTGGTAAAATTGACCATTGGACCAAGAAAATGGTTCGGTCTCTTGTTTCCCCATATTAATTGGAGGATACACCACCAAATGGGGTACGTTTTCAATACCCATATCTTTAATCAATGAGGGAACCTCATATGCATCCACGATATAATATGAAATTGGGATATCTGGTCTTTGTTTCTTTATGATATTTTGCACGCCATGTATCGTTTCCTCGAATTCAATACACATAGGACATCTATAATTTCCATCTTCATTAGTCGAGTAGATGGTAATATATAACACAGAGTATTCTCCCTCGACCCCATATTTCAATTTTTTGTATAATTCCTCGGTGACATGTATTATTCCGTGTTCATCTTTATACTGTTGGATATCATTTGATTGCAATAAAGCAGAGACACAGAGAGTCTGAAATATAGCCGCTATATAAAATAAAAGATTCAATCGTAGTTTCATTTTATAACCAAATTAACTCAGCTATATCTAGTAATAGCCAATATTGTCCGCCAATGTTTAGTTAAATATATAAAAATTGTCTTATCTTGGAACCAATTCTTTTATTGCACATAGAGGGATGTATCCATTTTATATAATTTTTTATTCTAATTCTATCTATTTGTTTATCGCGAACTTAAGAAATGAGCGTACGCGTGCGTGCAAAAAGAATAATATCATCTCATCGCAAGTAAAAGACAATAATAACAATACTATGTAAAAGTTGCAAGCATAGATTAGTCTGTTATTCGTTGTGGTTATTTAGTATGTGCATATTTATATTAATGTTAGAGTTTATATTGTAAACCATTTAATCTATACCGTATATCTTTTAATTGTTTAGATTCAGGTTTCCATTGTTCATATTCCAGATATAACGTGTTGATTTCGTCATTATCCATATGACGTTTTGTTTCAAATAATAATCCTCTCATACACCAAGGTAAATGGTATGGATTACTACCTAACTCAGACAGCTTGTATGGTGTATATATGACAGGCACCTCACCATTTGTATCAGTAGTTTCTAATGCAAATTTTAAACCAAGCTCGTAAACTTGTTTTTCGTTATAAATAGTAGAATGACCTCCACCAGTCAATGGACCTACTAACGATCCACTAATTTCCTTCACAATATCATGATCCCTATAACCTAAGTTTAGCAAAGTCCCAGCAACTTTGATGATCCTTGTTATAAAAGAGGGTGTTCTAGAGTTTCTATCAATAAATGTAGCTCTAAAAATATAGGGGTGATCTACAAAGAGACAAAATGCTGAATATAAAGGAACCAATTGATCATTAATAGACCCAACTAATGTTAATTTCACATTGTTTGCTATTATAATTTTAATACTCTGAACAAGTTTTTTTGTTTGAATAGTATCAAATTTTTGTAATTCAAATAATTCCATCATTGCATCCTTAGCAATGGTTTGATAAGCCTTCACTAATAAAGTTTGATCACGACCATAAAATGGGCCATTATTTATTCCAGCCATCCCCAATATACTAATTATTTTCTTATTCCCAAATAAATTTATATCATCCAAATTACTATTCTGATTATTAAATAGCTTTGAATTATCGATATTGATAATCCCAGTTTCAATCAATCTTGCCAGAAGAATGATGGTAACTGGACAACCCTGAGAATGTGAAACAAAGTATATGAAGTCCGAATTATTAATCTCTTTGGAATATCTTCTCATAACATCAAAGAAGAAGTCTACTCTATCGAAGATTTCACCTTCCTTTTCTAATGAAATTTTACTAATTTCAATTGGTATTCTTTTGTTCTTGAAATATTTTTTGACAATTTCTTCTGCCTCTGTAATAAATTTCATGGATGTGCCTGTGGGTTCTCCAATAAATGTTCTTAAAACTTTTAATGGGAAAAATCCATGAACACCAACAATCAATACTTTTAATGGTCTTTGGTTACAATGTGTTATTTTGTTTAGTTTAGAAGATGCATCTACACGATAAACATATTTTTGAGGGTTACTATTTCTACTTCCCATCATATCATGAATTGAATTCCATAAGGATTTTTTGGGTAATATATCAAACCCTGGAACTACAATATTTGGCTCTTGTTCTTGTTCGTCTTGTCCAGAATTATCAATACTTGATGTTGGTAATATGTTACTTTTCGAATATTCATTTAAATCAGCATTGTATGGGATATAGGTATTTGCTAATGGGTTCCCATATTTTGGAGCAGCGGGTCCTTGTATGCCCTCGGATAATGGCATTTGTGGATTTTGGGTAATATTTTGTCTTTCTTGACTTATTGCAGGGGTTAAGTTTTTATCTATATTATTATTGTTTGGTGCTGAAGTTGGTTTATTATCATCACTCTTATAACTACTCCAGAAGGACCAAGTTCTTTTATGAGATGTTGAGGATGAAGAAGCAGTAGTTTCTATATGATCATTATCCTTTGAGTCATGTGGTTCTTGTTCTCGTGTAAGTGTTTTATTAGCTTCATTTGGAAGCGTCACCTGGATATCCTCTTGGTTAATATTTGTTTCATTATTATCTAATTTATTACCAGTAGAAGGTCTTGTATTATTTTCAGATCCGTCACTTATAGGAATATTGGTAATAGCCTTATCCTGAGCCATGACTTTTACTCGTTTATTTCTACCTTTATAATTTATCCCGTCGTATATAAATATATATGTGTGTGTGTATTTCAAATAGACTTCTTGCTTATCACTAAAATTGTATGCTGTTTTATGTTTTTTTTTTCTGGGTTTTTTTCTGTTGAATAATGAAAGTTCTCGTTTATTCACTTAGGGATACAAAATAAAATTATCTTTACTTTTCCTTGAAGGGAGGCGTATGATCTGTCACTTTTTCTAACGACTGGAAAGATAAATGGCAGTTGAAATAGAGGTACTAGTCCTTTGCAAAAGTGAATAAGTTTTCGTACAATTTCGTTAGGTTTTCCAATTACAAAATATTATATTCCCCAAAAGTGCTGTAATGACTTCTTTACAGCTCTGAGCAAACTTGCCTGTTGTTCATACTTTATCTTTTCCCTTTTGACTAAAGAAGCGGCACGAAAAGAATTGTCGTCACCAAAATAAGAAAATGATTATGAAAGAAAGAAAAGAAAATATTGCAATCTGTATTTAAAATTAGAGATGACATTGAGTTGTGATCTTATGTAACAAGTGAAATCAGTAGTTATTAGAAAGTATTACAAATTTGATGATCAGAAAAGCAGTGAATATGACTGTACAAAAGAGAAAACAAGTGACTATAGAAGAATTTTTCAGTAAAAGTAAGAAAGTTAAAAATGTTGTCTCTACGAAGACTGCTGCTACTTCTTCCATTGACACGAAATCAGTAGATACGGAAACTTTACCAGTAGAAGATGTTAAGAATGAAAATGTGAATAATGAGAAATCTCATTTTATTGATACGAAATTAAGTGAATTACAAAAAGGTATGTTACAATTAGAGATTGACACTATGGAAGACAGTTGGTTTAATAAATTATCTGATGAATTTACTAAGCCATATTTTTTAGGTATTAAAGCATTTTTAAAGAATGAAAAAATTGTGAAGAAAGCCACAATTTTCCCACCTGAAAATGATATATATTCGTGGAGTCGTTTAACGCCATTTAAAGATGTTAAGATTGTAATAATTGGGCAAGATCCATATCATAATTTTAATCAAGCTCATGGTTTAGCATTTAGTGTTAAGAAACCAACACCTGCACCACCTTCATTAAAAAATATTTATAAAGAATTAAAAACAAATTATCCTGATTTTATTATAGATAATAAACAAGGTGATTTAACTCATTGGTCCAAGCAAGGTGTATTATTATTAAATACTGCATTAACTGTTAGAGCGCATAATGCAAATTCTCATTCAAAATGTGGATGGAATATTTTCACAAGAAGAATAGTTGAATTATTAATTGAGGATAGAGAGGCTAATGGAGATAATTTAGTATTTATGTTATGGGGTAATAATGCAATTAAACTAGTTGAAGATTTATTAAAAAGACATAAACAAACAAAGGATAATATTTTAGTATTGAAATCTGTTCATCCGTCACCATTAAGTGCGTCCAGAGGATTTTTCAACAATAATCATTTTAAAAAAATTAATAAATGGTTAGAAGAGAAACATGAACCTATGATAGATTGGAGTGTAGTTCCTGGTACATCATTAGATGAAGTAACGAAATATAATGAAACATTAATGAAGTAAAAAAGCTGGAAAGAATCATAAAGAAAATATGATATTTTATATTTTTAAGCTTATATACTTATATTACAAAAGCGAAGATGCTACCGTGTGTGTATATATATATATGTATATAGATATGAAGATGGATGAGAATTTAAAAAAAGCTATTATTCTAATTTTTTAAAGCTTCAGTTTGATCTTTTAATAGAGTAAAAGTTTTAGATTGTAATTTATCTCTACCATGAAGGAAATCTAATTCCATAACAAAATCGAATTCTAAAATATTAGCACCAACTTGTAAGATTAAATCACCGGCGGCTTTAGCAGAACCACCAGTAGCAATGATGTCATCGACGATAACGACATTAGCATTTTTTGGAATAGCATTTTTTTGCATTTCAAATTCATCTACACCATATTCTTTTTCATATGTAGCTTTAACACATTCACCAGGTAATTTACCAACTTTTCTAATTGGAACAAAACCTGCACCTAAAGCTAAAGCGAGCGTTGGACCAAATAGGAAACCTCTTGATTCTAAACCAACGATGAAATCAATTTTTTTATCACCGAATTCTTGTTGTAAATGAGTCTTGAAGGAATCGACTAATTTTTGAAATAATTCTGGTTTAGTGAAAATTGGTAAAAAATCTTCAAATAAGATACCTTCCTGTGGGAAATTTGGGTATTTATTTAAAGCATTTTTCAATTCAATAGCGTTGGCTTCAATAGACATCTTTGTATAATGTATGGGTTGTATGTATGTGTTTCTGAGGTATTGTAACACTAACAATAATTGAGATCTGTTTCTATTGTATGTTCATATATATTGTACTAATTCATGCGATGAGCTTCCAAGGTTCAATTTATTCTAAATCTCATTTTTCCACACTGTGCGTAAAAATGAGAAAATTTTCACAATTCTTTATTTATTTAATAATTTATTTATTTTCACTGATGATAAAATACTGTCTCTCCCACACATATAGAATTGTAGTACCGGCCGCGCGCGTGTTTTCTTACTTTCTTTCTCTGTCAGATGTACTGCATGCTGTTCTGTGTAGAGAGAGACATACAAGCAAAAATTGTGGTTTCTCTCATTCTTTCTTTTTGGGTGTTTTTGGTTTTTTTGGCAATCGGCAAGATTCGAATGGCTGTTACTATATTAGTTTTGTTCCACCTCTCCCTCCCCTTATAAGGTACTGTTATTGCACCCTCGCTAGCTGTCTGCCTGCCTGCCTGCATTCCTTCGCTTTGTAATAAGTTATTTCTCTGTGGTGATGGGGGGAACAAAGGGTAGCGTTGTATTTCGGAGTTATTTTATATGGCTTTTTCTTGTTAGTAGCGTAGTGTAAGTGCAGAGGAAAGGGTGAGAGGGGATTGAAAATCGATGAGTTTACACACACACACACACTCTCTCTCTCTCTTTTGCTTTTGGTCCGTAATATCCGAGGTTATTTTCTATTACAAATCGTTGACATATATATATATAGAGAGAGAGAGTGAGAGAGAGAGACAAATGATTAGTATCATTATGGAGAGTAGAATGAAATAGCAGTAATACATACACACACACGCCGATAAAATATAGAATGGTGCAATTACAAAGATATATATTTAAGAGAAATCTTAATACAATTAAAAAATATGGTATGACAAAGGATTCAATAGGCTCAACAAAACAATTTTTTAAAAATTTACCAAAGGTTCCAATGACAAAATATCTTGAAAGAACAGAATTGTCAAAAGATATGTTATATTGTGGTTATAGACCAATTATTTATCCAGTGAAACAAAATCCTTTGTTTCGTAATAAAGAAAATTTAATAATTGATTTTTCATTGCAAGATAAACAAAAATTAAATTTATTAAATAAAAAAAATATTGAGGATTCAAATGATTTATTATTTGGTAAAAATAATTGTGGAGGGATAAGTACTTGTGGTGTTAATGGAATTTGGAAATATAGTCCAACTATATCATCAAATAATTTACCATTAAATATTTGGAATAGTTCATGTATGGTAATGCAGATTTATAAAGAATGGGATAATATACCACATGATATTACAAAAAGATTAAAACCGTTTGATCGAGGTTGAAAGAAATTAATTTTACTATTATTTTTGATGGTTTGAGTTTTCTTTTAGCTAGATAGATTTTTTTTGAGTTTTTTTTATAAACGTTATTTACATATTCTTTACATAAATATTAAAAAAATAAAAAAACAATTTCATAAATTTTGTAACGAACTGCATCTTTCTTAACATTTTTAAGAACATCAGTTCAAGTTATAATCCATCACCCCTTTGTTCTTACCATGTCAGCCATTCGATGTTGACAGTTTGTTACTTTAGGCACATTTTTCCTCTACGGCTGGCCTCTCTCATTTTAGTCTTTTTTTTTCATGCATACGTATATATATATATATTTTTTGAGGGAGAAATCGAAAGGGTCAAAGAGCTATGGTAGTTTCAGAAAGGCAAAAAAAAAATAAAATATTTGCAAGAGAGAAGAGTTCAACTAAGTAAAAAGGTACCTATACATCTGGTACGAAAAGAATCTCCCACACACACACATATATATCGAATTCTTTAGCCCTGAAAGTAAAAAGCACAAAAACAATATGTTTGCCAATTTCAGTCTAGATAAATTGACTACTTCGATCAGTACAGCTGCTCAACAAGTTGAAGAATCCCTAAAGAATAATTCTTATTTACCTAGTGAAGTCTCTAATAATTTAACCTTTAAGAAAACAAGTAGATTCTTTCAAGAGAAAGTTGGAACTATTTCAGAACAAGAAATTTCAAAATTACCTGAAAGTTATACTAGTTTAGAAAAAAAAACTGATCAATTAGTTAAAATATTAAAGAGAATCATTATTGTAACAAAGACTTATGAAATTGATGGGTACGATTATCCACCAAATTTAACTGAAAGTCTAAATGATTGGTGGTCATCTCAACAACAACAACAAACTTCAGAAAAACAAGATCTTCAATTTAGTAAATCATTTGCCTCTGCAATTTCTAAATCTGCTTATGAATCTGAAGAATTATTAAAAAGTTTACGTAAATCGAAGACCGTGACTAAGAAATCAAATGATAATAATGAAGACGAAACTGAGGAGACTGCAGATGAAGTTGAAGAAGAAGAAGAAGATGACGAAATTAATAATTTGATTGAAATATTCAATTCTTGGTGTAAATGTTTCCAAGAAATTGATAAAAATAAGATTAATATGGATTCTATTATGATTAAAGAATTTAACGTTAATTTAGAAAAAATGATACAAGTTGATTATAAGAATGTTATGACTTTACGTAATAAAGTTAATGATTCTAGATTAGAATTTGATACCATTCGTCACGATATTAAAACAAAGGAAGCTTCTGCTTCCGCTGCTGCAGAACAACAAGCAACTACCAAAACATCATCTTCAGATGAAACCCAGAAAGAGCAAGAAGACTCAAAGAAGGAACCAACAGAATCAAAGAAAGAATCAGATAAAACAGCTGAAGAAGAGGATCCAACTGAAAGTGAAGATTATAAATTGTTAGAAAAACTTGAAGATGAATTTGTTAGTAATACTACAGAAGCAGCCGAAGGTATGATGGAATTTACCAATAATGCAGAAATTATTAAATTAATTAAATTATTTCAAAAAACTCAATTAGATTATTATAAGAAATGCACAGAAGAACTTGAAAAGAATATGAAACTCTTGGATGAATTTGATATTGCTGACTCAAATGCAACTGTGTAATTAACTTATATAACAAACCCCTACTCGTAACCTCATAATCATAACTTTTATCCCATAATACATATCTATGTTAATCTAATATATATGATTCCGTAAAAGACAAAACAAAACAAAACAAAAATACGATGGATAGTTTAAAGTTTACCAAGAACATACGTTCGTCACACCTATAAAATTAATGGAATTAATATTCCAACAAGTATATATACTTATTCTTATCTGAAGATACGACATACATTCAAGTTCATCCATTTTCGTAAATATCTACTCAACATTTTTAAACTCTTTATTCGTATATAGACATTTGCATAAACGATTGCAACAATTGCAATCGAAAAATAAGGCTACTGCAGGAATTTCTTTCCGCATGTATGTTTCTACCTCAAAATCGTATAAACTAAATATATGTACGAATGTGGAGTACGTGCTCAAATCAAATTGTGACAATAGTAGTGTTTCTTTTAGAGATGATTAAAGTTATAATGATAAACGACTAACTTTCCTACTCGTTTTTTTTGACCAGTCATTCGTCATTAAAGTTAAAAGAACACACGACAGTACTTCAAAATTTTACGTTGCTAAGGCAATGTTACACGAATTAATAAGAAAGTATTACTTTACGAATAAGTCGAAATCCATATTCAATAAGCTTAAATACTAGTAATCAAAACAAGCTGAAGAAATAAACATATATATGTGTGTTCATCACTCAATCTAAAAATAAATATGATTACCAAAATGATACTATTAATGAATTAGCCAAATTGCCTAATTGGGCCATCCGAATCACATCTGGGACAACAATGTCAATATGTTGATCTATTCATCTACGAAGAATAAAAGAAAAAAAGTAGTCTTAGTTAATGGTGCATTAATAGCAAAATTGTATTTCTTCTTGCGACATAAAATAGCAAACCTATTATAAAAATGGCTGCACATAATATAAGTAGTAGGCGCAGCTCTTACAATTTCTTGTAAAATATATTCTTGTTTTCTTGGCTCGTTCCGTAACTGTTCGGTAAATATGATTTAACTTCACTATAAACGGTGTCCATCCATCGTCGCAAACCGAGGCTCGTTCCGTCATAAACTCGGGTTGGTAACAAAAACCAAAAATTAAAGCGTAACCGAGGAAATGCTGCCGTTTCTGGAAGGGCAACTTTCACCAAATGGACAAAAATTGTTAAGCAATTGTTAGAATAAGCGCACCTCTGCGGGGGGTAAACAGTACCGAGACCGAATAAAAATTAACGGATCTTTGTTAGTGAGATGGGCACTGTATTTGATATAACTCTAGGGCTCGGATGCAATCGTTCATCAAGGCTCGGGAAAGGTACGACTAATATAATTGATTTCATTATTATGACAGCAACTGTATTCCATTCCGTCGATGGAACGGAGCAACTTAACAAACGTTACTTTATTTGACAGTAAATTACTTTATCCTAATAGTTTATTTATATCGATGAGGTAAGACCTATTTGCTCCTTGTTTAGACCATGTTTATATATATATATATATATATAAGGACAACCATGACATTAACAAATCCTTTTAATCAATTGTAATCTTATTCCAATATTTAATATACAAAACATGTATAGTGCACAAACACAATATATTTACAAAGGAAGAAATAGTAATAACAATTACATTATAGAAAAAACAAACACACACATTATAATATACAATGATTCAGAATTTAAGTAAAATAAAAAAACTTTTTCAAAAGAAATCTGATGACAAACAGCCATCGAGAAGGCCCAGTCGTATTACAAGATATGATCTCATGAAAGATGCACAAGTATATCAGACGCTACGAAGAAATGGATCATGTAACTCTAGAATAACTAATAATTCATAGAATGGGCAAGACATTTGAAAAACACAGATACTCATAAACATAATTTTTAAACTAAAAAAAATAAAGTTTTCTTTCTGTTTGCATACGTTACATAACTCACTTAGATCTATATATAATATTTGTCCCTCCCCCCCAAAAAGAAAAAAGACAAAGTTATATTTTATATTCTTAAATATTCATCAATAAAAATACCAATCAATACTTCATTATCAATAATTAACAGTCCGGTTTCTTTCAATTGTAGATATCTACCCTTTGGAAATGTTTTCTCTTCTTGAACTGTGAAATATATCATACAACGTTAATGAGTGTCATGAAGTACAAAACTACCTCAGTGAAAGAAAAACAAACAAACACAAATGAATAGATAACGATATAAACAATTGTTTGTATTATTATTATATACTAATATTATAAAAATCCAAATTATTTCCTTATCTATAAAATAATTACACCGAAAAACATAGACGTTACATGAAGATTAAAAAGTACATTTTATTTTTTTTGGAAAAAAAATACTAATAAAAATATAAAAGCTGAAGTTAATGAAGTCTTTTTTTAAAAAATCATCAAATCATTTAAGCTTGTACGTGTTGTTCGTGGATTTGGGCGTATCTACCAGATGGATCTTCAGCACAACCCCAGTCGGCCTTTGGAATCCATCTCATAACGGTAGAAGCAGCAGTAGCTTGTGGATATAGAGCATCGAACTTCAATCTGTACCAGTAAGCTTCCTTAGTGGTTGGAATATCGTTACCCCAGTGAGGTTTTGGATTAGCGAACATTTCATCGGAAATAACCTTTTCAGCGGTATCCTTTAGACCATCGATCCAAGAGTAACCAACACCATCGGAAAATTGTTCCTTTTGTCTCCATAAGATTTCTTCTGGTAAGTATGGTTTAGCATCTGGTTCATCAGATGTATCGAAGGCCTTTCTTAGAATGTACTTTTCGATACGACCTTCCTTTTGGTTGATCATCTTTTCCTTAGGGTCAATGTTCATACATAAGTCCAAGAAATCTCTGTCCAAGAATGGAACACGAGCTTCTAGACCCCAAGCCATAGTAGACTTGTTAGCTCTTAAACAATCAGCTAAATGTAAGTTCTTAACACGCTTAACAGATTCAATATGGAATTCAGCAGCAGATGGAGCTTGAGCGAAATATAGATAACCACCAAAGATTTCATCGGAACCTTCACCGGATAGAACCATCTTAACACCTTGAGCTTTAATCTTTCTTGATAGTAAGAACATTGGGGTGGAGGCTCTAATAGTAGTAACATCATAAGTTTCCAAATGGTAAATACAATCATCTAAGGCATCTAAACCTTCTTGTAAAGTGAAAGTATGTTCGTGATGAACGGAACCAATGAATTTGGCGACTTTTCTAGCAGCTTGCAAATCTGGAGCGTTTGGTAGACCAATGGCGAAAGAATGCAGACGGGACCAGCCACCAGCGTGTAAGTTACCTTGATCATCCATACCGGCCAAGTTCTTAGCACCTTCAGCATCATAATCATCGACGTTTAATTCTTTGTTAGCCTTTTCAGTTTCACGAGATGCAATGGCAGCAATCAAGGAAGAATCTAGACCACCAGATAATAAAACACCGTATGGAACTTCAGCCATCAGTCTCTTTCTAACGGCAGTTTCTAAAGTAGTTCTAATAGCCATTAGATCTAATGGTTGAGAAGCGATTCTTTCTTCATCGATCCAATCTGGGTTGAAATAACGAGTAATCTTATCAGTTTCGGAATCATAGACGTGACCTGGTGGGAAAGCAATAATGTCATCACAATCATCAGTTAGACATTTTAGTTCAGATGCAAAAAAGACAGTCTTTGGAGAGATAGAAGATCTACCCATGTACATGGTAGTAATACCGATTGGATCTCTAGCGGCAACAATTCTATCTTTCTTAGCATCATATAAACACCAAGCAAACATACCATCTAAATGTTTTGGAGCTTCAGTACCATACTTCATGTATAAAGGAATAATAGGTTCACAATCAGATAAGGTTTTGAAGCCATAATCTGGAAATTGTTCTCTGATTTGAATATGGTTGTAAATTTCGGCGTTAACAGATAAGATATAGTTACCACATGGAGAAGTAATTGGTTGAGCACCAGAATCTAGACCAACAATAGCTAATCTTTCATGAGCTAAGATAGTAGTGTTCTTAATAACGTTACCGGACCAATCTGGACCTCTGTGTCTAATTCTCTTAGATAGTTGTAATGCTCTTGGTTTAAATTCTTGGACATTTTCATGTCTGAAGGCAGCGAAAATACCACACATTATTAATTTTTATATTTAATGATATGGTTTGGGTTTATTTGCTTGGTTAACAAGAAGAGAAAAACTTTTTAAATAAGCAAAGTATATAAATTAAAAAGAAGTGTGAACTATAATGATGCAAGTATATATATATATATATATATATATAAATGCACACCAGTTAACTATCAAAGTAAAGAAAATTTTTCTCACAGACCTTGCTTGACCTGTAAAATGCTATCAACGACAAAGAGAATACCTGGCATTGTAGAATAGCAATTTTGTTCAAAGTTTGGGTCCAACAGAAAAAAAGAAGAAAAACATGACATAGAGACGATGAGTAACATATTTGTTCAAATTTCGAGTGAAAAACAGAATACTTCTGAAATTTTTCACTCTCATCCATCGATCGCTTGCATTAACATTCCTAGACATTTGCGTGCGCACGTATATTTGTCTACGTCTAAATGAAAAATATCGAATTAAAAATCAGTCATTTTTAAATTTTTCATTCGAATCTATCGGATCTCGCATCATTATCTACGAACGGCACCGATTTTGTTAAGCCAAAAATGCTTTTTCGTTTTGATAATTAACAGTCGGAGATGCATTGCCGAGATTAAATTAACATGCTAGTATAAGGTAAAGTGGAAGGTATGGGTGTAGATAGATAACAAGGCACTTTATTTTTTTTTCGCTCTGAAAAGTATGCAGGCGAGCCGGGAATGTGGAGTTCTACTAGACGTATATAGTGATGTACACAGCGTTATTGAATAACACACAGAGGGAGGGAGGGAGTGGGCCCTAAGTGGAAGCCCTAGGGTTGCACACAGGGCTTCAGGGGTATCCCTCTCTTTGATTGCTATGTTTGGTAGTTATTAAGTTACTCAAACATATTAGACTGTGCCGGAGAAAGATGTCTGTACAATGGAACAGTTTTAGTCAAATATATATGCATATATCTGGCACAGTTTTGTTCATTCTACAGCGACTTTTTCTTCATTGTTGTGGTAGTGATGAAGAATGAAATAAAAAATAACAATAAATTGTTAAAGAGTACACTCTTCATACTGACACCTTTCCTTTTCGTAGATTACAGACCCCATTATAAAGTTTCTTACTCAGTGAATGATCAATTTCTTTCTCTGCTCTCCCATCTCAATATGTTTCCCCTTCTCTCATACATCGAGATGTAATGAAAGAATAAAAAAGAGGGAAACAAATGTTAAACTGGAGAGACAAAAAAAAGACAACTGATCGGTTGGGGTCCACCTTGTTTCTCGAAGGCGCCGTTATTTATTTTAGTAACTTAGATTAGATATCCATCAAGCTCTGACACATCTGGTATAGTCGAATAATACTACTTTTTTCTGCCAACATTATATTGTCAAACACTCAGTGTACCCGCCGCGTTGAAATTTCCACGTACTGAAACTCTTTTTTTTTTCTTTGAGCTCATCGGAAGTGATGATCTTCAGAATTGAAAATTTTTTTTTTATTCGTTTGCTTGTACTTTCAGCATATATACTAACAGAAACAGTGCACATTTGGGTCACACATATAAGAAAGTAACAATTATATATTGGCAGCTAGCCTTAAGCACGTTTGATCAACATATAGATATATATACATACATATATATATGGAATTACTGCGTGAACTGTAATAACTTATCGATATTTATTCAGAAAAAAATTACAATAATGTCGCTGTCTATTGATGAAATTAAGGCTATTACTAAGAAAATAACTTCATCAAATGAAAGAACTCATTATAATAGTATTATTACACTATTGAATGAATTTGAATATGATCAGGATACCTTTGAAGAAGATGAACATTTAGAACAAAAACTAAGATTCTTAGTCGTAGCATTGTTTCAAATCTTTAAGAAAATGTTTGCTCGTAATGATTTATCGATGAGCAATAAACGTCAAGGTTCAAATACCAATACATCATTAGCTAAGTTTAATGAATGGTGTAGGAAAATTTATAATAGTTTTAAAATTAAGTTATTATCCGCCATTAGTAAATTAACTATAGAGACCTCATTAACTTTAGATTGTTTAGATCTTTATATGCAATTATTAGAATTGGAATCTGTACATTTTGCATCAAAGAAAGATGCTCCATTCTTCCCAAATAAAACTTTGAAAGCATTAATGGTAGCAATGTGGCAATCTGATATCAAAGAAAATGAAATCGATCCTTCTAATGGGCAATCTGCAAATTATATTCTTTTAGAATTTTTAGAAAAATATTATAAACCATTTGTTGATATTCAATATTATTTCCAATCTGAATTTAATCTATTATTAGATGAAAATACAGAGTCCGCTACTGTGGATCAATATACCTCTATGAAAAGTGCTGCCAAATGGGTTACTTTAATGAATCATGATAGTCATTTAGATTCTACTACTGATGAACTAGAAGTATTTGTATCAAATCCACCACAAGCCATTGAAAATGAATCTAAATTTAAATCTTCATTAGAGAAAAATTGGTGTATTATACTTAATGGTGAATTATCATTACAATTATACAAGACTATCTTAACTGTTTTACATAAGAGAATTATCCCACATTTCCATACACCAACAAAATTAATGGATTTCTTAACCGATTCCTATAATTTATCAAATGATGATATGAATCAAAATGGTATCATTCCAATATTAGCATTGAATGGGTTGTTTGAATTGATGGTGAAAAATAATTTAGAGTATCCAAATTTCTATCAGAAATTATATCAATTATTAACTCCACAACTAATGCATGTCAAATATAGACCAAGATTCTTTAGACTCATGGATGTATTCTTGGCGTCAACTCATGTGTCAGTTCATTTGGTCGCATCGTTCATTAAGAGACTTGCAAGATTATGTCTGTCAGCTCCACCTTCTGCAATCGTCATAGTGATTCCATTCATCTACAACCTATTAAAGAAACATCCAAATTGTATGATTATGATTCATAATCCGAAATACTTATATGATCCTTTCCAAACACCTGAAGAACAAAATGAATTAAAATTAACTAAGAGCCAATATAACGATCCATTTGATATGGAAGAACAAGATCCAGAGTCTACAAATGCATTCGGATCATCCTTATGGGAAATGGACACATTAACACAACATTACCATCCAAATGTGGCATCCTTAGCAAAAGTATTCAGTCAACCATTCAAAAAGATGAGTTATAACATGGAAGATTTCTTAGATTGGGGTTATGATTCTTTATTGGCTGCCGAATCCTCAAGAAAACTAAAGATTTTACCTGTTTTAGAATACGAAACATTTGATTCGATATTGACAAATGATACTACCAACGAAGAAGAACAAGTTGCTGATAAATCGGTTTATTTATCAGACGTAGCATGGTAAATTACATTAATCCATATTTCAACATATATGTAGATCGCATTGTCTAATTCATAGATTATTTTAATAAATATTGGCATAATAAATTCTTACACACTATGTAGCTACAACAATTTCGTAATTTATATACTAAGGCAATTATTACTATTGGGGTCACTAATGATGTGAATTTCATTGTTTTCAAACGCCAATACAATATTACTTAATAAATACTTGTTCAATTCCACCAGAGAAATGTGTGCACCATCTAATCATTATTATCGATGATGAAATATGGCTCTGACTTGTTTCCAGTCGTTTTGGCTTTTGATTTTTGCTGCTGAAATTTTTCATTTTCTTAAGACAAATTTTTACTGTTTTTTTTCTTTTTTCACATTTCTGCCGTTTATCCTCTGCGAGAAGAATTATTTGGCAGCCCATCGCGGATATCTTGTTCTGTCTAACACATACTAAATACACTGAGATCTAGCAGATCAAGCTAGACACTTTTGCAAACATTTCAATCTTATAAATTAGAAGTGGATACTGATCAAACTTATATTCTCGGAGTTTCTCTTCAAATTATACTCGGATAATTTCTAGTTACTACACCTTTTTTCATAATCATTAATTACTGTTTTTTTCAGTTGGTTTCTATATTTAACAATAACTCCAACAGAATACTATGTCGAATCCAACACCCGAAGAACGTACCCAAGCGTTAAAGTTTAAAGATGAAGGTAATGCTTTTGTCAAAAAACAAGATTTCTCAAATGCCGTAAAATCTTATTCAAAAGCTATTGAACTAGACTCTACTGTATCAATTTTCTACTCCAACAGAGCCTTCGCTGAATTGAAGTTAGACAATTTCCAAACATGTATGACTGATTGTACTGAAGCGATTAAACTAGATTCTCAAAACGTAAAAGCATATCATAGACGTGGGTTGTCATATGTTGGTCTATTGGAGTTTAGAAAAGCTAAGAAGGATCTGGACATAGTGTTAAAGGCAAAACCTGGCGATGCCACTGCTACTAATGCATTGAAAATCTGTGAAAAGTTTATTAGAGAAGAAAGGTTCAGAAAAGCAATTGGTGGTGGTGCTGATGATGAAGCCAGACACAAGATATGCCAACTTGTTCCATTGAATTCATTCGATGCTAATGCAGATTTGCAAAACTATGATGGACCTAAATTAGAGTTTGAACAATTGACAAATGAGAAGAACGAAAATTGTGGTATTGAAATTAAGAATATGTCACAAGATTTTATTACAAAGATGGTAAATGATCTTTTCTTGCAAGGTAAGACTTTACCTAAAAAATATGCAGCAGCAATTGTGTCTCACGCAGAAAGATTGTTCCGTAACGAACCAACATTAATTGAACTTGAAAATGAGAAGGCTAATAAAAATGTCAAAATATCTATCTGTGGTGATACTCACGGTCAATTTTACGACGTTCTTAATATTTTTAAGAAATATGGTAAAGTAGGACCTGATCACACCTATTTGTTCAATGGTGATTTTGTAGACCGTGGGTCATGGTCCTGTGAAGTAGCTTTATTGTACTATTCTTTGAAAATTTTATTTCCAACTTCATTTTATTTAAATAGAGGTAATCACGAAACAGAAAATATGAATAAAATGTACGGGTTTGAAGATGAATGTAAATATAAATATTCAAATAAAATATTCGAAATGTTTTCTCAAAGTTTCGAAACTTTACCATTAGCCACTATAGTGAACGGTAATTATATTATTATGCACGGTGGGTTACCAAGTGATCCAACTTCCACAATCGATGACATAAGGAAAATTGATAGATTTGCTCAACCACCAAGGGAGGGTCTTTTCATGGAATTATTATGGTCTGATCCACAAACTGCCGATGGTTTGGGTCCATCTCAAAGAGGTCTTGGTTTCTCTTTCGGTCCAGATATTACTGCTAAATATTTAGAGAGAAATAATCTTCGTAAGGTGTTTAGATCCCATGAAGTCAGAATGGGAGGTATATTCTTCGAACATAACAAGAAACTTGCCACTGTATTTAGTGCTCCTAATTACTGTGATTCCCAAAACAACAAAGGTGCTATTATCCATGTTGTACCTGGTAAAGGTAAAGCTGGCGAATACAACAATGATGATGAAGATTTGCTGATCGAGATATTCGAAGCTGTAAAACATCCTGACATTAAACCAATGGCATATTCCAACGGTGGTATGGGATTTTAATTGGTTTGTTAACGAACCCAAATATCATTTTTTTGATTTCTTTTTCATTGCATATTTGCAAGAATATATTATATAGAATTTATTCAAGATGTATATAGTCAGGCCATCATTAACAACAAGGTCAAAATTTGTACTACTATGTTTTCTGAGACAATTATTAAGTAGTCCAGACACCACGAAATTGAGAAACTGTTAGTGTCGAAATACAACTGGAAGTAGTGCACTTTTGCTTGTAGCATTTTATAATGTGTCAATAAAATTATTAAAATTGTCGTTTTTGTGTACCCTCCATTAGGGCGCGCATTGAACATAGACAACAACACAATGGATAATGTTTACAGATTAACAACAAAAACAAAACAAAAACAAATGAAACAGTGTTTATATTTTGCATATATTTAGCAATAGTATATTTCTTTTCACAACTATTATATTCATTGCATAGAGTAAAACAATAATCACCAGAAAGCTTAGCCTTTAACCTCCACAGATGTATTGGGGTTATTCGAATAAGACTAATTTATTCGGTTCAACCGATTCCTCTCACAAACTTGAAGTTGACATAACTTCTGAAAGGACTCCAATTAATGTTGTTATTAAATTAATACCACAGAGAAATGAAAATAAAGGTAGGCTCCCTATGTTTTGTAAACCTGGAGATAATTCGATCCTATTAGATACAGATAAACCAGAATATTCATCATTTGATAATGTCTTCACTTCTACAGCAACCGCAGATGACATGTATAATTATTTTCATTCAGATCTGAATTATACTCAAGATGTACTAAATGCTTATAATTTGACATTAATTACATATGGTCAATCTTTTACTGGAAAGACTTCTGCATTATGGGGAATCCCTGATAAAGATATTGTAGCAGATGGTCTTGTTCAGAAATTTTCTAAGGAACTATTTGAAAAGATTGATATTGAAAGAAAAGAACATGGTACAAAATCAGTTGTAAATTTGAAAGTGTTTGAAGTTAATATGGAAAAGATACATGATATGTTAATACCAGATGGAATGAAAAAATCGCTAAAACTACATCATGAAGCAAACAAAGTAGAATATTCAGTGAAAGATTTATCAAACTGTGTCGTCAGCTCCACTGAAGATATAATATTAGAAATGAGTAATGTTGCAAAAAGGCGAAATGTAAACTCTAATAAATCTACACGTTCAAAGACACACCTATTTGTCAAAATTCTTGTAGAACAAAGAAATATAATAGACGAAACCTTGAAGACAGGTAGTCTTCTTTTTATCGATTTATGTGGTTCAAATCTCTTGAATAAAGATGTGGACAAAAGTTTTTCATCAGATGAGATAAGAAAATTGAATACAGAGTTAAAAGCAATGAATAACGTTATAAACACCCTCTCGGACCACCAAACTAAACACCCCGATGATAAACGAGAACATTCTATTCCTTACAAGGAATCTAATTTGACCAAATTATTACTAAACCCGTTAACGGGAAATTCAATAACGACGTTCCTTATTTGTTGTTCAACTGATAAAGATGACGAGGTTAACTCTCTAAATTCGTTACGGATCGGTTCCACTATAAAGACTATAAACACATCAATCCATGCAAATATTGTTGGGCTACACCAGAAAAAGAAGATGGATTTATTATATGAAAATACAAAGAAAAAAGAGGATAATTACTTGAAAAGAATACAACAATTAGAATTAGAGCGGGATGCTCTTCGTAAGAACGTTTGCAACTCCGTAGAGAACACATCCACTTCCTCTATGTTTCAAAAATTACAAAAGTCTGAAGCTGAGAATAAAGCACTCATAGAACAATTGGAATTATTAAAGGGTATTTTAAGCGGTCAATCAAAGGAGACATTGAAAAGTTCACCCCAACCTAATGGTAATATAATGGATATTACAAAATCTTTGATCGAGAAATCAAGCAAAGTCGCAGAATTACAGGCGTCAATAGAAGAAATGAACCACTTAAATTACAAATTGAAAGCAAAAATTAAGGACATGGGAGGAAAGGACTCAAACCTTGAAAATATGAATACTAAACTTGTGCTACAAATAAAAGAACATGAATGTCTGATACAAAAGTTACTTACCGCTAACGCTGCAATGGAGAGTGAACTTGACCATTTTAAAGAAATCAACAAAGTTAGAATCGATAAAGTAAAGATTCTGGAAGATAGAATTTCCAAATCCAACATCCATAATGGTGCATATGATAGCAGTGCTGAAACACCGAGACAAGGTTCCGTCAGTTCATCGTCGGGACATACGATAATTCCAATTGATGAAGGCAAAGAGATTGGTGCATCGCCATGGGGTTTAAAAAATCCTGTTAACAATGGTTGGGGTAATAGACAAGCATCCGTTGGCAGTATTGGTATTTCAACCTCCGAAGAAACCTTTGTTCCACGTCCTCTTAAGAAGGGTCTAAAATTAAACTCAGTACGGGTAGTGTCGGGACCTGCAACAACTCCACACATGACGAACGGTAAGATTTAGTTATATAAAGTACAGAACTCATAAATAAATTAAACCTGATTGGTCAAATAAATGTAGAAGGGCAGTTTACTTGAATTTATATTCACATTGTTCTATAGTTGTTTCGTTACATATTTTAACCCCCCCCCAAAAACAACAACAACAACAACAACATATCTATTAACGTAATGAATTATATTCGTTAAGATAAAAAAAGTTGCTGGGTTGGAATGTTGTGTAATGAAGTATTTATTTCATGTGGAATAGAAGTATTTTTTTTTAATGTCATATTACATTGTTTGAAAAATATTTCTCTTCTTTTTCAGCTAAATAGCCCTTGAGATTTATGAATAAACTAAACCTCTTCAATGAGACAGTCCGCAATCGATAATTGACCTTTTTTTTTTAATAACAACTATTGAAATTAAAACTTTCAATATATTTAAACACAAATATAAGATTAAGAAGCTTTAGTTTAGAATATAAATGGAAGCAGACTTTTGAACTTGGATCCTGCTATATTCAAGAACATTAGCGCCTACTACCTCTTAAATCATAGTATATATACTATTATAATTATGATAAGTACCTTTTGTCAACATTTAATTACATATGACAATAAACATAAGAAATTTTTTTTTCCGTTTGTGACCCTTGTATGACCTAGATTGGGTTTAAGTCATTACAAACATACTGACCACCTTATGAGACGTTAAGAAAAGTCGCTTGACACGACACCTCTATGTTTTCTTGTGAAGACGCTGCATACATATTTACAATTTTAATTGAAAAAAAAAATAGCAATATTAAAAACATTGCGATGAGCTCATCGATAAAAATCATCTATTATGAGATGATGATTTGATTTATATAGTTCTTTATAAATATATATATATGTATAGCGTGGTTCTTATAATTTAGTAGCACAAGGAAATTGAATACATTGTAATAATTATGACATCCATATCTAATAAGAGTACTAGCAAGGAGAAGAGGATGAGATCAAAAGTTCATCCATTTAGAAGAAACCAAAAAGGTGGTAACGGAAAGGTTGAGGTGAAGTTTCACGACTCGAATGAGGATGAGGACAATGATGTTGCTACGCATGAAGTTCATGATAAACACGATTTAAAAATTAAAGCTAAAAGGCTCTTGGAGGTAAGACAGACCTTACCTGTGTACCAAAATAAAGAACTTATAATGAAAAATTTAATTCAAAATCCTGTTACATTACTTATTGGTGAAACTGGTTCTGGTAAATCTACACAAATTCCACAGTTCTTATTAGATCATCTATATTCTACAAAACAACATGGATCCATAGCGGTAACGCAACCAAGAAGAGTTGCCGCAATAAATTTGGCTACACGTGTGGCTAGTGAACATGGATGCAATGTTGGGCAACAGATTGGTTACTCTGTTAGATTTGATAACACAACTTCTGCAAAGACAAGATTAAAATATTTAACAGATGGTATGTTATTAAGAGAGTTAATGATGAATAAAACGCTTAAGGAATATAGTGTAATTATCATTGATGAAGCGCATGAAAGAACAGTTCTAACTGATTTAATACTGGGGTTCCTGAAGGCATTGATAGAAGGACCGAGACCTGATTTGAAAATTATAGTAATGTCAGCTACATTACAAGCTGAAAGATTTAGTGCATTTTTCAACAATGCTCCTGTGATATTTGTCGAAGGTAGAAAATTTGATGTTTCTCAATATTACTTAACTGCTCCATCCGATGATATTGTTGATAGTGTTATTAGGACTGTTGTACAATTAAATCAAGGTGAACCGTTGGGTGACATTCTATGCTTTTTACCAGGTCAAGAAGAAATCGACAAAGCTGTTATTATTATGGAAAAAATAAGCGCAATTATTCACAAGGAAAATTCAGTTCCATTAATGATACCGCTGCCATTATATGCAGCTCTACCACCTGCTAAACAATCTGCTGTTTTTGCGCCGATTAAAGGATTTAAGAGAAAAATTATTTTTAGTACTAATATAGCAGAAACTTCTGTTACTGTATCTGGTGTGAAATATGTTGTAGATTCAGGATTAAGGAAAGTGAAAGTATGGAGACACCAACTGGGTTTGGCTACATTATTGACTGTTCCAATTTCCCAAGCAAGTGCAGAACAAAGAAGTGGTCGTGCTGGTAGAGAATCTGAAGGAAAATGTTATAGATTATTTTGTGAAAAAGATTTTGATAAATTGCCACCTCAAACAGAACCTGAAATTGCAAGAAGTGATATAACATCGCCAGTATTGATGCTTAAAAGATATGGTGTCAAAGATATTGTCAATTGGACGTGGTTCGAATACCCAGGTAAAGAAGCCTTAGTGATGGCTTTACAAGAACTATATCAGTTGGGTGCACTTGATGATTTTGGAAATATTACAAAAAAAGGTGAACAGATGGCTTTGCTGCCTGTGCAACCACATTTAAGTAGTGTTTTAATTCAGGCCAATGAATCTAATTGTATTGAGGATGTAATTGATATTGTCTCATGTCTGAGTGTAGAAAATTTGTTGATGAACCCTCTTCCAGAACAAAGAGATGAAGTTAATGAACGTCGGTTGATGCTATGTAACGGTGGTAAAAAATATGGTGATTTAATTATGATGAAAGAACTGTTTGATGTTTATTTTTATGAGCTCGGAAAGGGATCGTCTTCTGCTTCTGAAAGACAAGCATGGTGTAAAGAGTTATGTTTATCCTATCGTGGATTTAAAAATGTTGTCAAAATTAGAAATCAGTTACGAATGTATTGTATGAGATTATTTCAATCGAAATGGTTGAATGGATCTGAAGAAGGTGATGAATTGGGTGAGAGTATAGGCCAAAATAACGAACAGATATCCAAAGTACTAAAATGTTTCTTGGTTGGATTTGCCAAAAACACAGCAATTGGTATGCCTGATAGATCATATCGTACAGTTACTACCGGTGAAGCTATTAGTGTCCATCCTTCCTCAATGTTATTCTTAAACAAATCATGTCCAAGTATTATGTATGTTGAATACGTTTTCACTACTAAAGGTTATGCCAGAAATGTAAGTAGGATTGAGTTGGAATGGCTACAAGATGTGATAATAAATGGAACTGCAGTAACCAAAGAAAAAGCAAGTTTATAGAATAATTCAAATATAGATATTAATTTATATAAAGATATACGAGAAGAAGAATCATTAAATAAAAATTATGAACCTAATCTAGCAGAATCTTCAGAGTTCTAATTTTTTTTTGGTTTATGGACACCTTTGTACACGAAATAGAATACAGTGGTCCCATCATCATTAACAATTGATAAAATAATCCTTTTTGTTTCTGAATTACACAGTTTATCGAATATCTGATCCAAACATTCGATTGTTAGATGCTCTGCGTTGTACTGAGCTAAACTAATTGGTAAAAGGAACTCTCTTGTAGGATTTCCGTTCTCGTCACTTTCACCATTGGATAAAGTAGTTGGTGGAATACCTGAAATTAATCTTATGATTCTATCTTCCCATTCCAACGACTCTTCACAGATCACAACATTGGACCAATTCTGAAAATGAACCAAGTTCGTACGCACCGTATTTTCTATTGACAAACCATCCTTGTTGTCTGTCCTGTACATAACAACCTTACTGTTCTGGATTCAGGTAGTATCACTCCTGGCTATGACAAGTCAAGTACAGTTACCATTGACAGATTAGCGTTCATGATAAATCAAGAAAAAATGAGACCAAACAACTGTTTTCTTCAAATAAAATGTCTCAAGATCATCAATCCATTGTTTAATTAAATTAGAAAAAGAAAAAAAAATTCTGAGTGAATTTTTCACTTCCTTCTCATCACATTGCTCCCAGACATTCCCGTACGCAGCTGCCGAAATAGGTCGCTGTGTGACAACAACTAACTTAGAAGGGTTTAGCTTATATAAACAAAGTCAGATAGAAAAGAAAACATAAATTATCCCAATTGCAAAGATATTATTTCTGTGAAGGCAAACTGATTCTCAAGGAGTTATAAATCAAGATATTATATTAAATCAAGATATTATATTGAATCAATAATCATTTCTGTGTTTGAAACCATAAGAGGATATAAATAAACAGATATATATTTTCCATTGCATATTGCATTTTGATTGACCGAAGATGAAGGTATCATTGCTATTAGCTTCTACGTTACTACTGAACCATGTTCATGGTTACAAACAAGTTCATAATCCAAAGGAAGAAAAAGAAAGTACTTCTGAAGAACAGAAGCCATGGATCCGTACTATTTATTCTACCGAAAAGGAGATTGTTACTCCTACTGTTATTGATGGTGTCACATTTTCAGCTAAACCAGCTGCAACTAGTGATGCTCTTGAACCGTGGGTTTCTTTGGAGAAAAATGGTAGACCAAAGACTATTAAACCTGAAATTAAAAATGGTCATACCAAGAAAGGTAAACCAGACTACTCTACTTATTTCAAGACAGCTGCCGTGCGTACTTATTCATATGAGGATTTGAAGGCACATAACATGGACCCAAATGATGTCTATGTGGAAGACTATTTTATTGATGAAGATGATACTTATACTTCTTTGAATCCTATTATGAGATGTACACCTGACAATTATTTCCATAAGGGTCTATCTAAAGATGTCTCCAGTGAACCATTCTGTACTCCACGTGAGAACTCAATGTGGAAAGTTGGTACTACTTATTTCGTTTCATGGTACACACGCTTCTTTGAAAACGAACATAATGGTAAAATTGCTGAAAATGTACGTATCCATATGTCTTATGTTAAGGAAAAGGCTTCAGATAAAGGTTACCATAAAAGAGATATTCCGGGCACCTTTTTCACTTCAGAATGGATGAAAAACATCGATGGTGTATATGCTATTGAACCAGAAGAGGAATGGTTACAAGGTGCATACGAGCGTAGAATAGTACTATCCGTTCAACCTAATTATATTTCAGATGAAGAATTTTCTCCATTAGAAAATGGTGTCCTGTTACATATGATAATGGGTTCAAAAGTATCCAAGACTACTAAGGAAGAATGGGCTTTAGCCGATGCTGGTATTAGTGATAGTAAGTGGTACTACATTGCATTAACAATGCCTGCAGTTGCTGTTGTTGTCTTCGTCATTCTATACTTCTTTTTACAAGCTAACAAAAACATGAGAGATTTTTCTGATATCACAAAGAGTTCATTAAATAAGAAGCGTAGGGTGATAGGTAAATTTGCAAATATGAAGAAATTTAAGAACATGAAAAATCACAAATATGAAGAATTACCTATTTACAATAAAGGTAAAGGTAAGCAAAGTTAAAAGGATGTAACTTAACATTTTAAATAACCTTGATAGTATTTACCATTTTTTATTGTGACTCAATATCCTATAAAACAATTAAATAAATTTTACCTCATATATATTTTTTCGAATATCATTAAAGGAAACAACAACCAAAATAATTGTCTGATTTACTAATAATATTTTCTTTTTTATAAAATATTTGCATCGTAACGTTGTATATATATATAACACATCTAGAGCAAGTATTACAATGAGACTAGATCCATTTTTGTCTGGCTGCCACTTCACAAATCTTTTCTAATGTAATCACTCTAGGGTCAGGTTTAAAGGCTCTTCTTCGCATAATACTAGATCCCTCATTTTCCTCCTCACTGACTTCGCTTAGTTCTGCACTATCATCATCGATATCCCCAACGTCTTCAATGTAATAGAAGAATGGTTCTAAGACTAACAAAACTTTCCAGAATATTTTTGTGTTGCCATTAATAAATAAGACGTCGATAAGTTCTGGTAAATATTCTAATTCAACGTATTCCTCAGCGCAACAGACAAATTCATCAAGTTCGTAATCCTGTTCGTCGGCAATCAACGTAGAATACATCTCAGATAATAGAGTGAGCTCTTTACTAATAGTTTTCGGAATATCTTGACGTGCTTGCCATAATAATTTTTGAGCCCTGGCTAATCTCTCCTTGGTAACCACATCGTCTTTTTCAGAATCCACGATTCTTTTCTTTTCCTTACCCTCTGCAACTTCTGAATCGGTTGGTGCTGGCAAAAATCCATTCTTAAGACTCTTCTCCATCAGCTCATTATATTCATTGTATAAGGAGATAATTTTCATCATTGGTTTATATAATTGTTGGCAAACTTTCATCTCTGAGTGAGGAACAATAACTTTCTCCAGGTAATGGTTTATTAAACCTTCCATAAAATTAGCCCATATTGATGAAAACACATAGTCTTCATCGTAGGTAGTTTCTTTAAAATCACAATTAATATTTTGTTGGATGATCTTCTCCATTAATGTATTCGTACAACCAAATTCCTCGCTGCCATGGTCAGCCTTATCCGACATTGAATCTTCCTTAACATTGGATGTTACATTTGTTGTATTTTTATCTTTTTCTGTCGCTACCTGTAACTGATCTGTTATTGTTTTCCCGGAAGAATGATCTGTTGTAATATCGTTATCAGTATCCTCAATTTCAGGATTATTTTTATCTATCCAATAATCTGGACCGCCTCTTTCAGACAGAGTAACTAATAGAAGAAATAGTTTAGACTTCACAGCAGGACTCAAAGAATCCACAAACTCATCTGGGATTTTACTAACATCAGAGTTGATCTTACGATGAATACATTTGATAAAATTTTCAATATAGTGGCTCTTTCTAAGACCATATTTTTCACTAAGATATCCTACCGATGTAATAACATCGTATTTTGTATTGGTAGTATCCATATCTATTTGGAAGTTAAACTTCGTACGTCTACGAATATTCTCATTTCTTCTCATTCTCCTTTCACGTTGGCGTGACTTCTTTATTTTAGTACAATGAGGACAATTGCATTCTTCACTATCTGTACCTAACGGGGTCTGTGGCTGAGCCCTTACACTTTGGGCTACTTCTGTTGTCATTTATTGAAGTATCCTGAAAGTGATTCAAGTAACGCTGAGTTAAATTTCTTTCCTTTGTCTTGGTATTTCTTATCTTAAGAAAGGTATATATCAACTAATAAGTTATCTTTTAACGTATATATGTGCTTTTCGCCAGTTATATATTGTTTATGTCAGGTAATGTGATTGAAAAATTACATCCTTGAGTGTATTGTTCATCGGGAGAAATCTGAACTCTTTCCTCTCTCGCTTTGTGTGGTGAACAGTTTGAACTTCTTTTTTTTTTCAGTTTGGAAATTTCATTATTAGTGCTGTGCAGGTCGTGTAGCATGATACTTAAAGGTAGCTATATGAACTAAATAAGAAATAAACTGGTTCTGACATTCAGTGACTGTTTCAACCGGTTATTCCTGCAGTATATTTATATAGTCTTCCTCGTTTATGAAAGTATGTAGCACATGTCTTCCATTAAACTTGCGCTCTGTAAACATATTAACTGCTTGTTTGGCAGACTCGATATCCTGAAATTTGACATATATGTTACCTGCTTGTTCTTTTAAATAATTGAAGGTCAACCTGTAATCAGCACTAGGTTTTATAACTCTTACAGATTCAGTGTTTGGCAAGGATAGTTGAAGGCATTCTTGAATATCCCGGGCTAGCGCTGGGTCGTTATTGAGTTCCAGTGGGTTTACGCAGTTTAATAACATCAATATACGGGATTCTGATATATGTGGCTCAGCAGCTTTTTTACTTAGATTATTAAAGACTAGTGATTTGGTCTCCTGGTGTAATGATATACTATCATTTGGTTTGAACCATTTGATATTTTTAAAAGTTTTTGTATATTTTTGGGGTGATTCTGTGGAAGATGTTATTAATATACATCCAGTAAATTCTGATTTATTTTCGTCATTTTCCGTATACATCAATGGAAGAACTTCCCAGTTTTCACTAGGGAATCCTAGGGATTTGATATAGTTCTTGGATAGCTCCTTTATATCTTGGTCTGAAGCTGATGATAGTTCGACATTTTCTATAACTACAGCATTAGAATTACAAATTTTTGTCATATTATCCCTTTGCAATACATAACTATTTGGCCTACCCCATCCAGAACTTTGCTGAGATGCTTTCTTAGATAGAAAAGATCGGCATGCTAGCACCATAGTTGAGCATTCTGTCGAGTTGAATTCGATGACAACATTACTCAAGGAGTTATTGTATTTGAAATTGGCTAATTCAAAATTCATTCCTAAACCTTTGCAATAAGTATCTATCAATTTTTTGAAGCTTAATTCTGTCCTCTCTTCGTTATCAAATTCCACGCTAGAAATGACAATTGTAGAGTTTAGTCTACTTTGAGTTAAATTTTTATATAGATGAACTTTTTGGAAGGCATTTGTTTGCTTTGGAGTATTCTCTCTTTGTCTATATTGTTGTCTATTATTATTATTTGTATGGTTATTGTAGCTATTGCGATTGTTATAATATCGATTATTCTGGGAACTGTTATTGTTATTGTTATTACTGTATCTACTGGATCTTGAGTTATCAGTGCGATAGTGTGTTCTATATTTCCCACCAGTGCGGTCATTATTAGAATAGCCATTATTATTACTATTGTAATTATTCTGTTGTGTGTATCCATTATTATTGGTGTTATTACGATTATTGTTATTATTACGTTGTACGTATCCTTTATTTGGTCCAAAGGATTGATTATCATTTTGTCGTTCCATGGAAGGATGACTCTGTGGAATTCTATTATCAGAACCAGATTCTGACTTAGTTTCATATGCACGGCGCTTGTAACGATCATTGTGATCGGGAGCTCTAGTACTTCTCAGTCTCTTTGGCGGCAGAACCACCTTCTCTTCCTTTGGAATACCTGTATCCTTTTTCCCCATGGATTCCATTATCTTAGCTCTTAGCTCTTCCAAGGTCTTTTGATCTCCCATCTTATCTTTAATATTGGTATCTTACTAAAATGTAACCACTGTCGCGTACAGGTATACTCTATAAATACGAAGTACTGATTGATACAGTTAGAATCGTCTTTAGCATATAGTATATAATGTATATTTGAACCTAATAATCAAATAAAATGAAGAAAACCTGTCATTGTCAATCTCAAAATAGGGTTTGAATGACCATTTACCTGGATTAGGTTTGATTGAAACTTCTCTCAAATTACTAAAAATTTCAAAAATTTTGGAAAATTTTCCAGAAACTCATCGCTCGCTTAGTGTGCAATAATGGTTCTACGAGTGAAGAACGCGCCGCAGCGTCGGTTTATGCTACTACAAGCGTCTCTCTTTAGTTTAACTTAATGTTGACACGTCTGAGATTCTACTATTCTTTTAGAAACGTGAATTAATGCAAATTACTATTTATATGTTTAAATGATTTATAAATTTTGAAGTAGTGCAATTCTTACCAAAAAAAATTTCTTCCTGTAAACTATATCGTATATCTTTTGCTAAAACTTATTAAGCAGATCTGCAATAAAAATAGTTCCACAGTGAATTAAACAATAATAATAAGACACGTTACCTATAACTACTAGAAAAGAGAATGGTACGCGTATGGAAGAGTATATCTCTATTACCAGTGTGGCTATTGCTACTAACACATACATTTGCTGCATTACTAGCTGTGGATTATGGTCAACAATTTATAAAAGCTATGGTGGTTTCACCACAGGCTCCCTTAGAAATGGTTCTTACACCTGAAGCTAAAAGAAAAGAAGTCTCGGGTATGGCATTTAAAAAATTATCTAAGAAACCTACTGATTTAGAAAGGTTTTATGGTTCAGCTGTTGGGTCTTTAGCCACTAGATTCCCTGGATCTACTATGTTACATTTGAAACCATTGCTTGGTAGAAGTATTGATGATCTAGAGGTCGTTGAATACCAAAAAGAACATCCTGGTCTAGAATTTGTTTCTACTGGTAGAAAAACTGTAGCTATTAAAATTGATAATGTTGAGTATCCAATTGAAGAACTTGTAGGCATGAATTTACAAGAGATTACTGCAAGAGCTAACAAGCATATTAAGGAGAATGATAAAAGATCCAAGGATTACGTTGAAAAATTGGCTCTCTCTATCCCAGCTTATTGGGATCAATACCAACGTACTGCTTTGATGGATGCAGGTATGTTTGTCGATGATTTAACAGGTTTGACTCTGATCAATGACGGTTTAACCATTGCTATTAATTTTGCGGTTAAGAAAAATGACTTTGAATTAGATCAACCACATCACTACGTCATTTATGATATGGGTAGTGGTTCAATCAAAGCCTCTCTTGTAACTATCACTCAACATGCTGAAAAGAATGTCCCAATTAGAGTTGAATTACAAGGTTATGGTTTTAACTCTACTTTAGGTGGTTCTCAATTAACTATGCGTGTAGCAAACATAATTAAGACAAAATTCTTAGAAAAAAATCCTAAAGTTATGGAAGAAGATCTAGATGCAGATGCTAAAGCAATGGCTAAAATTATTCAAGCCGCTGAAAAGGCTAAACTTGTACTAAGTGCTAACAGTGATTCATCTGTCAGTATTGAATCATTACTTCCTGATATTGATTTTAGAACTGTTATCACTAGAGAAGATTTTGAGGCTACTATGGAAGATGATATTAATAGCTTCAATTTACCTATTTTGAATGCTATCGAAAAACAATTTCAAATTAATGGTGAAGAGCGTATTACCTTGGATGATATCACTGGTATTATCTTAGCTGGTGGTTCTTCCCGTGTTCCATTTGTTCAAAAATCATTAGCCGATGTTGTTGGTCCAGAAAAGCTTTTAAAGACTGTGAATGCAGATGAATCTGTTGTTAACGGTCTTTCTCTTAGAGGTACTCAACTGTTTGAGTTGTTTAAGACAAGACCATTTAATGTTACCGACCGTTCGGTTTTCAATTTTACATTGTCCCCACATGATGAAGAATTAAATGATATTCAAATTTTTGAAGCAGGTTCCAGTTACCCAAATAAGAAGGGTTTGTTGATCCCAGTTCAAGATGCCTCAAAGACTAGTGAATATTCGATTTATGAAAATGATAAGATAATTAAGAATATTACAATTGAAGGTATTGAAAATTTCACAATGTCTGAATGTCCATATGGTTCAGTGTATAACATGACTTACGCATTAACTCAAGTTAGAACTTTGAATTTTGATACTATTGATTGTTTTTGTATTAAGGATGCTAAGGAAGCCCTTGCTGTAAAGAAAGAAATCCTTGGGGTAAATTTCATTGAAGAGATTGATGAAGACGACGAATTTGAATCGTTTGATAGTGAAGAAGCTGACAATTTACACTTTGATGTTGATGCTAAGAAGGAAGCTGGTTTAATGATTAATCCAAAGGCGCATAGTTATGACGATTACGTTACACCAATGTCTAGTGAAGAGAGAATGCAATGTACAAACCGTATTCAAATGTTAGACGAAAATGATAAAAGAAGGTTACAATTACAAGAAGCTAAGAATCTTCTTGAAAGTAGTCTATATGACATCAGAAATTTCCTCTCTGAAGAAGAATCGTTAATAGATGGTCCAACAAAACAAATTGAAAAATTGTCTCAATTAGTCACTGAATATTTAGAATGGGTTGAATATGAAGCTGATACTGCAACTAAGAGTGAAATTAATAAGAGAAGGAAACAAATCACAATGATGAAAGATAACATCGAAGAATATCTAAAGACAGCTGGTGAACCTCTTGGATACGAACAACTTCAAAATATGTTAGATACTGCAAATGCTCTTTGGAAAAAAATTGAAAATAATGCAGACAATCTTGAAGAAAAATTAGCTGAGCTAGACTCTAAAGTAAACAAGAAGATTCTAGATGTAAGGAAAGAATATAATCAAATAAAGGTACCAACATACTTGGCCAAAACTATTCGTGATTATAATACTACTATTAACATTTTCGAGGAGAGTATCGCTAATATGACTTCATTTGTTGAAAAGAAGATCTTCGAAAGCATGGACCGTGAACAATTGTATGGAGTTAAGACTATGTTTGAAAATTTGATCAAAGCGGCGCAAGACAAATTCACTGCATTAGAGACTGTACAAACTCAACGTCTAGCAGATCTAAAGGCTACATACCAACGTAAAATTAGAGCATTGAAGAGAAAGGAAAAGAAAAAACAACAAGCTGAAAGCTCGAAGAGTGCGGCATCGGAGAAATCAGAATCAACAGTCAATGATAACGAGTCTTCTAGTATGAACAAATCATCGGAAACTAATGATGTCCATGATGAATTATGAATTTTTCTTTAGTATTTAGAATATAATATATATATTTACAAGCATATAGTTTTTAAAAGAACGGTAAAGTTTTACAAAAGTTTTTAAACATACCCACAATGGGTGTCATAGCAATGCGTAAGAGACAGAGAAATGAAGGCGAATGTTAAACCAGACTTTCTCTATATAGTGACCGAATACAAAACTCTCTGACGAAGTGTATGGCTACACATAGGAAATGTGTGTATCCTATTATTGACACCTCGAAGACGATAAGCTTTTATACCGGAATTGCTTTTTCGTCTTTTTTCGTGCAGATGATTCTCTGCGTTCTCAAATAGGTAATCTTATAGGAAAAACGGAAGATTTGACAGAATTACATAACTTTCCGTATTACTTCCTCGAAGAAAATAAAGACTATGGAATCTGTATCAATTAATACTAGATAAACGGCAAAGATAAAGATATATTTAAAATCGATATTTAGGAAAGTCGAGAATAGGGTGGTAAACAAAGTTTTAAGAAGTAGTTAATCCTTCGTGGTTATTAATAACGTTTTCTACCATTTGATTAGAAGATAGAATAAAGGATTTATTTCTCTTATTTCTTCTAATTTCAATCGTGATCTATATCTTCTACTTCGAATACACGGAATAAATAACAGCATATGTTACCAAGTGAAGGAGATACTACCTCAGGGTGGAAGAGTTTCGTATTCCCTGATTTCAAAGCTTTAAATGATCTCTGTCTACAGAGATCTAGAGATCTGGCTTATGAAGAAGTGCAAATCCATGGATTTGAAATATATATTGTGGAACAATGGACAGAAGAAAGAAAGATATCTTCTCTTATAACATCATATACTGGGAACTCACAAGATACTGTAACTGCAGTTCGAATATGTTTGCCATCCGATTACCACTATTGGCCTCAAAATTTTAAGAATTATTTAAAGGAGTTACAGACATATTCGCAAGCTAAAGTTATTAATGGAGATACATTGTTTATTACAAATTTATCCTCTATTTCATCGACTTTGAATTTCCTTAATGTTGATTGTGGTGATTTAAGGACTGTATGGGATAATTATCGAACAAACTTCAATCTTAAGAAACTAAACTGTGGTGGTAGATCAGCATTATTATTAAAGGGACCTACAAGTGCAGCGTTAAATAAATTTGCTCAATTATATAAAATTCAATTAAGAGCAAACTCAACTAATGGTATCATTGAAGAGAATAGTAATAATGATTCTACTATTTATAACAATCAAATGGATGATAAAAAACTCTTAACTCATCAATATCGGTATTGTCCTGTAACAGAGCTAGTATCATTAGTTCAAATTACTTTAAATTATTTTGCCCCAAATTCATGTGTTAAAAGAGTCGATGGTTTGCTATGTAATAATACAAGAAAAGCTATTGATAATTGGTGGGCTAAATATGGGAAATTCTATTTAGGAATAGACAAACCAAAGAATGAAGTTATAATGGGACCAACGACAGTTGCCTCTTTATTCAGTTTATTGTTGACATGCTATTTCAAGTTAATAGTTGAGGGTTCTATGTCCGCTAAAGACCCGTTTGATGAGGATGAATTTTATTCAGGCATTTATGTATTCCAAAAGAAACATAATATCAGCAAACAACAAGAGTATACTTATCTTGACCCTTTAACACTCCAAACGCTTTTCGAAGTTTCGGCAAAGTCTTCTAATAATGATATATTTAATTTAAAGAAAGTTGTCAAATCTACAATGCAGGACTTCGCTGGTAAAGGAAATTTCATGCATCTTTCGAATGAAATATTAACTTCAGATCTATCAATTTTAGTTAGAAACATCCATAGTGGTACTCTGGCGGCATTATGGAAAGGGAAGGGTGAAACACAAAAATCGTATCATAGAAGGAAGTCAACCACATTTGTGAATAAAAATTTCAATCATGGGGACCCCATTGCAAGAATTAGAGAGCGCTATAATTTACAAAAGATAAGTTCTATTGATCCGGCAGATATGGATCAATTATATCCATATGCATTGAAAAAGCATGAGGCTGTATTTGATACCAAGAGTATTGCAGGCGATACTTCTTCGGAAACATCTAGTACATCTTCGATGATTAATAACTATGATACAGTGGACTCAGAGGAAAATGTTGAGCTAGATAATACTTATCGTAGAGAATTTTATAGACGAAATTCTATACCCTTTGTTCTGGATGGTACTAAAACCCCAGTCCAAAATGACGCATTAAAGAGAAGAAACTCTGTATCAGAAATAGCTGATAATTTAGAAAAATGGAACATGCCTTTCAACGTATCGGTTGTTAGAATAGCCAGAGATCTTAAAAGAATTAATACATTGATGAGTAGCAATGATGATTCGAATAGTTACGATTTTGATGTGTCCCCTCTTTATGTGACACAAACTAGAAATAATGACGAATCATTGGTATTTAAAGATTCTATAAAAAAGATGGCAAATGTTTGTGAACAGTATAATAAAGATAGAGCATACTTAGAACCTCGTGAAAGGGAATTAGAAATGAAACAAACACATTTGCAGAAAGAAATGGAAGAGATCAACATACTAACATCACGATTCAAATATAATATCAGAATTTTACACGCTCGTATTAAAGAGGTTGAAACAAATGTCAATAGATTTGACTCCAAATTAAACGAGATTGATCTTATAATATCTAAAAATGAATATCCAATAAAATGTGAGGTCGATCCAAACAACGATAGGGAAGGATTTGAAGAATATATTGTGCTGTTAAATGCAATAAGGAAAAATAAATATAGAGGTCTCAGTTGGAAGGTACTTAGTACAGAATTGGTGAAAACTGGGCAGGAAGTATTGAAAAGTTGGTATAACTGGATATTCAAAAGTTGAATTATGCAAAGGGTGTGTGTTCATATATAATTTAAGATATATTCTTTCAGTTACTTATATTTAATATTATTGAATTAAATGAAAATGGAAATCTAGGGATTATTCGCTGAATTGCATCGCAAGAGCAACATCATACTCATTAAGGAGCTTTATGTTGAATGTTTCATCTAAATTTTGAATTTGGTTCAACAATAGTTTAAATTCGTGTTTATTTTTCGATATTAGGGACCAATCAAGAGTTTTAAATATGTCTTTAAGTTTTGTTATTATCCGAGATAAATTTTTCCCACTGATATCTTTCTTTTCCCTTAAAATATTAAGATGAGAATCAAGTATCACAGCCTGGGATTCAAAATTTTCGTAGATAAAATTATCCAGATCTTGATCTCTCATAAATTTTTGTTCTTTAATAAAATTCTTGATTGATATAAAGTGTTCCATTATTTTTTGTATTAGTATAGATATCTTATTATTTATAAATCTTTGTTGCTCAATTTGATATAGCAAATCATAATTTTCATTTACCAAAATGTCCACCTCAGACGGTATTGATAGATTCTCATAATTTTGAAGTGTCTCTGAGGAAACATCTTCTCCGAATTTTTCATATGATATAGCAGATTGTTTTGCAACTCTTTTCAAAAGTAATTCTATCTTGTCCGTCTCTTGTCTATTTGATCTTGATTCGGATGCTAATGTAGCCATTAATTGAGATATGTACTGGAAATTGTCGTTAGCAGCTTCATTCATTTTTAAAGTTTTCACACGGTAGAGGTGGATATTTAATATATATTTGTTTCAACAAACGAAGTGCTCAATTTCTAATAATTATGTCTTTTGTCTACTACTATTAAAGTAAGCCTTTAACTGTATTACATCTGATTTTATTGTTATTTTTTTAGCCTTCCTCAAGCCGAGTAATTGAATAAGATATTGCTTTCAAAAAGAGAGAGAAAGGCATTGCCAATTTAGTTTCTTTTAACTATGTACCAATATCAAATTAAAAAGGCTATTTTAGGGAGGTGAATGAATTGTAAACTGACTTAGACATTTATCAAAATTCTAGAATAATTATATACTGTTACTGAAAGAAGAAGAAAATGACGACGATTTCCAAAAAGAACCATGCCGATTACTCAGATTTCAATGACTTCACTAGCAGAGACGACACATTTGAGATGCTCCTAATGTCCTACGAAAGTTTATGCGAAGATCAAAGAGATTGGGTATGCAATTTATCTAACGCAGCTTCGTTATTGTGGCATGCCTATAAGTCTCTTAATGTGGAAGTCATCTGGGCGGGATTTTATACCGTAAGAAGTGGTAAACCTTCAGAGTTATTATTGGGACCATTTCAAGGTAAAGTAGCGTGTCAAAGTATTCCTTTCGGCCAAGGTGTCTGTGGTACTGCAGCCGACAGTAAAGAGACTCAGCTTGTTTCAGATGTTAGTAAATTTTCAGGTCATATTGCATGCGATGGCGAAACAAAAAGTGAAATTGTTGTTCCGATAGTTTCGACTGATGGCAAAACTCTTGGTGTTATTGACTTAGATTGTGGTGATTTTAATGGATTTGGTGAATCAGACAAAATTCATTTGGAAAAATTAGCAAAGTTAATAGCCAAGACATGTGATTTTTAATTAACTTTACTCTTCGTAAAATATGTCTATTTAACAGTGTAATATCATGTACATGTATGCAAGAAATCTGGCAAATATTCAAGAATTTAAAATTTCTGTTATATGTATTGCTAGTCGTTATTCTTGGATATAAGATACCGTATGTGCTCAAGGATTGAGTTTTTTCGATCTAAATAGAATTTTTGGTCCTATATCACAATCATATAAGAATCTATGTATGTAAGTGTGGAATAAATTATCCTCATACTCATTTTTCAACTAAATATTTTTAGGGCAGTATCCTTTCGGAATCTCTAATCTTATGATTAAAGCAATTTGTTACAAGAAGCAAACAGAAAACAGAAATAAAAAGACATAAATGCCTACGTTTTGCTTATTGTAACAAATTGCTTTAATCATAAGATTAGAGATTCCGAAAGGATACTGCCCTAAAAATATTTAGTTGATCATGGTTACCTTAAAACGTAATTAAAAAAAAAATCCTAAAATTTGCAAAAACAAATGATTTCGCCCAGGATCGAACTGGGGACGTTCTGCGTGTTAAGCAGATGCCATAACCAACTAGACCACGAAACCTTATATTGTTGTTTTTGGGAGAGAGTTATTCTATTCTTAAATGTAACGAAATTTAGATCTATAATTTAATAAATTGAATAATTATAGGTCTAAAGAAGCAAATTTAGCAATTGGCGTAAATAACTTCTATTTATAAGTATAACTTATGTTTGATAGTTGGTCATAAAAATATAAATACGGTAATTCCACAAACCATTATCAAGTTAAACTACTATTTGAATACTATATCCTACTAACTATATGGGCCTGATACAGTATCTGAAGACTGGATTCCTTTATATATGAAAATCAATATTAAAAACACAAAGAATATGATATTAAGTGATCCAAACTGTTGTTCCCGTTTTTTTTCTAAGGACTGAAAATATACTCTCCAAACTTGGAGCACAAATATATCCTTATTAAATTAATAGTAGCTTAACAGTAAATTAAAAATTTACTGAAACCAGCGTATTTAGTGTTTTATTGATTATTAAAGCTTCTCTATATTTTGATATTTTGGATTACGAAATTCACGTCTGAATCGAACATGTTCCCCCGTAATTAGAAGCAGATACGAAGGCTGAGATCAAGATTATTCAACCATTTTCGTTGAATTGAGCGTAGGGCTTCTTATAACCTCATTGAATCTTATCTAATCATTTGAATCCTGATTGGAGTTGTGAATATTGAAATGAAGGAACTCCATAAGAGTTACTTGAGACTTAAGACTTCGATCGAAGATCCCAATCTTATCTGATAACGATTTATTTCTAGAGCAAAAAAAACATATGTAATGCAATATCTATTTTAGCAAGAACTCATATATATATATTTTAGAGCAAAATACATTTATTGTCAAAGAACTTAGAGATGGATCAAAACAAAAATAGAAGCGAAACGTTTCAATAAATTAGTACAGTCGTTAGATCTTTTTCGCTTACTCGTTATGTTTTATACTAACGTCAAAAGCAAAATAGGTATCATTTTTAAATAGTACATATGGGTAATACCTGTTGAAGATTTGGGCTCCACCATTCTCATGACTAGGGTCGTTTTATTTGTTGATACCATTAACTCTATGTATACTGCTGAAATTATGAATGTTTAGTCTATCCTTAATCTAGCATGTGTTTCTGCTCCAGCGCGGTGTGTGGGTGCATTCAGAAAATTTTTTCTTCAAAGTGAAAAAAAAATGCAGAGAGATGAGATGCGATGAGATAGATTAAATTACAAAACATAGAGAAAAGAGACAGTTATCAACTGTATCAGTCACAGATATAAATAGTAACCAGTTTTTTAAATTGTTGAAGTACAACAGTATAGATACAATCACACATAATGGCTAATCGTTCAAACAAGAAGGAGGCATCCAATATGTCGAAGAAAAGAAGTGCCTCGGTAGCTGAAGAAACAGTTCCAGAACAAGATGATAATCTAATTGTTGATGGATTAATCGATGCTGGAGATGACAGTGACGATGATGATGACGATTTCGAATCAGCTGCAGAGGATTTTGCGGAGTCAGATGATGACAAACAAGAAGAACAAAATGAAGAAGAAGACTCTGATGCTGAACTGAACAGATTGCTTGCTCAAGAAGAAGGTGATGAAGAAGAATACAATACATCTGATTTTTCTGACGATACCAAGTCTCTAACTGATAAACTGTCTGGTGTTAAATTAAAGACCATTGTTGATCCTAACATTTATACTAAATACTCCGATGGTCAACCAAGAATCATTAAGCCTGAGATCAATCCAATTTATGATAGTGATGATAGTGATGTAGAAACAAAAAATACGATTGGTAATATTCCATTATCTGTATATGATGAAATGCCTCATATTGGTTACGATATTAATGGTAAGAGAATCATGCGTCCTGCTAAGGGGTCTGCTTTGGACCAACTTCTAGAGAGTATTGATCTTCCAGAAGGTTGGACTGGTTTATTAGATAAAAACACTGGGTCCAGTTTGAACATTACAGAAGAAGAATTAGAATTAATTTCCAAGATTCAAAAGAACCAACAAACTGATGACAATGTGGATCCTTATGAACCATTGATAGATTGGTTTACTAGACATGAAGAAGTTATGCCATTGACAGCTATTCCTGAACCAAAGAGAAGATTCGTCCCATCTAAACATGAAGCCAAGAGAGTCATGAAGATCGTTAAGGCTATTAGAGAAGGTCGTATTATTCCTCCAAAGAAATTAAAGGAAGCTAGAGAGAAAGAAAAGGCCGAAGATTTCCATTTTGATCTATGGGGTGATTCACCAGAAGAAGTTGAACATGTCATGAATTTGAGGGCACCAAAATTAGCTCCACCAACCAACGAAGAAAGTTACAACCCACCTGAGGAATACTTATTGAATGACAATGAAAGAAAAGAATGGGAAGATACTGAACCAAGCGAAAGAGACAAAAATTATATTCCACAAAAGTATTCATCATTAAGACAAGTTCCAGGTTATCAAGAATCTGTTAGAGAAAGATTTGAAAGATCTCTTGATTTGTATTTGGCACCACGTGTACGTAAGAATAAATTGAATATTGATCCTGAATCCTTGTTACCAGAACTTCCATCACCAAAAGATTTGAGACCTTTCCCAATCCGTTGTTCTACTGTTTATTCTGGACACACTGGCCGTATACGTTCTCTGTCAATTGACCCATCCGGATTGTGGTTGGCTACAGGTTCTGATGACGGTACTGTCAGAGTCTGGGAAATCCTTACTGGTAGAGAAGTTTACAAAGTTCAACTTGTTGACACAGAAGAGGACTCTGAAGATCATATTGAATGTGTTGCATGGAACCCAGATGTATCAACTGGTATCCTTGCAGTTGCTGTTGGAGAAAATATCCATTTGATTGTACCACCAATCTTTGGCTTTGATATTGAAAATAGTGGTAAGACAAAGATTGAAAATGGGTTTGGGTTTGATACTTTTGGTAATGTTAAGAAGAGCAATTTAGTTGGTGACGATGAAGATGACGATGGAAATAATAATGATGCTAGTGAATCTACTGCTGTTAAGAAGGTTGTTGCCCAATGGGTTAAACCATCTGTTCAACAAGTAGAAAAAGATATCTGCATAACTATTATTTGTAGAAAGACTGTTAAGAAATTATCATGGCACCGTAAAGGTGACTATTTTGTCACTGTACAACCTGAATCTGGTCATACATCTGTTTTAATTCATCAAGTTTCAAAACATTTAACTCAATCTCCATTTAAAAAATCTAAAGGTATTATCATGGATGCTAAATTCCATCCATTCAAGCCACAATTATTTGTTTGTTCTCAAAGATATATTAGAATTTATGATTTATCACAACAAGTATTGGTAAAGAAATTATTACCTGGTGCACGTTGGTTATCTGGTATTGATATCCATCCAAGAGGTGATAACTTGATTGCATCATCTTACGATAAGCGTGTTCTATGGCACGATCTAGATCTGGCCAGTACACCATACAAGACTTTAAGATACCATGAGAAGGCTGTTAGAAATGTTTCCTTCCATAAGAGATTGCCTTTGTTTAGTTCTGCTGCAGATGATGGTACTATTCATATCTTCCACGACACAGTATATGATGACATGATGAAGAATCCACTGATTGTTCCATTAAAGAAACTAACTGGTCACAAGATTACCAGTAGTCTGGGTGTTCTGGATGCTGTTTGGCATCCAAGAGAAGCCTGGTTATTTTCAGCAGGTTCCGACCACACAGCTCGTCTATGGACCACTTAGAATCCATTCTAACTCATATACAAAACAACACAAAAATTACTCATAAAATCTGCACACTTCATATATATCACCTAATCATATATTTATATGAAATATAAATAACTGTAAAATAACATAGATTATACTAGTATTGTTCAAACTGACTTCCCTATCTAAAATCGGTATTACCGTCGCCCGGTCACATGACCTTTACTACACGTGACTTCCCACAGTGTGAGGTACGCGTGTCTCTCCCCCCCCCCCCNTTAACCCCCCCCCCCCCGCTTCACCCGACTCACACATATCATCGCGCACTTTCTCTGTGGATATTTTTTCATCTCGCGAAACTGTGGCATCGCCGAATGAGACAAAAAAATGTGACAAAACTTTTTCTGTGAGCCTTAACTGTGGTTTCTTTCAGATAAACAGGAATTTTGAGGATGATTAAACTTGTTTAGATACTGATTTATATATATGTATATATAAAGATGAGGAAGGATGAGAAAGGACTAATTTGATTAATGTTCTGTTCTTGTTCCTATTTGTTTTTTCTTGCCGTCCCAAGCATAGAACAGTAAACTACTTTACTTAATAAATCAAACTATACGTTGACACACTAATGTCTACCATCCATCAAATGACTTTCACTCAAAATACAATGTCTTCTAACTGCATCCAATATACACATGGTGATTCTCAATGTAACGGTCTCATGTGTAACATATTTTCTGTTAGTTCGCCAGGTTCTAAATTAGATAATTCAAATGATGAATGCGATCAAGATGATGACGTTATTGTTGATTTAAATTCTGGTTCTTTAGATCCTGTCTCTTTAAAAAGTTGGACTTTGATGACAGAAATGACAGAACAATTTACTAGATTATGAAATAAACGGATTACATACATACAACATGATGTTAAACCACATTGAAAACCCCCCAAACAAAAATATAATTTAGGTTCATTATAATATTCATTCAATTCATTTCACGGCTCATTATTACGACGCCTTCCCCCATTTCATACTAAGCATTATTTAACCTTTCAGCTTTGAAAGCTAGTCATATTATTTTCAAAGTAACTATCGGCATTACATCATATTTCAAACATAGTTACTATTTTATACATAGATAGACATTTATACCATTACATATCATTAATATTAATTAATATTTATTACTGCATTATTTATTATTTATGCCACGTCGTTTATAGCGATAAAAGAAGAGAAAAACGCACTAAAAAAAAACTTCACAGAGAAAAAAAAATTGATTGAGCGCAAGTTTACATTTTTTTTGGAAATTAGTTGGATTCATCAAATAAGAGATATTAATCGATGGAATAAAATTGATGAAGTGGATTAAATAACTAAATAATTTGCTATTTTATTAAAAATTTGAACAGTTTATTTTTGAGTTTTTCGATCAATTGTATAGATTTAAGTAAACTGACTGTCCTTCTTTCTGGTTTCGAGTTAATAACTTCATTGTGAATGCAAGATGTTTGGAAATAATAACAGATCAATGTTTGGAGGAAATAATACTCAATCGCAAACATTAGGCAACACTGGCACAAATACATTTGGTAATAATGTAAATCAATTTAATAACACTGGAGGTGCTATGAATAATGCTCAGAGTGGGTTTGGTGGGTTTGCATCAACTCAAAATAAACCAATGTTTGGAAATGCAAATAGTGGTAATAATACAACAAATACTGGAGGTAGTATGTTCGGCCAAAATCAGAATTCTGGATTCGGTGGTGGTTTGAATAATTCTAGTAATGCATTTGGTGGCAATAATACAAACGCCAATACTGCAGGATCTAATATGTTCGGATCTCAAAATAACAACAATGCATTTGGAAATACCAGTAATAATAATGCATTTGGAGCCACCAACACAAATAATCTAACAGGATTTGGTAACAACAGTAATAATACCGCCAATAACAATGCGTTTGGTATGAATAAACCTTCCACGGGTATGTTTGGTCAGAATAATATGAATAATAATAACAATCAGACATCCATGTTTGGTCAAAATAATGCTAATAATAACAGTGGTAATTCGATGTTTGGGTCTCAAAATAATAATTCATTTGGAAACAATGCATTTGGTGGAATGAATAATACAAATACTAATCAAACACAAACAAATGGTCTATTTGGAAACAATAATTCAAACAGTATGAATAGTCCGTTTGGTAATACCAATAATACTCAACAAACAGGTCTGTTTGGACAAAATAACAATCAAACTCAACAAGCTGGGATATTTGGTCAAAACAATAACCAACAGCAAGGTGGCTTGTTTGGTGGAAATAAGACAACTACTATGGGATTTGGAAATCAAACCAATTCAGGGTTTGGTAATACAAACCAACAACAACAAGGTGGTATGTTTGGCCAAAACAATAACAATAACACTGTAACCAATAACAATACAGGTATGTTTGGCCAAAATAATCAAACAAGCTCTGGTTTTGGTCAACAATCATCTGGCGGTTTGTTTGGTAATAAACCAGCTACTGGTGGTCTTTTTGGTCAAAATAATCAACAGCAACCACAACAACAAACAGGTGGTTTATTTGGACAAAATAACACGATGCAAAAACCTGGTGGACTTTTTGGTCAAAATAATCAGCCACAACAGCAACAAGGTGGTCTGTTTGGAAATAAACCTGCTATGGGAGGTCTATTTGGTGGTAATCAACAGCAGCAGCAACCGGGTCAATTAAATAGTTCGGCTGGTGGCATATTTGGTAATAAGCCTGCCACAGGTGGTTTGTTTGGAAACAATAATATGAATCAACAACAAACTCAGCCAGCAGGTTTTGGTAATTCCTTTGGTTCAAACACAATGAACCAAACCACTCAAAACAATTCTTCTGGTGGTTTATTTGGTAATAAACCTGCAACCACTACTGGTGGTGGTCTGTTTGGCAACAACAATAATACTAATGCATTATCTGGGTCAACATTTGGTACAAACAGTACTACCTTAGGTGGTAATAATATGGGAGCAACTTCAGGTGGGTTATTCGGAAATAAACCAGGAAACGCCACTGGATTTGGTGCAACCCAACAAACCAGTACAACTGGGGGTGGTCTCTTCGGTGCTAAACCAATGGGTACTTCATTTGGTCAAACCCAGCCTGCAGGTGCTACTGCTGGTGGTTTATTTGGTGCGAAACCTTCTACACTTGGTGGCTTGAATAGTACCGTTGGTGGTACTGCTGGGTCAAGTATGTTTGGAAATAATACAAATACCAATACCCTTGGTTCTACTACAACAGGAACTAACACACTTGGTGGTGGATTATTTGGTAATAAAACTGCTCCAAATAATGGTCAACTAGGTAATAACGTTAGTTTATCCATGGCTACTTCAAACCAACCTGCAGTTAATTCCAATTTAAATAGTCTATTTTTGAATGGTACTCTTCCTGAATCAATCACACAACCTAATAAAACCTCAATTGTCAGAGTTAGTGCTGATAATAAAATGAACACTACTTTAACCAAGGCTTATAGATTAGCACCAAAGGTATTATATTCTACTAAACAGCTAACTTCTTTGAATAGAACTTCATTGAGATCCTCGGAGTTGTCTATTGCATCTAGTGCAAATAATGAAGGTACTGTTTCATTAGGTGCCAAATCTGAATCCGAAGTAAATGCATTGAATGGTGCTACTCCTTTGAAGTTATTGTTTAACCCTGATAAAGTTTCGATGAAATCTTTAGTTGTTAGAAAGAAATTTGATAATGGCGATGAAAATGTGACTGAAACAGATTCAGTAAAACAAATCACATTCAATAATCCAGCAACTTCACCGATTCATCAGAATGTTGTTCCCTCTTTCGAGACCCCTTCAAATAAAGAGCAAGAACAAGAGCAAGAGCAAGAAAAGGTTATTGAAACAGATGATACTAACGCTGTGAAAATTGCCTCGCAGATTCCGGTTACAGAGACATCACAATTTGTTAAATTGCATACAGTTTTGAGTGATGATGTCAAATTTTTGGATAATGATTATTATATTTCTCCTTCTTTGGAGACATTGAAAGCTAAATCTTTACTTGATTTAAGACATGTGGATAATTTGATTATTGGTAATACAAAATTTGGTAAAATGGAGTTCTTAGAATCTGTTGATCTTTCTAATGTTCCATTAAATTTATTATGTGGTACAATTATCAATTTTAGTGCTAATGAATGTTTAGTATATGCAGATTCTTCATCTGTTCCAAAACCATCGGATGGTTTAAATGTTCGTGTTAGAATTTCTATTTATAATTGTTTCCCAAGAAATAAAGAAGATAGAAAAATCATTACAGATATTACACATCCTGCATTTGCTCAAATTATTGCCAAATTAAAGAAAAATCGTGATCAATATGCAAAATTTGAAAGTTATGATCCTACAACTGGTACGTATACATTTATTAGGGAACATGCAGCCGTTAGTGTTCCATAAATATAAAACATTGTGATGATATAGCATGATTATTATTAAAATAATTGTAATTGTTTTAAAAATGTGTAAGTAGATATATGATATTGTATATAGTAATCACACAATCTAATAAAAAAACATCATTATTGGTGGAAACTTTATTCCTTAAATATATGTATGTATGTATGTATGTATTTTTTTTTTTCATTTATTAATGGTCATAGAGGTAGTTTATAAAAAGAATTTACAGAAAGATGGGGGGTAAGTTAATAAACTAAAATAAAAAAAATTGATAAAAATAACAAGCAGTTCATTAGTGGTGGTTATTTGTTATTTCAATTTAATACACTTGAAAATTTATTTTTAATGAAAAAAATAAATAGATAAGAGACATCAATATTTGCGTTAAAAGGGTATCAACTTTAATTTTTTCTTTTAAATAACAAAATGATTTGTAACATAAAATGAAAATATATTACACTTATGAAAGGGGAACAAAAGAAAGATAGAGATTGTAAAGTGAAAAAAGAACAGAAAATTTTTTCTATAATGTTTGATTTTTCATTTCAATATTTCTCTTAAAAATTACTTCTAATTTTCTAATGCTCAGACTATTATCTTCCTCCATAAATTCTTGTTTGGGAAGGGGTTAAAAGTGTTTTTTTAAGCTTGTTTATTTATAATTATTTTTTTTTGTGGGGGATGTATTATTATTCTACTTTTTGATGTTTGTTTTTCAAAATTGATTTTGTTGAGAATCTTGGAAATATTGTTGATATGCTACATTATTTGGATTCTGACCATTATTTGGATTTGAATTTGGATTTGAATTAGTCATTTTTTGATCTTGAGATGGTGTTAAACCATTTGAATGAGCAGCAGATGAATCTATATTAAATGGATGTTCAACACCCTGTTGCATTTGATTTTGTTGCATTTGATTCTGTTGCATCTGATTCTGTTGCATTTGTTGCAATTGTTGCATATGTTGAGCTTGAGCCTGTGCTTGTGCTTGAGCTTGAGCTTGTGCTTGAGCTTGTGCTTGTGCTTGTGCTTGAGCCTGAGCTTGTTGTTGTTGTTGTAAAGCTAAATCATTATTATTATTTTGATTATCATCTTCTTCCTCTTCTTCCTCTTCTTCTTCTTCATCAGGTGCATTTAAACAAGCTTGAATTAAATTTCTACCTTCTTGTTGAGTTACAATTGGTTCGAATTTTGGAGTACTGAAAGTATAAACCAAACCAGTTTCTGATACAACTAATAATAAGACTTGTGTACCAGTTAAAACAGATAATTCAAAAGCTTTCTTCATAATACCATGTTTTCTCTTTGAAAAAGTTACATGTCGTCTTGTTTTATTTTCTATAAATTTAATTTCAATTTTTCTTCTCTCTTTTGAATCACCTTTAATTTGTGGTGATAAGGAATTATCGTTATCATTAATCTCTTGGTCGGACATTATTACTTAATTTTGGTTTTTGACAGTTATTACTCTAAGAAGTAAATGAAAAAATAGAAAAAATTAAAAAAAAAGTCAATTATTTGTATTATTAATAGGGAACTAAGCTAAAAAAGAAAAAATACAATATTTATGTCACTTCTCACAATATATTTTGACAGAATCTGTTCTTAATTTGGATATTGTAACGTTTGTCAATATTAAAATATAAGATAAACAAAAGGATTAAAATAATTAACAGATATAATTGTATTTAATTTTACCCAATTAAATGGAAAGATGTCTAAATTTGGGAAGTATTACTTATTTAGTTCATATATTTATTTGCAATCCATCATCAACACCATAACAATAATTTTGCCCAAAAAAAAACGAAAAAAAAATTCGAAAAAAAATTGAAATAAATAAACAAACAAAACAACGCGATCACTAAGAAGTTGCCGCACAGAGCCGCCGTCTAAATACATATTGTTACTATCTTCTCATAAAAAGGGGCCAAAGGAGAAATCTCTTGTTAATCTTGTTGCTGCGCGAAAATACTGAGCTGGAAATTGTTAGTTTTGTTTGTTTTTGGCTGTGCCGCCGCTGTTTCTGCTGCTGCGGTGAGTCGGCGACGGGCGAGACAGAAAGAGCAGCAGCAGCAGCAGCAGCAGTAGGAACAGCGTGGCCGTAGCAAATGATATTGGTGGCGCGGTGTGGGAAAAATATATGCGAATTCTGTGGATCGAACACAGGACCTCCAGATTTCTTTTTTGACCGAAGTTATTCTTCAGTCTGGCGCTCTCCCAACTGAGCTAAATCCGCTAATAATTTAAAAAACGTGGTAATAAGGTAGAGTCATGTTGATGTTCATTGTATTAATTTGTATGGAAGGTTAACCATAAGTCGTCTTAAGCATATCTAGGGACACTATTTGAGTAACTGTTGTCTCTTATACCAATTAAGAGATTACAAAGTTTTGGTGGAGTATAATTGTTGGGTGTTAAGTGTTGGATATTTGAATTATTAGAGGAATCCATTTCTTTAATATGGTACAAAATTTAATTTATTAGAAATCAACGTATAGTCGTCTGATTTCTTTAGTATACAAATTATAAATAATATACAAAATAGTCAGGGAAATAAAATATTCCAATGCATGAAATATTGTTCCCTTTATATACCTTTGGATTTGGTTACATTTCGTGATTATAAATCTCCAATACTAGCATTGTAGAAATTATGCATGGTTTC